AACCCTCGAGTGAACGCTTGAATATGCATGTAAATAAATGTTCATATTAAGCGCCTGTAATGCCTCTCAATCACAGTGACCAGATGATACACGCAGGACTAGATTATTCCTCTTCTTGAAAAGCTCATTTTACATGTTAAAATTTTGAAGGGAACATGAGAAAAAAAGGACTCTGACAACTGTCAATCATCAGAAGTCTTCCCAGTGTAACAAAAAACTGGACCGTAAACTCACTCGGCGGTAAGAAGAGAGACGGGAAGTGTGAAGCGAAAAAGGTTGAGATGAGATAACTTGAAGTAAAGATGGTGAAAGTACATGACGATGGACGGGTGCCACAGTTCAACAAAAGCAGAAATCTGTGACAATGAAAACACAGCCATAGTTACTAATCAACAAGTCTTAAAGCTGTGGAAAGAAGATGAGCAGCTATGCTGCCACCCCATTCACAATCGAGACGTGCCAAGAAAAAGTGAAAAGGAGAGAACAAATGAAAAAAGAAAGTGAAAGACTGTGGACAACTGTTCAGAGAACAGAACATGACCAGATGTCAAATTGTTGCTGTATTTTTTTCAGTTTTCTGTATTTCGTTTTTTTTCCCTTTTATGAAAAAAAAAAAAAGAGAATTGGAACGGTCCACCTGGTGACTGTTTGTCTTCAACACCATCACTATCACCGTTCACAGCGACGATGATAAACCCCACTTTCAGCTCATTTTATTTATTTATTTCAGAATGATATCTGAATATTCCATCCCTCAAACTTGTTTTTTTTTTTTTTTTGACAGAATGTGAAAATTTATGAGCCGCAGAAATGTGAATTAATCAGGAAGTAGTAAAAGTAACCTGACTCTGTGACTCTCCCCTGGTGCTGTAATCCCTCCCCATCTGGCTCTGCAGGCAGGTTGAAACACACACGAAGAATTATGAGCAGAAAGTTTCAGACCCGGGTCTGATTATCTTTTCAGTAAACAACTAAAACCAGTCACTCCACTGAGAGGCTTTTTCTTTTTCATTTTAGGGCATCAAAGTTTTAAAAGACTTGGTGATCTCTGTCCTTAAAGCTGCCGTACAGAGTTTTTTTACATTTCTGAAATTCATATTGATGCCTTTTGATGATATCTGGAACCATCAGGACCATGATTGTAGTTTTAATATTTGTAGTTTTTAATGTCTAAAACTGCTGTGAGGGGGTAGGTGTCAGTCAAACAGCAAGAAACAGAAACATTTTTACAATTCTTATATGTAAAATATTCACAATGTGACCGTTTTACTCTCATTTGTGATTAAAAATAGATGTGTGCGAATTGTAAAATGTATTTAGGGGCGACAAATGTTTTTTCATGTAAATACCACAGTGAAGTTAGTTTTAGGTTGGATATCTGACGGACATTCACTGCGGATCTACCGGTGTCTCTGACTCTGGTAATAGCAAGAGCAGCGCGGTTAAATCTACTCCGCACCCTCACTGTCAATATCGAGTGTTGAATAAGGGACCGTCAATAAATTACCGGTTGATGCTCTTAGAAAAGGCTGTTTTGCTTTTATAGCTTCCCTGTCACGTCATAATAGTACTAAGGTCGGATAATGAAATACACCTTTTTATTCCCCAAATTGTCCTCTAAAAAAATGTTTGTGTAAATTTAAAGGCAAATTTTGAACTTTTTCACCAATAGCTTCCATGTCATGTGACCAAAAGACCATAACTGATTTAATGAGCCATTCGTAGTTTCACTGTACCGGCCGTGTGTACTTAGACTTGCATGGCTTAATCTTTGAGAACTGATTTCAAATAATAGTGGATCAGTACGACACACAGTATTTGATAAATTTTCATTGTGCCCCTAAATAATAATAATAGTATTTATTTATATCGCACCTTGTAACATCCGGAAAGATGACCAAAGTGCTTTAAACAGTCAAATACACAAATACAGGAAAAGAAAATACATGACAAGTGACAAACTTTTAGAGACATATTATTATTATTAACTTCTAGAGACATTATGTGAGACAACAGACAGTTGAATTTCCTTTCAGGGATTAATAAAGTTCTTATCTTAAATGTCACAGGATATCATAACAATGAAAGGTAAGAAAACACAAACGATCAAATAGCAGATGGCAAATGTCACTAAATATCAAAAGCCTGTGCAAAAAGGTGAGTTTTAAGATGTGTTTTAAAGAGTGTTAGGTCATTGATCCCCCACTAAAGTTCTTTGTGTGCTCCTTACTTTTTCAACTCATAAGCACACGTGCTCCTTATGAAAAATTTAAGTGTCAAGCCCTGAATTTGACTGTCAAAAGTCAGCAGGATGAGTTTTTGGTGAAAAGACACGACTGAAGCATGTAGAGGACGAGATAAACAAAACCAAAAGCTCCTTACAGGAGCTTTAAAGCTGCTGCTGATGCCATGGTTGTTTTTTCTGAAAACAATCTCATCCTGCTTTCTCGTATGAGTTTATGCTGTCAATCATCTGGTCTGGCACCTACCACCTTCGCTTTCATAGGTTTTAAAGAAGCATTTCTGTAAGTTACAGTTCAGAGAAACAGCAGCTTTAATGAAAGTTGTATCAAACTTTTGGGATTTTGACATTTCACTCTCTGTGTTCGAAGAAAACCGGGTGAGGTAAGCGTCAGGTCCTCACATGAACTATATTTTACCAGCCAATCGTAGGTGACCTCGACGGAGCCAGCATCAATTTAGTGGCGTTTCAGGAGCCGGGGGTGTTGGCACGCCGCTCCCTTTCCCTTCTTTACACGCAGGGCCGGCTCGTCCGTGAGCAGACGTGGAAGTCAATGTTAGTTCTGTCTGCCACCCTGTTTTGCTTGGCCCGGTCACGGCGGCAAACACAGTAGTCACCAATATTAAAATGGACGTCTTTATTTAGTGAGAAGAACAGGCAGAGGAGGCAAAATAAGCCTCAGGAAGTCATTTAGTTTGGGCGGAGCGGCTGAAATTTAGTTTGACATGTTTGCTTTGGAGGCCGCTTGAGAAACAAGTGAGTCTGGTAACTTTTTAAAGAAGCTTCTGTGCACCATTTCGACCTAATCTATAAGTTTCTTGATAGTAAAGTTTTTAAATCAACCTTCATTTTTAAACATGATTGAAAGGACTAAGTCTATTTTTTGGGGGAACAGCGAACGATGATTGAACTTCATGACATTATTTGATGTAGGGAGGTTAACTCGTCCTCTTTAAAATGGCAAACATCAGATGAAGATTTTGACCATTTAAGAAAGACTTGGATCGTCCAGTAGAATCAAGCCGGGAGATTCAGAGGCAGCCGATAACCGCGCTTTATGTCCACTTCATTTCCCTTGCAAATCAGCATCGCATTCTCTGAGTTTTTCGCAGTTCCCAGCTCCCTCCTTTCTTTCCCCGAAACATGCCCTGAGTCAGCCGGGCTCATTAAACAGGATGAGACTATTACCAGGCGAGTTATCCTCCCTCTAACAATGGGATGTGGTCAGGTGGTGGAAGCACCAGTTTCACTGGGTTCACTTTTTCCCCCCCTTTATGTCCTCCGGGTGCAAGACCGCGACTCCCATTTGGGCTAAAAACGCCTTTTCCTCCATCAACCAAATGTGTGACAGCTGGAATGTGGAGCAGTTTCCATGCAGTGGTGTTAAAATTACCGTAAATTGTATTTTATTTCCAATTTCTGCGTGTACGTGAGCAGGGAGGGGGTGACTCTAAAAATAATGTACACGAACGGCATTAACACGCACCGTTCTGGGTCCAGATTCGAGAAAACGTCCATTAATGTTTAGTCCTCCTCAGATTAAACTGGGACCGCAGTGTAAAAATGCTCATTCATTCACTAATTCATTCAGTATAGCTTTCTGATGTAAGTCCAAGCCCATTCCAGTTCAGTTTTTTTTTCTTTTTTCAGCTATTTACAGTAAAGCTTTTCGAGAGGCCCAATCGGAAACTGTGGACAAGTTCCAGGGAAACAGGACCCAAGCACCCTGAAGAGCCTTTTTGCCTCACTTTTATTCACTCCTGTTCTTTCTCAAGAGTTCCTCCTGAAAGTATTTGGCAAACACTGGTGAAAAAAAAAAAGACTTTGAGGGAAGAAAAACAACAAGTCGTTCTTGAGCCACCCACACCCCATCTGCTGTGGTATTATCTTCTTTTATTATCTACAGATTATGTGCGCTGATATGATTTCTACAGTTCGGTCTGCCGGTCATTCTGCTTGTTTTTTTTTTGTTTTTTTTTCTTGTTTGTGGGGCGCTGTGATATGAGACAGTAAGGTTGGGGGTGGAGGGGTCCTCCCCCATGTGCATCTAATCGCCCATTCAGGACCCTCTTAATGGCTTGTCAGTTCCCCTTGCCCTTCCATTTTCTGTCCAATTAATTCCTTTCTAGCTCTCCGGATAAAGGGACACAATGGGGCCCCTCCACAGCATAATGAATCATTAAAATTCAGCAGCGCGGCCCTGGCACTTGGCTTCTCCCTGGGCTGGTTAGGGACGGCTGCTTGGCATGCATGCCAGGGCCAACTCGAGCATTCTACCCACTGGACCAGAGGAGGATGGGATCTCTGCTTAGTCCTCTTTCATCTGCAGTTTAATAAGAATCTGAAGTGAACTGCTTGGGTAGGTGTAACCACATATGGTGTGTTGACCTGAAGCCCCGTGAGGGTAAAAAGTCGCGAGTGTGGCACCGGAAAAGCTGGAAAGTGGCGTGAAGTGACACTTTTTAAGATTCCACAAGTGTGTTTGAGAGGTCGAAGAAGTTATTTGACACTTACTTTTTCTTTCTTCTTTATTTTTTTGCACTTTTCTAAAAAGTTAACATGCTTACCTGATTTAAGACACGCATAATTGCTTATTAATGTGTTTATTTTAGCACGTAAAATGCAAAAACTCGAGTAGATTGACATCTGATAATTATTTCCACTAATTATTAATCTGCTGATCATCTTTTCTATGAATAGATCTACTTTTCAGTCTTAAAACGCCAAAAATCTCATTCAATTACTCGTTTTTTTGTCGCACCAACAGATGAAAAACTAAAGACTTTTATTCCCGCTCATGGAAGAACAACAAAAAACAGCAAATCCTCACAATGAAGAAGCTGCAGACTGCAAATGTTCAACATTTTTGCCTGAAAATTACTTAATAGAGCCATTTATGATCAAAACAGCAGAGAAATAATCACATTAAACTGGATTTTTACTTAATTTTTGCAGCTTTTGCCAAAAAACAAATGCATTCTTCGAATAGAGCCGACCAATAATTAGATCAAGACTAAATTTTAAGTGGTAAAAAAAGCGATTTTTTAAAAGTTTAAACCCTCTAACTTCAAAGTTGGTCGTACTTTTAGAGTTAATATAGATTTTTACGATCATGAAACACAACAATGCGTGATCCGAATAAGAACGACAAAAGACAAAATATCAAGAAAAAGTATCTCATTTATTTATTTAAAAAAAAAAAAAATGGCCAGCGAACGGGTTAGCTGTGCATGTGTGAATGAAACTCTAGTTAATAGAACAACAATAATTTTCACAGCCTTTCTCAAAAAATGATACACCAGGATAATATACAAAAAAAACACAGCTCTGTGGACTAGAAACTGCATCTCACAGAACATTTTACAAACCGAGGCTGTCAGGAATGATATCAAACGGAGGAGAAAGACTCGGTCGGGTTAACTGCAGATTCTGATTGCCTGGAGTTTGTTAATAGTTCAATTTCACCGTTGAAATACTGACGAGAAGCGTTAGAAGGCACAAAAACGTTTTGCGCGAGACTGCGGCAGTGAGTTGGCACTTGATGGCTGATGAGATAAATATGGGCAAACGCTCACACACACACACACACACTCTTTGTTTCTCAGTGAACCTGACACACTCTTCTTCTTCTTTTTTTTTCTTTTTTTTTTTGTAAAAGTGAAAAGTAGTGTGAGTAACATTTGGAGTGTCGTCTCATCATCTCGGGGTTATGCGTCTCTCTCACGTACACAAACACATAAATGCATGTACACACACATATATCTATCCGCGTATACAGGAGGTCCAGCTGACATGTCACTCAGAGTGTGTGGTGTTGTTTTACCCCATTTCCTTTAACCCCAGATCATGACTAATCGCGATTTGCCAAGCGTAGCCTTCGGACACCTGTTCTGTCCTGTGCGAGGCTGTTGGTCCGGCTCGGTTTTGCTTGGAATGGAGATGTTCCTGGAACTTGGTCTTTAACGGAATGATATCAGGATTATTGTGCTGTCCTTTTCACGTCCATTATCTTAATTCATTAAAAAGCCAAACAGTACTGTAAATAAGCAAACCCACATTACATGTGTTTATCTACTCAAGAACGAAAAAAAAAAAAGAAACCAATAATGCATGAACATAAATATATATAAGACTTTTCGTGCCCCAAATGACACTTTAAGATTCATGTGAGCCTTTTTCGTTAAGACTGATCCACTCATGATGCAAATGGCCAAATGTGCTGCGATTCAGCTCCGGCCATTAATGTAAATTTGACTGCAAATTCACACAATTGGTCCCGTGTACATTCTCTGATGTATCTGCTTCTCCATCTGCTTGGCGACAAGATCGAGCCAAAGCGTTTCTCTCTCTCCTACACAATGACGCAGAGGCAGGCCTTTTACATTTACCTCAAGTGTGCACACACACATGTGCGCTGAAACTGGTAAGACAGGGATGTACAGGATGTAGGCGTAGGTGACATTTCCTCATGGAGGAGTTTGGCTCACCGGCAACAACACAATTTGTCTTTGTGGAAAATGTCTGACAAGTGTGTGTTTTTGTTTTTCTTTTTTTTTTTATCGCAAGGATATAACTTTGTATAAAATCAGCAGGCACTTTTTTTCTGTTTCTTTAACGTTCAAACGGTCTCACACTTTTCTCCACCTGCTCCTTTACTTCCTTCATTAGTAGTGCATCGATCTGAATGAGTCTCTGGTGCGAGTTGACTTTGTTTTCGTCCTCCTAAGGTCGTGACAGCGTGGTGTAGACGGGCTGGTCCCAGCTGGAGGCCGTGGGGCTGTGGGCAGGAGCCATGGACAGGCTGTTGAGGATGGGGCTGCCGTAGGGCCGCCTGGATGAGTGGAAGTAGGGGTACTGGTAGAGGCTGGAGGGGTAGCCAGAGTAGGGGTTGTAATAGTTGGAGCTCTGGATGTCAGTATAGTCACACTGCGAGCTGGAGAAAGAGGAGGAAGCTGACGTGGCGGAGGTGACACAGGCCTGACTGCTGTAGGAGCCGTAGTCAGAGTGTGGGGGGGACCTGTGGGAGTGCTCGCTGTAGTGGCTCGGGCTCAGTTGCTCCGTTTTAATATGAAGCCGATGTTGGCCCACGTCCCCGGCAGACGGAGAAGAAGAGATGGCGCTCTTGCGGCTCCACGCTGACCCGTTCGCGCCCGCGTGGCCGTAAGAAGGAGCGTAAGAGCCACCAGGTGCGGGAGCCCCGTGGCTGTGGTCGGAAGGCAGGGCGGAGGAGCTCGAGGCGTGGCCGTTGAGCGGGAGGTACTGGTCGAACTCGTGCACGTCGAACGTCTCCATGTTGCTGATGACATCAGTGCTGAGCTCAGAGATGTCAACGTTGCTGAAGTCGATGTTCTGCCTGCTGCTGTCGACCAGGCGGCGGCCCTCGTGTTTCAGATCCTGCTTCACCCCGTGGTGCAGGTCTGTTTTGGGAGTAGTGGGTGGTGTAGGGGGGCCGTGGGGCTGCCCTGGAGGAGAAAATGGAAGGAATAAATCATGAGGGTTCAACACAGCAGATGCAAAACGATTTAAAAGTGTTCACAGCAGTATGAAATATTTACACCCCGCAGATAGATCACTGATGAAGAGGGAATTTTTGATCACATACCTGCATGTTCAGGGTGGTGGTGTCCGTCAGTGATCCCTGCAAGTCCTCCCATCCCGGGTTCAGCTTTGTACATGTGGTGTGCCAGTTCTGCTCCTGAATCCGAGTCACTCTGGCCCGGTTTCACATTCTTTCGTCGCCGGGGCTGGTACTTATAGTCTGGATGGTCTTTCTTGTGCTGAACTCGGAGCCTTTCTGCTTCCTCTACAAACGGCCTCTTCTCACTCTCAGAGAGCAAACTAAAGGAGTACAGATGTACAAAAATTAGATTAAATGAAGTCAAACTCAACAGAAAGCAGAGACGAAACTGTCAGATAAGTTATATTTGAGTTTTTTAAGAGTAACTGTCAAGTTTAATCCTTTATTTTTTATCTATTTTCTTGACATTTACAATCAAACCTTGATTTAGACTTATTAAAAGTACCAAATACTGAGTAAATATGAATCCTTCAATCCACTCGCCGTCTTTTCTTTTCACTACAAGAACTTGGACCCACTCCCCTTCGTTCATTTCTCTTCATACAATAAATCAAGAGCGTCCTTACCGCCACAGTTTGCCCAGCGTCTTGCTCAGCTCGGCGTTGTGCAGGTGTGGATACTGATCCGCCAGCTTTCTCCGGGCTGCTTGAGCCCAAACCATGAAGGCATTCATAGGTCTCTTGACGTGAGGTTTATTCTTCAGGGACCCGTTTCCTCTCACGGGCATGGGCACCAGAGACCAGTCGTATCCTTTCAAGACCTGAGAGACGGCGTCCCGTATGCAAGCCGGGAACCGGTCATCATCCTCGGAGTCCATTTTCTTGCCCAAACCCGTGAGCAGCGATCCTTGTCCGTCGGAGCCCGTCGGTGAAGACGGAGCGTCGGAGTCGGACTCGTCCTGGGACATGGAGCTGTTCGTGCCCGATGGGCTGCACGGCTGGTCGCATTTGTCATGCTCCTCTGTCATTTTCAACATTATTTGTTGGAGTGAAATCCGAAAATGTATCTTCAAAAAACAAACAAACAAAAGAGGCAAATTTCAAAGTGAGGTCAAGCGCGCAGCGAGGTGGCCGGTGCGCCTTTTACGCACGGTGCGCCACAGTGAAATCCGCCACCACTTTCAGCTCTTCTGAGTCCGCTGTTTCCCCCTCTGCTTCCCTGTTTGTTTGTCTTCGTCGGGGTTGTTTTCCTAGGCTGTCATGGGAGGTGCGGTCGTGAAAGTTGTGGTCCACAATGTGAGCTGAGGAGCTGCACGTTACAGCAACTTGAGTTGGAGTTTTAAAATCGTCCCTCCACCCTCCGCCTGGGATTGGCTGGAACAAATCACCACTTCTACACGATTGGTCCTGGCCCTTTATGGGTGCTTCATTATTATAATGAATTTCTATTTTTCATTGGTGACATTTCAGGGTATTTTTTTCTCTTTTTATTGCACAGGATGTGTGACAAACAGATTATCTGCCACAATTTTATAATGCTATTAGACATAATTACCCAGAGTGTTTTTTAACCTGTGAGTAATCTCTGAGCTCAATACCTTTTACATTAGAACTGAAGTAAATATCTGTCGTAAAATTAATAAAACACATATAATAATGTAATTCTAAATATCATGATTTAAAGATACTTGAAATTAGATTCAAACTAGAAGTGTATACTGCTGAAATAGATCTGTAAGAGTCAGGGTGTTATATTAATTTGTTAATAAAGCACATTTGCAAATAATTAAAACCTCATTTTACATGAAAAATAATGAAAAAACAAAACACCAAATGCTGAAACTGGAAAAAAGTACATTATCAGATTGCAGTGATTTGCTATCAGCTTCGTCTCCTGATGATTTTAATGAAATTCTCAGTTTCTGCACTTTAATTCTGAGGACCATTATTTTGAAATTGTTTAATTATGTGCCCATAATGTCTCTCACAGAGTCAGCTTCACTCCTGACTAACTCTGCCTCTCTCTAATCCTTTTTTTATGCCCAGTCATGGTACTAATCTGTTGCAAATTAACCATTTTGGTTGGAAGATGTTCCCCCAAGATTTCTTATTCGGCATTGCACAACTTTTTCATTGTTGTTGCTGACATCTTATTTAAAATGAGCTCTTTTTTTCCCCCTCAAAACAATAACATGTTTTAGTTTGAACATTTGATATGTGATCTTTGCACTTTTTTCGAATTAAACACAGGCTTTAAATGATTTGCAAACCATCCAATCCTGTTTTCATGAACATTTTACAGAGCACTCGAACTGTAATTAAATCGGTGTTGTACTTTCTGCATATATATGAACTTATTTCTTTAAACATATTCATAGCTGAGACATTAAACCTGACAGAGACGTTGATAAAGATGGACTCTTTACCTTCCAATGAATGCAAATGAACCTAATGCAGCACTTTGTATTCTTGCTTTAATTTCAGAAGTTTTTAATCAGAGTGATATTTATCTATGGATCTTATTTTTATCATGAGTTGTGGAGCTGGAGTGCTTTTTATCATGTTTTAGTGTATTTTAGTAGTTTAAATCTTGATGTTTCTTGTTACTTTTCTATCAAACTAGATGTCTTGAGATTGCTCCGAAACAAATCTACCTCCAAGTATGAATAAATTAACTTGAATCTAAACCGAACAACCATAGAAAACATGTATATTTAAAGAATGTCTATGCTTTATAACAGAAAAATTGGCCTGAAGAAACCTGAACTATCAGAGAGTTCGTGGCACACAGATGATGTTTTTTCACAATTGTTAAAAAAAGGCAAATATGAGAGATGATGGAAGTGACAGAGGTTACAGATAAGTAAAGAATCAATCCACAGATTTAAAGTTTATTTGTTGATTCGGACAGATTAAAAGAAAAAACAAAATAAACACAATAAACAATGTGCTTTGGTAAAAGAACAATTAAAGAGACAGCTCTGTAGCAACATAGATTATCATACTTTGTTGGAAAGGATGTAGGATGAAGTTGATAAAACTTATCTAGTCCTACCTCTTTATTGTTGTGTCACTATAATTTAATCACTCAGAGCATGTGTAGGAACAACAGCAAAGAAGAAATCGAATATTTAATCTCTTGATATGTCTCCGTCTGCATCCACACAACCACACAGGCCTGTCTGTGCTGCGCAACAGCTCTGATAAACCGTCCAAATTCAGAGGATGACCAGAGTTTGTCCCGGCAGTCCGTTTGGGATCCTCTCTAACCAACATTGCTGCAGCTTTTTTTTATGACTCTAAAGATATAAAGAGCCGAGCAGATAAGGGGGCAGATTGGATCAGAGCTTTTGTTAAAGGTGTCTTTGTTTTCGTGTATTGTGGGGTGATTTTTATCACCCTGGCTTCCCTATGAAAAGACGACGTGTGTTTTAGCTGGACGGCAGTTTGCTTTGCTCGAGGCACACTGCAGGTGGCTGAGGAGAGAAGGGTGTTTGTGGCGTTGCAGAAGGATAAAAAACTGTGGCTTTTACACAGTGTTGGCTGTGAGAAAGGGAGTGGCTTACGCGGTAAGGTAAGACGTTTGAGTGTTTGTTCTTCTGGGCCCTGCTGTTGATTTAAAACAAAATGATATTGCACTCTGTGTTTATCCAGATTTTCTAAGTGCTAAATAAACTTCTGTTGGTACAGTCTAATTGTCGAAAATGAAAGTGTGTGCCGAGCTGCTTGTCTTTCTAACAGCTGCTGTCAAAGCGCTCGCTTGGGTCAAGTTCAGTGCATGTGGGTGTGTGTGTGTGTGTGAGAGTGTGTGTGTGTGTGAGTGAAGAGACACAAGGCAACGGCTAGCTGTCAAACATGAGTGACTCTGGCTTCACTCTCGTCCCGCTCCACACATGGAAAAGTATTTTGCTGTGCATGCATGAGGGTCACACATGCATGCTTACACACCAAGCATGCATGTGTTAGCAGACAACTTAGTCCACAGACATCAAGAGCAATTTTTCGCTCTTACTGCTCAAACGTAAAAATGTAGGAATAAATTGAACCCCAGAATCTGTTTAGCATTTAATTATTATCATTTTTTTTTTTACATTGATATAAAAAAAAACACTCATTCTCCGATTGTTTCTAGATTTTGTATCAAAACTAGAACATAAAAAGGAATAACAAGCACTCAAATCCAATTTATATCATTTTGGTTTTATAATGACCGTATCCCCACAGCGGCCCTCCTCTTCTGCCGTCAAACTCAGGGTGGGAAACTCAGTTATTGTCATGTTGCACTGTTGTTATTCGGGGTCATACGTCATGTTAACCTCAATAATCTGACACCCTGTGGTCATTTTAACACTCCCCTCTTTATGAGCAGCTGCAAAGACACCAGAAAGTGGAATTCCAGAGAGAAATTCAGCCATATTTTAAGTAAAGAAAAATCATATTTGAAAGCCAACTTCAGAGCTAAACTAAAAAGTGCAGTTCCCTGAGTGTCCACTCGAGGCTGGGCCCAAAAGCACCAGAAGCCACATACACACCCATTAAAAAAAAAACTATCTTTACAGTAAAAAACAAACATGATTACAAAAACAGTGCCAGGATCATTTTACTTTATTACTCATAAGTTTTGGAGACCGTAAATTGGGATGGCTGATTTGATTGACAGGTAGGTAAGTCCCGCCTCAATGTCGCTTATTTTATCTGTGGTTAGTTGGACTGAATGTTAAGCTAAGATGAAAACTTTGCTTTGGAGATCAGTGAGTGATGTCATGGAGATGATGCTCATTTTTATATGCTCTAATCAGAATGCTAACGATAGCTCACTATGTTAAGGGTTGGTTTCGACCCGTGTCTTAAATCAGCTGTAAATTACACTAAAACAATTCTAACACAGGAGGAGGGTTAAGTCAAATGTTTGAGTGTGGTTGTCATGGTAACAAGCCAAAAACCACTCTAGGAGAGCCCTATAAAACTGTAAACTTGCACAATACTTAAAGCTCCTGTGAGAAACTTTCAGGTTGTGTTGATTTTGGCGCCCCCTCTGGACAAAGCGATCATTACTGTTGTTTTGCGTATAAGTAGTAATTGTTGGCTCTCTTTTGACAGACAGATTTATCACTCATCAGGACAGGAATCTTTGTCGTCGATAATATAAATGTAGGCGTGAAGTTACCTACCTTCTGCTAGCTGTTCTTAGATATTAAGAATAACTTCATAAAAACAGTCTCTCTTCTTTTTGGCTTTTACATGTTGTAAAGATGTAATAATATCTATTTCGATTTGTTTTATAAAGCATCAAAAACTCCTTACAGGATCTTTAAACATCATATTGTTTAGTTTAGTCAAACCTCAAAACCGTAATTGGAAAAAACTGATTTTTTTATCTGATTTGTCATTTGAAAAATATGAGTGGTTAAAAAGTTTAAATGATATATCAATTTAACTGGCATTAGACATGATTGGTATTGAATACATGGATAAACGCCCATGGAGTACAAATGTCAGTTAATTGGTCAATTTGCTGAAACATGCAGGACATAATTTAGTCAATGACTCAGTTTTTTGTGTGTTGTATATATCGCTGGAAATTTCTCCTCCGAACCACCGCTGAAACCAAATCAACTGTTCCTGGCTCTCGTCCTGTCTCTCCACAAAATTCCCCCGGAAATCTTTTGTGTCAGAGTTTGAGTTGCGCCACCGAGAGATGGACAAGCAAACAAACAAATCAACATCATTTAAATCAGCGTGTCAAAGTTTAAAAGCGCAAACTCAGCCCCTTTTAATACAACATCGACGAGAAGACAAGAATCTGAGCGGCTGATTTGCTTCCTCGATGATCACCTCAGAATCAAGATGAGCCAGACATGAACGACAGCTGCCGCGGAGCTCCGTCTAAGCTGTGAGACAGTCTCGGTTTCTTGGTGGAGGAGAGGAGACAGTCTTAAACAGACTCCAGCCGTCCCCTCTTCATGCCTCCCTGTATTGTGGGGAGAGACTCTGGCCGCAGTTTGTGGTTCTCTGGGCTCTTGATTAGAAAAGGAAGGGAACAACAGAGAAGAGGTAACCGCGCATGAACCCTGAGTGTCCTGAACAATGAAGGAAGGTTTTAATTTTCCTATTTTTGCGAGTTGCATCTTGAAAGAAAGACCAGAGTAAAGATTTTCAGATTTTCATTTTCTCCCTCGGCCTTCGCAAAGCATGTAAGTCCATTTCTCCTGGGCTCTAGTCACTTCTACCCCACATGTAAATTATACTTTCTGGCTTCTAATGTGCATACAAAATTACATTATACAGTCACCCACAGGAATCTTGCCCCCTTTGGTCTCTGCTTCTGTGTTTTAATACACTCAGGCACTTTTCCCCACTCCAGCCAAGTTATTGCACAGAGTATGTCGAGAGGAGAAACTGCCACAGCACTGCGCAGAGTAGAAAAAGAGTTTGTAGGATGATGTAAACCTGGTGTGGAGTTTTAGAGTTCAACAAAGTCACAGCAAACCTGAGCTGTGCGTTCAACAAACGGTTTCATTTTTTTGTGCTTTCTGTGTCGTTTCTGCACCGCAAGAATCCTGATTTTACAAGAAGCTACACAAAATATTCCACGAGGACCAACTCGTGTCTCTGCAGCCACCACAGCACCCCAACCCTAACCCAAACAGCAGGCCTTCGCTCTGTTAAATAATCTCTCTGATTGCACACTGAGTCAGTGTAAACTTGCTGAACTGTGGAGACTGGCATGCCCTCCCTCTCACCCAGACGATCCCAACCACCGACCCGACCACACGTGGAACCAGCTCCTGGGCTGCTAACAAACCGTATTTCACCCCGGCACCACATCAACCAGACCACTTCTATCTTTGGTTTCACACACTCTGAAAGGAGTAATTAGTGCAAAATTTACAGCTGCAGGGAATGCAACTGGAAGGCGAGGATGCAATATCTGCAAACTATATTTTGGAGCCGCGGTGGAGTTATAGCACCTTGTATTGTTGTGTGTTTTTTTGAGGGAAAAAAGATTCAGAGGATTTTTGCAGCCAGGTTCCCACGCACACTACAGCCACCTCACAGAGATTAGTGCATCTTCTCCTCATTTTTATCTACACCTACTTTATCTCCGAGCCCATTTGGCTACTGTCTCTGGGGTCAATTTTTCTAGTTTGGACCATGTCCCATATGTTAAAATAAAGGAGGGAGCTTTAAGTCTCTAAGGTTGCTGTTTTTGTCGATTTTTGCAACATTGCAAGCACCTCCAAGTCCAAGCCAATGCTTCTCTGCAGGAAATAGTGAGTGGATTGCTCTGTTCTGCGGGGATAGTGAGGGATCTTGGCGTCTTGTGAGGGTAGAATGTATTGTGAGATTGGCAGGTGGGCATGGCCAACAATAGCAGAGCTAGCACCACCACTTTAGGCTCTTGCAAGTTGACGTCCATGTACAACCTCGTTTTCTACGATACAGCGCACCGTGCCACACACCACCATCCATCACCTGTTTTTTGAACAGCTAGTTTTATGAGATTATAGCGCTCGCCAGTAGCAACAACTGGCTATGCTACAGTTTATACAAAACATAAGTATACATGCATTTTGGTAATGCCCATAGACTGTATATAGAATTGACGCCATCTGCCTTCTTGCGGGGTGAAGCCAGCGCGAGAACAGCACCCTCTGGTGACGAGCTGCAGTATAGGTCATAGATCCCGCCTCCTCCAGCAATCCTTATGGAGCTGTGGACAAACTTTAGAAAATACTTAAACAGAATATACATTTTTCTCCGCCTTGGGATGTCTGTTTGAGCCGAGCGTCATCACTGTGATTCTCTGTGACTCTCCCACCGAATGCGTACAATGCTACTGCGCAATGTTTGTTTCAGGAAGTGAAGACAATCCCAGAAATACGGAGAGCAATTTGGCTTCAAATTCATATAATGACAGAAGGTGGAGCCAAGTTGTCTGTAGTATATACAGTCTATTAGGGGTGGGAGAAAAAATCGATTCACATAAGTATCGCAATTTTTTGTTTTACAATTTTTAAAATCGATTTGTAAGTTCAAATTATTATTTTTTTTTTCCGAATTTAAGAATAAATCTTAAAAACTGACTAACATGTGACGTAAAATTTTGGAGAAATATGGTTCCTGGAATAGTCAGTAGACAATCATAATCATTCAACTGTTTCACTGGTGTTAAAAAAATGGAGACTAAAAATCGAGAAAATCAACAATATCGTAGAAACGCAATTTAATCGAATTGGCATCCAAAAAATCGTGGAAGAATCGTATCGGGAGAAAATCACATCGCCCCAGCCCTACAGTCTCTGCTAACGCCTCCTGACACACCAACAGACAATCCTACCACAACTAAAAAAAACGTTACACGCCGTCATCTTCAGTTTTTACAGAGTCTGTGAGAAGAGCTCAACCCCGACCCACCGCCACGCCTCTGGAAGTTCGATGGTGGATGTTTTCTGTTTGGTCTGTGGCCAAATGTGTTTTCCAGGTTTTCTACTCGGCGAGGTCGAGGACCCGCGGATGTTTGACTTCACTGCTTCTAATCACACTCCAGCCCCCCCTGACAGCTGCTGTGTGTTAGGACCTCCCATTGACCCTTGACCTTGCACTATCCCAAATTCATTCTATTAAAACACCATAATGAGGGGTTTACTGGACCAATTGCAGGTTTTATTTAAACCTATTAGCAGACTCGGAGAGGTGGAGGGGAGGGGCTGCAGCGGCGGCGGCGAGCGGAGAGGGGAGATTGAAGGGGGAGTGTTTGAGACTGAAGGAAACAATTAGTCCAAAATGTCTCAGGGTGTGTTTGGCCTTAAGCCACGCTTGTTTTAATGTCAGGAGTATAAAAAGAGCTCAAGTGTTTCCAGATTATTTGCTGTGTTTTTTCCCTGACACATAAGTGTTTAGTGATGGCGGCGGTTTTGCTCGGGATGGTTGTGTGTGTTCATTTTGAACTGCCGATTACAGACGGACAGGTTTTGGAGGCTGCTGTGGGAGCAGGTCAGGAAGGATTATGTAAAGTCATTCTTAACTTTCCCGAAGGGTTTTCCTGCGAATCTTTGATCTGCAGACTGTTAGTAGATGTCTCGGTTGTGTCTGGACTCCTGTGAGACCGCATGCAAAAGTACTTGCTGTGCACATATGATGAAGTTAGCTGTTGACACAAAGCTTCAGTTTGAAAGTCGCCTGAAGGTAAAAACTCAAGTTTGCGATTCAAGAACAAATCAGCGACGTTCCATTAAATGTGCGTGCCGGGAAAATGTCCGTGCCTGTTTTTTCTCCCCTGACATGACAGCATGAACGCGAAGATACTCTGCAGGGATGACACTTCCCATGGTATATCTTGTCCTCGAGCTGTCTCGAGAGAAGCGTGGGTGTATGTGGGTTCCTCTTTTTTTTTGTTTTTACGCTTTCTGATCTACACCCCCCTCTTTCTGCCTTTCTTCCCTCTCATCTTCACGACATGTGTTCTGCATAAAACTTGCGGTGTGCTCAGTCTTCCACATTGTCTACTTTTTTGATCCTTCATTCACATAAATCATCTCCTTAATTTGCCTGTGAATTAGATGGTGCGGGACATGTAGACATTTAGTACCGATCTCAGGGGCGAGGAGAGAACAGAGGGCCCACCCCTTGACTTTACGGGAAATGGGAGGCCGCTCCACAAAAGCAGGACTATTTCGAGGCCTTGTCAGGCTGTGGGACGTTCCCTTTGCAGCGCTAAGATAACTGTGGTGGATTTGTTTTTATTTGGAGATAATTAAAACAAGAATAAAAATGCCATTTGCACTGCTCAGTTTTATGTCCCTTTTACGAGCTCAAGACCGAGTTAATCTGCTCGTGCACACGCGTGTTTACTCACGCAGACCAGCGCAGCATGAAATCTAAATCTCATGTGTACCATTCATATATTAGAGGATAATTTATAAGCTATTAAAATGATTATTGGTGAAGTGGATCAAATTCTCCAATTAGGCCGTGAGTGTGCGAGCCAAGACTTTCACTGTTTATGAGCAGCCGTTAGCCCGTCTGTCTCCAGCCTGTCTGTAACCTCGATTAGATTCACTCCACGTACAAACACATCAGCACACCTGCTGCTAACCACGGCGTGTTGTGATCGTTTGAGTTAGTGCGGTAATTTTGTTTATGGCCGCTTCCATATTGTTTCCATGGCTTGATTTCAGTTCATAATAAATCTTTAATAGATGATGAAAGTGGTTTGCTCTCCCAATTAGTCAATGATGGAGTAAAAAGGCCTGATTAAAGAAGAGCTGTTTGAGATTTTGAGAGTAAAGCATGAAAATGAAGTTGTGGTAACATGGAGCATCTTGTTAAATTGTATTTGGTAAAATTTGGGAAAGGTTTTACCAAAACAAACTTTAAAGGGATATTCCGGCGTAAAATTGATTAAGGGTCAAACACACCGTAGCACCAAGTTAGACACCCTCTCAAGAGATTAATATTGCCGACCGCTTGCTTCTCTAGTTATACCAACTTTAGTTACGACCGCAGGATAGCGATACACAGCGATCTGAGGAGCCATAAACAAACCTCAACTAAAAAGACACTCTATAGCCACAAATAATGCTCAGAACAGCACCTAACTTCATCAACAGGACATATAGGGTCCCAGCCATAGTACTAGCTAACATCTTTTTAACTTTCCCTCATTTCTTTAGCAAAGAGACCAAACACAACTCATCTACTCTCTTCCAGCAGCCGCTTGTTTGTAGCAAGACCTCGAGCCAGTCCATTACAGACTACAGCGGGGTGATGCAGCTCAAGGAAGAACATTTATGATCATTTCTTTATCATTTTCTTGAAGTAATAATCATCATATTCATCATTTTGCACTGCAGACGCAGTATTTCTTCTGCCTTAGCGTCTCAGTCTGATTGCATTTCCATTAAGAAATTATCATAAATGTTCTTGGTTGAGCTGCGAAACTCCGATGCACTCAGTGATCGACTCGTCAGGGCTCCCGCACAAACAAGCGGCTGCTGGAGGAGAGTAGGTGAGTTGTGTTTAGTCTCTTTGCTAAAGAAATAAGTCAAAGTTAAAAAGATGTTTGGTGGCTAGTACTATGGCTGGGACCCTATATGTCCTGTTGATGAAGTTAGGTGCTGTTCTGAGCATTATTTGTGGCTATAGAGTGGCATCTTGTTTGAGGTTTGTTTATGGCTCCTCAGACAGCTGTGTATTGCTATCCTGCGGTCGTTACTAAAGTTGGTATAACTAGAGAAGCAAGCGGCCTGCAATATTAATCTCTCTAGGGGGTGTCTAGCTTGGTGTTACAGTGTGTTTGACCCTAAATTAGTTTTATGCCAAACTATCCCTTTGAGTCCAACTTTTCCTGGTAAGAGCGCAGAAATTTTAGGCAATCCTCTGAGACACTAAACAAATATTGTATGATTTTCTTGTTTCCATGACAGCTGCACTGAAAAGAAGGAGACTCTAAGATGAGAAAGTGCGAGTGCAACCTTGTACTCAAAGCGTATCCTTGTACCCCTATAAACACCCATCAGGCTTTGCATTACCGAGCAGAGAAACCAGCAATACAACTTTATCCACAGATTAGCACCATGCACCGTCAGGGTCAGCTACAGTACAGATCTGCTGTCAAGGAGGCTCAGATTAAATCTCAGGGACTGACATGTCGTCACCCTGTGAGTGCAGCTCAGCGTTTATCAGCTGATAAATCTTTGTATTCTTCTCCCTGATGTTGAGAGGCTGTTGATTTGTGGCTCATTTCTTCTTTCTTATGCACAAACTGGAGGGTGAATTGTTTTCAGATGCATCTGTTAAGATAACATAAAGGCTTTTGAGCATTTCCAATGCGATGACTGCTTTTATTTGGCATCAAAACTCAGTCACAGAGATGTTCCCCACTGAGCATTTTTGGGCCTTAAAGAGGTCTAATAGACATCTAAGTGTAGCCTAGAAGACTGATCTGAAATCAGGCTACCACAGGTCTAAATAATAAAGCTTTTTAGACGTCTAAATTTAGACAGAGTTTAGACTAAAGGTCCTTACACACTGGGAACGACGTGAATATACGACGTGAAATTACAATGCGAAATTACGAAATATTTGGAGGCAAATTTTGACGCAACTGACTATACACATCAAGCACAATGCAGTTTTACGACTTTCCGGGGGAAAAAAAGACACGTCCTGGGTGGAAGCGAGAAGACTGACACAACAGCAGACTGAGTGTTTTTCAGTTCTGATTAGACACTAGTGTTGAGATGGCTGTCTGTCATGATAGCATGTAATGAGTCGGGGCCAGTACCAGATAAGCACATTAAACTAAGTGTTGACATTTCAGAAATCCAGCCACAGTCTACCTTCAACTCTTTTCCCCGAACAGTTTTGCTTCTAATTTACTCTCTTTCACTTCCTAAATCTCATCTATGGAAAGTTACCTGCTCAACCTGTTGTGCCTGGAGGTTTCATTTTTTTCCTCTTTACATTCCTGGCCCGCAGCGTGCAGCGCAGCTTTCTCTACTTCTTTAGTAACTGACACCCACAGACATCACCTGCCTCAGGCGAGGAAATAAGGAAGCACCGCTAAACTGTTTTCCACTGGTCGTAGGTACGGGGTATTTCCTGGTTAGCAACTTCACTATTTCCAACTGCTCACCTGACTCTTACAGGCACGCAGAGCAGCTCAATTCCCTTTTAAGATGTTTCCTAGTTTGGGTGCATACGGTCTTCGTAGATCGCTAGGCTGAACTGCGATGAGATGGTCTTTCTTTTCTTGCTGTTCCCATCATTACCTCCTTATTACTCAGTGCTGCTCCTGTCGCTTAGCAACCTTAAAGCCACACTGACACAAACTTAGTCTCAGCCACTTATAAGTCCATCTTGTATGCTTTGATTTACATTGAATCAAGACTTGTTGGGTCAGGAGGATGCATCAAACCCGTCATGGCTTTTTGGAAAAGTAGGATGCAGTTGATGGCTGAAGTTACCTTGGAGATGGGATGTGTTGTTCAAGTTCATGCTAAAAATAAGCTAGTTCCAAGTTAAGGTCCTTACAAACCAGGAGCGACGCAAATATATGACGCGAAATGACGAATTATTCAGAGGCAAATTTTGACTCGCCTGACTAAACACCTCAAGCCTGATGCGATTTTGCGACTTTCTGGGGGGGGATTGAGTTTGAGACAGTGAAAATGCATATGGTATGTTGTATCTGAACAGGTTAGCTTACAAGCTAAAGTTACTTAGCACAGATTAAAGTTAAAACAAAGACGTTTGACAAACTGTTAAAGCACACAAACCATCGTCATATGAGACACTCTCCACAAGTTGGTAAATCAGACGTCGCAACAACACGCAACCTGATTGGTCAGAAGTGGACACACAGTATGCGAAACTTAAGGAAATTTGACCGTGATCTGAAAAAATAAATGCCGCAATAATCGCCTGAAAAAAATGGTCCTAGTGTGGAAGGACCTTTAGGTTTCAACTTGAAATGAACTAGTTTTTACATTCAGAATCTGCAAAAAACTCAAATCTTAGTAAGTGTCTGTGTCTTATTTTTGGTAAAAATATCTTTGTGTATCAGACTTAATTTGAGTGAAATTTACCCAGGAAATGTCTTATTAAAGGTAGTATATGCTAAAACAAGTCCTGAATTGCTTGCAATGAGTGGAAAAAATACCTACAAATGGATTTAACAGAAACTGAAAATGTTTTAATTCAAGTACTTGTTTTTTTTCTCACTCATTTTAAGCAGGTTCGGCTTTATTTGAGGCATAAAGTACCTTGTAGTATGACATTTTCTTGACAGTTTGGGTTAATTTGTGTTTAATCAAACTTGCTAGGATGTTATTTTACAAGATATATGACAAAATACTTGCTAAAATTTCAGTTTTTGCTGTGTAGTTCAATAATTTGAATTTAAAAATGCATCTATGGCCCCAAAATGAAGCAGCCCAGGATCATTTTAACATAAAAACCTGCTTTCTAGTAGAAGATGTGCGTAAATCACCTCCCCTAAAAATGTTTCTCCTGATTTTGTCCCAAATGCATCGAATTGTACAAACACTCAAAAGTTTTGAGGCGTTTGTACCAAGACAAATCAGCGTCTTTAACACTTTCATGTACTGTAGCTCTAACGTGGTTGTGCATTTAAATTGAGCAGGTTATTTATGTTCAGCTCCCCGTGTTTTTGTGGGGAGTTTCTGGATTCATGGCTGCGCACAGTCACAGGTCACATGATGTGGGAGTCCCAGGTCATTCAGGTCACTTCCTGGGCTGGGGGGACAAAAGAGACCAGGGAAGCACTTCTGTAGTAGGAAAGACATAAAGAGTCTTTTCAGTGAACAACAAAGTCTGACCTTTTCGTTCTCAGAGGAATTTCACTTTCCCTAGAACTAGCTTGCTTTGGAAATCACGCACTCTCCCTCCCTCTCTGCCGTGTTCTCGCCTAACATGACCTGTCCTGACACTCACGTTTGTCCTTACACTTCACAGAAAATCAACAGCTTCATAACCAGACTGATACTCGTTTGGTGTTTGGTCCTGTTTGTTGAAGTTCACCGGACTTTAACCTCCACTGACCGCTGACTCGGAGGATTATCAGTGCGCAGATGAAATTACATATCTGCTGAAGTTGATCGAATCAGCAACATTTGATTCAACTCAACACGCTCACCTTGGATTACCTCTCTGCTTCCTTGTTCTCTCTGGTCCTTTTCAGTTTTATTCTTTCGCACCAACATTTCTGGTCATTTCTTCTTCATTTTAGACTAATTTCAGAGATTTTAACCTTCTTTTGTCCGGCCTTTTGCTCACTTTTTGAGTACTAAACTATTGAGTCGTTCATTTAACAAGATGCTGCTAAACTGACCTTTTCATAGATTATAAGATCATAATGTCATCCACGTTTTCATGATTCATTACTGCGTTTAAACTTTAAGCTCTATGCTCCCTTGTTTGGTTTGCAGGATTCATTCATCATCTCTAATTTGATAGTAATACGACTATTTTAAAACAGACTAAGCTTTTAACAATAAAACAGCAAAAAACCTTAAAAACAGGGAAATTGGCGTATTGTTTATGTGCTGCGTTTGTGTGTGTGTGTGTGCACAGTTATGTTGGTATATGGGGTTTTAGTTGTCCAAATGTGACTCCACATGCTTTTGATGAATTGGTGCAGAGTTTAATCAGAACCAATGACCTGGGCCCCCCCTCAAAAAAAAAAAAAAAAAAACCCAACCCCCACAGCCCGACTTTTTCTTCATGGTGCATTTACTGCCTCAAACTCAGGTACATGTATTTATGATGGCAGTAAAGCGGGCCGCTGTAGTTAATCGCCTAATGGCGTCTCCTTTCCTCTGCCACCAGTGAGTCTGGGTTCGGGCCACAGGGACCGATCACTGTAGACAGGATTGGGGGGGAGGGACAAGACCGAGTTTTGGGGTTCAAATCCAAGAGAGCATAAACTCAAATAAATTTAAATTAAACTGACTTCACTCTTTAGTAAGTCTTATTAGATGTTAATGTTATATGGCGTTTTCCAAAGGTGTGAGATCTGCTGTGACTGTCTGTCACAAACTTTTTTTCGACATATCAGAATCCAAATTCATACCAATACCCCCTTATGTTGTTTAATAGCAAACAAGACAAACAAGACGGACAACTTTCATTTTTAATGTCTGAAATCTGTCTTTTAGTCTGAAACCATTGTAAAGCGGTAGGGGTCAGTAGAGCTGTTAAAGAAGAAGCCCTATTTCTAAATTTTTCTTGGTAATTATTAAAAAAAAGAAACATTTAACTGTCAAAAGTCAGCAGGTAAAGATTTCTTTAGAGGACATCATATTAATACTTTAGCATGTAGCAGACAGTATAACAAAGACTCCTTCGTCCACTGGGGGCGCCATAATCGACACTAACTGAAAGTTACAGACAGGAGCTTTAAATTTTGTAGTTTTTTTTTTTTTTCTGGTAAATTTCATCTATTTTCATCCATGGCTTCATACTTGTTTAATTAAAACTGTGATGCTCCTATAGGGTCATGCTGCTGTGAGAGGTGTGTCTGGTTAGCTTCTCTCTGCACTCGAATCAGAGCAACTATGCACACCTGGGCCCCGGGTGCTGGGAGTATTTAAGCTCCCACAGTTACTTGCAATTCCCTCTTTGTTTCTCCTGACTGTCTTTACAGGTACTTGGTTTGACTTGGTTTGACTTGGTCTGGTTTGGTTTGGTTTGGTTTGGTTTGGCTTGTCTTGTCTTGTCTTGACTTTGGTTGGTTTAGTTTGGTTTGGTTTGGTTTGGTTTAGTCCTAGTTTCTTTTGCTCTTTACAACACCCTCGCACACATACACCTACTTCCGCCCATGCACACCTTACACAATACTGATTTTTACTAATTCACACACCTCATATCTTAAATATTGTTATTCGATTCACTTTGAATTAATAAAGAGTATTTGGGAGTTTATACATGGGGAGTGTATTCCTTCTTCTTTTTGTTGTGACCACCTGAGCCTGGTCATGACAAAACTTTATTTGTGAAATCTCAAAAATTTTTTGTCCTGTTTGTGGCCCCTATCTTCTCTAGTTTCTGTCAGTCTTGTTGTTTTCCTCCTTTTTAGGGCATTAATTTGCAAAAGTGTTTTATATACACCTTCAAAACAGTTTGTTTGTAAATATATATATTCACCTTTTACCCCCACAGTTAGCTTTTACATGCAAATTAAACACATATGTACTGGTGCGTTCATGCAGACCCGCCACTGTTTCCGTATTTATCTTTGGGTTATTATAAATATGATCTGCGAGTGACACTGGCGGACACCAAGCCGGGCAGTTACCGCCCTTTTCCTCTTTCCGTCTCCACTGTCCATCTTCCCTCCTCCTTCCTCTCTCCTCTCCTGGTTGCAGTTGTATTTGTGCGCCTTGGGAAGATTACAAAGAGGCGCTTTGTGAGGGGATGCAGCTGCTGAAATTCGACTAGATCCAGCTGAAGAGAGAAGGGAGCAGGTGGGTCAACAACGCCACCCTGCCGTTCCCAGAATATCAGGCTGCAGAGCTCTGCCTCCCTCCCCCACCCACACACACACACACACACACACACATAAGCACACAGAGCCTCAATGCACCCCTACCCCATCCCGGCACACACAAACAAACATTATACCATGTCAAAATACAAACACAGTAACACCCACAAGACAGCAAAACAGCAATATGCACATGTCAAAGGACTGCCTCAGTGGAAATACTGCCCACTCAAACAAGTGTGCATCACTGGAATCATTCATGCGGTGGGAGAATGTTGGCAGAAAGTTAGAAAAACAACACAAGTAATTACAACAACACACAAACAAATCTCTAAGAGCTGCTTCACTGAGGCCTTCTGCTGAAACGGAGCTGTGGCCTTGCAGCCTTTTTAAAAATATTTTTAATCACCACTTACAACGAGGGCAGAGAGAGAGAGAGAGAGAGAGAGTGTAGTGAAAGCAGAGGAAGATCCTGTCAGCTTCCTAAAGTCAGGTTGTTAACAGGTCGAGGTGCTGCCAAAACGCTGGATTTCTGCATTGCAAAGGGGACTTTGGTAAGCTGACCCTCATCCGGCTTTGCGCAGCTCCAAAAGAGGAGGTGGAGGATAGAGGGAGGAAAGGAATGAAAGCGAGGGGAGGAGAGGAAGTCCAGCAGGCCAGTGGTCTTCTTCTTCTTCTAGTTCAGGCGGATAAAATGTCTCACCATCCTCTCTGTAGGGGAGCAGGATGCCTGACCAGTGGGACATGAAAATGCACAGACACAGATTTACTCCATTATTAGATTTTTCCATAATAATAAAAATAAAAAAAACCCTCTAATGCAGAACTTAAGACGCACTGAAGCTGCACCGAAGTAGGAAAATGAAAAATGATCTTCTGATTTGCTTCATTGTCTTCATCTTAACTCCTAATCCGCTCCAGCTTCGGACAAGCTGCTTTTATTTTCTCTTTCCTCTGTGGAAACGCCGACCAAAGTAAGGCTGAATTTCTGCGTTGACTATGATGTACGATTCCAAACTTTTTGATACTCATAAAACAAATATTTGTGTATGATTCAAAAGACTTTCCCACTTTGTGAACTTTTCCTCAGCTTTCTGCTTATTTACTCTGAGTCACTAATGAGGGGTTTGACGTACTCCGCCCCTCCCCCACACATCGGCGTGTGCTCATCCGCATTCATGACAGTGATAATTCAGCCGCACTGATAATAACTCTTTCTGTGCTTCCCCCGAAAAACGTTTGAATGTCATTTCATACACACACTACGCTCCACGGGGTTGTACGCTGAATGACTCAACTGTCCCACACACACTTAGTATTCCTGCATGGAGATCCACCGTCTGATAGAGTTACACCAATACTGATGTTGATTTTAGTTAAATTTCTGTCCACTGTCCTGATATTTTCGGGTTGTTTTGCACAGAAATATATTAACAAAGTAACACAGCAGCTATTTTACTGTCTCGGCAAGGATCGGCTTCATGTGCATGTTTAAGGTGGGGTAGGCAGGATCTAAGGAAGTGCCTGTTTTTGGGAGAAATCTTGAATGTAAACAACCAGTTTTCCCCTCAGCTCCTCCTCTCTGCTACAGCAAGCCCCGCCCACAAACAGACGCTCCTGCTCGCTCGTATCGTTTCAATTAAATTCAGATATAATGCAGATAAATACTTCAGATAATTACTAATGGGGCCCAGTCAACGTGAAAGTAAAAAGCATTGGTGCTACTGTAGATGCCAACAGACTACCAGCAAACACAATGTTTGCAGGACTTCTACAACGAGGATAAAGTGACATAGTCCAGGACCCAAGGTCAACAGTTAAGCAGCACTACAACACGCTACAGCAGGTCCCGTTTGACAAGAAACACTTCTGTTACAGACGCTTGGTTTACTTTGTTAAAGAGGTTTACCTGTCCAGCAGAAAAGTTACAGGGTCGGTAAGATCCCAAAGCACCATCTTGGATTATGACATTGTCGTCAAGTTGGGGTTGGCAAGGATCGTCCGACTTTCCGAGTCAGAAATCCGACTTTAATGGGGCACTCCTGATGAATTTCCGACTCTGAGCAATTCCGACTTTGGAGTACAACTGGAGTGCAGCAATAATAGTTTGATGATGATGAAGTGTAGAAAAATTAAACTAAAGCATGTGGAGCTCCCCCTAGTGACTGGAGTAAGTCATGAGAAGTCAGTGGACTGGTTTCAGACATTAAAAGTTAGTGTATAACAATCACCAATCTTGTTTCTATTCATCTTGTTTGTTTTTGAATGTCTTTAAAAAGGCATCAAGATGAATTTCAGTTTATTTCACACACCTAAAAAAACTCCTCACAGGAGCTTTAATCTGAAGGTTTATACATCTTTATAAAGTCGTCTCTTCTGTCTGTATTTTCTTCTCACTGAATCAATCCTGTCACATTTTATTAAGCTGCAGTTTGTGGTTGTTTTGTGTCTGTTTTCTTTAATTTGGTAGATGTCACTTTCACTCAGCCTCTTCTGCGCTGCAGTGCCATCGATCAATAAATAGTTTTCTGAACCGGGTTTTGTAACAGTTTGGAGCTTCCAGTTTTATTAAGAGTTTCGTGGTTACTTCCTGAGAGTTTCATCTTTAACACCATGTGTGCACTTTTTACTATTTCGGGCTAAATTTCCAAACATCCCGCGAACGAACACACTGACCAACAATCAGTGCATTGTGCTGCTTTTGTTATCTCTTATTTCTCTTAAACAGACCCTGCAATCTTTCTCAGTCTTTTACCAAGAACATTTATTAATGATTGTGTGTTTCTGCTTGTCTGCAGCATTTTTTTTTTTTTACTCTGAAGGCAATCTGTTCCACAATTTGGCACTTTTTTTTTTGACTCAGTTGCCCTTTGATAGCTCACGTTCTTTTTTTTCCCTCCACAAATTTTCCACCAAGCTGTTTCCTCCGTCTCTCAATGCATAAAAAAAAGAGAAACACCTTCACTGGAAATGTGTCACCGGAGTCATCCACCTGTCACTTTTTTCCGTTGTTTCTGAATGACTTCGATTCTTTGCACGGGTCGGTAATCTTTTACCATTCACGCCTCTGTGGCTTTTTCTGAGAAATGGAGTTCAGCGACGCGGTATCATTACAATCACTGTCACCTGCACCCTGCAGCTTTTTCTCTCCGACGGAGCCACTGGCCTCGCTGCTCCGGGTTATTCTTCATTTTCTCATAAGTCACCTGTCTGGTTCACCTGATACAGCAGAAACTCCACATTCTGGGCTCCTCGCATGCTCGGATTACGGTTTGTGTGGAAGTGTGAGAGAGATCATCATTAGAAGGTGGAACTCGCAAAATGTAGACTTGCAGCCATCTGGAGCCGCATCCCTCCACATGTTTTTAAAAGTGTGGGAAGCTGCGAGAACATGTCACTGGTCGATATCAAATCACTAAATATTTCATCAAGTGCGCTCAGTCGTGGGTGTTTTTACAGTTATTGTTTGAGTGGGTTTCCTTTTTTCATTGTGGCCAATTACTCTACCATCACTGTCATCTAAACTCATTTACATCAATTCATTTGTCATGTTAAATTTGTCTAAGCCGTGCAATCTGTGTCCAACCCACGCTCATGGAGTTTGACAAAATGAAGCCATATGTCGATGATGTGGCACTGTTCATATGCATTCAGCTTAGCGTTCTGTCAACCGAGCCGGCCGTGGGCAACAGCAGACGACGCATCACATCTCACCTCTCCTCCATGTCTGCACTGTCAGAGTAATGGTCTCCACATTGCCTCGCGAAAAGCATCATGCCTGATTGCCGCCACTCTCACATCTGCTTCCTGGAACAGCGTCGGGGAAATCTCCAAAGAGCTCCCAGCGGAGCGCGGGGCATGTGTGCTCACATATGAGGCGAGAGTTTGAGACGGGGGCTTGCCGGCGTGGTTTATTTTCAAAGGGTAGCGCTGAGAACGTGTTGAGAGGTTGAGGAGTTGAGAGAGCTCTCCGCGCTCTGGTTTGGGTTTCAGCTCACTGGGACACAGCTGGGGGGTTCGGGTTCGGATTGGTTAGGGGGGGTCCATGAGGATTTTGTGTTTAGACAACAGCGCAAACAAGGCAGAATATTACTTTCAGTGTAGGCTTGCACAATCATTAGAGCAGGCCTAGAAAACTTGTGCACACTGTTTTGATTCTATCATATTTCAAGAAAATTGGATTCATGTTCATCTTTTTTTTTTTTACATTCAGTCTCACGTGACAGGAAAAAATGCAAACAACCAAACTGAACTCCAGCAGAACAGGGAAGTGCCAGAGCCGGCTAACTGTCCTATCTGCATGTTCATTTCCCTATTTCTCAGCAGAAGCAGCAACATGTGTAGCGATAGGCATCACTCCGAATGCACCACTTTGCATTGAAAAAAAGGCCGCGGCGGTATGAGAAATGCACAGAGCTGGACCGCGTCGAATTTGAATATTCAAAGTTACAACATCTCTCTCTCGTTTTCTGGGGATACATCGTGTTTTTCAAGCTGCTGCGACAGCTTTGAATGCAAAATAAGATGCAAAGAGGGACATTTGCATCGGCGGGACAGTTTCAACCGAGGCAGCAGAGGAACTCGGACACTTCAAAACATGAAACTAATCACATTTAAAGAGCTTTTATAAGAATTAGAAGAACATTATTAATCTCTGAAGGGAAATTCAATTGTCTGTTGTCTCACATAATATATCTCTATAAGTTATCTACTATTTACACAAGAGTTATAAAGTTTAATGGATGTTGGTACAAAAGATCTTCTGAATCTTTCTGTCCTGCAGCAAAGAGAGACGAGCCGTCCACCACCATTAGCCCTTTTGTCCATCAAGGTCCATGTTCTTAAGAATCGTCTCCACCTTCCTCAGTGTAGATCTCTCAAAAATGCTCTTTCTGAAAACCAAATATTGAACTGAATGCCCTCGCTTGAGTCTTTTAAGTGAATAACTTTCAGAAGAAATATTAGAAAGCAGACTCATCCCTCACTATATTACATAACTGCTTTGAAAAATAACTCAATTTTTTCACTTGTGCTTTATTTTGTAACCTGGTGTTAATGCAGATCATGAAAATATAGAAACTAAACACCGAGTTGTCTTGATACTTTGCAGTTTTGTCAAGAATCTGCAAAATGTATCAGCTTGTCCTCCGCTTTTCCAACTGAACCGCCTCCCCGAACATAATGCACGCTCACTAAAGTTGGATGGTATTTCTTCTTAAAGTTGTCATCATCTGGCACTCAGGACAAATCATCCCTTCTGCTTACATTTTCTATTCTTCATTTTCCTCACTTTAACTTCTTTTAACTGTACTTTCTTTCTTTCTTATTTTGCACCCACCTCCACATTAAGCTGTGTCACACTATACTGTACGTCTAAAATGCAAATAAGAGCGCAGACAGACGGCATGTCTGGACTCTTATTTATTTATTTATTTCGCCTTAAACAATTCTTACAGCTTCTCTGCGTTTTGCTGCATTGTCTTACTGCCAAAACAGCGAGGCTGCCACAGACCGGGCTGCTGCAGCTTGTGTTTTTTCGATCAGACTGGTGTGGACCTGGGAAGCAGAGCCGTGCCATGTTGGAATTCAGGTGCCAAGAATATAATTTTCCCTTAAGTGCTTACAACTGTAAAAACCAAAGTTGATTCCCCGCGACTGAAAGTAATTACAGGCTGTTTAAATTCGAGAAAAAGTCGGAGCTATTTAGCTTTCTGCAAAACTCAGGACGCATAATTTGGCCTGTTTAATATCTGTTTTATTTGAATGTTTTAATGTCGAAGTTGGTCATTTATGTTGGCTGTGTGCGATTCCCCTGCAGGAAATGCCACTGGCTGTGGTTAACCCAAAGACTATAAATTATGAGAGATATTCTGGGCTTTCATATCAACATTAATATAAAAACACATGATCTGGAATTGGATTTACTGTAAAATCTCAGACCCTGACATCTGCGTGCGGCTAATCCTTCCATATTGAAAACTGTTTCTGCATCAGCTTGTCTAAATGAACGCCTGGCTGCTGCTTTGTCTTCACATAGAGATTATTTCGGCCCACGGATGAGCCAAGTGTGTCCGGTATCTGTTGTGGCGTGGCGGGAGGGGGGGCTGCAGCCGGCCTGCAGGAGCGTGACGGTGCACCTGTCAGAGAGGAAGGCCTGGCTAATCAATGTAAGCTGGCCGCTGAGTTAACATGTGTGCTGGGGAGACCCTCAGGCCAGGAGGGGAGGGGGATGTTAGGGCAGGCGGGCAGGCCTGACCTAAATTACTTCAATAAAAAAAAAAAAGGAGGATGTGGATGGAGAAGTCCCGAGACCATTCCCCCACCTTCTCGCCGCTCCTCGGGTCTTCCCCTTCCCCTCCACCCCGCTTCTTTTTCAGGCGTCAGAACATTTACTCTGTTATTGCTGTGAAATCATCCTGCTGTTGACATAGCGATTCCATCCTTGCTCACGCTCGCTGACTCATCTCTTCTGTGAAACCCGCCTTCCTGGGAATTTCTGGGCCTGCCATTGGCTCCCTTAAGTCTGATAACGCAGTGATAAGTATTTTCCTGCTCTTTTCTCTCTCCGTCTCTTTATTTATCTCTCGCTCTCTTTTCACGTTGAGTCACTTTCTGGGAAAAAAACAAAGTTCGGCTCCGGAGAGATTCAGTGGAATACACGCTCTCCGGTTCTGTTGACGAAGGGTGAGGTTCATCTTCTCCTCACCTCTGGAGGCAGGACCACACAGCGTGTGAAAATCTGGCTCGCAGACACACCTCGGTTTCCGTGCATGTTTCCCCGACTCAGATAACCTCACACTGGAGATGCACGATCATCTGCACTTTGTTGTCGAAGTAACTCGGGCCCTGCTTGTGTTTGTGCATAACTCTTCAGGGTAATAATAAGTCACAGTAAATGAATGTGGTCAGCTGTGGTGCAGTCTAAACAAAAGGTTTGTCTAGAGTTCAGCTGCATTAGCATGTTAGCTCGGTCTGCCAAGTCAAAGGAAAGCTTTCAATGAATCTCACATGTGGGTAAACCACCTTATTTTTCTCTATCCTCTTGAAAGCATTGTGCCTCATCCTCTTTTAATCTATCGACAGTTCCTGGAGGACTCCAAATTTAGAATACAATAAACCCAACCTGACCAGATCCAGCTCAGACTTGATTTAATGAACCGCCTTTGTGTTCCTGTGTGTTTATAATGACTTATTTTGTTGGCTTGTACTCCAAAACGCTCTATGTCTGTCAGGAACCACTCAGAGCGACCGTTGTTACTTTCCCGAGAGGTCAAACCTTTGATTTACTTCACGGTTGGACTCGTTTGTATGACATCTTTGACATAAAAGAAAAAGCTTTATAATAGAAAAGGGAGAAGAATGAATCCAAAGTATTATCAGAGAAATTAAGAAGCCAACTATCTGAGATGGCTGGAAAAAGCAGAAAGCTATTTTTGGTTCCCAGTGACACAATCTCTGGACCGATTGATGCACTAGTTTCTCTCCCTCTTCAAGTATCTCTGTTTTTTTTACGGAGCCAATTTGCTTTTCCAAACCTCCTTTGAAATAATAAAAAAACTAGGATTAACATTTTTACAAAACAGGATTGTCCTGACAGTCTGATGCAACTTTGTCTGCATTAATCAGTTAAAAAGTCGAATAAAAACACCGAATTCCCTGCATCCTCCTCCGAGTCTGCATACATGCGCACCAATAAACTAATCACTATCTGATAACTGGAGTTACCTGATTACTCGAGCAGTCATGCAAACAGAGTAATCCAATATTCTTTATCAGATAGAGACAGATAAAAATCGCATGAACACGCCAAAGTTTTTGCTCAACAGTCCATTTTATTTGGTGCGTGTTTGCAGTTTATTCCAGTTCCTTTTAGTTCTTATGAGGAAAGTGAACAAGCAGAAACAGAGATTGAGGAGGAAGGAGAAGAAATGTCCAAAAAAGGGGGAGAGGCAGGAGCACATTAAAACACTAAACAAACTTTTTTCATCTGGTTAATTATCTGTTATTTTTCTGTTGTATTTGTGGCATAAACATTATTTGAAGAATTAATATCAGAGTTTCTAATTTCCGCTGAACTCATTTTTCTGTCATTTGACTTAACCGCAGAAACCTGACACTGAGGTAAAGAGTATGTGTCAGCCATGAATGCTCTGGTGTATGTCAAAATAGAAAAGTCCAGACTCATTTGGGGGCTTAAAGACCTGGTTGTTGTGGATCCAATAAAGAGGTTGGATTCCTAATGAGGCAGAGAGAAGAAGGTCTTAAGTGGTAAGATGGATCACAGACAACTTGAGCTTGTGTAGACAGCCCTTATAAATTGACTGTAATCAGTTTATAATATTGGCAATAATTCGGTATTAACTTCCATTAACATTGAACAGAAATGACAAAGAAATAACTGGTATTGAAGTTAGTTAGCAGACTGAATGTGAAGTTAAATGCTTGATTTTACTTCGCCATCCTCTGTTCATACATATTCGTTGCTCCTTCAGTCGGCCTTACATCAGAGTTTTTATTCTCCCTCTCTATCGCAGTCTTGTGAGTTGTGTCAGCTAACCAGAAACTCTTCACAAAGCTCAGAGTGGACATGTGTGTAAATCTAGGAAGAAAAACCAGGAAGAAAAATGGAGTTACATGTTTGTATCTTGATCCAGATGAAATCCAGATGAAACTTAGGTCCAAATGTGTGTGACTGGACCAAAACACCTGACTAGGGTTAGGGTGACCATACGTCCTCTTTTACCCTGACATGTCCTCTTTTTCGAGGCTGTCCGGCCTTGTCCTGGGGAGTTTAAGAAATCTTTAAAATGTCAAGGGTTTTGTATGCGTGGACTGAGTTAGAAGCGCATAAACGGCATTTGTTCCGGCCCAAAAAATCTCTAAATTAACTGCGCACGTCTCTGTGACTCCGCCCCTGCGTAGTCGTGTCGTTGTTTGGGGGACTCAGAATATGGTCACCCTAACTGAGGTGTTTTTGAGGAGTCTTTTTATCCCGATCACTTTATTTCCATTTAGTAATGGTCCATGTAAACCTAGCTACTAACAATAACATGTAAGTAAGAAAATACGTTTGCGTCGTGATGTTGAGGACTCTTGTTGACGCGGTTACACCATCCTTGAATTCATGGTGGTGTATCTTTGGTTTGAGTTTTGGTTCCCAAGAATAAAGTCAGTTATCAAATCTTTCGTGTTACAATTACCACGAAAACAGCCCCGATGTGATGTGAATGGCGATCCGATCCAATGGCGATATTTTCTTGTTTTAAAAAGAGAATCAGCCTTTACGTGGTTTAACTGTTATCTTAATTTGAATGGATCATTATGTAGAAAAACCAGATCCACAGCCAGTCTAGACTTACATAAACACAAGAAATGAGGTGCTGCGTGCAGTAATCAGTCTTTTCTACTGATCTCTCCTTAAACATCCGACATTGAACATGCAGAGAAGTGCGTACTGCCTACAGTACAGCTTGTCAATGTGCTTCCACTTACATCCAACCCCCTCCTCCCTTTTCTCTCCCCTCTCTCTCCATATCTTCTCACCCTCTTTCCCCCCTCCAGCAAGAGTTTGAAGTGGCGTTTTTAGGGGGAAGGCTTTGTTTCCTAAACGGGATGCTTTTGTTGTGTCTAGGGTCTGTGCTTCAACGCGGCCTGGATGCCGAGCTGAAACCTAATATAACTCTGAGCTCGCCACACCACAAGAGGCGGTTTTTGGGATCCTCTTAGTGGCTTCTGGCGGCTTTATTCTGGACCTTACGGGCTCCCCATGAGGACAATGTCTTCCCATCAAGAGCCATAGTTTGTTACCCCCTTTGGTGTAACTTTTCCTTAAATATAGCTGACTCTTATTTTGTACTTTTTTCTTCGATAACATGTGAACTTTTCCATTTGTTGTGACAGCAGTGACAGAAAAAGAGAATTCTGGTCCAGAAAAAGTTTTTTTGTTTTCAGTTTGATTTAAAGATTCTGTCTGCACCGATCTACAGCAAAAACGAAAACAGAGAATTTCAGGGAACGAATAACCACCAAAGTTGAAGTCACACTGTGAAAATGAGCTCTTACTACAAGTGTTGTGTCAAGTCAGATTTATGTCTTTTCACCCTGTTAACCGAGATTCAGCAAAACAGGGCAGATAAGGACTTTAAGTCCATGTTTACGAGGTCACGCCTTAAATTAAACAATACTTGATGACGTGTTCCCATCATTCTCACATTTATATCATTACTCCGTATCGCCTGGAAATCTGCTTTGGTCACAAGATTCATCACACTGTAACAAACAGTTTCAAATTGAATTTCAAGGCAGATCTTGTTGATAAAAGGCTGAATATGGTTGTGAAAGCCAGCAGTTTATCACAGTCACTTTTGAAAAACTCTAAAGACGAAAATTCAACATGTCTGTAAGTGAGGGTGACCATATTCTGAATCCCCAAAAAGAGGACACGACTACACGGGGGCGGAGTCACAGAGTCGCACAAAGTTAATTTTGAGAGTTTTTTGGGTCGGATCGAGTGTCTTTTACGTGTTTCTAACTCAGTAAGTCCACATGACACAAAATTGAAACTTCCATACAAAACTCAGACATTTGAAGGATTTCATAAACTTCCACGGACAAGGCCGGACAGCCCCGCAAAAAAGGGGACATGTCCGGGTAAGAGAGGACGTATGGTCACCGTACTGTAAGTCGAATACTGATTTTTATGTATAAATCAACTCAGGACTCGGTGCACTTTCTTGTTGGAATAAAAGGATCAATAAACATTTGAAAAAAAATTAAAAAATGTTGAATTTTCTCCAGGAATTCCAATACTTCGGAAACATGCAATCAAAATGATTTTTTAAATGTACAAATATGACAACGCAACAAAAAGTTTTACTCAAAATTGTGTTTTAAAGCAGGTAGATGATATGCAGATAACTTTTCTTGTTAGCAGATAGTTTAGAGAAAACCTCGATTTAGAAACTGCAGAGTCACGACATTGCAGGCTTACGGGCAAAACCCACAGGATCCAGAATGGCTCTGCTTTGCTCCGGCACGGCCGGCGGATCAAATCCACAAGCATTATAACCAATGTGTGTCATTCCACAGAATTCATGCGGCGCCCAGCTCCACTGCGGATCGGCTCCTACAGGCGGATCAGATACGCAAGGCTTCTATTTTTGCCGGATGCCGGAGCACGGGGCATCGATTCAGTGCAGCGCAGCATGAGCAGCAATGGAAGTTGTATGCGGTTACAGAGTAAAATTTCAGGTTAATTTTTTAAATAAAATAAAGTCAATACGTTGAACTGTTCTCAACTTGATAAAGAAAGTTAAAAAGCAGAGCAGTTCCGGATCCTGTGGGTTTAGCCAGTTACACGGTTTTGTTATTCTGTGGCGCATAAAAAAAAAAGTTGGTTTGTATAAAGACAAAAAAATAAACTGAATAATAAAACTCACTCAGAAATTTCTATTGTGTATCTTTTTGCTGTTGCCAAGTAGAAATACCCTTAAACTCTTTAAAGCTCTTGTGAGAAATTTGAGTCGACTGGCGGACGCTACTTACGTATGAATGAGACAGAATAAGCAAAGCCAGATTTGTCCACAGGGGGCGCCAAAGTCAAGGTTTAAGAAAGAACTCGAGGAAGAACATCTAATAACCTTATTTTCATAAATTCAGAGCTATTTAAAATTCATAAGCTGTACGAACTGAAAATGGGAGTGATTATAGTTGAAGGTTGAATGGAGACGTTTCTGTGTTTGTCTCGTTGCTCTTTTCACTAACAACTGCAGCTGAGCAGTCAAAGAGTTGACTCTGAGTCACCTTATCAGCGACTGAAGCATTTCTGCTGCAGCTCTCTCTGAACCTATTAGGCCTCGACACACACTCACACACACACACACACACTCAGGAGGAGTAACATGGGTCCCCTGGCCTGGCTGGGCTGTGGGTAGCTTGTAACCCAAGTGTTTTATTAGCAACTGGTCCAACAAAGCTAATTGCTTCCTGAGGGAGCCGCCTCCCTTCAGCCCGTGACTGATTAACAGCCCACATTATGTGTCTCGACAACTTTGACAATCTTTTTTTTTTTTTTTCTTTTTTGGTCACAAAACTTTTTATTACGCTGCACTGCCACAAACCTCCAGTGTAAATCTCCCCCCCAAAACTGGTTTCTCATTGTGAAGCGGTGAAGTATTCCTAACCTCGTTTTTCTTTTTTAATCTGATTTAATTATTTTCTGCAATCATGTTTTTAAAACACACTCCTCTGAGTCATATTCAGTATGTGTAACACATTTTTAATAACATTAGTCAGCTTGTTTTCTGTCATTTTTGTCACCGGTGCTGAATCATCTTACACATAAATCGATTTTTAACGATGACAATGTGTCACTTCATCAAACCAGAAAATGTGTTTGGTTTAACAAAAAAAAAAATGCCAACGTCTTCAGCTCTCTTTCACAATTCGATTGAGAAATTAGATCAGATCTGTGTCCTTTGTTGTAACTGCTTTGTTGTGGGAGAGCACATAAATATTAGTTTGCCATGTGTGTTTCTTGTTCGACAAACAAATCTGGGTCATTCACGTTCAATCGAAAGAGTTTTTTGGCGGTAATCAGATTTGTCGTGCATTTCTCTCTCAAACCTTTCATCCCCCTGTCTCTGAATAGAATTATTCCTTACTTTAAAACCACTTGTTCGAATCCATTAGCTGCTGCAGATGTTATGTTGTCTTCGATTTCTTTGTGTGTATTCATGTGTGGGTTGAAACTTGTCATATTTATGCGTGCGTGGATATGATGTAAGCATATATTAATGGACTGAAACATCATCTGGTGTTTGACCTGTTCGCTCCCGAAAGGCAAAACTAAGAACAAGATCTTCGGACATTTTGAGTGGGTGGACATCGGCTCTGAGAGTTCCCCTCGGTTTATTTACTTTCTTTTAAAGTTGCAGATATTTATGGAGAAAAAACAGCTTCTCATCCTTCTCCGACTTTGTTCTCGAGGATCTTAATTACAAATGCTGAATCTTCTACATGAAAAGCAGTCGCTGGTTTCCGGACTCGTCTTTGTTGCATGCTCTTGTCTCATACGTGTCTTTGATGATGCCATTGGGAACTTTGAGCAGATGGGTTTTCAAAAGGCTGGGTTCCCAAACAGGATATAGATGATGTGTAGGCCTGGTGCTCTCTGGAGCTGGGATCAAATGGTTGTTCTTCCACCCCCTGCTGCTCCCACCATCTCTGCAGGGCGGGGCCCGGACGGATGGTCTAAGGAAGAAGGAGGTCCTCCTCAAGTGTTTTAAGGTCACATTTTCACACGTGCGGCATCCCTATCACTTCCTGTGAATCATCTGGATGTCGTTAATATCTCCAGCTCACTCATACAGTTTATCCCTAATAGCTGAGTCGAATCCACATTTGTGTTTCTTGGCATCCAAATCAACCTTTTCTCCGTTTTCTCCCCTTTTTTTGACCTCTGGATGCAGAGCTCTTAAGCTGTTGTCACAAATTTGAATGGTTAATTGAGGCCTTGAGAACATGTTCGGTTTAAAAAAATGCATATTTCTGGTTTTGGTTTGAAAGAAAAGCTCTTGTGTCCTCTCTGTCTGAAGTCCAGAGCCAACATCAAGTGCACAAATATGTTTGGGACGTGGGTTTGTCTCAAACTGTCTCCTTTTTTAACATGTAGAACTCTGCTGGATCACCGGTAATCCCACGTGACACCATTAATATTGTTTACAGTTTCTGGGAAACTATACTGTGCATCTCTTTGGGATGAAAAGTGCTCAAAAGCTTACCCTTTTGGCGATCTATCGAGGGTTTCCGGGCATTTCTACACCCCCCCACAAGGTTTACAATCTAGCCACAAAAAGAGTGTTTGATCGAAGATGTTTGGTGGTAAATTCGCAGCGATTTATCGGTGAAAACATGATTATTTATCATATTGTTGTGATAAGATCGCTATCGCTAAATGCCGCTAATGTCTTCCGGGTTTGACTGTCAAACTTTCGACCAATTCTCATACTCTTCTTGTGTCCAATAAGAGGCAACCAAAGATCAACAAGAGACGAGAATGTTACCTGCTTGTCTGCAAAATAAGAAATAATGGTCCTCAATGCTTGGAAACAAGCAAAGAAGAGATTCTGAGCAGTATGATGTGGTCCTCGGTCTCATCCCAGACAGGAACTGCTTCAAGGAGTGGCAAAAAAAACTGTAAATAGTAAAAAAAACGCCTGGAAGAATTAGTGTAAATATGTCAATAGTTTCCGTTGTGTGTTTGTTAGAATCCCAATATTTCTTCTCCTAATAGCCAAGACTTGAGAGAATGATGTGCAGGTGAGGTTTGGTCACTGTAGATTTATGTGTTTTTTAAGCAAAGTACTGTTGGTATCAATTTCCGTTTTAGTTTTTTGGTGGACTTTGATGGTTCTGAATCTACTTTCACATTCATGTTACTTAATTTTTGCACCCATAAAGTGACAGCTGAGGTTGTCCTGAAAAAAATGATGTGTATATAAAAATATAGCTGGTGGAGTTCTAAGGGTTAACATGTTTCAGCCATGAATGTGTCTCAAACGGACTTCTCTGATGGATCTGTCCTTTGCAGCGCTCCCACATCTGCAGTAGTTATTGAAATGTGAAACCAATATATGCGAGGATGTGCAGTCCAGACGTCCCAATTGACTGTTTTACACAATTGTGATACCAGCTGTAAGATCCCAACTCCAGGGTTCGAGGTACCTGAAGATGGCGAATTTTATCAGACGGATTATTCTCTCTAATGTCGCCAAGCATTTGGAGTATGGTTGATAGGAGGGCTGCGGAGCCCAGACTGAGGAGGAGGAGGAGGAGTCATTTTCGCATTAGCAGAATCGCATTTCGAGAAAGAAGCAGCATTCCAGGAGCTCTTTATTTGATTAGCTATAATGTCATAAATGCAAGAATGTACTGCGATAAATGGCAAAAGTAGCTGATGAATTAGTTATCCCCGTCAGCAAATACCCACGCTAGCTCACCCTCCCCATCCTCGTCCCACGGGCCACATTGCCTCTTCAATCTGCAATATGGAGCATAATTATACTAATTTCTCTCAATTGCATTAGCGAGGGCCTGGAGAGAAAGAATGGCCGTCTTTCTAAGCCAGAGCCTGGACTATGCAGTCAGCCTCCCTGCACCTCAGAGAGCAAGTACAGGGGGAGGCAACATGACCCCTGCTCAGCCCCTCACCCACCCCTCTTCATTTGACTGCACTCCTCTCTCCTTCCTCATTCCCTCCAGCTTATTGTCCCTCTTTTCTCATTCCGTATCGGCCTCCTACGCCAAGTCCTTCATCAGATGCAGACTGAAACATACAGAAAACTCTCTCAGAGATTGTGGATTGGAGAAAATCTCATTTTTGGCTCTACCTCTGAAACAGTATTAAAGATTGATTTTCTCTTTAACCGGCCTAAATGTTCTGCACATAGGCTCCTGAATTCACACACCAAACTCTGACCCAGATGTCAAGCAGTATAGATAAGTTGAAGTAAGCTGGGTAAACTACATCAGGGCAGAAGGAGTTAAAAAAGCGAAGCTGTCACACTGTACTTGTACTTGAATTTGACCCTAATTCTACACCTAGCCGACAGCTTCATTTCGCTTATTTAGACCTCCATTAGCTTTGGCTAAGGCCATTGCTATTCTTCCTGGAGTCTACATTTACAATTGAACCTCCATTGCAGTGCACGCTCACAAAAAAACATCACGCCACATACACAAAGACAATGTTGATAACCACAACACTCACAACAAGACAAAAACAAAACAACAAAACTAGAATAATACAAACAACATACACATATTACTGGACCTGATACATTTCAACAGTGAAGCTATAGTGCCGAAATAATCAGGTGTTCAAATATCAACTTACATTCTACATAATTGAATTCATTTACCGAAACAGTACCCAATACTAGGGCCCGACCGATTTATCAGCGAGACGATTAAATCAGCCAATTTTAGCCCGTTTGAGACTAATCACTAATCGGCCAAAACTCGCCGATTGTCGCCGATAAATCCGTTAAGTTACAGTTCAACCCACTTCACAATGTTCCCCGCTGTGCTGGTATCGGTCACGCCGAGCTAACGGTGAAGCACCATGTAATATGCAAGCTAAAGTTAGAGTTAGCCATCTGCTATTAGCCTGCTGTTGGAGTTAAAATAAATAGCCAGGGGTTGTTTTAGCAATAAAAAGGATTTGAAATGAGTTTTCTGCCTTAAATTCTTTGAAGAAGTGTTTGAAAAGCTTAAAAGCAGCCATTTGTTAAAAAAAAGTACATATGATAGATATATTACTTAAATCAACAAAGTTTTAAAACTTTATAAGAAATTTTAAAAATTCGCTGATTAATCTGTAATCGCCCCCCCCCCCCCAATAATTGGTATTGGCATTGGCCCCAAAAAATCCATATCGGTCTACATAAGCAGACTTGCGATATTTCAAGTAGCTCAGACAAACACTGATTTGATTGTACAAAGTAGCGTCATCTAAATTAGGAGCTGTTTGACCAGTAAATGTTCTTAAACTAGATCTTTAAATCTGTATTTGTTGTGTTCTTGGATGTCCTGGCAGAGCATTCTGTATCACCATGGTCCTTTACATTACCGTACTTTTCATTTTGTTTGTTTTTACTTTGGGTGAGGTGAATTTACCCTCCGTAGCATGTCTTGTTCTGTAACAACGATCATGAAGAACCTTTGGAAATTTCGTCACAGATAGTCTTTTCATGAAAGCTGCTAATGAGGCGGTACATCTGTTCTTTATGTAAAAGCAGGCAAGACAGTTGTGCATTTTACTCACATTGGTTTTGTACGGACAACGAAGTAAATATTGTGCTGCCTTGTTCTGAGCTATTTGCAGTTTCTTTTTAAGTGATGAAGCAGCACACGACCGAACCCCTGAACAATAATCGATAATCAAGTGTTTTACAAGATAAAGATATTATATTTTATAACCCACTTCTATAAACAACAATTTCCTCTTCTCCGTTTCCTCCCTGGTTCTCCATGACCAGGTCACATCGTACCAACCCGGTGGCTGAGGGACTCTGGGGGACTGCAGGGTGCTGCTAGTGGGAACACGGCCTCAGTTATGAAAGACGCCATTGTCCGGCTGGGCTCGCCAACATAGAAAATGAATAAATCAAAGAGGAGAGATCAAGAGTGGAGGAGAAAAGGAGGGGATGGAGGGACCGGGAGACTATCTGACATCTGCATTTGTAACCGGGTATTTAGCTCTGGAGGAATGTTGTTATCATCCACCCTCAAACGCTGCGATGGTGAAGGATTTTGCATTGAATTCTATTATCTGATCGCATCTACGTGTCCTGTCTGCCTCTGCAAACACACTGTGAAGTTTGATCATAGAAACACTTGTTTTTGTCATTCAGGCCAGAAAAATAGTTCAATTGAATCTGTTATATCACGCTATTTTAGCCAATCACGTGTCCATCTGGGTTGTTAAAGCGGGTATTTTGGATGGACACGTCTCTATTTCTGTTAATTAGGTTCATAGATTTGCTTTAGATTTCTCTCTTCAAACGACATTCATCACTGATGTTTCATTATCTGGTTAAACTGAGGCTTACGGTGAATCTTGTTTACGTGTTAGCGCCCCGACCACAAATAGAAAGACAAGACGTGCATTCATTCTTCGAAAATCCTGCAAATACAGTCTTTTGGCAATCAAATGAAGATTAAAATAAAAAGGGGGACTTTCCTGTCAAATGATTCAAGCACTGACTCAGACGCAAAGATGGTTTTGAGATTCAACTTATGAGCTCTTTATGGAAACTGGTATTTGCAGGATTTCAGTTCTTGTGATCAGCTCTGACTCAGAAGCTCAAATGCGTTGCAAGATAAGGTGTCAGAAAGATGAAGATGTTGTACCGTGTCTGCAAAGTTGTTGGTGTTTTCATCGAGTATGACATACAACTCATTAGCCTCTAATCGATCAGGGGAGCAGTGTTGGGGTAACGCACTACAAAGTAACCGATTACAGTCACGATATTACTTTTTGGGGGTAACGAAGTAAAGTAGCGCACTCCAGCAAAAACGGTAACTTACTTACTTTACTAAATAATAGGAACGTGCCTTTCTGCATTACATCAGCTGTGTTTCCCTGTGTGCAAAGTTCTGATCTGTTTAAGTGTTTCTTGTTTTTCTTGATATCGAGCCTTTGGACCATCGTCCAAGCTTGTCTCCGTACGCTCTGACAGTCTTTTTTTCCGTGGGACTCATTTTTGGGGGTTGTCGTTTTCTCACTGTGTCGTTATCTTGCAGCCTCTTTGTCGAATGTAAACAAAAAGTTGCCCGTGGAGATGGTGCTTTCCGACCCAACGTGCATTGCAAAATCATGTGACATTTAAAATAAAAAGACCAGATTTCGTAGTGAAATCCGAGGAAAACTGTTGTTCGGGACTGCGTGCTACATGCTTACTCTTGCTTCCTACTTACTCGGCTACCGTTGTAACCGTTGTTCTAGTCTACACGCAACATTTTTTTTCTCAATCATGAACCACTTAAATCTGGGACATTCCAGAGGACAGCTTTAGCCGGGGACAGGTCATCCAAAACGGGGACGTCTGGACACCTTAATTTGGAAATCCTATGGAGAGATTGATTTGAGTGACGTAGCTGCTGATATGAAAGAGAGATGGAGATGGAGACAGAGACTGAGGCAGATGGAGATGGTCTTTTCGTTAGAAGATGTTTCCGTAAGCTTGTGTTTTAAAACTTGTATGTTGCTACCTTATATCTTTCTTTATCTTGTTGTGTGACAGTGAGCTATTGTGTTCTTCTGTATGGTTTTTCACGCCATGTTATACAATCGGATCGAGTGTCTTTTACGCACTTCTAACTCAGTAAGTCCACGTGACACAAACTCCAAACTTCCGTACAAAATCGCGGACATTTGAAAGATTTTATAAACTTCCACAGACAAAGCCGAACAAGCCCAGACAGCCCCCAAAAAAGAGGACACGTCCAGGCAAAAGAGGACGTATGGTCACCCTGAGTAAAGTAATCTCATTGCAATTTACAGAAGTAACTAGCTACTAGTACTAGTTACTAGTTACTACCCCAACACTGCTGGAAAGTTTGCAAAACCTGATCAACCATCCTCTGCTTGACCTCTGCTCATTTGAAGCCGCTGCAGACTGGTTTACTGCTGGATCCCAGAGACAGCATGACAGCAGCTGGCTCTCCGAGTCAGTTTAACACAGTGGCACTTCGTTGCTGCCTCCCATCCCAGGTGTGTGTGCGTCTGTGTGTGTGCGTCTGTGCCTAAATGGTGTCCGCACAATGGCCGCCCTGTGTGACCCTGTGCATCTGTGTCTCCTCGGACAAGCTCCTCTGTCCTACTGGCTGTGCAGTCCTCTCTTCAGTGTTGACAGCACGCTACAGGTGCCCAACACATCTGGCCCTTCACATGACCTAACACGCGCACGCACGCTCACACACACACATATCTTACATCTGCTCAGGCGCTGATAAGCTAAATTAAGCTAAAACCCTCAAAGGAGTGTGCTAACAGAATCAGCAGGAACATAAACTGCCTTCAGTTGCTACTTTAAGAAGTGAGAGAAGTTTTTTCTCCCTCTCTCTCTCTGCAGGGCCACAAATGCCTTCATTATTTGACCAGGCCACAAGTTCATGACCAGACCTCCAGTCATTAATGAAAGTCTGTGTTTGGGGCGGGATTCTGAACAGTCATCACACTGTTTTTTCATCTAACACCCCCCCTCCAACATCTTTCAGTACCAAACACATCCTGCACATAATCATCGCTCTGTCCCACTGCAACCTCTGTTTGCTAACTCTGGACAAGCGAAAAAGTTTGCTTGAAAGGATCCATTTAGAGTCATTTTTCTAAGCTGAAGGAACATTTGTCGTCCGCTTTGCTATCTTTTGAGACACAGTGCGAGCACGCGGTCGTGATTTTGCATCAGCTCGCGGCCTCACAAAAAAGAGAGAGAAACCATGAGAGGCCGGTTGTAGGCGAAGAAGCTATGCAAATAAATCAGCCAGTCAGTTAGAAACAAACCAACAATGAGGTCATCTGGCTTGGGTTGCACTTCTGGCAGGCAAGAAACACGCTGCGTGCAAAAGCGAGCCAAAGGTTAGCCAGTTAGCAGGTGCACTTCCTCCTTTACCTGGCTGCATATTTGCATGAGCGTCCAAGGAGGAACCATCATGTATCACCTGTCATACAGATCAGCCGAGCACACGTTTGGGTTAAAGTATCTTCCTCATTCACCTGAGAGACTGATCCCTCGTGTGTTTTTAGTCAAACCGCTCCCAAAGGTATCCTTTTCTTCGACTTACTCGAAGGACAAACACCTTTAATGAACTCTGCGCTGAAGCATCAGTTACAGAATCGAGCTTCCTGACTGAGCTGGATTTCCTCCCAGTGTGTGTGTGTGTGTGTGTGTGTGTGTTTGTGTGTGTTATTACAGCTCCAGGTCCACCAGGTCAGGTCACAGGACATGACAGTTGGCCGGTGGAGAGCAGCCTCCAGGCTAATGTACGTCCCCTCCCCCACTCGCCCACCTCTCTTTCTCTCTGGGTGGCCCGTGTTTACGAGCTCCAGGAGCAGGTCATCGCTGCGCGGAGAACACGGCTGCTGCACGGGGGACTGTTGCTGGGTCAGCTCTGGAGCAGCAACCAGGAATTTTCTCCTCGCCGTGTGTGTCTTTACGCGTTCGCTCATCGCTCAGTGTGTGCGTGGATTCGGACTTCCTGTGTGCAGCAGTGCGGGGGAGCAGAAATGGGGGTGAGGTGACCCTCGACCTCGACCACATGTCCTGGTCTGCCGGCTGATCACCCACACTTCCGCATGCGGGGCCTCTCGACTCCTCTCCTGGGGTCTGAGAAGATCTCCGCCTTTATCACCGCTGTTGTCATGTTTCAGCGTTTTCCTCATCTGCATCGTCTCCTCTGTGTTTTCGATTCGCAGCTTTTGTCTGGCTTTATTTGAAATTCTGGTTCCAAGTTCAGAAACACGCTCGAGAAGCTGTTCGCCAAAATGTTTGTGCAGATTGTTTCAGAGCTAAAAAAGTCAACTTTCTCAGTAAATGATTTATATTTGTGAGTGTGAACCAACACCTTGGTTACATATGCACAAACCTAGTGTGGGTGAGACTATAACACTATCACTATCAGGGACCAGCGAAGCTATAGTTCCACTCCACTGAAAAAATTCCCATGAGTGGAACTGAAATGTGGATTTTTTTCTTTTACTTTTTGTTCAAAGAAAAAAATAAAGATGAATATTCAATCATTATTTGACATCTTCCTAAAAACCAACCAGAGCATTAGTCTCGTGTGTGGTTGGTCCCCTTGGCAGCAGTCATCTGACATATCATGGTTTGGCTTCGCTCAGAGGCACACTGTCAACACCAGTCCTACTCACTGGAGCACGTGGCCAACAAACATTAAATCAGTGCTTTTTCACACCCATTCAACAAGCTTTATCTGGAGATAAGATAATGTTGAATGTTTAACTGGTGTATAACCACTTATCTGGAGCAATGAGTAACCAGCAAAGGTTTGTGGATGCTTATCTCCACGAAGCAAACCAATTTGACTTCCTCTTATAATCTCAGATTTAGCCAATCTGAACATATTCTGTTAAATTTGAACTATTTTTTTAGTGTTTTTTTAACCTCTGAACCAGTCAGCAGTTTGGGATTCACATTCCAGTTGAAATGACTGTAAAACTGGACTTCATTTAAAGACCCGCTCCGTTGAAAATCATGTTTTTCTTGTTGTCTACATGTTCGTATGGCATTTTTCTGATGCTACAGGACATATCAATGGGGTTAGGTTAATTGGCCACTTCCAAACTGCCCATAGGTGTGAATGTGATGATGAACTGGCGACTTGTCCAGGGTGTCCCCTGGCTTTGCCGGAAGATGCTGGGATAGGCTCCAGCCCCCCCACGACCCCGGGAACAGGAATGAGCGATAGAAAATGGATGAATGGATGGATGGATGGATGGATGGATGGATACAGGACATATCATGAGATTCAAATCACTGTGAATCTCTGGCAGACCCAAACGGCAGGTTCAGATGTAGTGGGATTTCCTACGTCACGACTGCAAGCTCCACCCCCAGAGCCCCGCTATGCAGGCCAGACTCAGAAAAGTAGAGAGAATGATCGCAGAACAAGCGTGTGAGTTAGCGATAGCAATGAGCTGAGTAGCTTCTATGTTGTCTGCTACTTCTACTACATCAGCGATGTTAGGCTACAAGCTAGTGTGCAGAGCAGCGCTGACTCCGCCCACAACTCAGAGGCAAATTGCTAATTAGCTACTAGAGCTCTGCAGAAGAAAAGGCCTTGAAAATGACACAGGTTACACGATTTTGGCGAAAGACTTCAAAATCAAAGTTTAAAGACCCCTGAAAACACTTTAAGTGGTTAAAAAAAAAAGATCGGAGTGGGACTTTAAATCAGATTAGAATTGATCTATCCCTAATACACTTGTCATACTGTTGCTGAGGGTTATGACTGACATCTATACTTATTTAATGTAATAAAATTATAATAAAATGCTGTGTAGTCTAAAGGAGATGGTCCAAACTTTCCTTGGTTTACGGCTGTCATCAGTTCATCATAACACCACTTCTATTTCTGAGCCGCCAAAATCAAAGCCCTCAAATGCCAAACTTGAGTGGAAACTGAAGTTTACAGATCACTCTCCCTTTAACGTGACCAAACACTTAATAATATCATACATCGCTCATAAACTATTGAGGGTTGCAGAAAGAGATGTTTTTATTTCCACAGTGAAATACCTTTAAATGAACACAACCCAACATTTCCCTACAAAACAAAAACAGATAACTTCATTTCTTTTACTTCGCGTAATTTTGTATGTTTTTGTAAGTTTCTCGCTCTGCAGCCCACCATGAATACCATGAAGACTGGTGACCTTTTAACCCCCCCAGCCTCCCTGGGAACACCATCATTCCTGTCCTCTCACTCACAGAGTCCCCGTCACTGGCCCAGGGCAAACCCTCCACAAGGCCTCCTTTGACGGAGCCTAATGAGAAGACTGTGGTACGGGATTGCGACCGTCGTGGAGAGGTTCGCTTCCTTTACTGCGCTCCTTATCGGCCTGTGTATCGAAAATTATTCAATTATATACATCTCCTCTTCTCGAAGATTACGTCCTCTCCCGGTTTTTGCACACTATCCTACTAATGGGGTTAAATACAGTTAAATTGCATAATCGCAGAGGCTGATAAAGGGGCTAGTATGTGTGTTGGCATGCTCTCGTCTCCAGGATTTCGATTCCTGTAATTAAATGTAAGGGTCTGCGTTTTTGTTTATTGGATTTATTTTGCCTGATTGGCCCTGGCATTGACTGATGGGCGAGACAGAGGTGGTGGTGTGTCGGCGGAGACAGAGAGGGGTCTGGTATGATGTGTATGCTCGCAATCCTGTTGCTGCAATTCGCCCCTGAAGTCAAAGGTCAATAAAGATGTTATCAATCACGAAGCCTGCCTTTCCCTCACTGTTGTATTTTAACTAAACACTAAAGGTTTCATTGCTCTCTCGCCTTAATCAGGGCTCCTTATGTGCAAATCCGGCATTAGTCTAGTGTGTGTGTGTTTTCAGTGGCATCGGCTGTGTTTATTTGGTCAGGGGTGTCAGACAGATTAGCTAGTGTGTTACAGGTGCTATAAAAGTTGTAGCTTTGGACACGGCTCATGAACAGTATAATGAGGCTGGGCTCAGGTTAATCTCACCCTGCCTGGCTCTGTCTTTGAGTTACTGGCCTGCTTTAGCTGCCGGGCAGGGCTCGGGGCTAACAGGCGAGCAGAGACGACGCAGAGAGGAGCGTAGCGTTCCAGCAGTACGCCTACAGGCAGAGGCCGGGAAGCAGGCCAGAGACGGAGAGAGGGAAGAGAAATGCATTTGTGACCAAAACGGTGTTGAAATCTTATCAAAGAGAAATTCTTTCACAATGATTTTCTTCCTTTTTTTATTCGCCCTACTGCCATTTCGTCTTCAGGTGTTCAACCCCGATTCAAAAAGAGTTAAGACGCTGAAATATGCACGCTCTTTCCTGAAAACGACCCCGTCTGGATATTGATCCGCAGCCTATTTATAGTCTGGTGTTAATGCTGCTTTCCCAGATGTGTTACGGGGGCTTGTGCTTTTTAAACAGTGTGGTCTCTTCGCTCTTAAACCGCCTTTCAGTCACAAGTTTGAGGATTAGAAAGGAAGGACACTCAGATTTGCAAATGCAGCAAAGAACTGCGCTCACAAACAATCATGATTTTAAGACTATGCAGTGACTTCTACTACAGAGCCATGACTCTTTTTCAGTAGTGCTGCCTGAAGTCCCTTTTGTGCAGAGATACCTTATTTTTCGGGCAATATAGCACACCTGATTATACGGCACACTGTGAATTAACGTGTCTATGTTCACACATAAGGCGTACCGGATTGTAAGGCGAATTAAGCAGTAATTGGTTTATTGTTGCTAGTGTGTACTCCAGGACCGGGCCGCCTTACCCCGAATTTCCACCGCATCTGGAACAGTTACGAAAAGACCGTATTCGCTGATCGTAACCATTCAAGTTACTTTGTCAATTTCCACCCGCTTCTTTCCGTTCCACAGCTGATCGCAAGAGTTCTATTTTTTCTGGATGCCAGGGCATGTCGGATAAATTCAACACAGATTGACCAGTGCTGTAAAGGAAGTCTGGCACAGACACAAAAAAAGACATCCGGCTTCTTTTCAAAATAAAACACTCTGTGGTTCAGGCAGCTCGTATTTCACAGCATGTTCCGGGACGAACAAGTGAAAGGTTTATAGTCAGCATTTCATCCTGATGACACCATGGATGAGAAGATGCTGATTCTAGAAGTCTAGAAGTAGATTTCCTCCTCTGTAAGGACACAATCTTCTGCTTATATGTTTAACCTATGTGGCTAAAGACAACTATCATCAGGCGATTTCACGTGAATCTGTGGTTCTTGTGAGTTCTTGCCATTCCTGCTGTCCGTAATCTGCCATGAAATTTGCCTCACAAACGGATCCGATAGGAATTGGCGTAGAGAGAAAATTACTGCCGTTCCGGATTGGAGCCATTCCAGATGCGGTGGAAATCCGGGGTTACATGATTGCACTTCTAATTTAGACATTACAGTCAGGCAGTCTTGTAGACCGCTCAGGGGTCCTGTTACGGAACTGATCAGGTAGTGACACAGCATACTGTAATCTCTGAATATCCATTGAGCAGAGCAGCTTCGTTGCTTACTGAAGTCGTACTTACACATTTCGACAGATTATTGAATGCATTGTACCACATAAAATCGGTAATCATACATGAGGCGCACTGTCAATTTTTGAGAAAATTTAAGGATTTGAAGTGCACCTTATAGTCTAAAAAATATTGTATATGATGATATTATTCACTGTCAAAAATATTAGGTTTATGCTCACAGGCATCATCCTGGAAATCTCTTTTACAGAATGGAGAATCTCTTTTTCTTCGCCTCTCTTCGGTGCCCCTTTTTATACATGTTGCTAACCTGTTGCAAATTAGAGGGACGGTCTTCCAGCTTTTTATCATTAAAATTTTTTAAATGTCTCGCTCACACCGAATTCATAATAAGTATCATCTTTTCACCAACAATCCCATTTTTCAGTGTTCTTGATCGATGCGCGTTTGCACTATTTTTAGTTGAATAAAAGGGTTTAAACGATTAGCAAATTCTGTTTTTATACAACGCTCCAACTCTTATGAAACTGAGGCTGTATTTGGATCAAGAGATGAGAGGGAAGATTGAATGCAGAGCAGAGAGGAGTCAAGGATACGCAGGATTAGGAGAGAAAATAGTGATGGAAAGGCACTCAGTGTGCTCTCCTCAGAGGAGGTTAGTGTGCTGTGGAGGCCATGCTGTTTATCTTATTGGCCTTAAGGGGAAAGAACATTTGTTCTGGATACAGTGAACCGCATAGTCTGTGTTTTATTTGCACATGATTCTCGGCTCTTTGAATGAGCATCATGAGTCACAGATCTTTGTCTCTGACTGTCACACCAGTTTGCTGGTGCATTTGTTTTTGCCCAAACCTGTCGCTTCTCCTTACACACATGATCTGTTTGAGCTGATGTTCTCTGTTACCAATCCACGAGCCTATTCCTGTTTTTTTTGTCCAATTTAAAAACTTTAATTAAGTACAACATGCATTTGAGAAAACTCAAACTTCCTCGCTTGGACGGCTGCCAAGCTGTCAGACATGGCTCTCTTATGAGGTAGTGCGTTGGCGCGGGCGGCAGACATGCTGAAAACTCAGGTGCAGTTTTTGAGCCGCGGTGTTAACGAGGCTCTACGCTGGTGTAATCGGAGTAATTGTTTATTACAGACCTCAACCTATAGTATATGTAATTACTTTTGGGTTGCCCTCGCCCTGTAAAATTCACTTTTGTTTCCTGTCTGGGTGCCTAACACCACAGTCTAAGCTCCTCCTCCAAAAAAGTGTATTTTACTGCCCCGTTTGAATGATATTACATATAATTGTGTATTTTTTTTTTCCGTCTGTGAGCAGCACAGTTGTAAAATACATACATTTTCTATTTAGGATCATTAGAGCTTTGATGGTGCAGAGCTATTCCTCAGTGACACTCCATCGCCTGCGCCCATAAAATTCTCAGTGCCAAGCCGGTGGGGGAGGACTTTAAGTGTTGCGCAGTGCTCTTATAGCCACTTCCTTAATCAGACGGCCGGACAAATTGTAATCATTAGCAATGTGGTGAGCATGACATAGGTCTCCAAACTCGTTAGAGTGAGTTAGCAGCAGTGGGGAGAGATTAAGGGAGGAAGAGAGGGAGGAGGAGGAGGAGGAAGGTGCTGTCACACACTCACCTGGGTCTGTTTGCAATCAGGCGGTTCAATTAGGGCCCTAGCTAAGCTCTGCAGCAGCAGCTCCGCTTACGTCATGGATGCGAGAAGTCCTCCAACATAAGCATGTGCACACAGTCAGACATGCACGCCATTATCCCCGTGTAGAGTTAGAACAATAAAACGCATGCGCACATGATCTCAGCAGGGCACAGATACAGCTCACACTCTTGAGTCACTGCTGTCCGTCTGTGCCATGTGAGCCTCTGTTAGTGCAAGAAAGAGCAGTGAAAACTCAAACCAAGACTATCACCATATCACGTCTTCACCTCCTGATTACTGTGGCGAAAAGAGTAATATCACAAGACGGATATTTAGGGAAAAGTTCGACAACTGTATCGAAGGTGCAGGCTTCAGTATAGGCTCAATTTTCATTGGCAGCTCAGTTTCGAACATGAGGTACCTTTAATTATTTTGGCCTCACTCTCTTTCTTTCAATCCCTGCCCCTTTAAGAGCCCATTTGTCATCTGTTCCTGTTCATCTATTTCATGAAATAACAAATAAATAGTGAAGAAATCTCAAACACTGACATTATCTTCAGTCAATCTGCCTGTTAATGTAACCGAGGAGCCAAAACGCTTAATGACTAAAGCTGAGAATGCTTCGCACAATGACACATACGTTGGCACACGCTCAGACGAAAACCTCCGAACACGCTGACGGACACACTGTAAAAAAAAAATAATAATAAAAAATACACACCACAAACACACACTAGTACTGTACACAAAAGCAGCAAGTGTGCACCTCCACACAGCTGCACATGCTTGAGCAAAGCTAGCATCTGTCCCAGAAACATCCGTCAGTGCCTCCACATCTGTGTGCTCCAGCTCAAGCCTTTTGCTCCGGGCCCCCCACACCCCGCACACGTTCCCCACGACTGGGCTTGGCCCCGTGCCACCCCGTTCCTAGTCCTCCAGCTGAGTGATACATGCGCTAACCTCAGACAGCTATACAGTCCTGTAGCCAATTTAGAGTATCCCTTCAGGGAACGTGATACGGTGGGTTTTATTTGAAATGTCCTTTTTGATTGAGGGGGAGACGTGGCACACTTACCATAATGGCACCTCTAATGGGCCTAATGTGGAATGTCTCTTCACGGTAACACATGTTCAAAGCCTTTCTGGCATGCTCACTGGAGCAGCAAATGCTGACCCGCAAACTGTATCGCTCATCCGACTGAGACGTGACTTCTCTTTGTAACTTTACAGGCGAACATCAGCTCAGAGACATCATCGATGCTGGCAGTTGAAAGCTTCGCTTACAGACGGTGACGACACGACATTTTGCCGTCGAAGGGCAGATCGAAGAGAGTTATTTGAACCCTGATTTACCCCCACTACAGTTTCAGCTTTGGAAAGCGTGTTCTTGTGAGTCCAAATCCAGAGATGCTGTTGTTGTCTTGTTGGCTTCAGTGACGGCATCGTTCCTCCCCCCCGATTCTAACCCCTAACTAACCCCTGCCCCGGGGTCATTAGTCATAAGCATGGAGGGAGTGGAGGGAGGATTGTCAACAGTGCAGAATGGAGCCTATTGTTAGCCCCACAGGCCAGAGGGTGCTGTCTCACCCATGGAAGTGTCACCAATTTGGACTATGCTTGCAGCCAAGTCTTGTGTGTGTGTATATGTGTGTGTGTGCGTGTGCACGCCAATTTTTCTGTGTGTGTGTTTTGTTTGCAAGTGCATGTATGTGTTAGAGTGTGTCTGCACAGACGTATCACCACGGCAACTGCTCTTTTTGGTTGTTGGTTTCCATCGAGCATGTGATGTGGCACAGCCTGACACCTCCACATGAGCATGTGAAGCCTGTCAGCAGCTAATTTGTTGACTTGTTGTCTTCTTTTACATACTCATACTTTATCGCCTCTCTGCCTCCGAAGGTATGCATTCGCTTTTCAAACCCGGAGTGCACACATACTGCATACACGTGTGGGTCGGTGGGTGGTGCACACGTCTAGTTCTAATTTGTATTTATGTACTTGTGGTCAAATTAATACAGATCACTATGATCATATCTGGCTGTGACATGACGTTGGTTCGAAGCCAGCTCTCTTTCGTACATCTCAGTAAACCCATTCCTCTCTCACTCTCCCCCCCTTTTCAACCGGGGCCCAGATTGTTAAAAGCGAGCACACCTTGTTTTAGGAGACCCGGGCCAAGGGGGAAAATCAGCCTTTAATAACTTTGTACGGGAAAAGACTCACACTGCCAAAATGGCAGCCGCCCTGTACGCCGTTCAGCTGGCAAACCAACAGCCAGAGAAGGAGGGACGGGATTGGAATGGAAGCAAAAAGTAAGAGTGATTTTTCTCCCAGACCTCCTGTTGCAGAGACAGCATGTAGGAACGTGAGGAGAGGGGTGTGAAGAGGCTTAGTGAGCCATCATATTTCATTCTTATTATCCTTATATTGCATTGTACTTCCCCCTCAAAGGAATGAATCATTTCTCCACACTTATTTTGGAACTAATCTTCTTGCAGAGTTTAAATTTTATCTTCTGTATCATGGCGTTAACCGCTCGAAAAAAATATGTCTCAAACACGACAACCCTCGCTTACAGTTTGTCCGCTGTAGACTTCTCTTTCCGTCTCCTTGCCCTTTTCTTTCCGCACTTAACATGCTGTTCGCACTTGTATGTTTTGGTGTAAGCGGAGTCTTGAGTCTGAGCAGAGCAGAGCTTGGTAGGGAGGAGGCTCCCAGCATGTTGGAAGCCACACCATCGCCGGCGCCAATTCCAACGAGACATGAGTTATAGCTCCGGCTTCCCCGAAATCAAATAAATAATCTCCCTCTTATTTATTTACTGTGGCTGTCTCCATGATTTGCAGCTTCTTGATTATTCTATAGGGTTAAAAGGACTTGCTTGCGCTCTTGTCATGCTTGGCCCTCTCTTAAGACACGTGCGATGCGGATTTTCAGGCGCACACCTGTCACATGTTTTTCCATTTATATACTGCAGTCTGGATATTTCATCATTAAGTAATTGCAGCAGGCCTATAAGAGGGTAAAATCATTGTCTGAGCATTTATGCAGCGGCAGGGTCCACCATTCCTCCTCACCAGCACCGACAGAAGCAAAAACATTCAACCAGCCTACCTATAAACACACACACACACACACTCACGCACACACACACACACACACTGGAAATGAGCCTTTGGTAGCAACAGTATAACAGCTATCAGAGCCTCTTGGCCATGTGTTGAGTGCAATAATGGTAAAGGCAACGACAGGCTCAGCCCATATTCTCAATTAGGCTCCCAAGTGCTAGGTGTGGAAAGGTGTCTGGCACAGCGCCTGACCGCAGCACTCAAAGAGCACTTTGTCTGCCCACCTCACACCCACCGTACCTGCCCATGTTGTGGAAACAACCCAACGTTGTCACACAGTTGATTTAATAAAACTGGATCCCCAAAATGAGACTTCTAGTGTTACAGGGGCTCAACAGTCGTAATGGAAACACATACCCCGCCCCCCCTCCCTCTCCATCCCTCTGGCTTTACAGGCGTCCTTCCAGAGTGAGAATGGGCGAGGGAGACCCCAGGGTAAACGGATACTTCCCCACTGCGAGCCCAGGAGCCCAGGTATGGCAAGAGCAAACCCCATGTCCAAAGCAAGCTCATACCCCAGCCACAAGCCTGGCCGCTGCAGCAGCTTACAGACTTGTTAAATGATGATTGCGAAAACAGAGAAAGTCAAAAAGGAAAATAAAGGTAGTGCCAGTGAGGGTGAGGTGCCGCTGTGGTTTTGTAAGTTGGTTTTGGGATCGGTGGGAAGTCTGCTCAGTCTCCTGTAACTCCTGCTTAGTGCGTGATGTTTCAGCGTACGTGTTTACAGCAGTGATGATTAATTATCACCTCAATAACAGGCTAGACTTAATGGATGCATGCAGTGTAATGAGGGGATCGGGTTTTTGTGGTAACTTGCTGGAGGCATTTGAATACAAGAGGATAAAAACATGAAAAGGAAAACGTTGAACCGCAGTGTTTGGGTCTGCGATAGGAAACAATGAAGGTGGCAGCACTGCCTACTTTTGAAACTGACGGCCTAAATATTAATAATACTTTATTTAAGTAGTGCCTTTAAAAAAGAGTTTTTAAAACCTTGACAGACAAGAAAAAACAACATCAGATCCCAACAGCAAAAACGACCTTAACATCAACATTAAAGGGCCTAACCCAGCCAAGACCACATACAAATCCAGCCACATAAACTCAAAACAAAAATGTAAGATGAGAAAAGCAACTTAAGTGTATATGTCAGATAATGGAGGCAAAGATAAAAAAACAAATCAGCTGAAAAATAAGTTAATAGATCAAAGAAATAGATAACGATAAAAGCAAGAGATCAAACAATAAAAGGACATCTAAGCAATTTTAAGGGTAAATGTAAGATAGTGGAGGCAGTTAAAAGAGATCATAAGAATTAAAAATTAAAGCAAGAAAACTTAAGTGATCAAAGCCTAAAAAGAAGATAAAAACATTTTAAAAAGAACAAATCAATTGAAAGAGATCAAAGAAGCTAAAAGAGATTAAAGCGATTAAAAGAGGACAACGGAATTACAAATTAAAGCAATATAACTTAAGTAATCAAAACCTGTAAAGAAGATAAAATCAATTAAAAGATATCAAAGCATTTAAAAGAGATTGAAGCAGTTAAAAGAGATCAAAGCAATTAAAAATTAAAGTGTGATCAAAGCCTGTCAAAAAGATAAAAGCATTTAAAAGAGAAAAAATGAATTGAAAGACAACAAAGCAATAGAAAGTTAAAGCAATAAAACTTAAGTGATCAAAGCCTGTAAAGAAGATAAAAGCATTTAAAAGAGAACAAAGCAATTTAAAGAGAACAAACTAACTGAGGGGTACCAACACGAACTGTAGCGGTTAGGGGAATAAAAAGAGATAAAGCAATTAAAAGACATGGTGAAAATGCAAAGTGATAAAGGGACTTATAGAAGAGATGACAGCAAAAAAAAAAAAGTGCATAATGTGCCTTTAAAATTTACAGAGGCTCATCATTTAACATCACAGCGGCATTAGGAATCAGGAAGATGCCTCGGCAACTAAACTTCAATGTGCCAAAACGGACAAAATATTTTATTTGTGTTTCTTTTTGTACCCTTGTACATTTTAATTTATTGAGTGATGTTTACAGCCACTAAGAAAAGAACACAAAGTCTAACAGATACATAAATGCGGTACAATTCAATGAATCTATGAGTATTTCACAAAATGTGACATTCCTTAAAAGCAACTTTCACAACACAAAACACAACTCTTTGCAAAACAACACAATCATCTAACATTTAACACTAAAATTACATGAAACCAAAAGCAACGTCTACAAATCACAATGACATTTCAAAAACACATCAGAACAACTTTTAGTCACGGAAACAGTTTACACGGAACAAAACAAACAACAACAATCTGAGTAACTAACATTTTTTTGCAAAACACAACTTCAGATGATAAGATACCAAAACTTGACTGGATCTTTTGCCTGAATCCTGACCTCTAAATAAGAGCACATGTTCTTTTAATGTCATTATCATGTCAGTTCAGTCTGATCATTTGTCTTAGTATTCGATACCTGACTTACAAAGTGCTTTACAGTAAAAGCATATTTCCTGAATGCATTTGCTGGTATAGCATCACTGTGAGCAAATGATGATTTGTGTGTGTTTTCTTCTCCATCATTTTCTGTATGTTCTGCTTTCTGTCTGTCTTACATTTTCCTCCATCTTTAAACAATATTTGTGTTTTTTCTGCAACCCAGGTCACTTCGATCAATAGCTGATTGTTTCAGACTATCTGATGCTGAAAAAAAAAACACTTTCTGCATCAATCTGTTTTGCTTTGGACTCAATATTCAAAACATACTGTATAGTCATTTAAACCTCACAGTCTAGTCACTCACAGTGTAGTCAGATAACTTCGGGGGCAGGGTAATAGACTCAGAGGTAAACAGGTAAACACTCTGGTGGCGTGTGTGTTTGTTTACTTGTAGGAAGTGCTGACGCATTGCTATCACCAGGGGACTCTTAGAAAAGTGGTGGAGAGTCAGTGGTGTGTATATGCATCACTGTGTTGGGGTTAGTCCTTAAAGGGCACACTGTGACAGAACAGGACCCTAAACTGCAGGGTAGACTTCAATTAAATCCTTAAAAGTATGATTAAAATCAAAAAGTCTTCCTAACTTGAGAAAGTAGAAATGCTGAAGTTAAAACCTGTTGAATTAATCCATTTTTATCTACATAGTGCAAAACCATAGCAAATTTTTTCTCACACTACAAAACAAAGCAGATCTTGTACTCTTGGTTAAAATTAATAAACTGCAATAAAACAAAGTAGATTAAAAATGTTGCCCATGTCCATATATACTTCTTCTAAATTCCAGAGATAGAATGTACTTATGTAGGGCATAATTACTCGCATCTTGTTCATCATACAAGAATGAATTGTTAAACCAAGAAAAAAGTTTAAGGCTGATATTATGGAGCACATAATTGACAGAGTGCAACAGGAAAAGTCAATGAAATTACTAAAATTAATGCCGTTTGAGGTGAGATCTTTGCAGGAGAAGCTGAGAGTTAAAGAGCTTGCATTCGATAACCTAGGAATTGAAATTGAAATGTTATTTTCAGGAATCTGTCTGGGTAAGAAGGTTTGGTTGATGGCATGAAGTGATGCTCATGATTTATAAGCTTCCTCTGTCTCCTTTTTGATCACCAGAAATAGACTTAGCATGGATTTGGCCAATAGAAAAGAGACATGGGTCCACGTTAGACACTGCGATAATCATTTAGCTTAATCAATACAGATAGACGCACTCACATTTTGTTATATTTTAGAAAAATACATCAGTGGCTTCGAGTTGAAAGGCGCATGAGCTTTAAAGCTGGGCGAAATGTTTTGTTCTGTTCTGTTCTCTATATTACTGCAAATAATTTCTTGCTTTGATTAGTGCCATACAGAACGGCGGATCACCACTCATACTCAAGATGACAGCCTTCAGATTTTCCCATTATTGTTTCAAAAATTCCATCAAAGAGAAAATATTCTGCTTACATGACCTCGTCTTGTACCATGAATGGTTCCACTTTGCTGCACATTTCGCTGTCTTTATAACATCGTTACAAATGTGTGAGAGTCTCTGCCTGACAGTGTGTTGGTTTCTGTGTTTGTATGCTTTTTAATCTGTGTGTATGTGCGTGCACCGGTATCCATACATCACACAGCATCTCCACCTCAGCTCCAAAATAGTTTAGACAAGTTTCACGAGGTTAAATTTCACGGCCTGACATGCAGGTTCACTTCCAGGATCACACTCTGCAGGGTTATTCGTGTACTTTATGTGTCTGAACTCCTGACCTTGGATACATCGTGGAACAATTTATGATCCCCCCTTTTTTTCTCCCTCCTCGTACATGATAAACATCTGCGAACCTCCCTCAGGGTCGACTACGATGACAACTTAAAGCGAAGAAGTTTAAAAAATGAAACAGCAGAAATCTCAGCTTTCCTCTCTACCTCTCTCTCCTCCCTGTCCTCCTCTCCTTCTCTCTTCCTCATCTTCTTCTTCTCTGCTCTGATGTGATTCTGTAGTCTTTGGAGGTAAACAGGGGGGAGGAGAAGAGGAGGGAGAGGGACGGATCCTTTTGCACATCTGAGGTTTATTTTGCCTCCCTCTGGGGAGTGCGGTGAAACTCTGCATCTCAGGGAAATTGCCAACGCTTTCTGGGCCGGCTTGGCAAACTCTCAAACGCACTCTCACACATGCACTCGCTCCTCAGCTGGCTTAGGTTCCCTAACTTTGCACCGTCACAGTCGCGGCCTATGTCCACTTTCCTTCCGCCACGATCTTTAGGTGCACGTTTCCAGTCTTGCGAAGTGTAACCCTCTTTTGTTCTCATGTAAATAATGTAGCTATGCTTCGGAAACCCCCTTGATTCCTCCCTCGGCATGCTTGAATGACAATTCTGTAACCAAGCAGGCCTTAACTTGTCAAGAAAAACCACCGCCAAGGACTCAACACCCAAAAGGATCTAAGACTGCAGCTTTTTCTGGAAAACTAAAGCACGGAAAAAGTACATATATGATCCTGAGAAGATGCCAACTCATCCCTGAGGCCTTTACTTCCTCCCTCTCTTGCAACCCATCCCCCTCCTCTCTTCCTGCATTAATTCCCCACCTGGCTGCCATTGAGGTTAACATCAGCTGTGGAGAGGGGTTAACAATCACAGGCAGGTGCTTCTCCGAGTGACCTGGATGCATTTATCCCCCAATCCCCTGATGACCCCCGACAGGAAGTGAATCGCTGTCTAAATGACCTCCCCTGGTGGCCCTTCCTGTCCCCATGTTGCCTCGCAGGAAGGAAGGATGCGGTCTGCTGTCCTCAGGCGCAGCTCACCCTCTCTCCCCCCCTCACATTAAAAAAAAAAAAGATTATTGATTCCAGGCTCGTCTCTTTTTATGCTCATTTTTTATCCTTCTTTTGGTCTCTTCTATTTCCCGTCTTCTTCTTCTTCTCCCTTGCCTCAGCACCCACTTTATCCTCTTTTGACATAACTCCTTTCGTCTTTGTCCATCTTTAGTGTGCCCCTGTGAGATGTAAATAAACACTGTGGACACTGGCAAAACCACAACACAACCCAATCCAAATGGATTACACACCAGGGACTAACAAGCGCTGTGATTTATAGTCCCCGTTTAATTTATTTCTCACAGTGACTTGTTTATTTGTGTTATTGTTACTTTATTGGCCGTTTGTTTGCATTAAAAGTGGCAGTCATTTCATGTGGCAGAGAAATCCCAATGCCAGGCTTCTGGGTTTAGTCTGCTCTCAAATGATGCACATGCACTTTGTGAATTACAGGACACCATTTGGTGGTAGTTAAGAGGAGAAGGGGACTTCCCGACAGACGGAGAACGAGACCTCACTGACAACATCAAACGCTGTTTTTTCTGTTGTTCTTCTGGCTGTAGTTTAAAAAGCAGGGACTCCAAACCACAGAAAAAAGGTGAGGAGGTCATGACGAACCTTTTGCTAAATGCTCACTCATCTGTTGTTGTTATAGCTGTGACAGCAGAGCGGGGGGAAAAGATTTTACCTCCCTGTGCGGATTTATGCTTTTCTCTTGTTAACATTATCACACATTGTAAAATTAGTCACACTCTCCGTTCAACTGGATAAGATTTCTGCGGATCACAAGCTGCAGACACATACCGTAAAACCCAGAATATAGGTCGCAGTCGCTCTCAGAGAGCAAAAGGTTTCATTTGTGCTCCTGCATGGAGGAGGCGTGCATTTCACTCAGCAATGTGCAGTTTGTATGCGGATGTGTAGCTACAACCTTAACCTGAGGTAGCTAGGACAGTTGCGAGCATAGGCGTCAGTTTATTGTAACCCCGGTTATTTTCAGTAGTACAGATAATTCTGACGCTTCGGTATTCGTCCAAGAGTTGCAGACCTTAGCGAGGATAACAAAAACATAATACTGTTGTAAATTTGCGTCTGTGCCAAGTTGAGTTAGAAAACATGTTTGCGTGTTCAACCCTATGATCATCCCTTGTAATAACTACATGCAAGGGGTCGTTAGATGGTTACATAAAATAAGTCTACGCACTTTATAGTAGCCGTACCAAAAGTAAAATCAATTAAAGTCTTCATCCCAAAGTCACTTTTGCTCGTAGCTGTCCCCACCACTTTTCGAAACAAACTGACGCCCCTGGTTGCGAGGGTTGAACGGACTAACAGCACACATTTCAAGACTATTTTATGAGACAAGAGGAGTCCTGCGCACAGTCTGTCAGAAATACATTAATAGGCAACATTCTGATACTAAAATACTGTCTGTGAGTGAAGCTGTGATCATTAGACGATGTAAATGTCCCTTGAAAGTGTAAAATCAGGGATTATGTACTTAAAAGTATTTTGCACTGCCTCACTGAGGCATGCAGGTCTTCAGTGAAAGAGGCTCTGACCGGATATAATCTGTTTTTGTGGATGCAGGAATAAAATTCATCCGACGACGGCGGTTTTTGGAAGTGGTTGTGAGCCGATGTGGTGATTTCCACGACAGAGTTGTGTTTGTTTTTGATGCAATGCCAAGTGAGGCCTCAAAGATCACAGCTGTATTGTCTTTCAGTTGTGACTCCAGGTTCTTTGCACGATTTTTCAGTTTCAACTTTATGTTATTTTTGCACTATTTTTAATTACATAGAAGATTTAATTTAATTCACAATAAGCAGCTCCCCACTTGTTTTAGAAGTACAGTCACAAATGATTGATTTGATTTTTCTTCTCCGACAGCTCATTGAACATCACAGACGACAACAGAACATTATATACACACCAACAATAAATGACATACACAAAAACAAAGATGACAACACAATAGCGGACAGACAGATCAGCGGGGCCTGCAGGGATCAGGCTTTGATGGTTTTGTACCTGCGTGAGGGTAGTGGGATGATATATTGGTTTAATGGGTGAGTGCTGTCTTGCGCTATAGAGATTGCTAGGCGGGTGATGGACTTGTTATTTAGTTAATAAAATTGTGGATTGTTTTATATAGAGACCTTATATAAATGTCGGTTGATTTTCATCTATGCGTTGTCAGATTTAACCAAATTTTAGCTTAAGATGTCCAAAAAAATAACAGCAGAGCACTTATTTCACGTTCAAATGCAGTTATTTTTTGAATAACTAACACTTCAACCAAATTCCTGTCATCTTTGTTTTTTTCACTAGTGTCTTTAAAAGTTAAATTTTGTCCTCCGGTTGAATTAAATCCTGTTCTTTGTTTTCTAAATGAAAATATAACACGTTCTAAAAGATTTGGGACACACGAGTGGACAGCAGGAGAGAGTGTGAAGTGAGATGTTGTGATCCCACAGGTGTTTATCTCCCCTCTGTGATGTGGTTCTGCAACTGCAGTGCCACCTAGTGGGAGGGACGGTTAACTGCCCTCTGAATCACTGCTGTGTTATGGGACTAATGTATGTTTGGTAAACAGACGCAGCATGTTCACTCAAACATACAGAGCACGTCTGAGGTGGAGTTACGATAAGTAAAGAACTCAGACAGAACAAATGTAGACTATTTGTCTCCGTCATCTGTTTGTCCATTTGTACTTTTTCAGGTCAGACTGTTCGTCTGCAACCTTAAAGTATTCCGGCTGAGCTTCTCCAACCAAACATCGAGGCAGTGAGTTCACATCTGGAGCTTATGTGGGAGATACACATCAATAAGTCAGGCCTTCAAGCCAGCAGAGAGCATCCCTACAGTTGCTAAGAATTAAGAGGACTCTGAATAAATAAATGACTTATCAGTCGAGAAGAGGCTAAAGATGCTTTAAAACGGCGTCTCGGTCCAAAGAGAGACTTGGAGGAACTGTGAGGGGGTGGGTATTAGGAGAGAACATGCTGGAAAAGCAAAGGAAGGTTTGTTTGGCCACGTTTTGCTAATTGGTCTCAGTGGTGCAGCTAATGGTTTTAGGTTTATGTCCAAGCTCTAAAATAAGTGGGAACCAGTGAACAGCTAGGCGCTGTGTTTTATGCATTTTCATCATTTTGCGAGCGCACGAGTGCAGAAAATTGCAAATGTAGACTGAAATCACCTCATTTAAAACCGCACGTAACACATCCTGTCACTCCTGCATGTATGAAACAGATGTTCGGTGAAGTGACTTTGGAGCTACTTCAAGTTTTCACACCCCAAAATGTCAAGCTAGCATTTCAGCTTCAGTGACATGCTTTGATATTTTCACCTCCGTCCCTGTCCGTCGTCTCTCTCGGGTTATGCGTGGCCCTCCTCCTGACCCCTCAGCAGTCCGTTTTGTCCGTCTTTCATCGGCTGTAGCTGAGGCATGTGGCAACAAAGCTCTGCTGTGGTCTTATGGCATCTGTCCCTTCAGTAATCCCTGCGTTATCGCTGCACATCAAAGCGTTAAAGGCTTGCATAATTGAGTTAACGAGTGTGTTGGTAAGTAACCTGATCTTTTACTCCCTGTGAGGAGAGCGCTCATAGTGTGTGACCACAGAGAGACACAAAAAAGAGGGGCAGAGAAGGCCGTAAAGCTCTGCAACAACTGTGGGTTCACGCTGTGGGCCTGGCAGGCTGCGCGGTGCCCAGGGTTAGAGCCACGCTAATGAAAAAACAACAGTGGGGTAATGCTAGAGTGGAGCTGGAGCCGTTGCAGCGTGCCCACTGCACAACTGCCCCGGTCAGCACTGGCACTGGCCGGAGCGCCAGTTGTCACGGCCTTAATCCTGCCTGCTGAATGACCTCATCATTGCCCGCCCGCCTCCTTGCAGCTGCTGCACGTCGAGGCTCGGTGCTGCAACAGCACCAGAGTGACCTCACCTACACAGCACATGCACGATCACATGCAAAGTACGCAGATCGAGCAAAGCAGGACTCAAAACATGCAAAACTTTGCAGCGTGCACGGTCAAAGTTGCAAGAAGACATTCCTCTGCAACAGTGGCATGTCTCCACAAAGATAGGTCGTCTTTATTTTGTTCTCATGCATGAAAGATCGTATCATAAAAGTAAATACTGACGCAAAAAAAAAGGAAACTTAACACCCGTGCTCACTCAGGCCAAAGATCTTCTACACTGTTTTACTCAGAAACCAAAGTTATAGTCTTCGCTGACATGAAAATCGCTGTGGTTCATTAAATCATTAGCTAGCTAGCTACTAGGCCAACATCAGCAAACTAAAGCTGTCAGAAATCAAAACTTTTTCTCTTTTGACTGATGAAATAAACAATCACTTTATGCATTAGTAACCCGGTGTCAGTGTCTCTTTATCTTGGCCCTGTTCACGATTATTCCAATATGGAAGTGACCACTGCGTTCACACAGTCAGTCCTTTTGGTTTCTGGTAACGCAATGAAAGCTTAAAGGGATATTCCGGCATAAAATTAATTTAGGGTCAAACACACTTAACACCGAGTTAGACCGCAGATAGCAAAATACAGTGGTCTGAGGAGCCATAAACAAACCTCAACCAAAACGCCACAAATGATGCTCAGAACAGCACCTAACTTCATCAACAGGACATAAAGGGTCCCAGCCACAGCACTAGCCACCAAACATCTTTTTAACTTTGCCTAATTTCTTTAGCAAAGAGACTAAACACAACTCACCTACTCTCTTCCAGCAGCCGCTTGTTTGTAGCGAGACCTAAGGCCAGTCCGTCATCGACTAAAGGAGTGACGCAGCTAAAGGAAGAACATTTATGATCATTACTTTATCATTTTCTTGAAGTAATAATCACCATATTAATCATTTTACACTGCAGACATGATAGTTCTTCTGCATTATCGTCTCGGTCTGATTGTATTTCCATGAAGAAAATATCATAAATGTTCTTCCTTGAGCTGCGTAACCCCACAGCAGTCTGAAATGGACTGGCCGAGGTCTCGCTACAAACAAGCGGCTGCTGGAAGAGAGTAGGTGAGTTGTGTTTAGTCTCTTTGCTAAAGAAATTAGGCAAAGTTAAAAAGATGTTTGGTTGCTAGTACTATGGCTGTGACCCTATATGTACTGTTGATGAAGTTAGGTGCTGTTCTGAGCATTATCTGTGGCTATAGAGTGGCGTTAAGTTGAGGTTTGTTTATGGCTCCTCAGATCGCTGCTATCATGCGGTCGTTACTAAAGTTGGTATAATTAGAGAAGCAAGCGGTTGGCAACCTTCATCTCTCGAGGGGGTGTCTAACTCGGTGTTACGGTGTGTTTGACCCTAAATTAATACTATGCTGGAATATCCCTTTAATTCAATGTCGCACAAAACAGCTCGACTCGGTAGACTCACATGAGAACTCTAAAACATCCAGGTCAAATCCAGGTCGTCCACTCAAAGATTCTAATCTTTGTTTACGAAGCCTGTGCGTATAACTCCAAGTGAGTGCGGTGCTAGTTCAGGCAGGCCATTGGTGAATTCAAAGACACTGAAAGTTGTTTTTTAAGAATTTTACATCAAAGTGTCTCTACGGAAACAAAATCAAGCTCACCCAGGAAAACTCACAGACCTCAGTCTGGGCGTTTATGACCGGAGATAGCTCCAATAATAGAAATTGTCCCACCCAGTAAAAACGATCCACTGCAAGGTCTGTGGACTGTCAAGAATTACCAGGCTATTGTATTTTGAGCGCCAAATGTGCCATTTTTTTATGCATTTAGCAACAAAATTGCAGCAGCTTCCATTGTCTGTTGGACCCGAGGATAGTCGTTGCGGTTGAAATTTCAAACCAGTCCATTATAAGACGGTTCTGCCCCTGATATGAAGCCAAGAAGGAGTGCAAACATAGGAAACAGTGGGTCTAAATGTGGCACAATTAAATGAACAACTGTGATGTATTTCCATATTCATGTCTTGAACTTTTGCAAGAGAAAAAAAAAAACTGCATCAGCTGGAAAACAACGATCAGCGAGAGCAGTTGTTTTCTTTGTGATTTGGGTGATTTAACCTTTTAGCTAATTACGGCAAACATGGCTGTATCATGTAAACATGGAGCTAATTTACATTTGTATACATTGTATGAGAGCTCCATATTGCACTCACATTAAACAAGATCAGACTGCTTTGCCCATACAAACTCAATTACCGTCAAGATAGATAAAAAGAGACACAAACACAGATGTACATAGTGTTCATGAACATATATCGGCACACAGACACACTTGTGTGTGTGATGAAAATAAAGAGACACTTGCTCCGTTGGCACCTCCTCCAATCACACACGCCGCCTCCACTCCTTCATCCCAGCTGTCACAACTGCAAAAACTCTACAAATACACACACACACACTCTCTCGCATATTCACACTCACCCACACACACCACTTTTCCTGCTCACACCTTTTCCCGCTCACCATGGCTCTCTCCAGTTGGTGCTCGTGTGCCCACTCTCTTCCGCAGCTTGTATGTAAAGTGTGTGTGTGTGTGTGTGTGTGTGTGTCTGTGTAAGTGTGTGTGTGTTTATGAGCGCGTGTGTCATCGTCTTTTATTGCTGTAGTTCCAGCTGAGCTCAGACATGCATAGTGCCCACCTCTGCTCCGGCTGCATATAAGGAAGGACGTGGACAGTGAGTCATGTTTTATTGTGGCCTCCTCTAAGCTGTGAAAAATTACAGCCACCTAAAACTCAATCTGTTCTGCGTCTGAGAGCGAGCGAGAGGATTGAAGTGGCAGTGAGCAATTTAGGCACGCCTTGTAGTGAATCTCTGCTTTTTCTCTGCTTTACACCCCTTTTACTTTTTGCTCCAACTTTATAGGCCATTGAATCTCATAATCGGTGTGTGAAACCACTCCTGCGCTCACTCTCCGTGTTGTGCCGCGTTCGGGCGAGTTTGCGCGCTCAACGCCAAATGCTTCCTGTTTGACAGCAGCGCCATGTGTCAGGTAATAAATCTGATCCCCGCAGAAACAGAATCCACTGACAGTGACGCTTGCAGGAAGCACCCTGGGTTAGTGTGGATTTATGGTCAGGCCTCAGATAACACACCCACTACCCTCATTTTTTAACATGACAGATTGGCGTATTTGCAAGTGGAAACAAGAGTGTTTTGCACCTTAAATCAATCCTCAGAAATTCAGAGCAGATTCGAATTAAATTTAAGTTAAAGGGCCTACATCCAGATAAATAACCCGACTGAAATAAGGAGCAGATATTGAGGAAAATTGGGCCCCTGGTAGTGATTATTACCCTCGTGGAGCTTTTTCCATCCTGGTACCCTGGCTCAGACTCCCATGTCTGGATCTTTTAAAGGGTCCAGGGAGGGTTGGGCATGTATTATTTTCAACACTTCAGATTAAACCCTGCTACAGCTCTCTGAGGCCTTACTAATACAGACCTCCTGCCGGGTAACAGCGAAATTAAAACTGAAGAGAAAAAAAAAAAAAAAGAAAACAGCCGTGACTGTGAAAATAGTGTTAAAAACAGAGGTGGAAATTGCAAGCGTGACACCGAGATGCTGTGATGACGTCTTTTGGAAAGGTAATAATTAACAGAGTCACCTTTTTTACGACATAAAGGAAAGAGAATTAGATCTTTAATATGATGACAGGTTTGAAGTCAGGGCTTGGCTTCATTGGTTTAGCACTTTGAAATATTGCAAAATGGAGTAAAATGATGATGCCAAGGCAGTTTCAAGCCACCAGAACACAATATTTTTGCAAAGGCCTCTCTATTTTCTCATGTACCGCTACAGCATATGAAAGGGTGCAGCTTTTGGATACACATTATAAAGACTCAGGATGTCCTGCTACAACTTTTTTTACTCTGGGTACGATACCGATATTGATCTGATATTTGCACAAACTTGTGCATGACAAGTTTTGCACTCAGCTGCAATGTCGTTTTTGGACTTGAACGAAAAATACTGCCACAGGGCCGACATCACTCCTACTCCTTGCTACTTTGTTAGTACCTAATGCTGCGTTGGAGTTACCTCGGAAGTCAGAAGTCGGAGCTGAAAATGAATTCACACCCGAGTTACCAGTGAAACCCGAATAAGCAAAAAATGGCTACATCTACGATAGTTATTTAACGCTTGCCTTCTATTTTGCCTTCAATTTTGCTTTTCCGACTTGGTAACTGAAACGCTGAGAACTTGGTTGTAACGTCATTTTCAGCTCGGACTTCTGACTTCCGAGGAAACTTGAACACAGCATTAGTACACACTGTTGTTGTGATCATGTGGGCTCCACATGCTGGATCCAGGCGCTGCTAGTAGAGGTGCCGGAGTGGAGGCTTGAATGGACTGCTTGAATCGGTGTGCTGATATCGGAGATTTTAGATGCAGGCCGATATAATCCGATATTTGTTTTTTGGCTGATATTTGCACACCGATATCCAATATCAATATCGTATCAGGACAACTCTAATAAGGACATTGAAAGTTCATCAAGTTATCGCACATTTGTTGCTTGTCTCTTTTGATTAAGGTCAGATGCAGACATAAATTAACAAAACGTACATTAAATAACTCCCTAAAGGTGAATGCGTGATGCATACAGACAGACAGAGAGAGGGCAAAAATCAAAGTTTGACTGCAGATGCTGCATTAATGCAAGTCATGCTGTTGGCTGGGGGCAGCTGTTGCTCAGCGTTGGAGCCGGTTGTCCCTCAAATGGAAGGTCGGTGTCCTCCGGCGGAACACTGAACCCCGAAATTGCTCCCAGAGGCACAGTCAGCAGTGTGTGAATGAGATCAGTTAAAACAAATGGACCCTTTGCACCGCAGCCTCGGCCATCAGTGTGCAGGGGCACATCTAGAAGGGTGACCAGGGGAGGGTAATGACCCACCTTGTAATCTGACTGGCCACCAACAGGTGCTAACTCGAAATCCAAAAGTATGATTGGCTGTTCACCTTGTTGGAGGAGGGTCTTGGACTGTGTTGTGACAGTTGTTAGATAGTTTTCTTGGAGCTTGTTTTCTTGCACTCCCTGCATTTCCTGTTTCTCTTTCGCTGTCCTGTCCATACAGCTCCCCAAATTATCCTATAATAATAAACTCATGGATAGATGTGTGCACACATTTCAAGTGCAGCCTGTTATATACGGCTTTTTTTCTGATGGGTACATAAACGTACTTGCATGTGTGCACGCGTGTGACACTGCGCTGTTATTTACTTGGTTTTGATTTGCATAACCATATGGAGCTGTTTGTTTTGGTTTTCCATATGCAGGGAGAGTGGCTGTTATGTTGACCGGGGTTTGCAGAGACTGATTTGTTTACCTGCTCGGAAACGGAGGAGACGACATCACCTCAAAAGTTCTTGTTAGTTTGTGCAAAAAGTGTTAAAGGCACGGTTGACATTTCCTCTTCGACTTTGCCATTTCTACTGTCGCACTATAGGACCATGATCGCCATATAAACCAGGTTCATAATAATAACCAATCTCTCCAATTGTCAACCATACCTTTAATTGACATTTACTTTATATTATTTTATTCCCAGTTGAAGTTGCTGCCGGTCACTTTTATCTCTTCGGAGAATACTGGGAGTGCAGTACAGCTGGATTTGAGGACTTTTGACTAAAAATAGGCTGAAAAAAAAGGGGCCTCTAAGGTCCTGAACTTTCTCATAGCAGTAAACACCATCCTCTGGTCGAAGTATTAATAGTGCTATGAAGTTTATTTTGGTATGTTTGGCAAAGTCTCCCTCGTTAACCCTTAAAAGACTTGATATTCATAATATTTTCATTTCTACGTGAAGAAAAGTGCCGAACTGAAGAAAAACTCAAACAGAATTGAATATTTCATTTCAGGATAAACACGAGGAAGGATGTCGTGCAGCATAAGGATTTGCTTTGTGTAACTTTTTTTTAATGGAATAAACAAGAAAGCTCGATCTAAACAAGCAGCACCCATGCCACTTATTTCTCCTCCTCCTTTTTCTCACACACACACAAACTCTGTTCCTCTCGTTTAAGACGCCTCTGGGAGCGAATAAGTGCCAGGCCGTACCAGTCCACTGGTGCTCGCTCTCGCCAAGGGCCTGACAAACAGGGATGCCGGCTGGCAGGGCGCCCCCCTCTCCCTCCACCCCTCTCTCCTCGACGCACCGGGGGGCCGCGGGCAGCTGAGAGAGAAAGCGGCCAACAGATCAACAGTTGCCGTGACGCTGGGTGAGCGACTGGCCAGGCTGCTGCACGCCACCCAGCCCACATTAGGGGGCACCTGACCCTGGGTAAACTGACAAATGCCTGGCCTTTGGGTGCGCCTGCAGAGTGATGTGACCCTCAGGCCGCTTTAATCTGACTGCGCCGGACACGCACGCACACATGCGAGCACTTCGAACCATCCTCCGCCTTATGTTGCCAGTCAAAATGTTTTTCAAGCACCTGATTAAGTACATTACACTTGCATTCGCCCACGCTTTGCAGGCCGTTTGATTTACCGTCATGGAAATGGCGCAGCTCTGAGGCTTCTCGCTCCTAGACAAGAATGCTGTAATATGCTCCTAATTAACATGTTGAAATGATGAGATTTGATTAGTCTTTGACAGCTGAAACACACAGTTGCTTTACTGTAATTCGATCGCCACCTTGTTAGTTTAAGCCACGAAAAAGTACATTTGCCTGATTAGATTCTCCCCCCCTATACCTCCTCGGTTTTAGATCTTTATGTGCCATGTATATGTTGGCACGGACAAACACAAGCATATGGCGCACAAGTTTTATAGCCTCCTCATGTACTGTACACTCGTCAGGCACATTTAACTCATCTTGACAAGGCTGTTAATTTCTCTGAAACCAGGCACAGTCTTCAGCAACCCTCTCCCTCTCTCTCCTCGTCCCCTCTTCCCTCCAAAATGCCCAGCTGTCTCCGCAGCAGACAGCTGCTTCAGGGGTAGAACGAATCTCAGCTGTCGAGGGGAGCCGTGCGTGGGGGTTGGTGGATTTTGGGGGGGGTTGTTGTATTTCCCCCCCCAGCAAAAAACCAATGACAACTCCACACCCTGCGAAGCACCGAGTTGGGTGGAGTGTGGAAAAGTGCTGACGGTGTGCAGATTTAGGGACAGAAACCAGAGGCTACAGCTGTCTGTGTGTTTACAACCAAAGAGGCCAGGACTTCTGAGAAAGGGGAATTCTGGGGTCAAAGAAGTGACGTCTCTAAAAATGTCTGTGTATAATATTTAGGTGTATTCTTAGTATGATTTGAAGTTTGTAAGTGATTGCCTCACTTCTCAGGTTTCATGTATTTTACTTTTACCTCTCATAAATCAGTTAGAGAGTTAAGACTGGCCATAAAAGACTAAAATTTTTTGCACAAATGTTATTAAAACTCTGCCATAATGAGTATCCAGGTCACACAGCTAACTGAGAGAGCTGTCATGTGGTCGTTGCAAAACCCAGAAAAGGGTTTAAGGTCCCATCAAATTATATATTTTAGTTGTTAAAGGGATATTCCGGCTCAAAATTAATTTAGGGTCAAACACATCATAACACTGAGTTAGAAACCCCCTCGAAGGATGAATGTTGCCGACCGCTTGCTTCTCTAGTTACACCAACTTTACTAACGACCGCAGGATAGCAATACAGAGAGGTCTGAGGAGCCATAAACAAACCTCAACTAAAACACCACTCTATAACCACAAATAATGCTCAGAACAGCACCTAACTTCATCAACAGGACATATAGGGTCCCAGCCACAGTACTAGCCACTAAACATCTTTTTAACTTTGCCTAATTTCTTTAGTAAAGAGACTAAACACAACTCACCGACTCTCCTCCAGCAGACGCTTGTCTGTAGCGAGACCTCAGGCCAGTCCATTATGGACTGCTGCAGGGTGCTGCAGCTCAAGGAAGAACACTTATGATCATTTTTTTATGTAAATGCAATCAGACCGGGACGCAAAGGCAGAAGAACTACTGTGTCTGCAGTGCAAAATGATTATTGTTGTGGTGATTATTACTTAAAGGAAATGATAAAGAAAGCAGTCGGCAACATTTATCTCTCAAGGGGGTGTCTCACTCGGTGTTACGGTGTGTTTCACTCTAAATTAATTTTACGCTGGAATATCCCTTTAAGAGAAGGTCCTTGTTGTTTTTTAAATTATGTTCTGAATGCAAGACATCACAAATTGGCTGCCTGAATGTTGTATAAGGGGACAGGGGGCAAACCAATGACACAAAATAAAACACTTATATAGACTTGGCGAGTTCTCCAGGAGAACATTAACCAATACATCGCATGTATGATCCAAAATCTGACCCCAGAAAACAGGAGGGATGAAAACCAGAGCCCACAGCTGTCTGTGTGTTTACCGCCACAGTGCTCAGTACTTCTGAAAAAGGGGAATTCTGCGGTCAAAAAAGGGATGTCTCCAAAATGTCTGTGGACAATAATTTTAGTTTCTTGTTGTGTGAACATATTCTCAGCATAACTTTACTTTTAAATGTTTACTTCACACCCTAGATTTACAATACTGTATTTTAACCAGATGGAAAGTTGGGATTGGCTCTAAAACATTGGATTTGTGGCTTTGGTTCCATGTTTTGTTTTTTTTTTGTTTGTTTTTTTGGCAAAAATGTTTAAAAAATGTTACCACAATGAATATAAACAGCATACAACTAAGTGTGAAAGAAAAAGCTCTTGGTAATTCTGCGTTTTCTCTCCATTTCCTAAAAGTTGCCGAGAGTCGCTGTGATGATGCTCAGCTCAAACGGCGAATCCCTCAGGTGAGCTACATAATCTTCGTACACCCATAGGCTGTATCAAGTGTCAATCATAGAAAACACGAACCCTCTAATAACTTTTAAAAACTGAGCTGTACAGAAAAAAGAGAACTTGAGCACAAACCAGTCTTACTGTAACTACATGTCAACATCACAGGGGGGGCGGGGGGGAATTACATTCTGTGTAATAAATTTCTAAAGTTTGTCCACAGCTCCATAGGGATTGCTGGAGGAGGCGGGATTTATGACCTATACTGCAGCCCGTCACCAGAGGGTGCTGTTTTCGGAGTGGCTTCACCCAGCAAGGAGGCAGACTCTGTCCATTCTATATACAGTGTATGGTTATTCCTACTTCCTTGCCTTTTGTGTCACTTCACCTGGCTGCCAGTGTCATCAGATAACCACAATAGGAGTGATTTTGCATGCATGGATATATGATCAACTCCTGTCATTACATCATCACAGGAGGAGATTTAATCACCTCGTAAAAGTCACGTTCTCTCTGTAGATGTGCTTCAAAAACAATGCAGGACTTTTTGCTCCTCCATCCTCAGGGTTGCCAGGCTGGAGGTTGATTAAAGTATATATGTTCAGTATATAAGTAAGGGAGAAATCTGTTTCTTATTATACAGGACCTTTTAAAGACAAAAAAAAATATGCAGTCAAATGTCCTCCACTGCAGAACAACTCCCATATACATGACTCACAACCTGTTTATTGCTCTGCTGTTTCTCTCTTCTATTATCCATGCTTCACTTTGTAAAGGTCAGAGGTAATTTAATCTCACTTCAGTCTCCTGTTCTCGAGAGCAAACAAGGTCTCTGCACTATGATCTTGGAGCGTATATCTAATGAGCCCGGACAGCCTGGCTCTTGATCACACAGGCGGTTGTATCATACATTAATTTCATATTGCATAACCAACAACAGCATCTCATTACAGGCCGCAGAGGATCAGGATCTAATCAGAATATGCTGCTGTTCTTTGTCGCAAATGGAGACAATATGTGGACCCCGGGACACGGCGACATCCTCCATGTAACAGAGGGACTTTTGAATGATGCTGTGAATTGTATCAGCTGTGTGTGGAGGAGTCAAAGAGAGGCCAGTGGCCTTTTTTGACTGTGCTGCTCTGATCAGAACCAGCTTTTGAAACCTAAGGCGAAGATGACGGCCTTTTTTCCAACAAATATCAAATCAGATGGGTAATATTGTGACTATCAGATTTGCAGGGGGAAAAAAAATCATTGTGGTTTTTCTGCCGTCCATCAAGGGCTTTTACTGGAACATGAAGGCGTCATCTCCAGAGGCAAAATCTTTAATCCCCTCTCCACAGGTAGGCGCTATGGAGAAAACTTCTTTCAGCACTTTTTTTCCCCTTAGGCTGAGCATCAGAACAATTTATTTTTATTTTATTTATTCATTTGGATCCCCAGTAGCTCCTACCGAGGTGGCGGCTACTCTTCCTGGGGTCCGCAAGAAGACATTAAACATTCGTGTACATTAAAATGGTAACAGGAGTCCAAACAGGAGAATTATACAAGATGCTAAAATCATAACTAAAACAAGAATTATAATGACATTACATTTACATTACAAACACTAATAAAGGCCCAGTTAAATGTACAAATAATCAAAAGTGTTCTGTTTCTTTTTATTTCAGTGAGTCTGGGTGTGAAATAACCATTTGATTCATGCCTTGCGTTGAAATTATGACCATTACCACAGAACAGTAATTGATTAGACAAACCATTTGGCTTTTTATACATTAAAATGTGTCTGAAGAAGGAAAGCAGAGACACAGTAATCCTCTCTTTCACCAATGGTCAGCCTAATGTCATGTGCATTTTGTGGATGTTAGAAAAATCACTGTGCAATATGACTTTTACCTGCATCCTGACATGCATCCATGCATTTCAGCACTTTAAACATTAAAAAATATTTTTACTGGCCAAAATGAAACATCAATTTATAGATACATTTGTGCAAATAAGTAAATGCAAAGTATGACTTATTTGTGCACACACACCTGACACATAAAGTGGATTTTACTCTGATATATGGGACATAGATCTGCTTTATTTACATGTTGTTTCAGACTTTTATTCTAACCTGAACTTTTTTCCAGCTCTCTCTTCCTATTTCATATTCTAGCATCGCCCTCTTGTGGCGCAATGTTGTCATCACACCTCTGGGATGTTCCACAGGTGTCTAACAGATATGGACGTCAGCCATGAATCTGCAGCTCACAGCAGGGGTGTTCAGTGCTGCTTAAAATGTACTCTACATGCATAAATCATCAGTTTAATCTACTAATAAACGACGTCTTGTAAAAAAACATTATTTTTATGAGCATCAGCCTCCAGCGACGTCTAAGAAATGAATACATACGCGATTTTATAACATCAGCATATTTCATTCATTGGTCACACGTGCACCTTTCATAAAAAAAATGATAATAAATGCAAAATAATGAAAAGTTTTGAGTCCTTATAAAAGAGGGAAGTTACTTAAGAATTATTGGTCATCATTTTTATCTTATTTTGACGGTTTTGACATATTCGTAAAATTTTATTAACCGGATAAATGAAGATAAAGGTTATTAATTTTAAGAGTAGGATTTGGTCTTTGGTGTGCAGGGGTTTTGCACCACCCATCTAAAGTCACTCTTCTTAATTCCTAATATAAATCTTGTAGGTTTACTCTAAAAATGGTAAATATCTGAGTCTATTTTGCCTGTGAGCTGTTCCTCGCAGACTGCTGCGCCTCTGTGTCCTGTTGGTTGTGCGCTCACGGTGGCGTGTTGTGCCACATCACATGTCAGGCAGCTCCAGCGCGCAGAGCCGAGCGTGTTGTCCTGAAAAGAGCAAGCTGTCAGGAGCAGGAAGCAGCTCCACAACAACGGAAGCGAGCGTGTGTTGCGTTTCGGGACTATTCCTCCTTTACTCTGGGTTAAAGGGGTTGAAGAAGAAGACGAACATGCGCTCAACGCGCAGGTGAAGACAATCTGCTCATTATCACCTCTGCAACTTTTCAGCTCCACACCTTTGGGCAAGAATCGCGCGACATTTGTTGTTGTTTTCTTTTTGGCTTACATTCGTTAAAAAAAATACTTCAGTTTTGTTTTTGTTTTTATAAGAAATGTCTCGCAAGAAGGCAGCAAAAGGTAAAGCGGGAAGCAGCAGCCCGTCTGCGGGCAGCCCCACCGGAAAAGGGACCGGGAAAACTGCGAGGAGCAGCCCGGGCATCGTTCAGATGAACGGCGTGGTCCACCCCAGCAGACCCTCCATCAGCAACAGCAGTGAGTTTTACGACATCGCTTTCAAGGTAAGACACCAGGAAATCAGTGCGTAAAAGTGCGTTTAATGTCACCACTTTGCTCAAGAATAGATGCCAAACATGCAAATGAAACAACCCCACCTTGGAGATGATGTAGAGACTTTGTTGTTCCCCTAAAGAAAGAGAGTTTTTCAATATATAAGGTGTTAACTTGGTATTGGACAGTAAATTTCATGTTGTTTTTGCTCCTTTTACGCATTAAACAGATCGAGCTCCTGACACCAGCTGTGTCAATATTGGATCGATAATAAGAGAAGGTGCACAGCCCTGCAACAGCCAACAAAACAAATCATTTACAGCAACCGGTTGAGTGCATATGTGTGTGTGTGTGTGTGTGTGTGTGTGTGTGTGTGTGTGTGTTCTTCCTGAGCAGCAGCTAGGTTACTGGGTTTGCATGTACTGAGCAGTGATCTTTTGGCGTGCTTCACCTAACCAGAATGTGAGCACTTGTGTGAGTAGAGAAGTGTCACTTGAACACAACACAAACAGTTTTCCCACCCACAGATTCTCAGTGTGCTCTACCATCATAGCTCCAAGGGACTTGTGCCACCTCCTCCTCCGTGGTTTTGAAGCAGCTGTTTGATGTGAGTGCATGATGGCTCTGTGTTGCTCTTTTTTTTTTTTTTTTTGTAGAACAATTGATCACAGCGGCCAAAGCATTTCACCATGTGAGCTGCTGGAGGAACAATGTTGTCTTGAATGAATTCAACCTTCAGATCAGCTAACATTTTCATGACTAAACTGTCAAATGCAGCATATGTTTATCAATTTTCGAGAGAGATTGATCATATTCCATTCCTACGTACAGCGCATCTTCAATTACTCAAGTTAATTTCCCATCTTCATGTCCGAGCACGTATATTTCCTCCCCCGCCTCCTTAATTATATCCAAATATAGCTTTAAAACCTACTTTGATGTTGCAAGAGTGTTGCAAGGGTAGGGTACCTCATTACCAGTGCAGCTTTGCAGGGATTAACCTTTACTGTATCCCCTTTTTTTCAGAGAAACGCCGAGGTGCGTGTGCCGTGTTTTCATTACTGTTCCCTCTGATCGTCTCTCTGCTTAAAGCCAGTGAGAAAATTGATTACTTAATATTTATTAAAAAAAACCAAGGGCAGGGAGAGACCAGGTGCACAACCCTGCAGAACCGAGGGAAACAAACCAAAAAGACACATTTGAACAACCAGTGTTGACGTGTGTTGTACAATAACATTAAAATGTGCATAAAATGGAAAAAACAAAGGAAAATGTAATAACTAGAAGATGAAAATGAAAGGTCTGAGTGTCTTCTGTCTCGAGACTTTGACATGTCTACCGTACAGATATAAAAGGTAAGCTATTCCAGAGCGTCACGATGGTCACCCTTTTTCCCTCAGCCTTCCAGATGATCTGAGAGCTCTGTGGGGAGGGAAGAAAGAGAGTGGAGGAATTCAGAGAGACTCTGAGGGCGAGGTTATATGAAGCTCTGAAAACAAACAAAAAGAAGAACCTCGACTGACTGGAAGCCCCTGCAAGGTTGTGAGAGCAGCAGAGTCGTGCTGTAGTGTTGTGAACCGTTTGCCAACAACAGTAGGGACTTAGTGATAGAGGGGCATTACTTCAGAGCAGCCAGGAGGTAATTAAAGCTGTGGAAACGGTTATTAAACCATTAAGCGAGAAAGCAGTTTGAGTCTGGCGCTGTTGCGTAAAATGGAAACAGCAGCTTTGAACAACAGTGGTAATTCATCAGACAGATTTAAAAACTGGAGTGAAGATAAAGCCAAGATTCATTTTCATTGAAGGGATATTCGGGCGTAAAATTAAGTTAGGGTCAAACACACCATAACATTGAGTCAGACACCCCGTCGAGAGATGAATGTTGCAGAAGGCTTGCTTCTCTAGTTATACCAACTTTAGTAATGACCGCAGGATAGCAATACACAGAGCCACACGCTCAACCAAAACGCCGCTCTGTAGTCACAAATAATACTCAGAACAGCACCTAACTTCATCAACAGGACATATAGGGTCACAGACATACCACTAGCCACCAAACATCTTTATAACTTTGCCTGATTTCTTTAGCAAAGAGACTAAACACAACTCACCTACTCTCTTCCAGCAGCCACTTGTTTGTAGCAAGACCTCAGGCCAGTCCATTATGGACTACAGCGGGGTGACACAGCTCAAGGAAGAACATTTATGATCATTTTTTTATGGAAATACAATCAGACCGAGACACTGAGGCAGAGGAACTACCGCGTCTGCAGTGTAAAATGATTAATATGATGATTATTACTTCAAAGAAATGATAAAGAAATGATCATAAATGTTCGTCCTCGAGCTGCGTCACTCCGCAGCAGTCGATGGACTTGCCCAGAGGTCTCCGTGTCTCAGGAGTTGACATTGTGGAGGTGGTGACTGAGCTGAGGGTTTAATGAAAGGTATATCTGAGCACCGTCTGCATGACAACTGTATTAAATGTTATACCTTTGGAAAAAGGAAACAAGGAGGGCACATGCAAAAGAGCTGTCACTCTTTATCCAAATCAGTGTTGAGTTAATTTAGTTTCAGGGAGTTATTTGCCACTCACTGTTTGATATTGTGAAGGTGGTGATTGATGTAAAGGTTTAATGAAAGGTGTGTCTGAGCATCGTCGGCGTAACAACTGTATGAAATGTTGTGCCTTTGGAAAGTGGAACTGAGGAGGGCACATGCAAAAGAGCTGTCTCTTTTTTTATCCAAAATAGTGTTGAATGAATGACTTAAAATGTCATTTTGAATGTATCTGAACATTGGCATATCATGTTCTGCACTCTTTTCAATAATGATTTTACTCTGGCGAGTAAAGAGCAAACAATACAGGCCCAGATACAGAGCCTTGAGGTACTCCACAAGTGACAAGGGCAGCTAGAGACCACCAGATTGGCCAGAAAAGGATCTGTCTCCTAAATAGGATGTGACTGACTAGAGAGCACAGCCCTGGAGACCAACGTGGTGGGTCCAAAAGATTAAAATAGCAGAGTTACCAGAGTTTAGAGATAGCAGGAGGTCTTGAAACCTTGAGCAAAGCAGACTGTGCGGCTACATGCTCCGAACTTGGTCCCTGATGTTACTGTTTTCAAGAAATTAGAGGAGCCGACAATAGAACAAGAAAAAAGGAGAAAATTCAAAGTAAACCAAAGCAGATGAGATCTTAAGACATATCGGTTCTCCCTGTTCCAGCAGTTCATACATATTTCTGTCTTGTATCTTCTGCCTCTGTGCTCCCAGGGACCCGTTTGATTTCCTTGGTCTTAAAAAATGTCTTTCTTGATTTTTTTTTTCATGTTTTTGCACATTGGTATATCATGTTCTGCACTCTTCTCAAATATAGTGCAAACAGTACAGGCCCAAATATAGAGCCTTGAGGTACTACACAAGTGACAAGGGCAGCTAGAGACCACCAGATTGGACAGAAAAGGATCTGTCTCTTGAACAGGATGTGTCTGACTGGAGAGCATAGCCCTGGAGACCAATGTGGTGGGTCCAACAAGATTGATATAGCAGAGTTACCAGAGTTTAGAGATAGCAGGAGGTCTTGAAACCTCGAGCAAAGCAGACTGTGCGGCTACATGCTCCGAACTTGGTCCCTGATGTTTTTGTTTTCAAGAAATTAGAGTAGCTGACAATAGAACAAGAAAAAAGGAGAAAATTCAAAGTAAACCAAAGCAGATGAGCTCTTAAGACATATCTGCACCCCCTGTTCCAGCAGTTCATACATATTTCTGTCTTGTATCTTCCTCCTTTGTGCTCCCAGGGACCCGTTTGATTTCCTTGGTCTTTCTTGATTTTTTTTTTCATGTATTTGAGCATTGGTATATCATGTTCTGCACTCTTCTCAAATATAGTGCAAACAGTACAGGCCCAAATATAGAGCCCTGAGGTACTCCACAAGTGACAAGGGCAGCTAGAGACCACCAGATTAGACTGAAAAGGATCTGTCTCTTTAATAGGATGTGACTGACTGGAGAGCACAGCCCTGGAGACCAACGTGGTGGGTCCAACAAGATCAATGTAGTAGAGTTGAGAGATAGCAGGAGGTCTTGCAGGGCAGATTCTGTGCAGTTATGTGCTCCGAATTTTGTCCTCGATGTTATTATTTTCTCTAAATAATAGTTGCTGACAAAAGAACAAGAAAAAGGTGAAAATTCAAAACAAGCAAAAGCAGCCTGTTCCCTGTTCCCTGTTCCAGCAGTTCATGCATATTCCTGTCTTGTATCTTCTTCCTCTGTGCACCCAGGGACCCTTTTGATTTCCTCGGTCTTAAGCCTTAACCTGATAACAGTAATCGCATCAAACCTCTGCGTCCATCCCCGACTCCAGATTCACTTATTCAAGACTGTGTGACAGGAGTGTGGCTCATTCGTGTCAGTGCATTTATACGGTTTAGTAAATTCACACACTTTCAGAGTGGACATCTTCAACCGGTGGACATGATGACACACTCATTCATGAGCCAACTCCACTGGCCAAACACCAAAAATACCACGACTGATTCAACCACATGATTCAAATGTTCTGTGTCTTTTTCTAAAGACGAAGAGTGACGGGCTGATCTAAATTTGAACACGTCTCATTTCAACGCTCCCTCTCTGTTGTCCTTGTTTCAGATTTGTCTGACATTTACCTCCATCGATCTGACTCAGTCTAAGCTCCGTCCCTTTGAGCCTCATTTTTGCGCTTCTTAGTTTTGCCTTCCGGTTGTTCCGTCTGACTTTTTTTTCCCTCTTGGTTTTTTTTTTCCTGCGTAGGTAATGCTGGTTGGAGACTCCGGGGTGGGAAAAACGTGTCTACTGGTCCGTTTCAAAGACGGAGCCTTCCTGGCCGGCAGCTTCATCTCCACTGTTGGCATCGATTTTAGGGTGAGTTTGAAATTCATGAAACAAACGAGCATAAAACTGACAGCCCCTATCGTTTAAAGCCCACACACACTCTCTCAGGTCTGGTACCTATTTTTAAAACAGGTCATATATAATAGGAGTTAACCTGTCTTTAGCACGTGCCTACAGGCTATGGAGAGTTCCTGTGTTAGCCTCACCAGATAGGATATTGATTTCTTAAATTAGTTCGACATGCTTTCGTTTTCTAGCCTCTCATGTGCCACTTCTCTTCTCCCTCTTGGGCGGGCAGGAAAGAACGTGTCCGTCTTTGCTTTTCTAACGATCAAACTCAGGCGATCACTCAGAGCAGAGCAAACAGCAGCAGAGCGGCAAACAGACGCTGTCACCGCCCTCAAATATTAGAGCGACCTTATCTGAGGTGTCATGGCAGCATTGGCTAACTATGGCATTTAAGGCGGGGTGGGCAGGAATCCCTTAAAGAAGCAACTTTTTTTGAGGTGTAAATAGATGTTAGTTATTGATGACATTTGGTAATATAATGATATCGCTGTGTTTAGTTATGTCTTTGTAGTCAACATTTTAAAATTTCAGTGTTCCGCTCTTTCCCCGCCTCCCCCAACCTGATTGGTTGTGAGGCGGACGCTGCTCCCCGTGTCGTTCAGGAGCCCAAACAAAGTTAGCGCGCTACAATATCGGACAGTAGAAACCAACCAGAAAGTTCAGAAAATTGTCTGAATCCTCCTTTAGCCACGACCACCGACACAAGCAAGAAAACGAAGTAAATACTGGAGGCTCTACAGGAATAATGGGCACTTAAAAAGGAAGTAGACCGGACAAGAGCTAAAAAGCCGGATCAACAATGATGGGGGACACTTTGGGATCTTACTGACCCTGTAACCTTCTGCTGGACAGGTAAACCGCTTTAACAAAGCACGCCAAGTGTCTGTAACAGAAGTGTTTCTTGTCAAACGGGACCTGCTGCGTGTTGTAGCGCCGCAACAAGTATGTCACTTTATCCTAGTTGTAGAAGTCCTGCAAACATTGTGTTTGCTGGTCGTCTGTTGGCATCTACAGTAGCACCAATGCTTTTTACTTTCACCTTGACTTGGCTCCATTTGTAATTATCTGAAGTATTTATCTGCATTATATCTGAATTTAATTGGAACGATACGAGCGAGCAGGAGCGTCTGTTTGTGGGCGGGGCTTGCTGGAGGGGAGGAGCTGAGGGGAAAACTGGTTGCGAGGTGTAGAGTTTACATTCAAGATTTCTCCCAAAAACTGTCACTTCCTCAGATCCTGCCTACCCCAAATTTAATCAAGAAAATATCCTATTTTCAATTTTCCCATAGAGATAAAGACGCCAAAAAGGCAGGAGTCAGTTTTCAGGCCTTAAAGCTCCCGGTAGGAGACAGAAATGAACAGTAATGTCTTTTTTATGATGTACAAACGCAAAGTGAACCATCAGCAACAATTTCCACGTCTTAATTTTAACGCCTGCAACAGGAGAGGCAATTACAGAAGATTACTTTACAAAAGCAAAACAGGACTTCTTTATCTGTGGAGGAGTGATATTTATCCACATGAGGAAACCTCTGAATTTAATATCAGACACTTTTATAATAATGTGCTTTACAGTAATTGAGTGTTAGCATACCAGACTGTATCTAGATGATTTCTCACTGTGGCTCATAATCGCAGTAAAGATGTCTGTAGGTGACTTTAATAATAATAATAATGCATCAGATTTCATATAGCGCTTTATCAGAGACCCTCAAAGCGCTTTACATTGGATACATCATTCATTCGCTCACACAGTCACACTTTGGTGGTGGTGGAAACGTGGCTGCCATTCTGCGCCTACGGCCTCTCCGACCACCACCACACAACACTCACAATCATACACCAGTGGAGGACACACACTGGGAGCAAGGTGGGTTAAGTGTCTTGCCCAAGGACACAACGGACAGAGTTGGATTAGGGGGGAATCGAACCGCCAACCTTCCGGTCCTTGGACGACCGCTCTACCTCCTGAGCTAATGCACTTCTGTTGTTATCAGAATAACGTTGATGTCGAATTCATCATACCTGACAAGGGCGCACACGACCGCCTCCCAAATAAGTTGTTATCTTGTGTGCACAAAACAACTTTTCAGATCATAACCTTGTTGGATCATGATAAAGCTACAGGGGCTCATAGATTTGAAGGACAAGTTCTGTAAAGAGACGAAACGTACGACTGTCCGAAGCTCTTATTTCACCTTATTTTTCCACACGTATTTAAATTCTCTCCTCTCGCCGACCTGCTCCCGTATTAAAAATGATCCATGTCCCCCTCATTCCTTTTAGTAAGTGCGTGTCAGGCGCTCGGTGAACCCTCCAGAGCTCGTTGAAAAGCTTTCTGTGAATCTATCTTGACTTTAACCGTTCACCTGTCCCCCTTTACCTTTTTAAAAACTGTAAATTAAACTATTTCAAAAAGCCTTTTTTTTTTAAGTCCGGAGGTGAAACCATTGCATAAAGAGCAACATCAGATCCTTTGTACTCTTGGGAGGTAGTCTCACATGGACCACTGCTGTGTGTGTTTGAAAGTGTGTAACCATTGTATAGTCGTGTGTGCGTGGGCTGGATGACTTTGTGGGTGGATCAGCAGCTGATTTATTTACTTATGTAACCTCTCTTATAACACCGTCTGTAGTCCTAATGTACATTAAGCCTATCTCGGTTACAGCTGATGGAGCGAAAAGAACCAAACTCCTAAACTTTAATGCTTAGTCTGCTCTCTGTCATATTGACTTATTATTTAATTGCGGTGTTTCACAGTCCTGCGTCACATGAATAATTTTATTATCATTCTAAAAGCTCCCATATTCTTCCACATGGCTTCTTGTTTAATGCTTCTGCTTTTCCCCGCAAGTTCATCTCAGGATCCTCTCTGACGTTTTTAAAAGAGATGTTAAGAAGGATCCAGAGCGTCAAGAGGACGGAGTTTAAAACACACACGTTTTAAGTTACTGCGTGAATCTTCCTGAACCGTGTTTCTGAGAAGTTTTGAGAGCAGGACTTAGTGGTGCTGAAGAAAAATGAAGGTTGTCTTTGTTTGTCTTCCCATGGAGAATACACAGAGGCTGAGAGTGATCGTTATTTTTAGGAAAGACAGTTTTTCATCCCGTCTAGTTGGTGGGAAAAAGAGGCAATTTGTCTCGTATGGGGATTTGATCCGCTTCCCACTTCAAAGCCGCGGCGAGATGCTATGGTTTCTACCCCCCCTCTTGTTTATTGTGGACTCATCTCATTTAAGCCCCAGCATGTTCTCAGGATTACAGAACTGCTCTGGTGCCTTGTTAGGCTTAAAATACAGTGAGTCAGAGAGAAGAAAGATTGCGCTGTGGTAATTGCATTTGATTGTAAAATCTCCCAAGAAAGGGTTCGAAAACAAAGATGCAGCTAATTTCATCAATACCCTGTGGATTTTAACCTTGTTATATCATCTTTTTCTCAACTTGTTTCCGTCAAATAACAACTGCTGAACACTGATAGGAATAATCACCAATCATGTAATGCCAAGAGGTGAGTTTAGGACATATTGGCCTTCATATATCAAACGAACTTATGGCAGAAAACTGTCCGTACGACCATTTCCATGCAAGGATCGGCAGTTATTAATTTGGATGTGAGCGTACGATACGGTCAAATCTCACGACAGGTCTCACATCGTGTATGCAAGTTCGAGTAAGCGAATAACTGATAAACAAACCTCAAACCTGTCATTAAGCACAAGCAGCCAAATTTCACTAAAGATTAATAGACAAATAAAATTAAATAAAACTTGTTTGATATGCCTTTCTAGTGCAAAGGCCTATTTGATAACCCTGCCGATAAACACTGCCACAGAGCAGGAGCACCGTTTAACGCACGCACACACTGAACCATGAATATTAAAGGGCGGGACATGTTAGTGAAGATAGATTTTAGCCGGCGCAGTTATTAAGACCCGATCATTCGTATGCTGGGATTGGTCGGATACGAACCCTTTTATAAATCTCACGTATGTCCTATCGTACAATGAATCCTGCGCTCAGATCTACGCAAGATTGATAAATGAGGGTCATTATGTTATCACTGACAGGTTTGATTTTTAAATGAGGCTTTTAATCCTGATTTATCATGACAAAGTTGAGCTTTTTAAACACTTTATAAACTTTGAATATTTTTAAAATACCTCAAAAAATTTCCGTCATTTGTAGCACAGCCAAAAACATCATTTCCTGACAAGGGTGGCCAACCAGAAGTTGGGCCCTGGCCACCCTGGCTTACCTCCTGAAGCCGCCCCTGCAACCTAGCCGAAATTACCTCACTTCCTTCAGCAAACCACACACCCCACTATGACACAACATTACAGATGCAAACTCACACATCTATGCTTTGCGTTGTGCTTATTTCATTTTTGCACACTGCCCACATTGAGCACATGAGCATACGTTAAGCGCACAACAAAGTCGTATATCAGAGCATCAAGGTGGTCCGTGCCGTGTGACCAGCACAGCTGCTGTCTGCTGCTTGGTCACACAAGCTCTGTTCTCACTTTCTCTGCATCACGGTTTGTAAACACCGTTTAAAACTCGCCCCGTATTATTGTTTCTAAGGGCTTTTTTTCGGAGTCAGACATTTGCATTTAAAGCAGGAGAGTGGAAATGGATTTGCATAAAAAATGAGCTGCACGCTTAAGTCTCTCCATTAATTGCGAACATTACAACACTACCTTTGACTGCCCTACTTTTAATTAGATGTTACTCAACACTTAAAAATGTCATATTTGCATAATAGAGGTTAAATTAATCACCTTGAGGTTTTGCCTTGAAGAACCAGAGGATTCGGCACACGTGCAAACATGCAGCATGTGCAGGACATCTGTTGCCATGGCAGTGTAGGTGCTAACCGACAGGCAGGTGACTGAGATTGACCGGAGGCTGGAGCTCGTCTTTGAAAGCTTGATGCACATCAAAGTCTTGGCTTTAGTTTGCTGTTTTCTATACCCCAGTCTGATGGCGTTTAGGCTGTATATGAAAGGCATCAGGTGGGTGTTATTAACTCCCGCGGCTCAGTCAGAATTGTGTTTCTTTTGTTGAGTGAAAAGCACCTCTGATGTGTTTACGCTCCAGCCTGCAGTTAGATGTATAGAGAGAGAGGTGGGTTCATAACATGCATGGTTAGACACAAGCATACAGAGGTGGCATTTTAGTTTCTCAAGGTTGTTTTCTTTTTTATTGTCTTTATTTTCTTTCCCCCATGTCACTCAAACTTCTTCCACCTTCACAGAGAGGCATTTCTGCAGGAGACCTCTGTAGTCTCTGTTTAAAAGAAATCCGAAATATCTCCACTGGACTCACAGAAGGATAACCAGCAATTACCTACTAGAGATCTCCTGCAGGCTTTTCTTATTACCAAGGTCTGGTACTTCAGAGTGCAGATGAACAAATTCATCTCTTTTACCTCGAATAAAAACACAGACAGCATGGAGACGGTCTGTTTGTTTGGAGCCTCTTTTTTTGCGCCGCATTATAAATTAATTGGACAACCATGGGATATGAAGCTATTGGAGATGAAAGCTGATTTAAAAATAAATGTTTATATGGAGTGCCAGGCTTCAGTGTCCTCATCATGTGCAGCCAGACACCCCTTGGAAACCTCAGCAAACAACAGCTGTGAGCTTATTTGTCAATCAGCTGTTAAAAAAATCCCCAAAAACTCCATTAAAATTTTAGGTTGTAACAAAATCAGACGTGAAATATCTCAAGAGGGCTGAGCACTCATCCGATGCAAAGTCAAAGTGTTTAATTAAATCAAAAAACTGGAGTTTTGGTGTTGGAGCTCCTCTACAATGGCCGAAGAAGAATAAAGCAGTCAAAAAATTCAAAGCTTTGTGTCGGTTTCAGAGTCATTTCGGATTAATTAGTTTCCCCATGTGCTGGCTGGAAAACAGAACTGTCGTGCTGTTTGTCTGGCCGAAACTTAACAGCACGCTTTGCTGGATCTAAGCTTATTATTTCGTGCCACAAACCCTCTTTATCCTTTCTCAACTATTTCTGAGGGAAGAACAAAACAAACAGAAAATGTTTTTTATTTGTTACTTTCTCACTCTGTCTGTGGCACTCAGGCCAAGCCTGTTTAATTAAGCTTGAGGAAAACTCTAAATTCAAGAAAACACAGCACATTTATGTCCTGAAAACCGTCTCTTTATCAGGTTTGGAGATAACTTTACTAGAGTAAGACATACAAAGCGCAAATTGAGGCCTATTCTGCATGTTTTACTCTTTAACTGAGTCCAAATTAGTCGGATGAATTTCTGGCATGTTAGAAATTCTGGTCAGTTAACTTTTCTTGCACAGTGAAAGCATCGCCATGACCTGATTCCCTGATGACAGGGTTTTATTCCCCTGTTTGTGCCTGTACATATTGAAGACAGCATCTTAAAGCACCATGGCAACACGTCACATGATGTCGACAACTTAAAAGGACATAGGCATACAATAATCATCCAAAACCTTCTGACCACCTGATATAATAAACATGATAAGTTGTTTGTGTGCTCCTTACTTTTTCAACTTGGGAGCGTCAAGTGTCAAGCCCTGATGTGTCGTCCCTGATATTTAAGATCTGGGGTAAATGTGGTCACAGAAAACAGTCAGTGCATGGAGCTCTCCATGGTGCTGAACTTCTTCTAACTGGGGCTCAACAGCTTGCAAATCTGTGAATCTGGAAATATATGACACGCCAGCCTGTCTAACTTAATCTGCTGCGATCACATTTCCACACACTGAGGAGCTGATATCAATTTCCCCGCCATAATTGTCCGAATCCATCATTCTTTCGCAGATTGCTTGTTTCTTTTTTATCAGAGACTTTCCTTCACAGCTCATGGTTTTGCATTTTGAGCCCATCCTGGTTGGATACTGTTTACTGTTTTAAATGTTCACGCCTGGAGCTCTTCAAATGCAGATACAGTTAATCCCACTGTTAGAAATAGCAGCGGGAAATTTGGAGACTTGATCTTTCCTGTAAACATAATGAGTCCCAAAGGTTATTCATTACCAAAACAATATCCTCGTCTTCAGCAAGGGTTTCTTTTTTAGAGGTCAAAATATCCTCATCCGCGGAGGCTCTCAGTGGATTTTCTTTGCGAGTCAAAAAGAGGGCAATAAGTGTTGAAGAAATCTTGGCAAAGAAATAATATCAGGGAGGCACAAATATGCACTCAGGGGCAGCCAATTTCCATTTTACACACAACTCATAAAACTCAAACAAGCTTCTCCTCTCAGGCAATCAGGCAAAAACAACCTTTCCTCCTCTCTTTCCCACAAAAGATCTGCCTCACCTCCTGACACTAAAGGCGAGTAATCCAGCAATCCCCTCAGCTGACGTAAATCCAGTGTTGGGGGGGAAGAAGAGCGGCACAAGGGAGCTGCCCCTGAGCTGTCAGTTATGTCTGCTGCGCCCCGAGTGGCACACCTATTATGTAACCACCACAGATTTCACCTCCCTGCACCCAGAATAACTTCTTTGGACTCAAAGAGAGAATGACGCCAAAGGACCTCAGGATGAGTAAAAACATCAGAGATTTTTGATCTTGTGGCAGTATCGAGTTTGTTGGTCAGACTTAAGGTTCTTTCACACCGGGAGCGTTTTTTTCGCGCGATTATTTCAGACATCAGTATTTTTTATGAACAACTATCCTGTCAATACAAGCGTTCACATCAGCGATGTTTTCCCGTCCTGCGATATTGTGGCATTTATTTTTCGTATCACGGTCGAATTTTCTCAAATTTCGCATACTGTGTGTCCACTTCTGACCAATCAGATTGCGTGTTGTTGCGACGTCAGATTCACCGGTATATCCAACATGGCCGACCGGCTGATTGTTTACGTGTCGGAGAACAGAGTGCTTTTTGATAAAAGACACAAACATTACAAAGATAACGACCTGAAGGACAACTTGTGGAGAGCCATAGCGTCGGATTTCTCATATGACGATGGTTTGTGAGCTTTAAAAGTTTGATAAACATCTTTGTTTTCACTTTCATCTGTGCTAAGTAACTTTAGCTCGTAAGCTAACCTGTTCAGATACAACATACCATGACAGACAGCCATCTCAACATTAGTGTCTAATCAGAACTGAAGAACAGTCAGTCTGCTGTCGTGTCAGTCTTCTCACTTCCACCGGGGCGCGTCTTTTTTTTTCCCCCAAGAAAGTCGGAAAATCGCATCAAGCTTGATGTGTATCGTCAGGTGAGTCAAAATCAGCCTCCAAATATTTCATAATTTTGCATCGTATCGTTCCCGGTGTGTAGGGACCTTTAGGGTTGCAAAATTTCGGGAATTTTGGCAGAGTTGGGTGACCAAACAAGGTTTCACCTACCTGAGAGGTGGGAGCCTTCGTGCGGTTCCTTCTTGTGAAGCTTTTTCCCTCGTTCATCGTGGACAAATGATGCAGTTTGCAAGAAAACTGGCAGATTTGATGTTTATTTTTGAACTGTATTTTTTTTTTTATTTTGTTATCTCCATTCACCCTGTTCTAGACAGCACCGCTGTAGGTGACTGCTGAAAAGCATGGTGTTAAATGTAAACAAATGCTGTTGTCAGGGAAACCACAGGCTTCCAAGGCTTCAACTGACCACAAAAACATTAACAAGTACTGCTCTAAGATGGCTGCAGTCTTGACGCATCCTGGATAGGGTCGTGAGGCATCTAGTGTTATGATATATCTACGCGTAAACCTGACCCTCCTATTTGAAAGACGACCAACTTTACCGTCTTTTCTTCTTCAAAGTTAACAGGATGCACATGGAGTTTAAAATCACAGATGTGATTAAAACTCGTCCAAACTCACTGTTTTTTTTTTTTAATCCACCCTGAGGTGTTTGAGTTTTTTTTTTAAATAGGAGACTCAAGCTGCTGGCAAGAACTGATGTAACACGCTGCCATTGTCGCAGCACCTGCATACATAACATGAACAAGCTGTTGACTTTGTTTTCCACTTTGTTGCATTAGATCGATGGAAACTCGATCCAGAATCCCCCGTTTGTGACATGAAACACCTTCTAGTCAGGACTGGATTGATCACAGCTGAGAAAAGAGGAGTAGGATTAAACTTTCTGTTTGAGGTCAAGAACAGGTTCAGAGCGAAGGCTAAATGATGAGATCCTACATTGAATATACCTCACTCTCTCTGATGTACATGTTCCCTTTGGATGCTGTGACATTATTTTTCTCCATCACCCTAATCAGTGTTTCTGTTTCTATAAAGGAACTAAAAACATCCTGTCACCATCACTTTTCAGTCTCCTTGGCAACTGCCCAAGGTTTTCAAGAGACTCTTATTGTGCCGTCTCACCCTGCTTATTATGGTCAGTTCAAGTGGAAAAACAACTTCTTTTTTTTCCTGTGCACCATTGCTCAGATTCAATGCTTGACCATCATTATTATTATTATTATTCATGTATCAACCTCCCTGACTGAGATGCATGACCGACCTTGTATTCCTTGCAATTGTTCACTCATATTGGCATGCAGCATCCACCAGATTATTGATACTTTCCCAGTAGCAGACAATTTGTCACCCCGGAATGAAGAGGTGGTTACATATAGTTGGCAATAAAGCCAGTCTCAACAGAGCGCTCTCTCCAGCCAACAACAGATCCACGCCACACCTCTCGCTCTGCAATGATTTACTTAAAGCACTCCATCAAACAGTGATCGATAAAATGATCCTGACAGCTTAAAGATGCATAAATCACACTTGGCATACTAATTTATCCTGGCCTGTTTTGAGTCGGAGCTGTGGGGAAGACCTTGACCTTAAGATGGGCTGCAAAGGTAAAGAGGCGTCTTTGTGAGTCAGAGTTTGTGTTCATCATTGAATAAAATGTGAATGGACAAATCCAAGGCTGTTAGGTATCGGTGATCCATGTGGGAGCTGAGCTGACTGTGATCCCCTGTGGGTGATACTCTAACTCGGTGCGTTTACATGCACAGCTTAATCAGACTAAACTCATAATTTGTTTTTTTCACCGAATTGGACTTCTCTCCTTGTCTGCGTACACATGCAGCTGAGAAAATCGTATTATTGACATGAACGTGTCGTCCTCCCCAAAACTAGGGGATGATATGGGTCTTTTCAGTGGCCCTGTTTCTGGTTGACCCCATACAACTGTCAACAACAACAGCAGGTCCGTGTCCGACGTCAGAAGTGGCAACAACTGCTGCTGGGCATTTTCGAGCAAGAAGATGGAGCATCGTACAGCGTTGTTTTTGTCGTACATATGTACATGTGCTACTTTTTCTGCAGATTAGATGCACGCTACTCCTTCTCTTTGGTGTTTTTGTTCCGGGGTTACGGGGGCGTGGTGCACACGCACATGTATTGTCCTATCATACTCCGACTACGCCGGTTACATGGTAGAGAAAATCGTATTCCAGTCGCATTGTCTGGGTGTCTTAATCAGAGTTCTCCAATTTCACTCAAACTCTGATTATAGTCGGACTAAGGTGTCACTTCAGTTGTCCGGTCTTAATCAGAGTCAGTCAAGAATTTGGTTTTCTCGAGTGTCACGTAAACGTACTGACTGTTGACTAGCATTTCGCACAGTCCTACCTATAAAACAGGACCGTCCCTCTAAAGGTGGATCTCAAACCTCATTTCTCAAACTTTTTGATTACCTTTTAAATTTTGTACACACATACATTAATCTTAAAGGATGATCCCAATTAGCCTTTATAGTCCTTATACTGTCTTGAGGTCAAGAAGACGATGTTGATGCTTAAATATTTCAGTCATGAGACATTCGGTATCTCCAGATGATGCACCATAGTGATCTCTAGATTTAACCAGTATGACATGAATTTGGAGATGGAGAAATTTATGTAAACAACGTGCTGATCTTCTGACTTTATGGTTGCACCAGCAGTTGTTAGTTTAATTTTGAGATAAAAAGATTGTTTCGGTTCTTCTATAATTAAAATCAATAAGACATTTAGAAAATTGAGGCTAGTTTTGGTGTTGGTGTGGCGGTCTGTTTAATAATTAGGTTTTCTTTATATCTGAGCCACTTGAAAGAAATTTCCTTGACATTTTTATGACCTGCTCCAAGGTAGTGAACGTGGTCAACGTTATTGTGGTCCATTTTAACACTCAAAAAGTACCACGAGAATTGAAGCTGAGCAGTAAGTTAAAACGAATTTAAAGTGCTCAGAAATTCTTTATTTCTTCTCCCTTTACTCCAACCCCACAATAAAAAATATACATGTTTTTATTGTGCATGTTACAAAGTCACTTATTTTCTAATCAACATTCAGAGAAAAGTCAAAATGATGCACAGTATATTCAACATGGCCAAACACGGGATCAGGTTTACTTTACAGGTTCACATCCTCATTCCAGTGCTGGTTACACATTCCTGCATCAAGTGATTATATCCTAGTTTAACCACACACAGTTTAAATACACCTTTAACTGTGTTTGTTTGATCGTAATACTCCCAAACTACAACAGGCTACAAGGTGCCGCCTGTCATCTGTGTTTGTTTACATCCAGGTAGTAGAGCAACATTGCGGTAATTCCTTGGCGGCTGCGTTAGAGCTTAAACACAACAAATAACCAGCATTTACACTAACTGATTATTAATACTGGTGCTGACTTAATTAGCCAAAACACATAAAACACATGCGTTGTTATCCCTCTTTAGTACCCCTCACCTCCATCTTCTTTGTTTCCCCTAAAAAGGTCACCCTTGATGACCTCTTGACCCCTTTTCGTAGCACAAGTAAAACCAGAAGTCTCGCACCTCGCCGAAGGAGCTGAGGCGTATGAATCCAAGTTTCCATTTTTAAGCACAGCGAGAGGCTTTTACTCACAACAGACGGCCCTCTTTGATTCAGACTTCACATCTCTGTGATGTTATTTTTGGGTGTACTTGGTATGTATGCGGGGGAGGGGGATATGAATCAGGCATCTGCAAAATCATCTCATAAGATAACTTGAAGTGGAGTCACATTCTGGCACATCTAAGAACATCACTTCCTTTTCGCTTTACGGTGCATTAAAAATAGAGTGCGCAATATTTGACCTCCTTATTAGACACTTTCAAAGCCAAAAAAACAACGAGGGAAAGATTTCCTTTAACAAAAAAGTGACAAAGAGAAGAAGGAGGAGATGGCGTGGCGCGGACGGGTTAACAGAGTCACAAAGCTGTCAATCTCCGCGTCTGAGACCTTGAAGATAGGACAAGGAGATCATTTACCGCTATATGCTCGCCATTCACACTGCATGACTTCACTTCCTTAATATAACGAGGACATAAAGGTGTTCAGACTCCTGCATACATTGTGCTTTAATATCAACCTTTTCATTTTAAAGGTTGTCACGTTATAATGTGCACAGTGGCGGGCTTTTTACATGCATCCTAATCACCTCATGATAAATTAATCACAGTAGGGGGAAATAATGCGTCTTATCTAAGGTGACCGACTCCTCAGAGTGAGTGTTCGTCATCTACTAAGTATCACCTGATCAGAACACGAACAGAGCGTAAGGTGGGCATCCCTTGCCGTTATGTTTACTGTATGTGTTCATGACAAAAACAGGCTTTGTCTGTCAGTCTGGAGCTCTCCGTGTTTGATGTTCTCTGTCACACCGGCTGAAATTAAAGCCGTAAACATTGATTTCTGGCCTGACCTCTGACCTCCGTAATGCCGAGTCAATCATCCCACCTAGATGTGGGATTCATTGGCGGAGTGGTCTTGTCATTCTGTGGTAAACAGCGTGTTGTGGGTTTTTGCCGAAAGGCCGGGTTCCTGGTGTTGTGGTCAATAGCATTGATAAGAGCTTAGTGTCTGAAAGTCAATCCTCTGATCCCAGCTGAGCCAGAAAGAGATGAAATTAAATTTTGATTCTCATCTGAAAAACTTAAAAAACAGCCGTTTTATGATCTCTGATAAAATATGACGCCTCCATCATTGGAGTATTGATGGAAGATTAAAACCAGTCTCTGAAGTGAGATACTGGTGCGTTTTTTTCTGTTCGATTCCACTCAGTCACACATTCAGCAGCACATTTAGAGGCTGTCAATGACACACACATGTTCGCGCAAAATACACAAACTCACACCGATAACGATGCTCAACAGATGTGGGAGCTGTTAATGAAGCGGGGAGATCCAGGCGGATTGTCTTCATCCGTCTCTCTGACATCACTAGAGGCAGAAAAAAAACGGTCGCGAAAGCTGGCACAGGCGCCGTCGCCGTGTGTTTTGGGCGCAGGCGGTGTTGTTCAAATGCAGCACGTTTTCACTGTAAAGCTTAGAAGTTGTTGGCCCCGGCGAGAAAAGGGATTAGAAAATAAGCCGCAAGGAGGAGCGAGCTGATAACTGGGAGCATCCTGTTAACTGCTGCGTGTTATGTTTGAAATAGAGCAGCAACAGCTTGTCGACTAATTGATCAGACGTCAGATGATCATGGTTATGTAATTCTCAGACACATAGAGGTTAATCGGTATTTCATATTCGATCCTGGAAACATGGAAACCTCAATTTGAATCTTGAGGCTAGAAATTTGCTGAAATGGGTGCAATATGATCACATTTTTGGGTCTGTTTTAAAACCGTAAGTTTAAGGGAATGGATGGACACCAATGAGAGACACACTTGAAGTTTTGCAACAGGTAAATGTATGGAAACGTTCTTTTACCGGAATTCCTGACGAAACAGCTAAAGGTCCTTCTCGCTAAGCTCAGACCCAAATTAAAGTCTTTTAGAAAACCAGCTGCAAAGGAATTCCTGTTTTTCTTAAAAAAAAGGAACCCTCCCATGCAGGGCTGCAACGATTAGTCGAAGGCGAGACTCTCGATTTGCCGGTCGATCTACGTGCCGATCCTCACCCATGGTCATGAACTTTGGGTAATGACCGAAGAACAAGACTGCGGATACAAGCGGCCGAAATGGGTTTCCTTTTCAGGGTGGCCAGGCTCAGAATTAGAGATTGGGTAAGGAGCTCGGACACTCCGGAGGTGCCCAGAGTAGAACCGCTGCTCCTCCACGTCGAGAAGAGTCAGCTTAGGTGGCTTAGGCATCTGGTTAGGATGCCCTCTGGACGTGTCCCATTAGAAATGTTCTGGACATCTCCCACCAGGAGGAGACCTTGCGGCCGGCCCAGGACCAGGTGGAGGTATTATATCTCTCGCCTCGCCCGGGAGTGCCTGGGAATCCCTCCGGAGGAGCTGGTGGAAGTGGTTGGGGTCAAGCTGCTGCCCCCACGACCCGGACTCGGATAAGCGGAAGAAAATGACGATGACGACCTTGGGTATCATGGCAGCACGTCGAGATACACGAACATTTGAGGAGAAGGCAAATAATTAGTCCGATTAGTCGACTAATTGTTTCAGTTATCGGTCAGTAGTCCTCAGTTGCAGCCCTACTTCCATGGCCTCACGTCTGCAGCGTTTTGGACTCCCAAACTTTGTTGGGCATTGATCCTGGGATCCCCATGACAGCATAAAAAGCCTAATAGCTCCTAGATGTGTCAGTCCAGACCTGCCCGTGGGTCCTCCTCCTCTTCCCTTTGTATTATCGTGGGAGGCCAAGTTCATAATTGAAGCCCAGTTAGAGGGAGATTTATCCGATTTTCAGTCTTCCAAGTAAAGAAGCATCAATCTTTTTATGCCCAAAGGTGCTTTATCATCTTTAACTCTGCTGAATTTATCAAGCGGCTTCTCTACAGTCTCGAGTAGCTTTTATATTTACTACCAAAGCATTTTATATTCCAGTTTATTAAGATATAATGAACATGAAGAGATTTAATTATCCAATAACTCACATTATCAGATTGATAGGTTAGAAATTGCTCTTCCAGTGAAATTAATCCAAGAAAATTGAGAAAAAAACTAAAAAGTTTTTCACCATTATTCATGTTCCTCATAATTCAGTCTGCCAATGCTAATTTAATCAATTTAAGAATCTGGATGGTCCTTCAGTGAGGTGATATACAACATTTTCTCTGGCTTTTTGGACTTCCTTCAAATTAAACCGGCTGACATTTAATTAATTTATGCTGTCGGAAAGTTTGGCAGACATTTCAAACTTTGGTCTGAGGATAATAAAGATAAAAATAATAATCAAATTAACATATACTGCAAAAAAAACACTGAGGGAGCCATCACCTTTTGAGTCTGGCACTAATAAATAATTAAACTCTGAATAAATAAATTGGATATACAGACTCATGATCTGAGAAAGACTCACTGTGGACAGTTTCTGTGTGTATTGGTACGTTACTTTCACAGGGCTGCTTTGGCCTTCATTGTCCTGTAAATACTCAGTGGGTTGCTTTGGCCTTCGATCCTTCAAACGTTGACATCACAGCTGATGCTCGATGATGGGACTGAGTCATTACTGTACGCACTTGTGTTTTCGAGTATTTGTTCAGTACCTGAAAAACCTCTTTGTTCCCGGGGTCGCTTTCTTCAGACCGCGTGTTTTTTTTTCCAGTTTGTGACTCATGCAACAAGTGGTTGTTAGTCATCGCCTTTACTGACTGCCACTCATTTGGAGGCCGAAAAACAAGATGCACTCCAATGTGAGAGCATTTGCACGCTTTTGTTTCTGATGTTGCTGAATGCCTGGCAGTTGATTTCCCTGTTTGTGCGAAGATGAAGTTGATTGTGCAGATTTCTTTTTTTTTTCTGTTGACATTGACGATCAGCGGGAAGCAAAATCAAGCTGATGACGGGGAGCTCGCTTCTGTTGCTCTGGCAAGGACGCGGGTGGAGATTTTTCTCAGTGTGTCTCCAATTATTGACAGTGATGAGTGTTTCTAATGCGGAGGGCACAGAAGAGGTGTGACTGAACGTTTCAACGCTGCATGTTAACTTGCAAATCGAATCACTATGTGGTGTGTATCAGAGTTCCTCCCCCTGAACTCTCTCTGCTACTGTTGGGCTGGGCCCGAAGTACGGAAGCTCATTTCTGCACATTTGAGGGTAAGAAAGGCGAACATTTACAGAGCGGATATGCTTATATATGAATGTTTTATACTGTCAAAGTCTTCTTAAAACCACGTTTGGATTAAAACTCAGGGAACAGGTGTCTTAACCCCGGTATATTTCCTGTTAGCTCCCCCCTGGTATGTTTTGGGGGTAAAGTCTGTTGATCCTGTGTTAATTAACAGCATTGCAATCAGTGACAATAAGTCAGAACAGACTTGTAGGGTTTGAGAGAAAAACAAAAGTAAAGATCGAAATCTCTGCAAGACTTAAATTAAAGGATCAGTGGTTTTAATCTCTATGGCGTTGCAAAACGTTACATCAACTCGTATTTAGCGTCCTGAAACCCCTCCACACACCACTGTGTTTCACACACTGTGAGAGTGTGTGAGTGTGAACAGAGCTGTCAGGTAGATTTGTAGGTAAGAGACCCTGAAATTTTCCAGAGTGCATACCTGAAAAGGCTGATGTAAGTGTTTGGCACATGTCTTTATGAGTATTTTTTTCTTCAAAATAACATGATCGGTGCTGTACCACTGACTTCTCATTGTGCTGTTTGATATCCAGAGATTGTGATATCATTACCTCCCTTTATTGAATTTCCCTTCAAGGATCAATAAAGTTCTACTTCTTCTTCTTCTACTACTTCTTGTTCTTGTTCTTCCTTTACTTCTTCTTCTTCTTTTTTTTTTCTACAATTACTTCTACTTCTTCTTCAAATTCTTCTACTTCTTCTACTACCTCTACTTCTTCTTTTTCAAATTCTTCTACTTCTTCTTTTACTTCCACTATTTCTTCTCCTTTTATTTCTTCATCTTCTACTTCTTTTTCTTCTACTTCTACTTCTTCATCTTCTACTTCTTTTTCTTCTACTTCTACTTCTTCATCTTCTACTTCTTCTTCTACTATTTCTTCTGCTACTTCTACTTCTATTTCTACTCCTTGTAATTCTTCTACTTCTTCTACTTCTACTTCTTCATTCTCTACTTCTTCTACTCCTTCTTCTACTTCTTTGTTCTCTACTTCTTCTACTTCTTCGTTCTCTACTTCTTCTACTTCCTCTTCTACTATTTCTTCTACTTCTACTACTATTTCTTCTGCTACTTCTGCTTTTTCTTTTACTACTTCTTCTTCTACTACTTCTACTCCTTCTACTTTTACTATTTTTACTCCTTGTAATTCTTCTACTTCTGCTTCTTCGTTCTCTACTTCTACTTCTTATTCTACTTCTTCGTTCTCTACTTCTTTGACTTCTTCTTCTTCATCCTCTAATTCTACTTCTTCTTCTTCTACTATTTCTTCTGCTACTACTTCTTTTACAATTTCCTCTCCTTCTCCAAGTTAATGTTGGTCACCTTTATTAGCTGTTTCGATGTCATCCTTATAAACAATCATTAGCAATAAAAAAGCGTTCTGTCGGTGTTCATTCTTACTAAAACTTTGCTCTGTAGCTCATTTTTGGAATAATACTCGACTAGTTTTGATCATGAAGTTTGAAGAAGTTTCAACCTGCAGAGAAGAGATGAATCCGTTAGTGTCTGTTTTGCACATTAGGAGAGTAAGTAATTAAAGGAGGAGGGTGTCAGACAGCAGGGAGAGAGGCAGCTCTGGCATGTGCGCGGACGATAACAAACCAGTCAAAAATATCAAACTGTGACTCTGTGATTACATCTTCTTTTCTGGAAGCTTCTTCAGTCTTCCTCCATCATCTCTGTGCTTATCACTGACAGTCTCCAATCTCTATGCATCTGTCTTTTAATTGTTTGCGGGTGCTATGTCTTTTTTTTTTTTTTTTCTATTTGGTTATTTTTAACCGGTGAGCAGAGAGATGGCTGACAGACTCTCCAGTATCCACCTTCCTGCCTGCCAGCCTGTCTGCCTGCCTGCCTTCACTGAGTGGGTGCAATTAAAGTGCCAGGCTTGATCATGCCATCCACGGGCAGAAATGTTTCATAAAAAAACACAGAATTAAAGCTTCAGAGAGAATCAAAGGTTTCGTTTGACTGAAACAAACATTAAATCTTTACATATGTATCCCTAAGTCTGCGCAGACTCGGTAGAAATGCATTTCACCGTAATGCTTCTGTCTGTCTGGTTATTTAATTAGGGATAAGCTGTCCTCTTGTGTTGTCATACAAGCTGCAGCCGTTACTAAATTAAAATTTGTCAAGCTTTCAGTTTCACTGGAACGGATGTGTGAGTAACTAAGTGTGTGTATTGGGTGGGTGGGTGGGTGGTGGTGGGGAGGCGTTCGCTTCTGCCCAGGGAGGTGTTTGTAATTAATGACAAGCCGCTTTGCCACCTGCTGCCCTAATGTCACAGGGATCTGGAGAGTCGAGCCCCGAGGAGCAGCATGAATAATTAACCGGAGCATGAAAGAGGTGAGAGGGGAGTCGTAGGAGTATGAAAACATCACCGGACCGCGGTCATGGCGAGGAAAACAGTAAAGAAACATACATTAAGAGGAAATCTAACAGGCATTCCTCGACAGAGATGTCAGAGACGCAGAACTCAGATCCTAGTTGATTTACAGAAGCAGGTCATGTTCATCATTATATCTGTTTTATCATCAAAATAACAATCCCACAAACTAATTCACCGCTGCGATGGTAAAAGTTAATGGACTGAGAAACCATTTGACTGAATTACAAACAAGAAGAGCTTTAAGAACATAATATTAAGAAAACTTTTGATATTATCAGCCGTAAAGGAAAAGACTTCTCATGAACTTTCTAAACATTCAGACACGATGCGTGACTCAAATCACGTCAGGTTTCCGTTTTTGCTGCACAAAGCCAGAACTGCTTTTTCACTTAATGTCCTGTAATAATCACAGCAGGCTCGAATCAATCCTAAAATAATCACCCCCCATGTAATAATGAGGGAATTGCAAACCGGTTTAAGTCGGGGAATTGATTTTGAATCACATTACAGCCTGGAGAATCTAATTAGGGCTGTCAGAACATCAGATTTTCACAGTGGGATTATCACGGCTGTAAAATATTATGGCCACATAAGTCAAACTGAGGAAGAGGATGACGAGGGTGGAGGAACACGTAACTTGAATGACCTGATAAACAAGGTTACTGTACATGTTATCTGTTTCTGATTCAGAGAAGAGAGTGACCCATTTCACAATTTGTCGTGCTATTATTTTGATAGGTCGTCTTTCTTGTGCCTATGTTGCTGCATTGTCAAACTGAGCTTTTATTTTGAAGGTCACTACTTCTAGTAAACTACAGAACTTAATGGTGGGGTAGGCAGGATCTGAGGAAGTGCCTGTTTTTGGGAGAAATCTTGAAGGTAAACTCCACCCCTCCCAACCTCAGCTCCTCCTCTCCCCTCCCTCTCTTCTTCAGTAAGCCCCGCCCACAAACAGACGCTCCTGCTCGCTTGTATCGTTTCAAATAAATTCAGATATAATCCAGTCAACGTGAAAGTGAAAAGCATTGGTGCTACTGTAGATGCCAACAGACTACCAGCAAACACAATGTTTGCAGGACTTTTACAACTAGGATAAAGTGACATAGTCCAGGACCCGAGGTCAACAGTTTAGCGATGGCGCTACAACACGCTACAGCAGGTCCGTTTGACAAGAAACACTTCTGTTACAGACACTTGGCTTACTTCGTTGAAGCGGTTTACCTGTCTAGCAGAAAGGTTACAGGGTCTGTAAGATCCCGAAGCCTTTATGCTTCATTGATGTTGACCCGGCTTTTTAGCTCTTGTCCGGATGGTCTACCTCCTTTTTAAGCGCCCGTTATTCCACCAAAGTCTCCGGTATTTAGTACGTTTTCTTGCTTGTGTCGGCAGTCGTGGCCAAAGGAGGATTCAGACAATTTTCTGTACTTTCTAGTTGGTTTCTACAGTCCGATACTGTAGCTCGCTAACTTTATTTGGGCTCCTGAACGACACATGGAAGCATCTGCCTCACAACCAATCAGGATGGGGAGGTAGAGAACAGCTTTGTTTACAGTCAGAAAGAGCGGGCCACTCAAAAAATGTAAAATGTTGACTACACCGACATAACATAACACAGTGATATTGTTTTATTACCAAATGTCATCAATAACTAATAACTATTGTCTGATATTAAAACCTTTTTTGTAGATACACCACAAAGAAGTTGCTTCTTTAACGGATTCCTGCCTACCCCACCTTTGATGACAGGGCTGCTACAGCTACTTTTTGAGCAGCTGCTGCTTCTCCTTCATCTCTGTTTCTTTTCAAATTTGTGGCAACCAACATGAAGAGCAATTACTATGAACTCAGTGTTATTATATGCTTATAGGCAGCATGTAATTAATGTATATATTCTGTATTATGTGATTTTTTTAATTCTGGTTAAAGTCAGTTCTAGTATATTTCCTAAAAACACTAACAAATGCACTAAAACAGTCAGTCTTTCTCTCCGTCTTTGTAGTCCAAATGCAGTCAGTGCTTGAGTCCAAGTCAAGTCACGAATCCTGAAAATCAGGACTTGATTTGGATTAGAGTCTGAGTCCTGGACTTGCTCACTACAAGATGAATAAAACACCTGGACCTGATTCCTCCTCAGCGTTCCTGGTGATCAAAAACTCCCTCTAACACCTCCTTAAGGTAAACATTAGAAGTCAGGTCATCACAGCCTGAACTCAATCAATCCTCTGCTGCTGATGCTTCGACGAACATCTCACTGAAGTGTATTTGGAGGAGGGTCTCTCGCTGTTTTGTCAGCGCTAATGTCAGCGTGATTGAGACAAATCTCTTCAGTCTGTCACAAACCGATGAAGATAAATTGGTTTGTTTTTCTACATTGCACAATTATCTCGGTTAATTACGGTTTCTAGTGCTGAGAATCAATCTCAGCAGTCAAAGGTCTGTGTATCTGAAGGCCACATTTGATCCAGAAGGGAGAAAACCTTCTCTTTGGTAGAATGTAAGTATTTGAGTGTGAGGTTTGTGAGTCACCTCAGTGCGGTATGATTATTTGTTTCTACTCTTTTAAAAGCAGCGCTCAGATTTTAGGCAGTGTGTCTCAGCAGCAGAGAAAAACTGTTATAAATCTGAGCAACATATGCGTTGGCAGATATTCTTTGGAGAAGTCTGTGATCACGCTGGACTAAAATAAAAGTGCTTCTCTGAGAAAAACAAGAAATCAGGGCAGAGCAGAGGGAAGAAGAGACGTTTCGCATGCCCCGCGCGTGCACGTGTGTGTTTACTTTGCAGGGTGAGACGTGCTGCCGCAGGAAGCACATGTGTTCATATATGCACGTCGTCGGGTATAAACAAATGAGACGGACAGACGTGAAATGTTTGGATTTGCAGCAAACAGCTTGGCCTGGAGTCTGTTTGGCCCTGTGATGATTCAGCCTTCACACATGCTCTCAGAGACCACAATAAACCGTGCACTGTAGTGCTACTGTTGGATTAGTGTCATGCCAGCGTGTGAAATGGGCTTCAGAGAGGTCAAGCCCCCCCCCCCCCCTCCTCGCAGTATTCAGCTGTATAATGGACCTTTGATACAACATCACAAAACACTGTGTGAGTGCATTTATGTGCATTTACCGCCTAAGGGGAGGTTTGGATCACAGCGAGTGTCGCAGCGATAATGGATCAAATCTAAACTGAGGTGCAGCTTTAACATGAAACACAAACCCCTCCAAATTCATCCGAGTGAGTGAAATCAAGCGTGCAAACATTAACCGTGTGTCTTTTGCGACATGTTTTTTTTTTTTTGTCTTGGTGCAAAGTGTTTATTTGGTTTATTTTCACCGGAGCTTTCTGCAGCAGCGCTTCGCCCCGCGTGTCTCCGAGAAATGAATGAGGGAGCCTGTGTTTCTGCAGCGGTGCAGCTTTCATTGTTAAACGGCCCTAAGGCCCACTGCGCTTTCAATTAGTCTCAGTTTTCAACTTCACCGGGTCACCCAAGTGAAAAAGTCGATAGCAGGAAGGTTCCAGCTCTTACACCGACAGCACAGTCAGACGTGTTTTGGAGAGGCAGACTCTGACTGACGAGCAGGAAAACTTATTAAATGCGTCAAAATCCCCCCTCTAGGAATGATCGCTATGTAGCTACTAATGATACCATACAGCGTAATTTAGCCCTCACAATACAAAAACAAAACCAGAATAACACAGTAATAACATTTCATCATCAAGCAACCTCTGTCTGATTGTTTTTATGATGATACTCCGCAGCAGGTAACTGTCACCAGTGGAAATCATTGCGGCTAGATGAGCACAGTCAGCAAGTTTAAACTCACCAATGAATGAGTCCCAGAGTGTCTATAGTGAGCCGTGCGCGCGTGTGCGTGCGTGTGATTTATGGTGCTATAACTGTCTCCAAGAGAATAACCAGAGCTGCTTAATTGAAACTGTTTGTAAAAGACCATCCAGTGGTGTGAAGATGCTGACGATGCAGAAAGAGGGAGAGGGTCAGGAGAGGAGAGGAGGGTGAAAGTACAGGTGCCTGTTTACGGCGATAGCTCCAGAGTGATCTCCCTGTTATGTGACACAGGAGTAGAAAAAGACCTGAAACCACAGTGTCCGTTATTATATGATATTACCGTAATACCCAGAATATGAGACACTTTTTCTTCTTTGAAATGCATCTGAAAAAGTTGGATTGTCTTAAATTCTGGTTCAGATTTTATAATGATGCGGTTTACAGTAAAATCCACTCACTTTGTGAGAGCGGCAACTTTCCAATGGTACAAAAGAGGATTAGGGCCACAAGAAGAGAGAAAAATAATTACAAGAGGGAGTTTTTTTATTTCCATTTGGAGATGAAAGTCGAAATTTTGAAATTAAAGTCAAAATTTTAAAGTCAAAATGAAGAAAATTAAAATTTTAACATTGTAGCGGAAATTTCAAGATTAAAAAAATTGAAATTACATGAATAAAGGCGAACATAACATAACATAACAGGCTAAATGATAGAGTTGATCCCATCCGTGGTGCCTGATCGCCTCATTACTGCACCCATTCCTCCTTGTTGCACCATACCTGTTTCACGACACCTGGCATTCCTCAGTTAATCAATAAACAGGATTTATCATCTTGTGATTGTCATGCAATTTATCAACTATCCCAAGATTACTGTATCTTGATACTGCGGTTACAAAAGGCAGCATTATGGCAGTAACCCCACATGCATCAGTTGAAATAAGTTTCCTGTCACCAAATTATGTGACAAATCGATGTTAAAGTATGTCAAAGCACTTGAGGGCTAATTATCATCTGCAGAGACTCTTGATTTTTCCTGCAACAAAAGCAAAGATTTTGCCTTGGATGGAGTTTTTGAAGCATTTCCACTCATTAGAAGAGGCTGCGCGTGAAAACAAAGGGAGATGAAATCGGCAGCAGGATTTGTGATGCTTTTTCGTGTAATTGCTGGTGAATGATGAAGCAAAATGACAATGCCTCAAACACAGATTAGTCGATTTTTCTCCCTTTGGACGTAATTTCAGGATTTTTGCAGATTTATTATGATTTACCGTGTCTAAATGCAGTTCAGTCACAGGAAAATACACTTTATCATGAAATATAGACACAATACAACATATAAAAACGCCAACTCCAGTGAAAATCATCATCGGACTTTTCTGAAAGCAAGAGGATTCAATGAGTCTATTTCTGCATGCAGAGGGGGTGAAGGGTCGAGAGTGTGTGTGTGTGTGTGTGTGTGTGTGTGAACGCCATGTGTGATTGTGCGCATACGTCTGTGTCAGCATGACTCCGATAGCTTGACAGCTTGGAGCTGGGGCTGACTGCAGAGTAGAGCGCTGCCTCTCAGTATCCCCCCCTGCTCTCACTTCTCCAGCTTGTTTCCCCCATTGCTTTGATTCCTGACGTGCGTGTTGAAGCCCGGGCAGCAGAGTGCATCAGCCAACGCTCTGCGAACAAAAGAGGGGAGACGGTGATGAACCGTGCCATGTAGAGTCTATCCCGTTATTTCTATCAGCGCTGGGAATACGTCTCATACCGTGTCCTCTAAGCTTCCCTTTGCCTCACGTTGCTGCCGTTAATGTTTTATTGGCTCACACTTCACGAGCCTCTTTGAGAGCTCCTCTTGCATTTGTAATTTATGATCCCCGAGAAGCCCTCTCACTCGCTCACCTTTTAGGGAAGAAGATATGACTAACTCGCGGTGTCTTGACTGAAAAAGTGCAGTTTGTATTTGAGGATTTGTTCTGTTTCAGAGCTTTCCTGCAAGAGCTCAGGGATTGAAATTGACCTGAATTTTGATGCAAGTCTCTCAACACTCCCTCTGTACATTGTAAGTAGAGTGAAACAACACAGAAGCTTGTCAAGAACTTTTTGGGGACTAAAGCGAAACCTGTGTTATAGGAGGTTTGAGTGACAGCTTGTAATCTGTAATACTGAATGTCTCCACGGCGGGTTTAGTCCTCTATAAAGCTGCTGAGACGCTTTTTCATCCTGTCCAGTGCACGCTCTCAGGTCTCATTAAATCTGTGTTTTTATGTCCTGCTCTGTTTGTTTTCAAGTCTTAACAAATCCAATATAATTATAAGTGTAATGAAGCCTGACTAACCCTCAAAATCCCCTCCAAACACCACCATGCTATCATTAGCTTCTGTTTCTAGGTCGCTAAATATTAATGAAGGCCTCTGAGCACATTGTGTTTTTTTTTTTTTTTTAAAGTGGCGTCAACAACAAGAGGAAGATAGTCTTTGGAGACCCGTGATTCTTATCAGAGCACTCTTACAAACTCACTCCCCGCTTGTAGCTGTCTGTGAATATGCATGAGACCCGTCCTTTTTGACTCTCGGGGAGGTAAATCATCTGAACACATCAACAAAGAGCAGATCTGTTTCTGAGTGCGCTGATGGCAGATCAGCAGCATCTCATCGTGGCTTGAATATCTTCGGTCGCTCCTCAGGGATCAGGGAATTAGAAAGGTTAGCGGCGGCTCTCAGGAACAAATGAGAGGAGAGGACTGACGAGGAGGAGGAGGGGGGGTGAGCGTTGCCGTGGCGCCAGATGATGTAATCCACATTGGCGTGGTAGGATGCTGACATGAGGGCCACCTGAGAACATGTTGACCTCTTCTCTTCCATCACGGCTCGCAGAAAAAAAGCGAGAAATTGACAAGATGTCGAGAATAACGAGAAGAAGAGTCCTCTTGTGTTTTTGGATTTTTTCTCTCAGTAGAAAATCTGTCATTATGTGTAATCACCTGTCAGTTTTGTTTTCTTTAAAGCTCCTGTGAGGAGTTTTTTTTCCACATTTCACAATTCTTTTGGTCACTTCCTGACAGGTTTCCATTTTGTTCAGATGATAGTTCATCCATCACATCTCAAAGGATCCAGATGTTGTTGTTTACTAATTATTATTCATTGAAAACAATTAAAAGCAAACTACTGGCTAAGATAACATGTATTGGATTTTAATGTGCAAGGAATAATGAATTTCTTTCTTTAATAGTTACCCAAAGATGTATCTTGTATCTTTTTTTAATAATCTCAGATAGAAATACAGAAGTCCATTTTGATGATATCTCACTGAGCCAGATATTCCTCCATCTTTGTTTATTTAAAGCTCCTCTGAGGAGTTTTTGATGGGTCATAAAACAGCCTGAAATAATCAGTGATGCATCTCTAAAGGTTAATGAGACCATTGATGACCAGATTAACAATCTCAGTATCGTCATTTTAGTGCCTGTAGCTGCTGTTAGGGCGAAGGTACGATGAAGAAACAGCTTTACCAACTGCTCGTATAACAAAAATCCACAATAAAAGGATACAGTTTACTATAAAAAGACAATAGGAGACATTTTTTTGTCCATTAACAACACTTTTACAAGGATAAAACAAAATCAACAACAATTAAAGAGTTCCCAATTTGTCCACAGGGGGCACCAAAGTCAACACAAACAAAAAGTTCCTTACTAAAGCTTTAATAAAACTGAAAATCAGCAGTTGGAAACAACAATGTTATATCAGCTATTGGCCAGACTTGCTTAAACTATACCAACCAACACTCCTGTTTTTCCCGGGCTGACCACTTTTGGTCTAGTCTGTGAAAATTTGCCCGTCATTTGCTGAATCATGCTTTAAAAACATTAAGATTTGCTTCTATTCTTTGGTTTTGAAGAAAAGCAGAAAACCATCGTGGAAGTGCCGATGAATTGAAAAATGAAAACAACGGTCTCTTGCAGCTCTTACTTCCTCCACAAACAGGAGGAGGCTGAGGATATGCAGCATTGGTCTCACTCACTGTGTGGATCAATAAGATGTAATGTTCCAGCAGATGTTGGAACAGGCCTGATGATCAATGAGCTGAAGGGCAGAGGGCACAAAGCAGGACCAACACCTCACAGCTGATTTATCTCTGAGTCACCCCTCGTCACCGCTCAGGTGTGTGAATCCGTGACGAAGACGGTTACGCTCTGCGACGGTTAGTCAGCTGACATTTTAAGAGTAAGATTTGTAGATTTTGTTCTGGAACCAAATTTTTTTACCTCCACTTCACTCTGAGTGGAGTTATTTTTACACCTGCAATCCTTTAGACTGATTTAATTTGATAGCAGGCGGTTTAACCTTTGTGCGTCCAGCCATTAAGACCGAGTTGACCCCTGACCTGAGACGCTTCATGTCCATTTGGTCGGGCTTCACTCTGCCGTGTGATAGAGCCGATCGAAGTGAAGACCAAAGGAATCTCTCACTTAGATGGAGAGACGGATGGAGGTGAGAAGAGCGGAGGGGGTTAATCCTCCAGAGGACGAAGGCGAAGCTTCATCAGACAGGGCCAGAGTGAGGTGGAGGCATGCAATATTGATGGAGAGAGTGGAGAGGAGAGGAGTGCGGAGAGTAGATGAGAGGAAGACTGTTTGCAGAGACGGGTGTCTGACCGGTGTTGGAGAAAAAAAAAGTTCTCACAGACTGGAAACAGGTTTTAATTTCAGCTCTGTCACTCATGTTTGTTTTTCACTTTCATTTTCAGAATAAAGTCATGAACATCGATGGAGTCAAGGTGAAGCTGCAGGTAAGAATTTTAAAATGATCCTGACAATCATCAAACGACTGTTTTAAACACACTTTTTCTTTGAGATGTTGTCATAGCCACCTGTCAGATCCTGTTTCAACCAGGAATCCAATTTTAGCTTCAGCAGACAGGAGGGTGGAGGGTGTTTGGCAGACACAATAAGATGATGTATTGAACTGTGCCAGCAGTTAAATCTGGGCTTTCTGCATGTTTAAGTGCTTATAAAAGACTGTAATAAATCAATTTTCTTTTTATATTTAGTGTCTTTCAAGGTTGTCAGTTTCCTGGACATGTTTTAATTTTAGGATAACAAGAATCAGACATGCGTCTTGAGATGGTTGTTATGTCTGTGTGAGAGGGTCGGTGTAAGAAACAGACCTGCTCTTACAATTTCTACATAAAATATAACAATAAATGAGGAATTTGAGTAGAGGACCAGATTTTTAAAGACTGTTTTGTCCACAGGGGGCGCCAAAGTTAACACAAACCAAAAGGTCCTTCTTGAATTAAATTGCGATCATCAAAAATCTGAATTCAGAGGAAAGAAATTGATTTTTGTAGTAAAAGTAAGAACTGTGAGAGTTGTCAGGATTCAGTTCAGTAAAGTGAGAAAACTGAGGCCCCGCCCACATGTAGGGTGGGTTTGTGGGTAAGTGTAGTTTTCACTATGACCACACATTAGAGGTTTTAGGTCACTCAAAACAGAGGTTTGGAAAACAAAGGAAGTGGCATTAAAACCTCTAACTTTAGGTCTAGAGATGTATTTAAGGTTAACATAACAGTGAGACTTAAGTGTTATTATGATGTGTTCGGCCGCTGACCTTTGGGTCGTTACCTACCGTCCATCTTCAGGAGAGCAGGAGAACCTCGAGTGGGTTTTAAATGTTGGTGCTGTTGTGTGTGAAAGATAGTTAGAGACGCCAAGGTCCGCCTTACGTTGCTTCTGATTGGTTTATATTGTGTGATGCCTTCAGTGGTTGGTTAGATTTAGGCACAGAGGGCTGATGGATTGGTCTGGGATTGGTTATCTCGGTCAATCAGAGTTACTCGAACCACAGCAAGCCAAGTTTATTATCATGAAAAAAATAAATACAGAGTATTGAAGCGTGAGAAATGTCAATGTGGTGTAAGAACGGATCAAAATGCGTGACTGTCACACTCAAAGCGTGACGCTTGGCAGCTCAGACGTAACCTTCGTTCGAAAAACAGAGTTGAATCATGAAAACAAAACATAGCTAACAAAGGCGAATCTCCTGGAAAAGGGGAAAATAAAGGATAAATGTAAATGTTTTCTTGGTTCTCTAAGGCCAAATTAACAAACAAATAAAACCCCTTTAACTAAGAATAAAAGACGTTATAATCCGAGCAGGAAAAACAAAAACAAAGAAATAGCGGAGAATCCAGACCAAAAGTTCCTCAAAGGATTCAAGTTCAGAGATTATGAGGCTTTCAGACCTGACTTTACTGCTTGAATGGTGTAGTTTGAGCTCAACGTATAGTCAGAGTTTTGTTTATCCCAGATGTTAAACTCTAAACTTTGACATTTGTCTTCATTATTCTGACTCTATTCTCAAAACTTTTACAGAGAGTTAAAAATATGACAAAAAGTGACCGTGATCCTACAACGTATAAATCTTGTACAATAAACGCAGTATTCTGAACTCCTTAAAACTTTTACTTTTCTTGCAACAACAACAATCTGTTTCTGATCTGAAGCAGCTGAATCTCGACTTCCTGATTACCGGCCTGTGTTGCATTTATTACCTTTCTCTTTTGCCACCAGACTCCCCAGATCCTGGATGGCTGCAGATTCTCCGTCTGCTAAATTGTGTGTGCGCGCTGTGACAGGATGAGTTAACAGCCGAATGAAAGCCTGCTGCGCTTCGTGTAGTTGCTTAAGGGCACTTCATCTGTCTGGTGAGATACCATCAGGCGTAGCAAAGTTCAATTTTGAGACAATTTGGTAATTAAAGCAGGCTGGCCTCTGAACCGTCACACAGCACCGGGTGTGATTAAACCGGGATCTTTAAATGGCTTATGTTTAATCTCAGAGGAAGATCCAGAGATGGGTCTCGTTCTATGGAAAAATCAATAACTGGGGTACTACAGGCTGCTTAAGGATAATTATAGTTTATTTGTCTCCATAAATACTTTTAATTCATCGAGTTCCCTCCTCATTTCACTTTTCAGAGAACCACCGCCTACACTAGAAACAGCTCCGCACCGCTGTATGTTTTAATATTTCTGTCAAACAGAGCGAGTAATTATGTGAATCATGCCTAATGATCTTAATTAGGGGGTGACGGAGGCTGGTGGAGCGGGCTTTTGCTCTGTGATGTATTCATCGGGGGTTAATTGGCTCAGAGTCCGTCTGCAGAGTAGCCTGTAGCCCACAGAGAGAAAGAAAGGGAGACATTTTTTCCCTCCTCTAATTGCCATTCTTCATTTGTGCCATTTGCACCGCAGGGGCGCGGTTTTCTCATGGGGACCATGGAGGCGAAAGAGTCAGAATCACAGCTGCTGCGTTTCAGAGAGAGAGTCCAAAAAACAGGCCGAATTTTTGAGTGAATGTTTCCCCCCTTAAAAAAGGAAGTGATGGGCGCAGTCGACCGTCACGGGTCTGCTCCAGGGAGGGATGGAAATGCTAATGCTATCGGAGTCGAATAGTGATAAGTGACACTGATGCCTGATGGGGAAAAGAAGGACTTAATTAGCCTCCCACCCCTGAGGAAGTGAGGGGTATCAACCATGGCTGATTACTTTTCAATAATATGACCCGCACAGACCTGAAAGTAAGCAAAATAACAAGTAGAATATGTTTAATGACCACAAATCTGCAGGAATCAGTGTTTTTATAGATGCTCAAATTAATAATGCATGTAAGCAGGGCTGCTAACAGCCCGGTAGGCCCAAGGGAGACCTCTGCCTGGTTCTGTTCCACCTGTTTCCACTAATGGGAGTGTTTTAACTCATTGTCCTGACTTTAACAGTCTGAAACAAAACAGTTTTGGTGACTCCTTTGACTCCGATTAATCTTGTTGAAGCGGGAAAACTCTCAGTAAACGTTTCGTGCGCTACCTGCCAAGCACCGAACGGCAGCCAGAGAAATTAGCATCGAGCTGCCGGGGGTTTGAGAAGCTAAACAGTTGGATATTTTCTGTGAAGCGGTTTGAGATAAAATGGAGCTTTTGATGTGAAATTAAAGGATTTTTATTCATCAGGTGAGCTCAAACTTGACGACTAATGAGGCAACTTTGAGTAACCAGTTAGAGGACGCAGTAATGAGGCGTTTAGCGGCTACAGATGGGGTCAACCACACCACCTAATTTGGCCTGTGGTGTTAAAAACTGGTATGCACATTAAAAGGATATTCCTGTGTAAACTTAATTTAGGGTCAAACATAACGTAACACCAAGTTAGACACCCCCTCAAGAGATGAATGTTGCAGACTGCTTGCTTCTCTAGTTATACCAACTTTAGTAACGACCGCACAATAGCAATACACAGCGGTCTACGTCCACCCGGTGCTGTGTGACCTAACTTCATCAACATTTCATATAGGGTCCCAGCCACAATACTAGACATCAAACATCTTTTTAAACTTTGTCTGATTTCTTTACCAAAAAGATTAAACACAACTCACCTACTCTCTTCCAGTAGCCGCTTGTTTGTTTAGGAGCCCTGACGAGTCGATCACCAAGTGCAGCAGAGTTTTGCAGCTAGAGGAAGAACATTTATGATCATTTCTTCATGGAAATGCAATCAGACCGAGACACTAAGGCAGAAGAACTGCTAGAGCTGCTGTGCAAAATTATTGATATCATGATTATTACTTCAAGGAAATGATCCGCTGCACTCGGTGATCGACTCGTCAGGGCTCTCCCACAAACAAGCGGCTGCTGGAAGAGAGTAGGTGAGTTGTGTTTAGTCTCTTTGCTAAAGAAATTAGCCATAGCACTAGCCACCAAACATCTTTTTAGCTTTGCCTGGGACCCTATATGTCCTGTTGAGGAAGTTAGGTGCTGTTCTGAGCATTATTTGTGGCTATACAGTGGCGTTTTGGTTGAGGTTTGTGCATGGAGACGCACAATCGCTATTGTCTTGTCGTTGCTGAAGGTATAATCAACAAAGCAACCAGTCGGCAACATTCATCTCTTTAGGGGGTGTCCAACTGAGTGTCACGGTGTGTTTGACCCTGACTTAATTTTACGCCAGAATATCCCTTTAATGTCAGTACATTAGGGCTCCTCGATTATGGCAGAAATTACTATTATTTTGATCGATCTCGACGTCCCGATTATTAAAAACGCTTACTCATGATTTAAGCCTGCAGCACGCTCATTTATGCAACTTAATACCTCTTTAAAGTTATAGTGTTTTTACTCTCTCATGAGAAAATTGAAGCATTTGAGCTCTTTTACCGCTTACATTTGATCACAGGCTGCAGATTTGACAACTCACTATTTTCAGTTTTTGATATAGCCTCCTTTCTAAAATCAAGACTCCTTGCACCCTCAGGATCGCTACAGCCTCTCTCTCGGCTTCCACAGACTCACTCACCTGTTCTTCCACCTGTGCACTAATATATGACGAGTTGTGTTTTGTTGTTAAATACTGACACTCTTGGGGTTTGTGGGCATGTAAGCTTCAAACCACAAGAGGTAACTTTGGATCCCTCCTGCTCCCTAGTTTCCTTATTAGCACAGATGTTTCCTCCTTCCTCTGGTTTGTTGAGTCTTGCTCTTTCTCTGCAAACTCTGGTTCTTAAAGGCGTCCCATTGGGTCCAGAACAAACAGCATGTCTAATTTTTGTAATTTAGTTTTAGCCTACAGACCCAAACGGTTGAAAAGTGCAGAGCAGGTGCACTGACAGCTAAGCTCCCTCGCACTGAAAAGTCTCTCACACAAAAAGATAAACAAAAAACTTACTCAAGCAAGTCTGATTTTTCTCAGTAGAAGACAATAGACTGTTCAGTCCTCTACATTTAATTTCCTCATCCCAGGATGATCCGGTATTACAGGCGAGGATTGGATTGAGTGTTTCACAATGACGACCGAGCAAACAGAGGAGTTATTAAAAAAGACCGAAGCTGCTTTGTCTTCTCCGTGATGAACTTCCTCTCCTTCCATTTTCTCCGCAGATCTGGGACACGGCCGGACAGGAGCGCTTCCGCAGCGTCACTCATGCCTACTACCGGGACGCCCACGGTGAGACACAAACACAACAGAAACCCAGAAGGGAAATAACAAGATCTATTTGATTTTTACAGTATTTGATATGATGATAAAAAGTTGGTCTTTTTAAGCACTTGATGCATGGAGGGTTTAATGTCGTCTCTATAATAGATATTTATACATAGATCAAATCTCCCAGTGCACCTGAAAGTACGATCATCTGAGTGTTTTTGAGAACCAAGATGAATGTGCCGACTTAATGTGTATCATAATGTATTCAGCTCTAATTCTTTCAGGCCAATTATAATTCAGAGTGCCATTAGTAATGGTGTGGATGAGATTGCTTTCCACTGTGCAGTATAATCAAGCACTGAGGTTTTATAACTCTCCTGCTGGGACTGAAGGACATCATATTCAGGATTTACGGGCCTCTTTGATGATCTGCAATCAGTCATCTCCAATATGTGTGCGTGTGCAAGCGGGTGTACTTTTTATCCGTAATAACGCCGTCATTAGCCATGCGGGTTCATCTCGGAAGCTCTCACTGCTGCCGACACGCCGTTGTTTTAACTAAAGGAGCTTTCAGATGAAATGGCTTAAAATCAAATCAACGCAAACACCACGACGATGTCCTCCTTTCCTGTTGCTTGATATTCACACGATGTGTTTGTCATTTCACGCCCTCATATGTATGGAGATGGCGTCGTCTCATTTGATCTTTTAATCTCTGGTACCTGCAGCTTTCTTCACGCGATCAAAGGGATATTTCACCGTCTGGATTTGTGTGTTGAAGTTTGCACAACCGAAGCGGGCTCATATTGTGTGCGTGTCAGACTACATGCATAAATGACTCTGTACAAATCATTTCCGCTCGTTGTAATGGTTTGGCACTTAGCCTGCATAATTAGAGCAGGATTTATTTGTCTCGGTCTGGAGGATGCAGACCCCAGACGACCGTTCGCTGGTCCAATTTCAGGCACGATGCCTCGGTGCATATCCTCTCCTGCAAAACCCACTCCTGGGTGTAGCCTTGGATGTCTCCATGCCAGAACTCTAGATTACTTTTACTTTACCATCATGCAGCATGAACTGCACATGAGAAATCTCCAGACTACAGATGAACATTTAGAGGAAAAGTACAACAAATCATCTAAAGCCCGTATTTGACAGAAAATAATGCAAAGACAGCATCTCAAATATCATTGTGTAATAAAAAATTAAAGTGGATACCAGCGTTTACATTTCAGAGCAGTTACCATTGTGATGCCTCGCCTCTTCTTTTAACAAGACTGTAAACGTTTGGTAACCAAGGAGACCACGCAGCAATTCCGCACTTCCTCCTCATGTTTTTGTTGGGTATTGGGTTGGGATATTGATATTGGATATTGGTCTGAGCCAAAAAACAAATATCTGATTATATCGACCTGCATCTAAAAATGCATTCCAGTTGTACAAAGAAGAAATTCATCGGGAACACCCCTTTGAAGCCGGATTGCCAACTCAGAAAGTCGGACAATCCTCACCAACCCCGGCTTGGTGCATCAACAGTAAAAAGTAACCATGAGAGCTTGCGTAATGTATTATTTTTTAAGCACTTCTGTTTTGTTTTTGTGAAATTAAATAAGTGGTTTATGTTGTGCTGCCCAACGTCTGACTGTGAACACGGTGCTATGATGTTTGTAAGAGTATAATACTGTATTATGGGTTGTTTACAACTGGTATCGCTAACAACCGCTAAAAACGGCTAACAACAGCTGACAATTGTAAACAACAGCTAACAACGGGTAACTGTAGGCGTCCATCTTGGTTTTCAGACTTATTTACTGGAACGTTGTCAACTCGGGTGTAACGTCATTCCCAGCTCTGACTTCCGAGGTAACTGGAACGCAGCATAAAATCTCCAATATCAGCACTCCGATACAAGCAGTCCATTCTAGACTCCTCGCCGGCACCTCGAGCTAGCAGCACCCAGATCCAGCATGCAGAGCCCAAGTAAACAAAACAACAGTGTGTACTAAGGTACTAACAAAGTCGTAAAGAGTAGGAGTGATGTCGGTTGTGTGGCATTATTTTTCGTTCAAGTCCGAAAAAGATGCAGCTGAGTGCAAAACTTGTCATATACAAGTTTGTGCCAATATTGGTATCGGCCAATACTGAAGGCTATAATATTTGTATCATATCGGAAGTAAAAAAGTTGTATCAGGACACCTCTAGTTTTTGTTGCATGATGTGCCAAATGTTTCTGTCAGGGCTGCAGGCAGGCCAATTTTGCACATGGACTCTTCTACTACAGAGCCACGCTGTTGTGACACCTGTGCAGAGTGTCTTTGTTTTTCATCATCTTGCTCAAACATGCAGGAAAAGACTGTAACTGGACAGTTGCCTCAAAACGTCTACGTGTTGAGCATTTCCAGATGTGTAAGCTCCTCATTTCAGAATAATGTTTACGTATGTTTTCCTCTTTCCACGGGGCACTATTCAACCAATGTAGAAAAACACTTCAGTGGTTAAATTTCCACAGTGCTCCCTCTCAATACTTGTCACCTCCAAAGAGAGAAGAAATCCAAGTTTCACCTCGCAAACTTCGGTTTTGTCTATTCTTTTTCCGATAAAGTTCCTCACAGAGCTCTGACAGCTGCTGAAGTCTCGACAGTTTTCTCTGCACCCATTTAAACGACACATGGCGCTCGTGCTTTCTTCTTCTTTTGTTGTTTAATGGTGGTTAAGAGACTTTCAGATGGGCTACAGCCACCATCTGGCAGTTTTACTGCAGGACGACCAGGACCTCAGTAAAAATAATGGAGGGAATATATTTTTAAAATGGGATTGTAGCCGCATGAACTTTAAGTTGTTATAAATGAATGACTTCAAAAATTGTGAACGATTTCTACTCCACACTCGACCTTTTACTAAGTGCCAGATATAAAGTACAGGATGTGGAGATTAATGCAGCGGTGGCTCCTGTAGGGTCTACAAAAGCTCGACACACTAAATAAACATCTTAGCATCTTAAGTTCCTCCATCATCACCTGAACACCAAGACACCGATCCTATAAATGGCACCTGCTGTGATTCGCTGCAACTTTCCTCCGCTCTGCTCGAACTCCTGCCTCAGTGACAGACTGTCAGTGAAACCTTTGAAGTCTGCGTCTGTTTCTCATGTGTCCCCGGCTGTCAGTTCTTTGTTCAAACAAACCAAACGCACCTACATCCTGATCTTACCCTCGTCCTGTGTGTAAACTCCTCACTGTCAGTCTCGGTGTGCATCTCTTAAACTCTAAAAAAACAAACTCTTAATTCTGTCTGCAGTGTGTCCTCCTGTATCGCCTCATATAACAGAAGCACTTGTAGCGGGTTTAAGGGTAATCTCTCCTGACTTTTGCTCGATTTGAGCTGCACTCTGAGTCTGTCTGCATTAAAGTAAATCTGATACCGGCTGACCTTGAGCAAAGCTTCTCTTTAGACTCTGGGTGAATCTTAACTGCAGGTTAAACGTGAATGCAACAGTTTCCCAGTTGAATAAGAAATCCTCGCAGAAGCTGATGAGAAATCTAGATTCAGTCTGATCATTTTAGGAAAACTAGTCGTATTTTCATCGTCACGTCTTATTTAGTCTTAATTCAGTCATAATTTTCTCAGACATTTTTATGATCATTTTTTAAAGACTGATATTCCTCCTTGTAAAAATCCAGCAGAGATGAAATAAACCTCACTTCGTTTAGTCATCTTGGCTGGAAATCTGTTTCTCGTTTACGTTCCTCCTTCTCAAAAATTACAGTGATTTACCCTTCGACAACACAAATTTCCTATTTATAACATAAAAATTACATTTAGATGAATCACGTTAATATTTGCTGAATGGCTCAGGTCCGTATGAGAGTTTTAAGGAATCATTAACCATGTTTTTGAAGTAGGAGGTGGAAACAAAGAGAGAAATACCACCAAGTGCAGCTGCCTCTTTGAACATAGTATGGGCACATTCTGTTAGGGCCGCACGATTAATCGTAAAATCTAAATCAGATTAATTGATTACGACGTTGTTAAGAAAATGAAAATCGTCAAATCGATTTTCCTCTCTATCATGTCTCGCGCCTCCAGGCCACCGTAGGATCCCCCTTCCTGCAGGAGCGCTCCCCAGTTCCCACACACACCAGTGTAAACAAACATGGCGTTTGCAAAAGAAGGTGATAATTTCGTGGCTTAATAGGACAAGAGCGAGTCGGTCGCGTGGAATTGATGTGGCTTCGCAGTTTTGGATGAAGCGCAGACCACTCCCAGCTGCAAAGTCCATCCGAAGGCGGTATCAACCTGTCCACATGGAAACGAATTCAGGAGAAAACGCAAATGTTTTTTGTCGTATCTGTGTTTCACGGGTGACTGTAAACGGTACTTTTTGAAAACCGGTCAGAGAGTGAATAAATCCGTAAATGACTACCATTTTGTCTTTGTGTGGATGACCATCTGCATCTCTCGTAAAACGATTATATGACACACAGCGGCTACTTTTATGGCGGCTTCGAGTATCTGGCCAAAACAACCTTTATGAGCATGCTCTATACTCTTCTTCTGTCTTTTGTGAATTTCCTCGGCAGCGTTACAGCGCCACTCACTGGCTCGGCATATGCACTACATCGTTTTCAGTGGTTTCGTTTTGAGAAATGGTACAAAAACTTATTAAAGTGAAGTTTGGTGAAGTTGTCACTGAAAAAAAAACTTGAAATCAAAAATTGAAAATCAAGTTTTAAGAGAAAAAAAATGGGATTTTATTTTTAGCGAAAACTGTGCAGCCCTACATTCTGTCTGTTGCAGTTCTATGCAAATCAGACAGTACTCCAAATCATAAAAGGTCTTCAGATGGTAGAGAGAAGTTGGGCTCAGACTCGCAGTCTAAAGGCTGTTTTTGTCTGTGCTCATTGTTGTCTGTTGGCCATAAACGTCTGGCCCACAGCAGACAAACGCATTATATGGTGCTTACCGGGTTATGAAACACTTGAGTTCAGCAAAATCTGCATATTAAGACACTCTGGTGAAATTCAGGACCTCAGTCTGCTTCGCTTTAAGTCCAGCAGCCGGAAAAAAAAGACATCAGCCGTCGCAGATGTTGGAGGCAGAGAAAGCGACATCATTGCAAGCTGTTGTTTCAGCTTAATGAGTTTTCCTGTTAACTTGTGAGTCTGTGGTTTTTACAACAACTGCTGAAAACAGAGTCGTTGTGGATGATTCGGTGTTTAATTATTCATGAAGGACGATGAGTGAAATTTGACAATGTTATAAAAAGGGATGCTTTCCATTTCCAACAGCTGGTGTAACTATGACAACAACAGACCCATTTGGCTAGAAGTCCCCAGTCAGTCGAGGCGCTTGTTAAACCGGAACACTAGTTTTGGAAGGGGCTTCGTCTCCCCACTCCAGCTTTCCAGCAGCGGGCTTTGTCAGGCGCACAATCATAAAATATTAACGGTTCTTGTGCTGACTGGGCAGGAGAGGTGTACTATGTTTAACCCCAATAACCGCCGCTCAAACTCGCCTAACTCACTGGAAAAGAATTGGACCAAATTTAATGTTTCAGCCAATTACACAAACACATTTTCACAGTTTGGAGGAGCCTGCCAACAGCACTTTCTGACCTCTACGCTAATTTACACAAACACTGTTTGACATCCAAGCGCACACTCCTCCACAAAGCCAGGAAACATGATGAATGGAGATAATTGTAAGTGCCACAACTTCTGGGGGCTGAAGCAGAGCTGCAGGCGGAGGGAAAGAAGAAAAAATCAGCGAGAGAATGAGTGTAGGAGGGTGGAGGGACGGAGAGTGAGGAGAGGACAGAGACACGGAGAGAGATGAAGGGAAGATTACTTTAGGTGTCGGTGAAAAGGTGCAGACAGACATCAGATATTTTTTATTTCAATTTTCAGTAAAAAATTCAGCGACTTTATCTTTCTGAGATGTTTTTATTTTTCTTATCCGAGTTCAGCCCATTTATGTGGACCGTGATGGAAGAAAACAAAAGAGAGAAATCTGAAAGAGACCAGACAAAGAAATAAATTACTGGTTTTCTCAGAGAGGCTGATGGACGAAAACAAAAGTCTGCAAAACATTTCACTCCAACAAAGACATCCCCAGAAAACAACATCATCATGTTCGAGGGTTTATTCTAACATAATTTACCCACGCACAGTCAAACAGTCATTTTGCACAACCATACTGCTTTTGATCTCCATACAGATGGACTCCTGTCTCCTGCTCAATCCATACTTATTCAGATTCAGGTGTGCATGTGTGAGCCTTTCTCTTATACTGTTTGATTTGTTTGTTTTCTCATCTGGAGAAATTGTAACACTTAAATGCTCAATCATGTCATTTTAATCTTGAAAAAGACCCTTTTTTTTAAAACAAACATCATCTCTAACCTCCATGTAGAAGATAACATTGTGAATAAAAATGACTCATATGGATGATCAGCTTGCATGTACTAACCCTGCCCTCTGCATCATCAGGATCTAACAGTGTCATAGTGGGTGTTTTATTTAAACTGCTTCAGTCTGTTTACTCTTGCTGCTCCTTCTGCAAACAGTTTTGCACCCCTGCTCCTCTTTTTCATGCTGTGTCTTATTTTACTGGTGTTGAATGTATCATCACTGATACCTGCTGTACCATGGGGGTCTTCTCTGTTGCTCTCCCTGCAGAGGAGGTGTGCTCTACCTGCCTTAAAGGGATATTCCGGCGTAAAATTAAGTTAGGGTCAAACATACCGTAACACCGAGTTAGATACCCCCTCGAGAGATAAATGTTGCTGTCTGCTTCCTTCTCTAGTTATACCAACTTCAGTAACGACCGCACGATAGCAATACACAGTGGTGTATGGATCCATGTGCAGACCTCAACTAAAACGCCACTCTATAGCCACAAATAATGCTCAGAACAGCACCTAACTTCATCAACAGTACATGTAGGGTCCCAGCCATAGTACTAACCACCAAACATCTTCAACAACAACAACTTTGACTGATTTCTTTAGAAAAGAGACTAAACACAACTCACCTACTCTCTTCCAGCAGCTGCTTGTTTGTATGGCAACCTCAGGCCAATCTATTACGGACAACAGGGGGGTTTTGCAGCTCAAGGAAGAACATTTTTGCTCATTACTTCATCATTTTCTTTAGGAATAATCATCATACAAATCATTTTGCACTACAGACGCTGTAGTTCTTCTGCCTTAGCGTGTCATTCTGATTGAATTTCCATAAAGAAATGATCATAAATGTTCTTCCTTGAGCTGTGTCATCCCACAGTAGTCTGTAATGGACTGGCCTGAGGTTTCGCTACAAACATGCGGCTGCTGGAAGAGAGTAGGTGGGTTGTGTTTAGTCGCTTTGGTAAAGAAATTAGGCAAAGTTAAAAAGATGTTTGGTGGCTAGGACCCTATATGTCCTGTTGATGAAGTTAGGTGCTGTTCTGAGCATTATTGGTGGCTATAGAGTGGCGTTTTGGTTGAGGTTTGTTTATGGCTCCTGTTTTGCTATCCTGCGGTCGATACTTAAGTTGGTATAACTGGAAAAGCAAGCGATCATTCATCTCCCGACAGGATGTCTTGACCGCAATACCCCTTTAAGGTTGGGTCTTGGTAATTCATCACACAATGTGCGTGGTCTAGACTTGCTCTTTTTTGGAAAACGTCTTGGGATAATGACTGTTGTGATTTGGCGCCATATTAATAAAACAATTCGATTCATTCTATGGTGTCATTTTACCACAATAGCCAATAGCAGATATTTAAAAACGGTTTCTCATGAATGTCTCAGTTCATCTTTGTCTCTCGTCATCGCCTGTATTTTTCGATGTTTCCTCAGTTTTACAAACACATCTTTTCACCCTTTGTTATAATTCAGCCCACCATTAGCTTTTTCTCTACGCTTTCAATTTCCGTCCATCTACCCTTTAAACCTCAATTTCCCTGTTCATTTGCAGCTAAATCTTGCGTATAATAACACTTCTTGATTGCATCCTTTGTTTGCGGCGCTGCAAAGAAAACACAGCCTCTCTGTGTATTTTACACAAACGGCTAATGTCACATTTTCTGACCTAATTTCTCTTTTTTTTATGATTAACAATTTGAACTGACCTTTGCAGATGCAGGAACATAATGGACGGAAAAAAGCAATGGAGAAGGTTGATTAATACAAGCTCAGGGACAGAGATGCATGAGTCCACACTCTCAGTTTGTGATTTTCTTTGTCCTGATTTCAACCGGTGAGGGATAGCAGACAACATAAGAGTGAGAAACGGCTCCGGGACAAGTTTAGCACAACACAGCTTTATTACACAGCTGTCAGTCTGCATCATGATCATCTCCAAGCAGCACGGCCCCCCCTCCTCTCAAATACCTGCACTGCCCGGGTGAAATGTGCCAAAAACAGACAGCACAGCATGGGCTGAGGCATCCTTGTAGTCTGAAACCGTCAAAGGTGTTCCTGTAGAGAAAAAGTTTGGGGTCTAAATAAAGGACAAGCATGATGCAAACAAAAACAAAACATTTTGCGCAGTTATTATGCAGATGAGAGTTATTACTGTGAAAAACGCACCACTCACTCTGGATTAGTTCTACCTTGGGACCTCTGATGGTTCGTGAATTACCCCTGACATCAGAAAATCTCTAATTAAATAAATCCTGAGCGTTTCTGATTGAAAACACAGAGACGCTGCACAATATAAACCTCGTCTCTGGGGGCTGCATCACACTCTGCAGCACACAGCCTGCTGGGAATTCATAAAAAGAAGACAACGTCCTCATAACAGCGAACATCCGTGAAAAACGTGCATTAAAAGCACATGGCTGTGAGCTAATTCAATGCATAAAAGCAGTCCACCTCATATTTTGCAGGCCACATGCTGCAAAAGCACATCATCTGTCTGAGTCATTCTTCAGCATTTAGTTTCTTCTTGTAGATTATTAGTTTCCTCTTTATGCGCACAGATCTGGATCCTGAATTTTCACCCAAAATAATAAAAGTGTTTGTGTTTTATGGGATATTTCAGTATAAAAATAATTTAAGGTCAAACACACCGTAACACTGAGTTAGACACCCCTTCGAGAGATGAATGTTGCTGACCGCTTGCTTCTCTAGTTATACCAACTTTAGTAACGACCGCACGATAGCAATACACAGAGGTCTGAGGAGTCATAAACAAATCTCAACCAAAAAGCCACAAATAATGCTCAGAACAGCACCTAACTTCATCAACAGGACATATAGGGTCCTAGCTGCAGCTCTAGCCACCAAACATCTTTTTTACTTTGCCTAATTTCTTAAGCAAAGAGACTAAACACAACTCAACTACTCTCTTCCAGCAGCCGCACATTTGTAGTGAGACCTCAGGCCAGTCCATTACGGACTACTGTGGGGTGACACAGCTCAAGGAAGAACATTTGTGATAATTCCTTCATGGAAATGCAATCAGACTGAGACGCTAAGAAAATGATAAAGAAATTATCATAAATGTTCTTCCTTGAGCTGCAGAACCCCGCAGCAGACTGTAATGGACTGGTCACAAACAAGTGGCTGCTGGAAGAGAGTAGGTGAGTTGTGTTTAATCTCTTTGCTAAAGAAATTAAACAAAGTTGAAAAGATGTTTGGTGGCTAGTACTATGGCTGGGACCCTATATGTCCTGTTGATGAAGTTAGGTGCTGTTCTGAGCATTATTTGTGGCTATAGAGTGGCGTTTTGGTTGAAGTTTGTTTATGGCTCCTCAGACCGCTGTGTATTACTATCGTGCGGTCATTTCTAAAGTTGGTATAACTAGCGAAGCAAGCGGTTGGCAACATTCATCTCTAGAGGGGGTGTCTAACTCGTTGTTACCGTGTGTTTCACCCTAAATTAATTTATGCCGGAATATCCCTTTAATGTCCTTCATCACCTTCAAGATTCTGATTTGATTCACTTGACATATTACAAACAAATCTGATTTCACAGGGGATTAAAAACACAGGCAGCCTCTGCAATAATTACAAATTATCAGAGAACTCCAGATAACACTAATCTGGAGCAAAAAGGGCTTAATCGTATCTGATTGTCGCTGATGGTGGCTGAACTGATGGCACAACTTCTGAACTCATTTTCAGCAAAGTTTAGTGACTGTGGATTATGCAAATGTCCCCGATTTTACTTTTTAAATGATTACACAGCGTGCAGAGCCGCGCACGTCTTCTTAACCACTTCTTACAACTCAATTTTACAGACCTGCTTTATGGGGATTCACTTTTTAAGATGATATTTTCATCTCTCGCTTCCTCTTCTCCTCATTATTAATGTGTGTTATATTACGGTTCATATTTTTGTCTCATTACTGTTCATTTTGTTTTCATGTCCTCTAATGTGATGTCTCTTTTATAACCCTTTAACAGCTTTTATAACTTCATCTGCCTTTTGAGATGTGCATGTTTCATCAACTGCACTCATATTCCTGTTGATTCCTGTTGGCATTACACTTCACTCTATTCAATTTGGTCTGACTCTGTTATTGTCTCTTTGCTTTTTTGCCTTTAAAGTCATCTGGAAATAAAGTTATTATTAAAAAATCACTATTAATGAGAATGTTTGAGTTTTCAACAATTTTAGACATATAAAAAACAACCCAACAGATGGTAAGAACGGAGTGAGTCTGGCTTAATTAAAGGTTTCTCGAACAAGTTGTGCAAATGACACAAACTCTGGAGATGTTATTTTGCTGAGTCCTGTGTTGACGGCAGTAATATGTAAAAAGAAAAAACAGAACCGGGGATATATTTGTAAAAATTTTTCCAAGCTTGACTTTTTTCCAGTCCTACCAATGTCACTTGTCTGCAACTGCCAGACTAATTTGCATATTTTAATAAGCCTGGAGCCATCGTCTTTATTCCAGGTTTTTGAGGTGCATTATGAATCAGTGCAGGACGAAAATACTTTGGAAGCCGCAGCCATCACAGAAATGACACGCGGTGTAGCTGCAGGGTGAGAGGTGGTAGCTGTAGCTTCAGCATCGAGTGCTTAGAGCTTTTATTTTGACGTTTTTTATACTGACTCTGGGCGTGCAATTATGAAGAAACCGGGACTATGAGTATAGAATTGAGCAATTGTGGGTGGTTTCTAATGGCAACACCATAGCAGGTCCATAATGTTCTCCACCTGAGGGTTAGCCATCTTGTTTGTTGTGAAAAATGCCTCAACAGTGTTTATAAGAAGCCTCATAAGTCATTCATCCTGGCCATGTTACATATATGCATGTTTATTAATGAGGTGAGTATAGCCGATCAAAAGGATGAAAATCTGATGTAGCAGCGAAAACAAAAACATGCAGATCTGTTACAGCGTGCCACGCACCAACTTGCTCTTTCCCGTCAAAAGAGAGAGAGCTGAAATTAATCAGCCTGTTGCCCAGAGTCAAAATGAACTCTTTCATTATTTAAACCAAAAGGGGATTAAATCCAAATTAAACATTTGCCGAGAATTCCTTCAGTAAAACCGTTTAACGATTTTAAATGATTTCCAGTTATAGATTTATGACACTGCATTTCTTTTTGTCCTCCAGCTCTGCTCCTGCTGTATGACGTCACCAACAAAACCTCCTTCGACAACATCAGGGTGAGTTTTGATTCAGTTCTGGTCTGATTTCCATGTGATCCATGTGTTTGCCACATTTTCCCTCGATCCTGCACCTCGCAGCTTGTACCGCCTTTCTTGATCCAAATCCAAATAGTGGAAAAAAAGGACGTCATCAACAACCAGCTTTTAAAACAGGGTTATGACATGGTTCGTATTTAATGAGACATCACACCTCAGTCTTTAACAGGAGGGGAGGGACCTCTGTTTCTTCTCACCAGCAGAGCACGTGTCAGGCGCTGCAGGTTATCAGAAGCAAAGGGTGAGAACTCGTCTGGTTAACTGATTCCAGCTTGTGATCTCACGCAGATATTACAAAAGATGTATATATAAAATAAAGCCCCAAGAAATGTAAGAGAAAACTTCCTGGTCGAATCGCTTTAACTTGAAAGGCTTCGAATCAACTTTACAATGTAAAAAAAAAAACTACCCCTGGTATATTTGCTTTTATTTTGAAAGGCTTTAAATAAACTTCCGGTCCACTTCAGTGAAAGTGGGTCCTCACAGTGGAGGTCTGCAGCCAGACTGTCTTGGAAAATATTCTAGGGTGACCATACGTCCTCTTTTACCCAAACATGTCTTCTTTTTGGGATCTGTCCAGACTTGTCCAGGGGAGTTTATAAAATCATTTAAATGTCCGGGGTTTTGTACGGAAGTATTTAGTTTGTGTCGCATGGAATTACTGAGTTAGAAGTGCGTAAAAAACACTCGACCCGGCCCGTACTACAAGCGACTCTGCGACTCCGCCCCGCAAGATCACCCTAAAAATATCCTAGCGGTACCGTACATTTAGATTATCCAGATTATCAGAAGCAAGAACCAATCGAGTAAACAAATGGTGCATCGCAAACAGATCTAAGCATGGTGGACAAATACTTGAATGGCTGAAAATGCACCAGGGCAGCCCACCTAGGTACCTTTGATTTGTGGGAAACACCGCAAGATCCTCCACCAGATTATCAGGCACAAGAGAAAGGAACTTGTCTAGTTGACTAATGGTTCATCGTGATCTTATACAGATATTTAAAAAGATACCTATGTGGTCAGCAAATACTTGAGTTGCTGAAAATATACCTTGGCAGTCCAACTAGGTATCATACATGTGTGGGAAATGCAACATGATCTTGCTCCAGATTGTCAGGAGCAAAGGGCTTATACAGGTATTTAGACAGATGCATGTATGGTCAACAAATACTTCAATGGCTGAAAATGCACCAGGGCAGGCCATCTAGGTATCTTTGATTGGTGGGAAACACCGCAGGATCCTCCACCAGATTATCAGGCACAAAAGGAAGGACCTTGTCTAGTTTAACTGTTGGTTCATCGTGATCTTTAGACTATCCAATCCATCGTCTGTGTCTGAGAACCAGTCTACATCTCGCTCCAGTGGGAAATGTGCCAGACCTCCTCAGGTTGTACTTGGCGTCACTTTTACTGTCGGACATTATTCACCGTTATTATGAGGTTTGGACAATTTCTAATCAAGTATTTAACACTTCTGGGTAAAAATCCATGTAGTTAAGGGAATCCACACATCATTCCCAGTACAGTTAATCAGATTTCTCCCTCGTAATTGGCTCGGTTGAAGCCCTTCAGATTGATTTTGTTGATCAAAAGGATTTGTAGATCTGAAGGCTCTGTGAGTGAATGAATGACTGCGTGATACGACTTCTGACAAAATGTCATCGTTCACTGTCAGCGCATCTGCCGGCAACATTATTAACCGATGTTTAAAGTCAGTCACTGTGACAGAAAGGGATCTGATGTTCTTCTTTAGATGTCAAATGGGAATAAAAAAAGAGAGAGAGAGGGAAGAGCGCAGACCTCACAGGAAGACTGAGGAAGATAGACTGTGATTTAGTGAAGGATAGCAGGGTCAGATTTAAGTTGACTTCATGTTCTTTCTATAGACCAGAGGGACTTCTCTAACTGTCCATTTATCCAACACGGCTCCACTCTCCGTCACTCTTCGCTGGGCTCTAATGCTTCAAATCAAAAGGAAAAATACATGAAGTTTGACTTGTTCTGACTCCTCTCTTTCTTGGAATCAAACATGAACAGTCGGCGCCAGCAGCGTGATCTGTAATAAGCTCGTCAGTGTTCAGTTTTTAGCCCGGAGAGCGTTTCAGACCGTAGACTCGAGAGTTTTACCTCATCTGCTCCTTCGAGTCCAACAACACCTCCAAGTTTTTGAAAGTCAAGGAAGTGGCTTTTATTGAGCAGTTGAGTTATGTGTTTTTATTTCCTTCAGGGGGATTTATCTTCTGTATTTCAGTGTTGGTTTTATTACAGAGCGGTGGACAAACACAGGCAGAGACCAGGTGAAGGAGTTGTACATGCAGAGGTCGAGGTCCAGCAGCATTCCATGAAGTGTTTGCTGCTTGTTTCCAACACTTCAGAGTAATTCAAATCAACCAACTGTTATCCATGTGAACTGTTACAGATTAGGGCTGGGCGATATGGCCTCAAATCAATATCACAATATATTGATCAGTTCACCTTGATAACGATAAATGGACAATAACTACTCCACAAGCTGCTCACCCCCTCCCACATTACCTTCGTCTACTCCAGCCGCTACAACTTTTGAACCGTCCTCCATCTCCTCACCTGTCTTTCCCTCTTTGTAACGGACTGGATGGGGTGGAGTCACGTCTCTGACGTAGGACAGCATCTTAAAGGGACATGAGACTATAGCCTACCTACACACATCCAAAACAAACTTTATTTATTCATTTTTTTTACCAATTTAGGTAAAATGACGTTAGATATTGACGTAAATTACGGTATCTGTAAATTTTCCGTTTATCGCCCAGCCCTATTACCGATTATTATATCAATTTCTCACCAATATCACGCACCCTTCACTGTCATCATCTATCATCTCCTTTCATGGAATTTTCATGGAGTGCAGTAGCTGGATCACAGTGAGCTGAACGTGGTCAAATAGGTGATGCATTATTTTTTTACCTCTTGTAAATCTAAAATTCAGGCCGCCAAAAGAGTCAGCAGGGGAGGAAGGACACAAGCATCACGCTGGTGCAGTTGATGTGCGTGTAATGAAGCTGCCGTACTTGTTTTTTCACTCACCAGCAGCATTATTCATTTGCATTGTAAATGCGTCTTATTTACATCAAGCATCAATATGAAGGCCAAAAAACTGCCGACACAAATGCCGACTCTGCTCCGCCTGTCATCTTGGGTTTGCTGTAAATATAACACAGTGAGTACCACAGCATCTATTTTAACCCATGTCCAGCCTTTGAAGAGCCTCTCTGGTGTCCCATCCATCTGAAGCCTTCTCATTTCTAGGGACATGTGACAGTGACAACTTATTTATTATATTTATTTAAAATTTCAGGGAAGGGTGTCCTGTAATTTCCTGGAAATATTCTGGAGTGCATGAGCGGAAAAAGAAAAGTATTTCCAACTGTATTTTTGATATTCAGTGACCTCCTAAAATAAATAATCACCAGCTGACAGAAATTGTACCACCTCCTCAGATAATGACTCAAACTGTTTTTGCCAAAGTGCTGTCATATCAGGGGTTACGAAAGAGGATTAGGGACACATGAAGAGAAAAAAAAGGAGAGGAAGAGAAAAAAAAAAAGAGGAGAAAAAAATAATTACCAGAAGGAGATTAAAGTTGAAATTTCCAGATAAAAAAAATGAAATTATGTCGAAAGTCAAAATTTTGAGATTAAAGTCGACATGAATAAAGTCGAAATTTTGCCTTTTTTAAAATTGCGACGTTAATCTTGAGATGGAAATTAAAACATTTCCCTCCTGTAATTATTTTTCTCTCCTCTTGTGGCCCTAATCCTCTTTCGTAAAGGGGTCCGTATTAGTTCCCACAGAGTTAACAAACCCAGCGATGATACACTGTCTTGTAATCCATCTTCCTTAAATTGAACATCCGCCAGGGTCGCTAAAATGGAGGCAGTGTAGCGTGCATGTTTACATTTTACAGTCATGTTAAACAGGCACACTTTTAAGCAAGGAGCTGCACTTCAGTGATACCAGACAGACTTCTAAATTATTGCATGATCTGAGTAACAAAATGGCGTGTTTCAGGTCATATTGCACTTCTTGCAGAGTCCCCTTTTACAGTCATAACATGTCTGCATTTTTACTCCTTTAAGAGGCTTTTAGGTGCATGTCTATATGGGGAAATAACTAATCATTCTCAGTCACCTTTGGACACTCTAGAGTCAGTACTATGTAACAACAAGGAATGATTTAATGGTGCATCCGGCACAAAGTGTTTTGGCGTGCAAAGTGTTTTTTCTCCACCTGACCCACTTAGCACGCAGGCTGCGTAAACATTAAGGGAACTTCAGCCCGTGTTTGCTCTTAAAAGCAGGTGTGGTCGGCTGCAAAGGTGGTGTGTTACTATCTTCAGGCTGCAGAAATCGTCTGTGCCATAGACCAGAAGAAACCTGGTCTGAAGATGGCAGAGAGTAGAAAAGGCAGAAGAGTTGGCTTTGTGCTATCCTTTGACTTTCATCTACAAAGAGAGATTATGAACGATCTCTCTTTAAATGATACAGCGAAACTAAGTGGGATAGAGTGAGTATTTTCCTTTGTTTCCATACATCAGAGTGCTTCTCACTGCTATATCCTTTCTATTTAGCGTCCTATAGGAAAGCCATGTGATCCAGCTGGGTAAATAAGTAAATAAAGATCAACAGCCTGCCTTTCTTTGATGTAAAGCACACAGGATGTTAGCCATCATTAGATTCTGTCTGATACTGTTAGCAGTATCTGAGTTTTAGGTAATAATGAAGTTAGGCTGCTGTGTCCTCTTGTATCAGCGTTTGCTCGTCTGAAGGTTCCTGTTTCAGTGGATTCATATTAATTCATGCAACGCTGTAACTCATGATCTGTGTGGTTTTTTTGTGTTTGTAGAGAAGTTTGCAGTCAGCTGTGTCTGCAGGTGCACCTAAGTCTTAAAGGGAAGGAGAGCCGAATCCCAAATCACCCTGTACCTGACCTTACTTAGACTGTGCACGCCTTAAACATGATCAGACACCCCCTGATTCAGTCTGATCCATGTGCTTTGGACCCCGTGTTGAAGATCCTTTAAACAGAGCCCTAAAAGTTAACATCAGTCTCCTAGCTACGCCTTTTGGAACATAAAACTCCATTGAACATAATCCTTGTATGCAGCCAGCTCTGCAGGATACTGCAGATCACAATCGAATTACAATGTAGTCTCCACAAAACCAGACATTTTCCCTTCATTGATTTAACTCATAATATGAAAATGAAAATTCAATACAAGAAAGCAGTTTACCCTCTGCTTTATGCTGCCTGGATGTAGAGTTTCTGCATTCAGGGGAAGATAAGTCAGATATTTGCAGCTTCTGTGTCTCTTTGTTGTGTTTAATAGGATGAAATGCCCGACAGAGGCTGGTCCTCCAGGTGCCTTTCTGCTCCACATGTGATAGATTTTTTGTCTTTTGTTTGGAGAAATATTTAACAAGCTGTGAAAAAAAAGAATGAAATGTTAAGGCAGGAAAAGTAGGGTGTAAAAACGATCCAGAGACACCTGTGAGAGCGCATTTAAAGTAAACAAACACTTCATGACTTGACTCGGTAACTGAGGAAATTTGCATCCGCAGTCATACCCGATTCAAGGAAAACAAACAGCAGCACAAAGTGGCAGTTTTTCTAGCCACATCGATCTCCCCCATTACCCTCCTGTATAGTGTCACCGCTGTCAGGTGGAGTGAAGTCGTGCCAGCTGGTGTCACTATGTCAACACACCTGCTGTTTCCCCCCCCCGTGCGGTAAATATACCCTCGAACAGGAGGGCCGGCTATTTCCAACGGCTCTAATTGCCACTGGCCGTCAGAGAGAATGTCCTTCACAGCAGCAAAGAGGCTGTTATGGGGAGGAGAGTGTGTGTCACTGCCTGAAAATGTGAGATGCCCATTTTTCCCAGGAGATGTTTAAGGCAGGAAAAAAGTGCTACTCCAGCTCCAGATGTGAATATCAGCATAACAAGGATGCGTGTGTGTTCATGTGTCTGTTTTCCCCAACAGACTCTCCTGTTTATCTGCTGACTTCTTTTTACCTTGTACCCTTTATTTCATCACAAACATACTATTGCCAACATTTTTCTGCTTCTTTCTCACAATCTTCAACTTTAACATTTAATGAAACCACGAAAAAATTTCACAGTTCGTCATTTTCCAACAGATGGGATGACTTTGGTTTAAAACGACTATGTCAAAGAAGCACTTACCCGAGCTGAGACATCAGGGCTGTTCCTCTATTTTTCTGAAGCAGGATAAAATTAAAAGTAACAGCGTGATTGTGCAAGAGAAAACATTTTAAAGATTGTAGAGGACACTGATCTGACTCGTTAATAAGCTGTAGTAGTTAATCTCGCGCTTATAAAAAGAAGTGAATATCAGATCCAGCTCAATAGAAAGCAATTTAACCGATCTAATTGTAGTTTAATTAGCACCATTTTCATCAAAGAGGATTAATATCTGAGAGCTCCCTGGTAGAGAGGGCGCAGTTCCCCTCCTTTGTATGCAAATACATGAAAAGCCAAGGCAGGGAGAGCAGCAGCAAAGACCCCCGGGGTACAGAACAGGTATGGTGACTATACATATGTTAGATGCTGATGTTTGATTTGTAGGAACATGCTCAAAGAGGACTTTCTTAGCTTTACTGATTTTGCATTTGTCTTTAATTTAACGGTTCTTTGCTGTTAGGAAATAAATGATGTCTGAATTCCGTTCTGGTTCATCTTTAATAGTTTTATGTAATTTTCCGATCAAAAAAAGCCTCAAATTTCTCACAGTGGTGTATTAAAATATCATTATTTTAGCCTCTGTCTAAAACGTCTCGTTTTAGCTAATGTCTCTTTAAAATGCCCCCCCACCCACTCACCCACAAGCCTGCTTTCCTCTGATTGGCCACCTCTCGGGAGGAGTTCCGGAATGCTGAGGGCAGAGCTTGATGTTTTGCCCCATTCCCTCTTCTGTGGGGGAGTTCAGTTCATATATACATATATATGTTGCCATTTTAGATGTTTTTAACAAACAAAACAACTTGGAAATCATGTGCAACTTAAATTATGTTGAACTGAAAGAGTATATCTGCCTTTCCCACTGATGTAATATTGCTGGGTCAACTTTGTAATACGTACTTGGTCTCACTCACAGCGAGCCTGTTAACCAAGTTTGACAGCTGATAAACACAGGCACACCCACAAAGACTGTCACTTAGACAAAAAAGATAAATAAATAAATAAATAAAATAGGCTGTCATACAAGAAATTAAAATCCTGATTGTGGTCTCAGCCTTGATAACTCACGCAAAGTGACTCAAAAGTTAGCCCTTGCGTGCAAATAGCTGTGAAACAACTGTGCTTCATAATTAAGTCTTTTTTTATTTCAAAGAAAATCTGCCATCTCAATATGTCCGAGCATCCAGACTCACAGCTACGTTATTAAGGTCTGTAATAAACCAAACTATTTGTAAATCTCTCAAGATTTCAGCGAGTTAAGAGTATTTTTGATCATGCAGATTACTCACCTCCCGTCAGCTACCATAGCACATACAAGAGTCGTATACTGGAGCAAGATGGCCGCCAAGTAGGGATGCAGGTGACTCCGCCTCAAATCATCTAGCCTTTCTTATATATATGTATGTGTATATGTATATGAGTCAGGCCATTAAACTTTGCTTTAAGCACATGAACCAGTTAGAGTAAAGTCAGAGTTTTAGTAAATCTCGCACGTAAACTACGGTCCCGCGTTTTCCCACGTTTGTCCAAGATTTGAGCAGTTTGCATCTGTTTTCTATGATCATGACATTATATTTTTATGTTATACTGTATGTAACATGGACACCAAACTTTGTAACTTTGCAGTTCTGGTATGAATGTGAAAAAGCATGAAACCCCCTCTTTAATGAGACAATGATCGATGTCATTAGTTTCTTGTGTTTTTCTTCTGTTTCGTATTAAAATACTTCAACATCATCTCTCCTTCACCCACAGCACTTTGGAAAGCACTTGTTTTTGTTCAATCTTTACAGTTTGCAACATTTCGCTGTATTTACTCCCCGGGAGATAGATTTGGGGCAAACTCAGAGGAAACAGTTTGACATATCCTCGCATCGCCCTGTTAAGCTTCGCCTCCCCTCTTTCTCGCCTCCACATCCCTCCGCCGCCCCCCACAATCAGTCTCCGTCTATTACAGTGAATAGAAACGCTGGCGGGGAGCTACAGATGCCCGCTGGCACACCGCTGCCTAACGAGCACTAACTCATGCTAATGAACGCTAATGGTGATGAATGCCGCCGAAAGAGAGGGAGCAAAGAGACGAGCAAATCATTTCTCTCCTCCTCCGCCCGCAGACCCGCTTCCCTCTGCTGTGTATTATTGTCTCCCCCCCGGTTAGGAGACATTTAGGCAAGCAAAGCATTAACGTCACAGGAGCTGTCCATCAAATCAAGAGAGAGAAAAAAGACCCGACACTTACGGCAAGAGACGCTCAGTCAAAACATTCTCCTCTTTGTGCTGTGACATTTCTGTGTCCTAAAAATATCACCAGCTATATTCGGAGAGCATAACCTCGTTTAAAAAGAAAAGTGACTTTTCCTTAAGTCTTAAAATGAGAAGATTATGTTCCCGGTTTGTGCGTTCATGTTTCCAGAGCTTCTTCGATTTACACTGTCGGATTTTGTTTGTCTTACACATAGTTGTGAGTATTTATTGATGTTGTAAGCCATCGAAGTAAGAATATACAATCCATCTAGTGATGTGATGGATGTCTCTCTGTCAGATGTAGTTCTTCGGGGAAACTACAAGAGTCCATTTAGGCCTCTACTTCAAATCATTTGTCTGAGTTACTTGGTTGGAAACGGACCGGCTCCTTTAAAGCTAGGAACATTTGCCTCTGACAGAAATCCAAGAGTCTGTCAAACCAGAACCATTCAGAACTCCCTCAATGTCAATTAGGCTGTAGTTCCTGAAACGCAACATTTAAAGTGGAAAACAGACTGCTCCGGGTTTGCCCGTCAGCTAAAAAGCTGAAATGTTGGTAAGAGAGCGCCTCTGGCAGAGGAACCTCTGCAGCTGAGATTAGTTCAAAAAGAAAAGAGGATCTTTGTTAATGTTTATCTGACAAGAGCTGGGTAGATAATATAACTGCTTTTGTTAGAATTAAAGGTTGCAAAATGTTGATGTGAAATATTAAAGTAAAGGTATCCCCATTCTGAGTCATCCCTGCCCTTCCACATGCTCACGTGCAATGCAAAAGCTGGCAGCAGCAGCATCAGGGACACACTCTCCTATCTATTTCACTCTTATATATGAAAAGTCATGGCAGGGAGAGCAGCAGCAAAGAAAAGACACAGCTGACACTCAACAAACCACTCCACTTTAGTGTTATCTGTATTATCACTGATGCCCAGTCTGTTCTGCATCCTTGCTGCTGCTCTGCCTGCCTTGGCTTTTTATGTATTAAAGTAGCAGTGTGCTTTCTCACAGTCTCCTATCTATTTCACCTGCATGCATGCATAAAAAGCCATGGCGGGGAGAGCAGCAGCAAAGAAACGACAGCTGCTCCCTTCATAAACCAATCCACTTTGGTGTCATCTGCATTATCACAGATGCCTGCTCTGCTATGTTCTGTTCTGCATCTTTGCTGCTGCTCTCCCCGTCGCAGATTTTTATGTATGAAAGTAACAGTGGTAGAAGGTGTGCTTTCTCACACTCTCCTATCTATTTCACCTGCATGCATGCATAAAAAACCATAGCAGGGAGAGCAGCAGCAAAGAAAAGACACAGCTGCTTCCTCCATAAACCGCTCCACTTTAGTGTCATCTGTATTATCACTGATGCCTGCTCTGCTCTGTTCTGCTCTGCTCTGTTTTGTTCTGCATCTTTGCTGCTGCTCTCCCTGCCTCTGCTTTTCATGCTTGAAAGTAACAGTGGTAGAAGGTGTGCTTTCTCACTCATGCATTTCATATTTACATTTAGGAAGGCAGGGATCTCTGAGAACAGAAACATATTTGTTTTGTTCGTAGTGTCGGTTTAGCTGCTGGATTTTAACCCTGCTTTTGTCTTCTTAAGGCACAACTTCACATCCCTGCTGTTACTCTCCCTACAACAGTTTTGACCTCTTATCGGCTTTTTTTTTAGCACCAAATCAAAAACTACTACTGTGCTAAAAGCTGATTGGCTCACTTATTGACGCTAAAAGAGTCTATTGGATAAAACCACTGAACCTGCGTCTCTATACGGTGACTTCTCTAACTGTGCCTAGTCGGAAAATCTCAGTCTGGATCCTACAACATGTTCCCGTTTAAGCTGCAGGACTTCATCCTCATCCTCATCATGCTGAACTCTCCCCACAATAGTCCCAGCTGAGGTTTCCTAACACCAGATCAGTGCTGAGGCAGTGATTTAAGCTAGGCAGTCTCCAGTGACCCAAAGTGAGTTTCTTATTGACCGTGGAGATCAATAGCTGTTACCTTGATCGGAGTACACTGCCTCTCGATATAATAACTTTCTTATTGAACAGTCTGGCTTTGATGCCGATTTAAGTGGTTTACTTCGTGGCTGCGCATCCAAACATCTGTGTGTGTGTTTGCATGCGCAGCTGCTCGGCCGCTTGATCATGCAAAGTGCGTAAACCCGGTCCAAGAGACGACAGAGATGAAAAAACCTTCATCTCTGAGCCTTCATTCATCTCTCTCTCTCAGTCTCTCTCTCTTTCTTTCTCTCCGTCCCAGGGGCACGATCTGGCTTCAAATGAAACGGCCGCCTGCCTACCACATAGCAGTTAGTTAAATGTCATGGCACCACCGCACCAGATGGTGATGAGAGGAACTGTCGGTAAATAATGCAGTGATATGAATTTAAATACCAGTCATTTAAAATCACTGGAGACTCTGGCATTTTGGAAGTGAATCATTTAAAGCAAGCGTTACATGGAGAAACACATCATGTTTTATCCCGCAGGGTAACGCTAGCGAGGCCTTGACACGCGGTAATGTTCATACATTACCTCGTCAGTCACACATCACCTGTAATTTGCACCCCAGCATGGAAAATTATTAGTATTTCAGCCTCATTGCTCCAGCAGATTATTGCCTGTCCTCGCCGGCGGAGCACACAGCTCTGCAGAGGCGAAATGATCCACCACTGTTCAGATTCATTTCTGTGCACATTTCCATTTACTTTGAAGGCAGCCGCAAAGTCACAGAACCGATTGCACGCCCCTGTGCGCACAAAAACACTCAGAGCAAGATGAATGAAGATGTCCTGTCGGCTGCGTGCTTTACGTTGTTGTCGGTGCACTTCAATTTCCCCAGAAGGTGTAAAAATAAGTGAAATTCATCTTTGGGGATGGAGCCGCGCCAGAAATGTTCCTCTACCTTTAAAGAAATAACTCAAGAATAGATGAGAAACGGTTCAGTCTCCTGCTTTCCTGCCTTCTTTGCATGTTTGTTTTTTTTTGTTTCACTCTCCTGTTTGTTGTCTGAGTTTGGGAAAACAGTCATCTCGCTGCTGCTCGTTACGTAACACCTTCACTTCTGCCCGCTCACCAGAAAAGCGGCCTTTTATGTTCCTCGGAGTTGGTTGCAAACTCTGCAGGAAAAAAAAAAAACAAAAAAAAAAGCACTTTACCTGCGAAAGAGGGGCTGAAAAAGGTCGAAGCAATTCAGACAAATGAAAAAATGATTTGCAGGCCGACTCTTTCCATCCGTCCCTTCATCGTCAAAAAGCACCGTAAAGTATTTTGTCGGATCAGAGGCAGCTTTTTTTTGCCACGAACTGAAGTGCTAAACCACCCACTCAGCTTTTGGCCTAGAAATCCACAACTTTATCGAGAGGCGTATCCAAGGACAGAGGTTCATTCGCTCTCATTATTCTAAAACACTTATGAGTCGACGTATGAGGCACAAAAACAAGAAATATTCAAGTTTGAGGATCAAATGTTGCTTTGAGAGGGCTTTTGACCGTACAAAGAAAACTCTGCATGAAAGACTTTTTCGGTCAAACGAGCAGAAGTTGGAGGAAGCTGCTTTGAAAAGTTTCCCATGACCTTAGAGCGTCTCACACTGAGTCACTTTTTTGTTTCCATTTTTCCTAAAAACCTTCAAACATGCTACACAGTTCTCCGATAATCCTAAAAACCAGGGGTCCTGGACCGCACGGCCTCGAGAGTGAATCATCCAATCATCGCCTACGCTGCATGTCTGCTGCAGCACCCATTAGTCACACAAACTATTGACACTACAGTCTGAGACAATATGGGAAGCCTCTAAAGCTCTGTGTGCAAACCTCCTTGTTTGCAGATTTCGTCGCTTCCTCTCCGCGCTTTTGTTCTCTTATAGATGATATTCCTTCATTTCACAAGTTCAACAATCAGTCAGAGTTGAATCGTGTTCATTCGTCTTAGAAATCCACCAAACGTACATATTAAAACTCTGCTTTTCTGTCACTCTGTCTCTTTTGTCTCTTTGCAGCGTTTTTTCCTGGCATGAGTAAATGCAGAGGCGTCATTAATTTTTTTTTTTTTTTTTTTACTGTGACTCTGGCTTTTATCACAGTCCTGCAATCCTTTTATCATCCAGACAGAAAGGACCTTATAGCTCTTTGTCTGAAACAGGAAAAAAAGGATGAAAATGGATTTCCATTATTTGTATGAGCAGAATAGTAAGTGGCCTCTAAAATACTGTGGCTGGCTTTTACCTGATGGTGCGATGAAGTGAATGTGAGTTTCTGTAACGACATAAAACTAAATATTTTTTACTTGGAGCACAGCAGGATCTCTTAATTATCATGTTACCTGGTTTTTGGAGCAGCATGTTGCTTTTGATGTTTTCAGTGTTATCTGTCATGCAACAGGAAAAAGAATGAATGCATTAGGCGTGTGCAGAAGCTGATACGTTAAAACCTCTGAAGCCGACCAGCTTGCATGCTAAATTCAGTTAAATTAGATAGACGTGTGGTATGGTACGAATGATTAGGGTCCGCCTTGTGTTATCAGACAGCTTCACCTTGGTGAGTGGGTTTGGATCCATTCAATTCATTGTCTTTGTCCAGGTAACCCTTCTTTGTGAGGCAGCACAGAGGCAGAAACAGAATAAATCATCCAGCTTATTCAAAACAGCCGGAATCACAGATTCAGTGAACCGCCCTGCAGTGGAAGCTGCTATCATGGATGTTCACGGAGAGGCTGAGAGAACCCGCCCCGTTTCTAAATGAAGGACTCTGATTGGTCTGGCTTATCTGAAATTGGTGGGAATCAGGGTTGTCAAAACTGCTCCAAAATGACGTTTGAATATTCGGTCTAAAAATAACACACAAGGTTTGAACATATTCAAATACACACACACACACACACACACCTCTAACTTGTGCGAGCAATTAAAGGTCCTGACTGTTGTCCGTATAGACAGGCTTAATTAAGTGATTAAAGCAATGATGATAAGCTAATTCTAGCTCACACAGCTTGCATATAACTTTATCTCGCCCAGCAAGAATTTCGAAACGCCACGTCTAAAGTTCATTGGAGTCCGGACCACTCTCTCTGAGTTTGGCTCCGAACATCCCTCCATCTCTCTTTGCATTTGCCACGGACTGTATTTGTCAAGTCTCACTGCAGGTGCAGCTCCTGTGACCTGTCCCTGACCAGTCGTTACCATAGACTGTATACAGAATGGACAGCGTCCAACTACATGTTGACATGTAATGGATCATAAGACTAGTTTGTGCTCAAGTCCTCGTTTCTCTGTGCAGCTCCATTTTTAAAAGTTATCAGGGGATTCATGTTTTTCTATGATTGACACTTGACACAGCCTATGGGTGTACAAAGATTGCGTAGCTCACCCAGGGGATACGCTGTTTGAGCCGAGCGTCATCACAGCGACTCTCCTGTAGAATGGGTAAAACACTACGGTGCAATGTTGGTTTCAGGAAATGGAGAAAAAAACGCGGAAATACCGAGAGCTTTTTGGCTTCAAATCTGTATACAGGCGGAAGTCGAAACCAAGTTGTCCAAAGTATATACAGTCTGTGGTCGTTACAGTGCGCGCGCTCACAAAGCAGCCGCTGTTTTTTTTTTTTTTCTTCGTTTTTCTCCCCCTCAGTTTTTTTCCCACTGTTTTTTTTATATTCGAATTTTTGAATGTCTTTTTTTTTTAATATTCGAATATATATGTAAATTTAGAATATTCGTTGACAGCCCTGGTGGAAATTTGTTTTAAATGAGAACTATGACAATTGATTGTGAAAACCAGATCAATTTAAGTCCAAAAAATATTTGAATCAGGTCATTCGCCAACATCAGAGCACAGGTGACGTTAGCATCCAGCGGCTTATGCTGCTATATCATCTTCAGGTCTAATTTTACTTCATATAAGAGCTCCACCAACGGCGGTGTTACGGCTCAACATGTGTCCCGGTTAACCGGCCACTCTGGCTTGTTGTCATAGCAACAATTTAACTGAAAGTCACCAGTTAGCAGGGGTACTTGTTCGATCAAAACACCAACAACAAGACAGGATCAGAAACCTTTACGGCGTACCTGCGGTTTCTTTCTAGCAAATCAACAAAAGAGGAATAAATTTCAAAGATAACTTAAAAGATGAATCAACTGGACTAAAGATTTTAACCGCGACGTCCAAGGAAAGACCATAGCTAAATGCTTGCATTAGCTGTGTTCTGATGGAATGATGATGTCTGAGCATTTCCATCCACATGTGCAAAAACACTGTAAAAAAAACTGCTTTTTTAATGTGTTTCTAGATACCTTGTTGTATTCGGACTGATCTGGTTTCTGCCGTGTTAATAAGCCTGCAGCGTGTCAGGGCATTCACAGTCGCTCTCAGATGTTGCTAGGCTCCTAACAGCAGAGGAAGAAACACTGGATCAAAGTATCTCAGCAGAGGTCACCCTCTTCCCACGCAGGGTGACTGTATCAAAGTCGGTAAACTCTGTGTATGGCTTAAGGGTTTATTTTTTTTAGCGTTTCAGCATTTTGCTGTTCTCCACCTTTGTTTTATCGTGGCCTATCCCCCTTGAATTTGAATTTTATGATATGAGAAGTTCAGATGATGATTATGAGTAGGCATAGATGCTCTTTTAGACCAGGAGAGGGATTTGGTTAAGGAGCTCTGTGAGGATCTCGCTTTGATTGGCAGGACGACACTGAGCTTCACGTTCCCTCCCCCCCGTCACTCGGTGCATGTCGCAGAAAGCAATTGGCACAGATGTCTCCGAGGGAATCACGATAATGAGGGCCACATGTGTGCACACAATCTCAAAAAAGTGAGGCGCAACAACAGGGAAGCCGAGTCTTTCTTCTCACTGTGTGGTTCGGATGCGGCGTGAATGAATTCATTAGAATGCAAAAGTACAAAGTGACACATTTGCAGGTTAATGACTTCAGTTCTTTGTGTTTGCCGCTCCGAGACCTTTCAGTTGCCTCACGCTGAATCTCAATTTCGGTGGCACTTGACACTTTTGCCATTTTTATTCCATCTTTTCTCCTCGTTACACAGTGAAACCTTAAATTATTGATATGCTCTTTTATATTCATTATTCGCTGAGAGAGAGGTTTATTCTCAAGGCTCCTCTGACAGGAAATGAACCGACTCGGTTTAACTCTTGACTTGACCGCTTGCCACCAAAAAGCGACATCATTTGTCTCTCGACCCTTCTGCTCGCCTGAAGTCCTTGTGGGGGATGAGTTCACAGTTCTTCTGTGTGGTCATGATCCCACTTTGCATGTACTGCCATCATTCGTCATTGAATCCCTGTATTTGCTGTTTTAAAATGAACACGATTTATTACACATTCTTATCTACATACTAAGGTTGGTATGATGGTGTAGACTCGGCGGCTTCTTCTGTGGTTAACAGTTACATTCCACTTAAAAAACATGAACTATTCCTTTAAAGTTCTGTTTACTTAGATGGTACTTTTGAGAAAACGTCACATCAGGCACTTCTGTGTGTCATGAGCCAGGGTGAAACAAACGAAAACAGGACCCAAATGCAGAACAAAAAAGGGTTTATTTCAAAATAACTAAATAAAAAGAAAAAAAAAGTTATTAAAATGTCCAACTGAAAAATTCCTAAAAAACACAAGAAGCAAAATCCAAGCAACCGAAAATCACTGAGGAGACAGGCATAGGTGCACACCGACATACATACACTCATGCAATGAACCAACCAGGACAGAGGGGAAGACAGAGGTGATATACACACACTGGGAAACGAGCAACAGGTGAGGCAGACGAGACACAGGTGAAACTCGTTAGTGATTAACAAGGGAGGTAAAACCAGACTAGAAACACAAGGAATCAACTACTACAAAATAAAACAGGAAACAGGGAAAACTGATCTAAAAAATAAAACACTGAGAACAGCAGGGAAACGGGGTCACATACAAACTGAAGACTCACAAGACAGGACAACAGGGGAACAGAAACATGAGGGAAAATACACTCAAAAAAACAAACAACTAAGTTAGCAAAACATATCATGACACTGTGATGGTTAATATGCAGTGGAGTATTTTATAGGGCTGCAAAGTATATTGTTTAATCATCGCAATTTCAATTTGTGCATCAAATGCCCAATATTCATATTTCAGGATGTGCCGCATTACTCACTTGAACATACAGAGAAGTTTCGTTGTAATACCTACAAAAATACTGCAGAAGGATGATAACGCAATATAGGGCTGGGCGATAAACCGAAAATTTACTGATACCAAAAGTTGCAACAATAACTGTTTATTGTTATCAAGGTGAACTGCTCAATATGTCATGATATTGATTTGAGGCCATACTGCCCAGCCCTAACGCAAGAGCTGCAAAGCATAAAGCAAGTTGACCAAATCAACTTACTTTTTTAAGTAATAAGGTTTGATATAAAAAGTTTTCGTCTGAAAATTCTGTAAAGATCTCAACTTCAGACGATCTGAGGCGACTAATTTGCTAAGGAATCACAGAGTCTGCAGGTAAACTGAGTGTGGCTAACATTAGCAGAGCTAGCACTACTTACATTCAGGCCTCCTTGCAGATTAACATCCACATGCTTCTGCTGTTTACACATCGCTCTGATTGGGCCCTGGCTTACAGAGCTACAGCTTTGACAAACGTTTGGCCAGCATTTGAGTCATTCAGTATTAAAAATTCATTTTATAGATACATGCAAGAAAGTAAATTTAAATGATATATTATTCAGCCCTACATGACATAACTAGTGTGTTGTCAAAAATGATGATATGATAAGCTTATGAATGACATTTTTAGCCGAACTCTTTTTGTTTTATTCCATCCTGATGTTGAGGGAGTCTTCGAATATCTCACTATTTTATGTTTACGTAGAGATACTTTGCATACTTTACTTAGCATAAAACAGCCACATATTCATGATGTCTTGTTATTTTTGAGTGGTGTAGGCATGAATGTTTCAACGTTTCTCTCTCGGCTTGGTTTTTCTCCAAGAAGAAGACCTTCATCCACGAATGCTTCAATGATGACCTTGTTTCTTTCTCAGCTTAGCAGTAATTTTTCCTCCCTGGGCGATGTTTCCTTCCTTTGCTGTTCTCTGAGAGGGCCAAGCTGACTCACAGTATTATCTGTAAAGAAAGGATTGAAATAGAGGGAGGACATGCAGAAATTTTCCTCCAAGCGAAAAAAAAAAAAATCTTTCACAACGGTAATAACGTGTATCAGTAACATGAAGAATTTGCTTTTGTTACGAGTCATTTCAAACACTTACTTTATTCGGTGCAACATGAAACTATCACTCACTCATGAATAAATTATGAAAAACAGCACCGCTCCATTTCAATGTGGAATGAATCCTCATAAAGTCTGATTTTGTCGAACTGAAAACTCGCCGCTGACTGACAGAGACGCCAGTTTGGGGTCAGCGGTTCTGTTCAGCTCCGGTACTGTGATAAATTGGTGGAGGACATCAAAAGGAGTAAAGATAGTCCCTCCAACACGTCTCCCTGCTGCCTCTCTCTGCAGCTTTTCAAAGCCCATCAGTCATCAGACTCGTCTCACACTCATATTTGCTGGCAGAAAGATGCATCAGCTGCTCTTTTGTAAACATAAAAGCTTCTCTCTTCCCTGTCAGATCACAGGAATCAGCGTTACAAGGCTGTTGTTCTTTGTTGGTTTATGATGCAGTTTTATGGCGCAGAAGGGACTTTGCAACTGATGTCTTTTACGGCTCGATATTGCATGTGTCTATAAAAATTTGCAGAAGATTTACATCCTCATAGCGCTTCCACAAAATGTCAACAAGCAGATTTAAAAATGCTAATGCAATTTCTGAATACAGCAGATGTTTTGTTTGTTTTTTTGTCCCCTGCATGTCTGGATGTGTACCTGCGTGAATGTGGGAATGCACACAGCCCAGAGTGCGACAGTGTCTTCCCCGAGTGTCAGACGATGACACGGTGTCACTTCATTTAGCCGAGCCGCCTCACGGAGCTTAAAGCCCCTCTCCAGAGAGAAGCCCTACTTTTCTCCTGTGCTGCTCTGGGTTCGCTCAGTCTGACTCGGCCTGTTGCTGGAAGCAGACTGCTCCGCTCTGTCTGTTGCTGTAATACCCTTGATCAAAGCTTGGCAGAGAATAGCATTGTCACCCACTGCAAATCTGCTTAGACAAAAGTGCAGCAGAAGGAAATTTGGGTCATTTGGAAGGAGACTCAGCGGCTCCTGGAGGAATATTTCGCACCATGTATGCAGCAAAGCATGACTGTGGTGTTTATAGGATGCAGACTCAGTTTTATTCCAGTGTACGCATCATTCTGTGAGTCAGACAGTCAGAGCTGCGAGGATAAACAATTTTTAGTTTTTATTTCTTCTATAATGTTTTTTCAATTGACAAAAAAAAGATTTTGTTCACTCCTATGATTCTCCTACGATTTTTTGGATGTCGATTCGATTAAATTGCGATTCTACGATACTGTCGACTTTCTCAATTTTAAGTCTGCATTTTTAACACCGGTGAAAAAGTTAAATGGTTATTATTGTCTACCCATTGTCTTACGGGAATAAAGTCGTAATAAAGTAATTACTTGCGAGAATAAAGTCATACAAATCCGCCTGATCTTTCTGCGGAAAAGACGCATTTCTTGCATATGTCCTGATACTTCTGACAATGTGAGGCTGAAACGCAAAAGGATTTATCTCCTTGTTTGTGAAACCTAGCTACTGAAGTTAAATTTATCTAAATGCTCCACAGCGCTCATTTAAACAATGAACAGCAGGTTAAAAAAGCTACTAGCTACAACTTTATTCTCGTAAGTAATTCCGGGGTCTAAAATGTTTTCTTTTCTTAATGTGGCTGTAATGCTCTGTCGTAATCTTTCATTGCATTAAAATCAGAAGAACACTTGCTGAAATATTCATGAATTTCACACAATTTACCAGGTTGTGACGTTGTTTTAGATGTTTCCAATATCAGGAGCAGGGTCATAATGTTTGCCGATTGTTTGTTTTGCTGATCCGTACAGTTTACTGCACAACAGCTCCTTGTCATTTTCTTTCTCTGTTGACTCCACTAGTAAACAAATAAGAAATGTTTCGCTTTTTGCCCCGAGGCTGCACGCCCATACCTGCGATGACGTTGCACAGAGACCTGTCTATTCCAGGAACCAAAAAAAAAAAAGATTTAACATAAAAATCTATTTTAAAACCATAAAACAAAAAAACACGAAACTTACGTGAATCGATTTCTTTCTCCCACCTCTACTGTGCACCACCAATCTCAAGATTTCATACGAAGGATGTGCTGCAGGTATAAAGCATGTCCCAAATTTACCATTTTCTTAGTTATTGAAACAATAAATTTACACAAGAGGACTGAACAGAAAACTAGACTCACAGTTTTTGCACTACAACCAGTAATGCACGCTGACACACGCCAGCTTTGCCAGTCTTGTAAATCTCCCGTGTGTTTACTTTTCGCCAGACCATCACTTTTGTTTTCAAAGACAACTTCAGAAAGTTCTCTGCATCCGTGGGGGGAGCTGTTGTGTGCTGCAGGTGGAGACCTTGCCCACGGCTACACCTCCCAGCTGAGCGTCTCCACCGGGCACAGCACCTCTAGAAAGTTGGCTCACAATACTCAGCGACTCCATTAATTCCTAACATCCCCAGTAAGGTCAGACTTCTTGATGAACAGACACGGTTAATTTGATTTGTGATTTGTGACCTCTATCGCCGCCTAATGTTTACTTTTGTAACAGTCTTAAAAAATCGGATCCCGCACCATGCGGTGGCCTAGTTAGTCTGGTATCTTTGAGTTAGATTTAGCCCTGCTTTTTCATCTCACTGGCAACAAAAGAAACCGAGTTACACGGCAGCATCAGAAGTACCCTCACATGCCTCCGTCAGTGACAACTAGTCTCCCCGAAGTCACGAAGCAGCCGCCGGCAGCTGTCTGCCTGCCTTTTTATCTTCCCTCCTCCCCGATACACAGCCTTTGTGTCTATTTCTTGTCTCCCACTGTCACCGTCTATCTCTCCATCTTGTTGCCTTTTGGCACCCTCTCTGTCTCTCGCTCATATCCCTTCCTCTGTCTCATCAGTCTCTCGGCCGTTGTTATCACCTCTTGTTTCTATAGTTTAACAGGCAACACGGGTACGGCGGCGCTTTCGCGATTTAACCCTCGTTGAATCTGGTGTTGGAGCAAATGTTTAACTTCTGACTGAGCTGGACTGAAAGGATTACTTTGACATTTTGAACAAACTGAAACTATTTCATTCCTCGGAGCTCTGTGGTCTAATAAAAAGGGAGCATTAGTTTGTTTTTTTTTGGCCTTTTCAAACAAACCTCTTTCCTGTATTGAGCGGAGAAATAAATAAGCACGCCTGCTGCCACTGTATCACACTGTCGTTGACATTTGGCTCTCTGAGCATTCGACCAGAAATCCTGGTCGTGGACTTGAATAAAACATAATCCCAGCCCTGTTCCCTCTGCCACAGCCGCTGAGGATACCAGACTTAATTGAACCGTGATATTAAGCCTCTTGAAGACCTTTTCTCCTCTGGTACCTCCAGGACAATTCCCAGGTGCAATAAGAGAAAAAAATCCCTGGAAATCCTTCAATTCATGTTCACAATCTGAAGTAAGTGTGTCAAAACGATTCCAGACTCTATGAAAGGGATCATTCAGAGTCAATCCTGACTGGATCTCACCCTGAGGGGACTCTGAGGTTCATAACTACTACTTCAATGTGTGTCATCCTGCTGATTACCTGACAACAGACTAAAATCATTGATTTATTGACCCTAATGTTGTTGATTTAAATATATGTACAGATCAGGGCTAACACGAGGTATTTCCAGCAGTTATGGTCTTTCAGCTGCAACGAATCATAAGATGGAGGAGAAAGGAAGAAGAAGTAGTAGACTGCCATCAAGTTAGCTGTAGTAACCCTCTGAAAGATGATTAGGCGCTTTCAAAAACTGACAGTCAGATTTATTATGAACCCAAAATCAGAGTTACGAATAATCAACTGAAAACTTTTAGATTTCTATTGATAAGGAAGCCAAATAATATTTAATGGGTAAGGGCTTTGATTAAAAGAAGATTACTTCTCCCCACTCCTTTTTGGATATGTAAATTATAGTTTTTATTTTCATAATTAATGTAATTTTTTAATATATTTGTCGGTTTTGTATTGTATTGTTAAGTCCATCCACTATTGTATGATTACAGTTGTCATTTATTTTATTTTATTTTAATTTCTTTTTTTTTTTACAGGTCATGAAAAAAATACATAAATAAATAAATAAATAAAAACAAGTAAATAAATAAAACTTGCATTTCCTAATTATTCATTTGACTGTTTTCTCTCAGTTCCATGAGTTGCGCTCCACCAGAAGTTGTGCATTTCAAATTAAAAGCATAGTTCAATCAGGCAGAGAAGAGAGCGACTTGAACTCAAGACAGAAAATAATAGATAGTTTATTAATGTTTAATCATCATTTAAAAACAGCATATAGACCAATTATAACTGGCGAAAAAAAGATAGTTTATTAATGTAGGTTAATAGTTACTTAACCATTAACAAGCAATTAAATTATGATTTTTAATTTTCATTAACTATTATTGGATTATTTATTAAAGATTTATACAGGGTTTAAATATTGGTTTTAAAACATTAAGATTAAAATGTGTCAGTAGCACTTTGTTAATGATTAATATTTGTTTTTTAAACCATCTATAAATATTGTTTAGATGGTTATTGTAAAGTTAGGGTTAGGTTTTTAAAATTGTGAAATTTACAGTTTATTAATGGTCTTTTTATAAATGATGATTAAACATTAATAAACTATCTGCTTACCTATTATAAATGGTCTATTTACCATTTATAAGTTATGGTTATTGTAAAGTGTTACCAAAAACATTAAAAAAAAAAACAACATGACCTCGTTTTGCTTTTTTTTTTGCAAAATATGAAACAGGAAGCAGATTGTTGTTTTTTTTCTTTGTCACAAAGAGGCAGTTTGTCAGTTTTCGTGTCAGTCTGAAATATGAAGTCTTAATTCAGAGTGATTGAGTGTGTGATGTTTTTATGAGCGTACGAAACAGCACAAACCCCGTTTACAGGATGTGGATGAGATATGGCAAACCAGCTGTCCGTGTTTGTTCTGCCTTTCACTGAGATATAATGGCTCTCTCTACACTGGGCTGTTAGGCATTGTGTCTGTATTTATGTAAACCTTGTTTACTCATCAGTTATCACATCCTCCAAACTGCAATCAGGTCTCTTTTGTGCTGACAGATGCGCTGCTGCTCAGAAAGTCTGTTTCTCTATCTCACCTAAACCTAAATTTAAAGACTCAGGGATTGTCTTTGTTTGTGTTTGCATGTCAAGTTTGTCACAAGCCTCTTCTCACACTTTAAATTTAAGTTAACTTTCAATCACACCGGCTTTTGCATGTACTCCATCTGAATTCAAATGATATTGTTTGTATGATAGATAATGCATTGATCCATTTAGCTGTCTGTGAAGCCGCTGCACACACCGTCCCTCTCCTGCAGTAAAAAGATAATAGATACTATTAGTCCCCGGGATGGAGGTGACAAGTGGCATCATCTGGAATCAATGATTGTATCTGTGAAATGACCCGTGAGGTGGGAAGTGCCATAAACACCTAAATGATCTAATTACAAGCCACGGTTCATTAACAGTAATCGCAGCATATGGAGGAAATCAGTCAGAGGGAAGCTGTCAGATTTAATCGTGCAGAGGTCTGTGCGGACGTGTTGTCAAAAGTTTACAAAGTTCGGAGGCAGCTGAAGGATAACGGTATCAAAGATGTCACACTCTCGCCAAATATGTTAATTCAACAGACGGAAGTAATCCCGTACAGGTTTTTGTAGATGATACACAAACCCATAGATGTTTCCAAGGAGAGGCGGCAATGACAAACACAGGGCTCAGCTTTGTTTTTGGATATGAAGTGAAACCTTGAAGGTTGAATAATGGATGAAGAAGATTATGCAAAATATGTAAAATAGTCCTCAGTAACTTTTCACCCCTTCAGCTCTTTGCTGAAAAAGACCGGTGATGCAAATTATGACAACCAAGCCCGGTATTTTTGCAAGTTGTCGGTCTTTAACTCATGTGACCTCATGACCTCTTTAAACTCATCACACAAATTTGATTCAGCGTCCATTTCAATCTTCAGACTCTAATTTCAAGACTAAAACATGGAGCAGAGTGAAGTTTTCTTCAGAACTTTCTTCATTAATCCGTCTGTTCTGTGATGATTTCCAGACATCCAGAGCTGATTTACACCTTTTCAAAGCACATCCTACCCTTGGGCTTTAGTCACACCATCTGAGCGTCTGAGCTTCCAAGGATTCAGCCGGTCTCAACATCCAACAGAATGATGCATGGACTTTTGCAGGGCCGGCTTGATTAGCATTACATGACCATGCTCTAACATGCAGGTGCTTATAAATAAAAGATCTGACTTCTCCCAGCGAGCACTCCATCATACTGCTAACTCATGCAGCAAGGCACTTTTTATTTCTCCGAGGATCTGAGAGGAAGCTGCTCATGAGGGACAAAACAACATCCTGTTTACAGCATTTCAGCAGCTGACTGTAACCCTCCTGATCGCCTTCATTTGGATACAACCAACATAGAGCAATACTTAAATGCTGCTTGAGATGTCAGTCTCATAGCTGTATCGATTTAAGAGATTATGTATCATTAAAGCAGGAAAGAGTGAGTGAGACCCAGACATAAAGGTCACAGATCGTCTTCGCTTTGAAAACAATCATTCAACACAAATTAAGGTTTACGAAGAATTATGCCCTCCCTCAAAGTAGACTCATAGATGGACCTGAATGCATTGCAATTTTTAACCTTTTCTAACTTTATCTTTATCTTTTTTTCTAAGAGAATTCAAGTTATATTCAAATATGATACGCAATACGATATTATCACGATACTTGGGCCACGATACAATGTTATCACAATACGATATTATTATTATGATACTTGGGCCACGATACAATATTATCACAATACGATGTTATCACAATAGTTGGGCCACGATACAATGTTATCATGATACTTGGGCCAAGATACGATATTATCACAATACGATATTATCATGATACTTGGGCCAAGATACGATATTATCACGATACTTGGGCCATGATACAATGTCTTCATGATACGATGTTATCACGATAATTGGGCCTCGATACAATGTTATCACAATACGATATTATCACGATACTTGGGCCATGATACAATGTTGTCATGATACGATGTTATCACGATACGATGTTATCACGATACTTGGGCCTCGATACAATGTTATCACAATACGATGTTATCACAATACGATATTATCACGATACTTGGGCCACGATACAATATTATCACAATACGATGTTATCACAATACTTGGGCCACAATATGATATTATCACAATATGATATTATCATGATACTTGGGCCACAATATGATATTATCACAATATGATATTATCATGATACTTGGGCCACAATATGATATTATCACAATACTTTTTAACATTTTCCAATACAGTGAGGTTGAGGTAGGCTAAAATGCCATTTCCGTTATCACAAAGCAGACCATTAATGGGCATTCTTGGCCTATCAGAGTCAAGTGTTTATGATAGCCATGCAATAACACTAAGATAATGTACATGCTTTTAACCCAGGTTATCATGTAAAATGTTTAAACCAATAAAAATCCACCATCTATTAGCACACTCCCCCCGAGGTTTTCACTGTCAACACACTGCCTATCTCATCTCCTGTTGTTTAACCTGACCTTTGGCTAGAGGTGACCCCACTGAAAATCCCTCTCCACACACTCCCAGAGACTCATCACCAGAATTAATTAGGGGAACTGTCAGAGAGGAACCATCTCCGAGGAGGGTGCGCTGAAGAAAAGGCTGATTGATCTCCAGCCAGTCAGGAATCCAATGTGGAGTTAGTCACTGTGGGTACAATTAAGCTTTGTGCTGACATTAGGGATATTGTCACAGCAGGTGGTGTTTGCAGGTGTGCGTCTGAGCTGATGAAATGCTCCGCAACAGTAATGGATGTTTCATGTACAGTCAGAGGAGCTAGCTCTCCAGTAAAGCTTTATTCCTCCCCCGTGTAAACACCATGATTTAGCAGGCAGTGTTGATTAAACAACCACGATGATGAATACCGCTGCAACTCCTGCTTTTTCTTGTAGTATTACTTAAATCAAACATCATCCCTCTTATTTTTTTGTCCTTGCCTCACTCTCCATCTTATCCGCTCACATTTTTTCTACCAAAACTCATCTTCTGAATGCTGCTTTTTATTCCTCCTCATCCTCCTTCTTCCTGTTATTAGATTTAATGCTCCAGGTCGTCCTTGTCGAGTCCAGTCTTTTCCTGAAGCCCTTCTTTTATGTGAACGCCACATTCGTCCGTCCTGCTCTCTAATGTCTGCTTGTTCCCCTTTTACAGCTTTTCACACCCATAATGTCTTTATTACTCCTCTAACGGTAACTCCATCCTCTCTCCTCTCTCCTTTCTTTGTCCTGTGTTGTTGCCAGGCATGGCTGACTGAGATCCACGAGTACGCCCAACAGGATGTGGTCCTCATGCTGCTTGGAAACAAGGCAAGGCATTATGGGAAATAACTGTGGCTGTAGCTGCAGAGTAATTGAGAGAATAGACATAAAATTGTCTCAAACGCAGCATCTCCTAAAGGTTGGTTTTTGATGTAATGTCTAACTATCTTTTAAGTTAACCTTCAGTGCAATATTTCACAGTTTTGAATAATAAACTTAAGTATTTGGCCACATGATAGAAACAAATTTTACTGTCTTTAATAAGATCTGTGGAATATGGGTCATCTCCTGAAGTTATTCTTCACTACAAGCTTCATAAATTACAAGATGCCGGCTTCTTTTTGTCTCTCACCTGTGTTGTTTTCTTGCATCTCAGCTCCTCCTGGCAGCGAAATGAAAGAAAAACACGCAGACAAAGGAGATATATTTGCATAAGAAGAAACCTGTCCTTTTACAGTGAAAAAAAAAACTGTTTTATCCAAGAAAAGAGACATGTTAGAGAGGATAATTGACTAGACGTTTTGTAGAGTGTCTGTCCAGGGGCGTCTCTCGAACTTAAGGACATCGGGGGCACAGCCAGGGCCCCCCCATCCCACCCCATTTCCTAAAATTAGGAAGTGAAAGAAAATACATATAGTCATAGTAACCACAGAGAGATTGTCTGACTTAGAGTAACTGTCTCCACACACCAAGCGTAAATAAAATCGTTCACGCGGATGAATTACATGTTAAGTCAATGCAAAGACGCGATTAGATGCTCCTACAACTGGTGGCACGAAGGACGGGAACTGGGTGAATCTCAACTTGTAAAAAACCTTTGTCTGTCACTCGTAGACGCGCAAATGAAGCGACTAAATACTATTCATTCACGCGTCTAGATTCGCATTAATTAAGCGTGTAGATGACTTTACTCGCACTTGGTGTGAGCGCCCCCATAAGGAAAGTCCTCCATGGTATTATTGCAATGTAGGAGAGTCACCAAAATTATATTAAATATTACACAAGTGATTTCTGATTGATTGGCATCAACAAAAACGACTCAAATGTGACTCAAACTGAAAGGATCAGATCAGCGCTGAGAGAGTGTAAAAACAAATAAATGATATATAAGGAGGTGAGGTATTCTGGTCCAAAAACCTTCATTGAGACCTCAGCAGTATATCATCCAGGAGCCTCCTCTCTCCTCAATCACTGTCTCCTCCTGGTGCTTTTAATGAATTGGCTGATCTTTCCTCATGGCGGAGGGGAAACAATTTCCGGGTCAGTCAAGGAGGGAGGACACGAGGAGGCACGGAGTAATGAGCTGAGGAGCAGCCGCTGAGTCTATTCTGGAGAAAGGCGGGCTCGTAGGCAGCTTCTGCAACCGCTGTTAGTCTGACGCTGAGAATAACTTCACCAGATGATCCTCTTTACTCATTTCAGCACAGGCTGCACTTAAATATTAAGCCTGAAAATGACAACTTTATGACTTCATTCTTGTAAATTTTGATTATCTTTCATGAAACCTTCCATAACCTTCTTCATAAAAAAGCAGAATCAAATTTTATTCATTTTTATCCATTTTAGAACTTTATTTGGTGACTATAAAATAGATCATGTTACGACATGAATTCAGTGAAGCAGCCTCAGAGTTTACGCAACCAGAAGTGAATTCATCCTCCCCGTTTGTAGTAAAATAGTGATATAACTCACCTCCCTCCTTCCTTCTTCTGCGTTTTTATCCAAAAACTATTAGATCAGCTCGGTGAGTCACACACTTACACTGCCTGACAGTATCTTTGATTACATTCAGTGTGGGCACTGAAGTTTATTTTCAGACAGTGACTCACACGACTGAACCAAACGTGTACTAATACGCAGCTAAAAATAGTCCCAGAAACTCGAACGGTCACTCCTGTTTTAGTGATGCTTTCTAAAAAGTACTCTGCTTTCTATTTTGGGAACTTTTTGTGGGGCTTTATTACTTTTTTTTTCTTTTTCTAAAAATACAAGAACACTTTTGTGAGGCACTGTTATCAAGACTCAGATCTTCAGTGTGGACTAACAAGTTTGGCAGGAAAGTCGGGAGTATGACGCAAACCCGCCCTCTTGATGACATTTCTGTGCGTCTCTATAAAAAACATCTTGTACTGGCATCAAAAGCATCACACAGTTTGAATTCACACATACAGACAGAGAAAACATGAACAGAATTACAGCAAAACTTCCAGAGCTCCCCCTGGTGGTTGTCTGCAGTATAGGTCTTACAGACCGCCTCCTCAGATACAGACAGAAGTTTCTGTGATCATTACGTCTGTGTTTCTGCACGTTTCTAAAAGCTTAAGAAATAAAAAAAACTTTATTTATACAGCGCAAGTTTACAAAATGATTTAAAAGTCGAGGCAGAATGAATAATAACTATAACAGCAGAGGAGAAATCATGAATTGTAGAGTCAAACCAAATAGAAGTTTAAAAAAATCCAAAATAGCAGCATTTATGATTTGAATTAAAGGGATATTCCGGCGTAAAATTAATTTAGGGTCAGAGACACCGTAACACCAAGTTGCCCCCCCCCCCCCCCCCGAGAGATGAATGTTGCCGACCGCTTGCTTCTCTAGTTTTACCAACTTTAGTAACGAACGCAGGATAGCAATACACAGCGGTCTGAGGAGCTATAAACAAACCTCAACCAAAACGCCACTCTATAGCCACAAATAATGCTCAGAACAGCACCTAACTTCATCAACAGTACATATAGGGTCCAAGCTTTAGCACTAGCCACCAAACATCTTTTAACTTTGCCTTATTTCTTTAGCAAAGAGACTAAACAAAACCCACCTACTCTCTTCCAGCAGCCGCTTGTTTGTAGCGGGACCTCAGGCCAGTTCATTATGGACTACAGCGGGGTGACGCAGCTCAAGGAAGAACATTTATGATAATTTCTTCATCATTTCCTTGAAGTAATAATCATCATATTAATCATTTAACATTTTCTGATTGCATTTCCATGAAGAACTAATCATAAATGTTCTTCCTTGAGCTGCGGCACCCCACTGTAGTCCGTAATGGACTGGCCCGAGGTCTCGCTAGAGAAGCACTAGAGATGTTCTCACTAGAGAACAACAGTCATCTCTCGAGGGGGTGTCTAACTCTGTGTTATGGTGTGTTTGACCCTAAATTATTTTTACGCCGGAATATCCCTTTAAGATTCCCAGAAGAGAAATATATGAAAGAAAGTCTGTAAAAGTGAATTTAAAGATGACACTCAGGGAGGACTCTGATTTTTATCTAGAGTTGAGCTTCGACCCTGACGGAAGGGTTAGAAAAGTTTAGGACAGTGAAGTTTGGTTCTTTTGGATAAATAATCACATGGACCCTAAAACTAAACCGAGCTGGGCCAAGCTGCTTCCCTCAGTCGCTCATCACCGACTGTTTCCTCGATATTTCTCAAAATTTATTTCCAAAAATGAGCCGTAATAATCTCATTAACACACACACACACACATTTGATAATATCTCAACTTGCTAATCTGCAAATATCACTGTTACACATTCTTGTTCTACTGCCACCAACATCTCCCCTCTGCATGGAGAACAGATGTCTCTGCCTTGGAGCTCGGTCTAGTTTCAGTCCTCAGCACTCGGTATCAGTCCTCAATTAGCACTCCGAGAGCCAATCTTGACTCATTAGCTGCTATCAGACCTGAACACCAGGACGGCTCGCATACAAACTGTGGATAAATAGTGACGATCTGCCCAGTGGGTTGGTGGATGTTGCGGTTTCAACACTTGATGCTGTTGCATGGCGCTTGCATGTGTGACCTTGTTTTTCCTGTCACAACAGGCTGACGCAACTCACGAGCGGGTGGTGAAGAGAGAAGATGGAGAGAGGCTCGCGAAGGTAAACTGTTTTTTCCTCCTAGCTGTGCAGCTGTTAGAGTAACCGAAAAGTTCTCAACACAACTTTTAATTCTGTTATAATTAAAGCCTCTTGTGAGGAATAGAGGGAGCGGTTTTGTTTTATGTAATTTCGGAGGGTATTTGGGTGTCTTATTGAATTTCTGGGGGATATGAGGAGATTGTGAGTGTAACAGAAAGGTGAGATTATCCAGGGATCAGCTCTGCTTGTTATTTTTGCCCTCGTCTCACAGATTGTCTTTGTGTTCTGTGAGAAAAGAAATACACGCCCTCCTAAACAGAGCTGGAAAGAGCCACACACCTTAGCTGTATCCCCCCCCTCACAGGTGATAAACCTCTGCAAAGTAACATTTGTGGTACAAATTGCCTCCTGCATCATCCATAAAATGTTTATGCTTTTGTGATAAACCTCAGCGCGGCTAAAGCACCGAGCGCTGAAAGCAGGAGCAAACATTCGGTTTTATAAATCTTTGTGACTGTTTTCTTCGCGGAGTGGCACCCAGAACAAATAGCAAACAGAAAAGTGGCTCACTCTGAAAGAGGGAGCAATAAAGTGCCCACTAAGTAAGTAAAGGCTCAGGCTGGAAAAACGGCACATCAGTTACCGTGAGACCGTGGGCTGAGACAAATTCCTCTGCAGAGGTAAAGCTGGGGCACGAATTCATCAAGACCGAGTCGCATTTATCCAAAGTAAACGAGTTAACCATTGAGCCGTGAGGGGTTCTCTGAATTTCTATACCGTTTAACAACGAACATCACTTTTAGTCTCACAGGGCGACTTTTACAAAGACAGAATTATTCAGTGAAAAATTAAATACAAATGTTCATCGACGACCTTTTTTCACACGGTAATGAGATGATAAGTTAAAACTGTGTCACTGATAATAAAAACTCTCATGCTGCTCCAAGTTAACCTGTCACTCAAAGTACAAGCAGTGCACTCCTGCAGGGTTCCTACACGGTTGGAATTTCCATTTTTTCCATACCTTACGTTTTAGAATTATTTTTGGGAATAGCTACTTTTCTTTATTAGAAAAAAGTATTTCAGAACTGTGGAAGTAGTCTGGAAATATAAATATTTTTTATACTTTATTTTAGATTTTCCATACTTATTAAGACCTGGAAATTGATCCAATTTATTTCCATACTTTCCACACTTGCGTAGAGCTAGAGTTAGCTAAAAGAGAGCAGGGCTAGTTCGGTCATTTATCTGCAACAAGTTCAAAACTCTCTGCCTCCAGATGCATTAAATTAAAAACATTAACATCATTTTACAAACAAATAACTTTTTGAACTAAATTTTTGAAGATTTGTTGATATTACCAATCTTTTTAGATATAAAATTGAAAAAAAATACTCAATTCAAAATGTCCAAATTGATTGTAAACTGTGAAATCTGTAATGTTAAACTCTAAAAACCCACTAACTTTTGCTAGCTGTATAACAGCTGAGCTCCAACTTCAGTCTGAGCGTGCGCTAACAGAGGTGTACTTGATTCAAACATCAGACTTCGTTCTTAACTCTCTAAATATCAAACTTTAAAAGTCTGACTTCTAAAGTTTGAGAAAAGAACGGATGAAGAGAAACTTTGGGGTCGCCAAATAACAGCTGAGATTCAAGCAAAGGTCTAACTTACGGAGCTCTGCTGTATCTGAAGTCAGAGTCGATGTATTACCTCGGTAGATCAGCAAGAACAGGGCAGCAATGCATTGTGGGAGAGTCTAAACTAAATCATCCAACACAGGTAAGGACCTGGATTAGACAAGTTAAAGTGATGAGAGAGTGAGACATGTCAGACTTAAATACTTACTGAAACTTTAATAACTAAAGCGTAATCACATTTTTGATTAAAATTAAATGTTTTGACTTTTTGTCTACTAAAGTGAAACTATAAACAGTCAAAATGACTGAAATTAAAGCTATTTTAATGTAAAGAATAAGACTGAATCTACATGAACACTCAGCTAATTAATCGTCGAGCTTCAGAGAGGTCTCTCAGCTCATCCTTTGCACAAATTGGAGCTCACTGCTGATGGTTTCTGTGGAGGTTTGGAGTTTTCTTCCAAATAACAAAAACAGCTGACACTGCATCTGCTTCAAACTCCCAAACTGTTCACTCCAGCAGAAACGTCTGCCCCCAGGATGGATTTTAAAGTCACATTTCCAAGGAAAAATATAATGATTTAGAAAAAAAAACTTGCTGTCATGACAGAAAATTATGTTTATATATAAATCCAAGCTGATGCTCCAAGAGATCTGCATGCCGTGCAGACACAAGGTTGTCCCCCTGAGCAAATCGAAACAACTTCCAGAGCTGTCGCTGTTGTGGATGTGCTGTTTACTATCATTTCTAATGTGGTGCAAGCAGTGAAATCAGTCTGAATAAGAGGTGACTAAATGTGAAAGCTTAAAGACTCACATCAGACAGGTCTGAGATATCTTTGTGAAACTGTGCCCTGGGTGTTTAAGGGGTGAGGTCTCAGGTCGGATGTGTTTCTTTTTGCTTAAATCCTGCAGGAGTTTGGAGTTCCCTTCATGGAGACCAGCGCCAGGTCAGGTCTGAACGTGGAGCTGGCTTTCACCGCCGTGGCAAAGTGAGTAACACCATCCGTCAACACTCTGAGGGTTTGTTTTTTGGTATGGAAGTCTCTTAAGTGCAGCAGATTCCTCAAAGTGTAGCTCATATTTAAAGGGATATTCCGATGTAAAAAAAAATTTAAAGTCAAACACACAGTAACACCGAGTTAGACACCCCCTCGAGAGAGGAGCCATCATGAATGTTCTTCCTTGAGCTGCGTCACCCCGCTGTAGTACGTAATGGACTGGTCTGAGGTCTCGCTACAAACAAGCAGCTGCTGGAAGAGAGTAGGTGAGTTGTGTTTAGTCTCTTTGCTAAAGAAATTAGTCAAAGTTAAAAAGATGTTTGGTGGCTAGTACTATGGCTGGGACCCTAAATGTCCTGTTGATGAAGTTAGGTGCTGTTCTGAGCATTATTTGTGGCTATAGAGTGGCGTTTTGGTTGAGGTTTGTATATGGATCCTTAGACCGCTGTGTATTGCTATCGTGCCGTCGTTCCTAAAGTTGGTATAACTAGAGAAGCAAGCGGTCGGCAACATTCATTTTTCGAGGGGGTGTCTAACTCGGTGTTACAGTGTTTTTGAATATCCCCTTAAGTTTTAGACTGAGAAGTTCAGGGTTATATTTTAGTGACGCTTTTTATTGAAACTTTTGCTCATTATAGAAGTTTCCTAATTTAGATTTTAGACAAGTTAAGACATGGCTTTTCATTTCTAGCGTTCATCCATGTGTGGCTTACTTTTAATCCCCCCGTCTCATCCTCCTCGTCTGTCTCAGGGAGCTGAAGCACCGATCCACGAAGGATCCCAGCGAGAAGTTTGCGCTGCAGGAGTACGTGAATAAAGAGATGAAGGGAGCCGGCTGCTGCAGGACTTAAAGCCTGCCCGGGTCACCCTGCGGACGTTCATGTGTGTGTTTGTGCGAGTGTGTATTTTTGTGTGTGTGGATCACTCATGTTCATATCTGGTCCAAGAGATGAGGAGTCAGCTCCAGCGAGGTAAAAAATTATTTTGTTTTCCGTTCAGCCACTCTCAGTTTTTGTTTCCTCGACCCCCTCCGTCGTCCTGCGCTCCTCTTTTCTGCCAAACTCCTTTTTTGCGGTCTGCAGCTGTGAATGTAGCCTCGGGTTATGGTTTGCAGCAGACAAAGTTTAAGTGCTGTTCACCTCAGTCATTAACATACTGATGGATGTTTTCTTCCATAACTGTAGCTGCATGACAATAACTCCTCCGCTGAATCTGGACACCAAACAAACAGCTTTTTGCACAACCTGGTGGTGTCGCTTCACCGTGACGGGATTTAATCACATCCGATTTTCCATCTTATTTTGAAAGAAACATCATAAAGGAGCGACTGTTTCCTTATTGCTAAGTGTTTGGATGAATGTACCTATAATAGATGTTCAGTGATGTGTCTCCTGTCTATGGTTCAGTGTTCATGTCAGTGATTCGACGAGGCTATCTGGAGCCAATTTAGCTCACCAGCATAAACTTAATCTAAGCATTACCATGACTCAGCTGTGGATATTCGGGACTACGTATAACTTCTTCAACATAAAAGTGTATAGATGTCGCTATTTTGTTATTTATGTTGATATGAAGTACAGAAAAAATCATAATTAGCCACAGTAATTATTCTTTTGATAGGTTTCAATTCATGCTAGATGCGAGACAAAGACGTTTGTGGTAGTTTAGGAGAAACTTTTAAACAGATGGTATTGCATGAGTCATGGTACCGAAAACATTTTGGGCATTTTTCCAATGGAAGAGGATCAATATTGAATCTTGGAGCGCTCTAATGCAACTTCTCTATTTGATAATATGTATATTTTCTTTCCATTGTCTTTGAAATTGTTATTAAAGGGACAGTTTGTGCTTTTTTTTTTTTTTGATGTGGGGTCGTATGAAGTTTGATGCAGGCCTCTTTGTTGAGGAAGCAGACAGAGAAGGCCGTCATCCACCACAGACGGGGTCAAACTCTCCTGAATTGTTGCTAAAATCGACCCCGACACCAGTTTGGGTGTAAGTATCCTTTATTTAGAGATTTCTCTGCACCTTATCTTGCCATCAGGACACCACTTAGTCACTTTTGCACCTGTGGAGCACTGATAAGTTAAACTGCAGCTTTCATGTTGTCTTAAAACATCACTGATGGTGAGTGATGCAGACTTTGTGGGCGTACACTCACACCTGATGCACCTGCACCACAAGGTAATTCGTCTCTGTCAAAGCCCTTAATTCAGGTCAATTAAATATAATTGTGCAGTGTAAAGCCCATCGAAGTGGTTTAAGTGGAACAAAACAACGAGAGAATGTAAACAGACGGAGATACTAAGAGGAGGGCGGCTAATCGGCGTGCTGCACACAAATATTGCACAAACAAAATTGGCTTTCTGATGGCAAAGTTATGCACCGAAAACTTCTAATTAAGAGTCGAAACTTACAGCTTCATTGATATCTGAACCGTCTCCAAACGAGCTCATCTACATGGCAGAGCTGACCCCGTCTGCGGCGGTTGACTGCTCAGTTTCTGCGTCTGCTGTAACACAGACGCCGAGTATCTCCAGAAACCCTCAAAAAAAAGAAAAAAAACAAACTATCCCTTTAAAATGGACTAACACTGTATGTTATGAATCGACAAACATGCTGTAAATACTTTTTTTTTCCCGTAAAGGAAAAGATTGGTGGCACTTTAATGGTAAAGTCGAGCGGGTTGGGGGCGATAGATATTTATATTATATTGACAGTGTTACCTGAAGTATTAGAACTTCTTCTTTTTAATGTCTCATATGAAGTTAAAAGTGCAAATATTAGTCCGCTGCTTGCTGTAGTGCCATTCATGAGTATGTAACTGGGGTATTTAGTGCCATCTTTCTTAAAGCGTCGACCAGTATGTTTCTTAAAGTCGTCTCCATGATAGAAGCATACGCCTCTTTTTATACGACCGTTGCTTTGATAGATCATCTTAACCACAGAAACTGAGTCTCTGTACAGTCCTCACAGTATTTTCCAAACTTGATGTTGAGAGGGGTAACGTGACTTTTTGGTTTCACTATTTTTCAATGTGTAACTTTCTCTCTTGTAACGAAAAAGTTATTAACGACAATAAAAACAGAAGTTAATGTGACTTGAACCCATGTTTTTTATTTTCAGGTAAACTTCACCCTCCAGTACGTCTGCAGTGACAAAACAGTGCGGTGGACTTTAAAGGTCGAACTATACGATGTTAGTAAGGCAGATGCATGCTCAAATGGAAATTCACTCCAGCTCTTACAGCTCCGACAAACACATTTATGCTTTTTCCTTTTGGTTCTCGCACACACTGATCACTCGTAACACTAATGTGAGAAGGAACCCCGCGTAATAACACCTTAAAGATAATTATCTTTTATACTCATGCAACGAGAAGAGCTAACACAATGGTGTCTGTACCCTGGGTTCCCTCTATGCACAGACTTTACATCCTCCTGTTTGAATTCACTTTCCTTTGTCTCCCCCTAGTGGACAAACAGTTACACCACATGAAAGAACCATGATTTGCACTTTTTACACATTTCGACAGAGACAAAAAGACTGCAAGTAAATTTGTAAACGTGAGTAAAAAAAGTACAAAAATAGCTTTTTTGTAGCAGCGGTGATTGGCACCAAATTATTACAAGCTGCATGTAGCAAAAAATCACAGTTAAAAAAATAAATACATTAAATATTGTACTTGAACATCGGTGAGTTTCAACAGAGTTTAACTGAAGCGATCCTCCTGTCAGAGTTTTACTTCACACATTACTAACAAGAAGAGCATAGTTTGTATTTAGTTTGAATACACAGTTAATTCAGGTGTGTTTAACATCTGACGCATATAAGTATGTTCATGTTATTATCAATACTGCATCACTAAAACAAACACGTCTTTCGACATCTCAGCAGCAACAGTTTTGATTCCCACAAACGCGACACTCGTCTTCACCTCTGCGCGTTCGGGTGAGGATGACCGACCTCTTTCAAGTATGTAAGTCACATGACAGATGAGTTAGGCTGAGGAGCGATTCAGACTCCTTTAAAATAAAAAAAGGTTTGTGATGCAGGAGTCACTTCGAGAACGAATACTGTGGTAAAAAACGAAAAAAAACAGTGTGAGTTCACCTTCAGATCCTTTCCTCTGCGACCCTCATGTTACATCTCTCACGTCCTTCTCTTCCTCTCGCTCCATCCTCTGCTCTTCACGCTGCACCAACAGTCCTTCAAGCACTACACACAGTCATGGTTTGTGCTTAAAATAGGCCTCCACTGCAGGGAAAATGGAGGAGAAAAAAACAGACTTATTTGAGGCTTTTCTTTGACGATATAAGAGCTCGACTCGGTGTTAGATTCACCTGCATACTCCTGAGGCAGCATGGGTCTGTTGATAACGCTCTGAAATGCAGCGATCCAGTCTTTCTGATCCTCCTCGGTCTCGCACGCAAATAGAAACTTCCTGTCTGGGGTCACTATGGTGATGCCGAACTGCCAATGGTAGCCCTGAGTGTTCGCCGGGAGGCCGCTGAGCACGGTGTATTTGTTGTCCTTGCAGCCGATGAACACCTCACCTCGTGCGTAAGCATCCTAGACGCAGAGATGGACGAGTGCAATTTCACCAAACATACATCACAAACCCCAGCTTGAATTTACTGCCAACTACAGGTGATTTACCTGTGGGTCTTTGAAGTACATGAGCCTCCTGTCATCCATCGTGAACCACCTCCTCTTAAAACCCTCCGTGTGCTGCAGGAGAAAAAGGAAGACAAACAAGAGGCTCAAATGGACAGATAATCCTGCGTCAACCCCTTACAAGATCCCATCAGAGCCTTCACATGAATCTGTATCTTATTACTCATATTTCTACGAGGATTCTTGCCACAAAACAAGGTCGCAAAAATGTACAAAATGGAAATATGTCTTACTTTCGGGCCGGTCTTCTCCATGTAGCCCTCCTTTATGTAGTTCCTCGTCAGCTTTGGCAACAGCTTAAAAAACAGCAAATACAGTCACTAATAAAACTTGTTTCAGGTTTGCATAAAGAGGACTGACAGCAGCTGAAGAAAGACTTCAGTCGTGCAACAATACTTCTTCCATTGCCTGTCCATTCCTACCTTCAGTCAGATGCAAATATGACCTGACCCCAGAGAAATACTAACAAAAGGTCTCTCAGCTGTTTTTTTATAGTATTAGGCAGAGGCGGCCAAAGCCTCAATGGGGCCCTAAGCAAAATTGAATTTTGTGGCCCTCTATTTCTGCCAATAATATTGATTGTTGATTGTTCACACACCTACTACAGTATAAATTTAATGCACCTGACATGTCTTTACACATTTAAGGGGGTGGCCTAGGTAATAACATAAATAATACCAATGAATGACTGATGAATGATGTTCAGGGTGACACATGTGTTTTTTAATCTCAAAGTGTAACACATTCAGGATGCTCAGCGCACAGAAGTAAGAATCATAGGCCTACATCAGAAGCGGCACTAAAATGTTTTTACTTTAATTTATTTTTACAATAATATATATTTGATCATACAGAAAGCATCACTCATACATGCAAAAAAATATATATATATTTTTTTTTTATTGCTCTTGGGGGCCCCCTACTGGCCGCGGGGCCCTACGCAGGCGCTTAGTTTGCTTATGCCCTCTGGTAATGTATGCAAATTAGCGCATATTCAATTAGATATTGCCTCATTTACATATTCAAACATAACATCTGACAAAACTTGTAATACAAAAAATATTTGTCTGAATGTAAGTTATAAACTTGGAAAGTTTCATGGTGGTATCTGTTTGTTAAAAAAATTACCCTGTTCACCTGGGATGTCTCCCCGGGCTTCCAGCCCGTCATGGACGCCATCGTGAAAAAGACACTTTTCTAGCGGTCAAACTTTGGTCAACTTTTAGTATGTCATTAAGGGCACCTAATACTATAAAAAAAACAGCTGAGAAACCTTTTGTTGGAATTTTTTTGGGGTTAGGTGTTCTTTTTTCATGAATGCACGCGCCTACTTTAACACTCAGGTATGCAGAACATGTATAGATATGACGTCCGCCTCCTTGACTGCATGTAGTGCTACATTAACAGTGGGCATGTGTCATTGTGCAGAAGGACTCACTTCAGACTGAGCAGCTCCAGGGAAAGCCACCTGCAGGTAGTGAAACCTGGCTGCTCTGATCGCGTTGAACCAGTCGACTATTTCCTGCAAGACAGGAAATTCAGGATTGACAGTGACTCTGATTTCACCTGCTGTGGTTGTAGAAGTGCAAGAGCGAGCAGGAATAAACAATCAAGGGTAAAGTGGAAAAATACAAGCGGCTTTTGTCGCTTGATATTGATATTACAAAGAAAATTAAACAAACTCAAAGAAACAGCTCACTTTTCCATCCTCGTGGTACACAAAGATATTTCTTGTGCTGTTGTCCTTTAAGTAGGTTATCTGCAGCCCATGTGCAACGCCAATTTTGGTTGGCTGGAAAGTGGCATTCACAGTATTGATCTTCATTATTGCTTTGGGCTCTCTAGCCTGCAAAGGAAAGCAAATTAGGGATGCAGCCTTAAAATCCACAAAAAGGAAACAGAAAAAAGACGATTCAGAAGTCCCTGAACTCTGTAGCTTGTGAGTGAAGATGTGAGGTGACACTATGTTACCATCTAGAGAAGATGTAGAAATTTTAAAGGGAGGGATGAAACACTCACGTCATGCTTGTTGAAGTATTTCAGAACACATTCACGCTCGGACAGAATAAACTTTCGGCTGAGGAACTGTCCGTTGTCTCGGCCTCGTTTCCACAGAAAACCCTCTCTGTAGCCTGAGAGGAGGAGAGCCATGAGGGTAAAACAAGAGCAGAGATACAGAGAGAGAAAACATGTACAGTCACTCCACAGGCAGTTATTTTTTTGGCCAGTTGGGGGCAGCAGAGAGTTCACTTGTGAGCTTTCATCCAGTTTAACAAACATGTTAATAATTAATGCAACCCCAATCACCAAGAGTTTGACGGGTTTTAAAACATGTAACATCGGACCGTAAATCAAGGTCACTGAAAACCCGTGAGTCAAAAAGAGCCGACACATCGGTGTTAGCGCACACTTTCATCCTCTGTGGTCACTATTTTTTCAGCAGTGATGGGAGGAAGCACATCTGCTTTTACTACACATAAATAATTCAGACTGGTTTCCTCCACGAGCCTGAACCTTGCTGATATGAAGTCGCTCACTCCCAAACACTCTCACACACACACACACACACACACAAACACACACACAAAGATGTCACCCGGCCTGTTCCTGACAGCGGCACGTCCGCTCATTCCTGAAATAAACTAACAGAGGCATCACTGCAGGAACAAGTGCACCGTCATGGCGTAATTTACCTCAGAGCCACGCACACAAACACACAAACACACACAAACACACACTCACTGATCAGCAATAAAAAGGAACATTCTGAAGAAAACTGGATTAGTAATGTCGGGTTTTTTTTTTCAGCCTGTCATCCACGACTTCTTATTCTGAGGTAAGCGTGCAGATTGCTTCACAGCGCCGGGGGATTTTCATTGGGTGTTGCCAAGTTAGCAGCACAAATCAAACCCTGTAAAGAACTGTTTGTTTGTCATATTTAAGGAGTTTTGGCACCACGAAGCTAACTCCTTTAGATTTTATACTTCAAGTTTAAGTCCAAAAACTTACTTGGACTTAGTGATTTGGCTTTACGGGGTTTTATTTAGTCTTATTTGATTATTTGATTCATTTTAAACTCTTACCCCCAAGCACTGTTGTCACTTTATATGTATGTACTGTAATGTTTGTTCGTCTACTGTTATCAAAACAACATAATTTACCTGGGGGTACAAAGAAAGTAACCTTTGACCCTTTAACTTAAAGCCACAGTTTGGAAGAATAGAAACATTTAGTGATATTTAGCAGTCAGATCACAGAATGAAACGCTCCCTCGCTCACCTTCCCCTCACTTAAATGGTGGCCTTTGAGGGACAAAAAGCTCCCTTTTTAGAAATATTGGTATTTTTTAGGGGGCAGCACAGTGGCCACAGCAAGAAGGTCCTGGGTTCGAATCCGGGTCAAGGTGTTTCTGTGTGGAGTTTGCATGTTCTCCCTGTGTGTGTGTGGGTTTACTCCGGGAACTCCGGTTTCCTCCCAAATCCCAAAAACATGCAGAAGTGGGGTTAGGTTTATTGGCCACTTTCTAATCATCCGTAGGTGTGAATGTGAGCGTGGATGGTTGTTCGTCTCTTGTCCAGGGTGTCCCCTGCCTTCGCCCATCCATCCATTGGGTAGACAATGGATGGATGGTATTTTTTTTAAACCCTGTAATGAAAATTAAGCTCCCTTATGTTTTCTTTCCTCAAACTAACTCAAACTATCTGCACAGAAACTTGTTTATTTAAAGCATTTCCATCTGCAGTAAAGTAAATTCATACGATATGAAGTTTAGAGTCCAGAGGAAAAACTTCATCTACACTTTGATTTATTCGTTTGTTTGTTCGTTTGCAGCTCCATAATCACTCCTCTCTCTCCTAATCCCATCTATCACTTCGCTTCGATCCCGTACGTCTTTGTGCGGCGGTATAGTCATCACGGCGTGGGTCACAGACGGCAGTAAACTCCTGGCAGGGTAATGGCTTCATTAATTATTCATGAATCACAAGGTTTTATTCCACAGCTGCGAGCAGACGGGTTTTTATGCCCCGAAGAAGCGAACACAGCAGAGGCAGGACTTACTCCCTCTTTTATCCAACACCTTAGGTAGCAAAGCTGTTTTTGGACCGGAGGATTTGTCTCTCTTTAGGTCCACAGCTTGTTTCTCCTCCTAGAGACGATTTTTGTGTTAAATATTTGCGAAACAAAAGCAGCCTTTCTTCCTCTGCGGCACAGACACACAGCCACATGCTCCTGAACCTCTGCACAGCCCAACACAAGAGGCCATTGACGGAGAGAGACTGAGACCCGCAGAGCAAGAGCTCCACAGTCATGAGAACCAGATAATAGCGCTTTATCTTGTAATTTCACATTTTTCTGGACGGCTCTAATCTGGAGAAGTTTCTTGGTCAGTGAGAACTCAGCTGTGCTCTGGTCGGGTTAAAGGGAACTGTGTTGATTTTAGACATCAGCTTCTGTTTCCTCATCTTGCCTCATCGAGTCAAACCCGAGTGTGAACTCGACACCGAGGCTGTGGTAATGACATCACATTACTACAAATACCACAGAGGCCGACAGGGTGGAGTAACGCAGTCGTGGCTGCAGCAGATTAAAGTTTCTCAGCAGGTGTCTACGGAGATGTTTACTCGTCCAATCTGAGAGATAGTGCTGATGTTACACATATTTAACTACACGTGTTGGCCCTGAGCGTGTGTCTGTTTTTAAGCCCCTCCCTCTGTCCCACTTTCTCCGCCCGTCACGTCTGAGTGGACGGTGTCTGCTTGAAATTTTCTGCCTGTAAAAGGAAATTCTCATCTTGCCAAACGTCACCAAAGTTTGGTTTGTGATGTTGGGTCAATCTGCAGAAGAAGCTGTGGCCTGTGCTGCAAAGCCGGGTTTCTGGTTCATGTGGTAACTGCAGGTTTAAAGGGATATTCTGGCGTAAAATTAATTTAAGGTCAAACACACCGTAACACCGAGTTAGACACCCCCTCGAGAGATGAATGTTGCCGACCAATTGCTTCTCTAGTTATACCAACTTTAGTAACGACCGCATGATAGCAATACACAGCGGTCTGAGGAGCCATAATCAAACCTCAACTGAAACACCACAAATAATGCTCAGAACAGCACCTAACTTCATCAACAGTACATATAGGGTCACAGCCACAGCACTAGCCACCAAACATCTTTTTAACTTTGCCTAATTTCTTTAGCAAAGAGACTAAACACAACTCACCTACTCTCTTCCAGCAGCCGCTTGTTTGTAGCGAGACCTCAGGCCAGTCCATTACGGACTGCTGCGGGGTTTCGCAGCTCAAGGAAGAACATTTATGATAATTTCTTCATCATTTCCTTGAAGTAATAATCATTAATAATTAATCATTTAGCATTTTCTGATTGCATTTCCATGAAGAAACGATCATAAATGTTCTTCCTTGAGCTGCGGCACCCCACTGTAGTCCTTAATGGACTGGCCCGAGGTCTCCCTAGAGAAGCACTAGAGATGTTCTCACTAGAGAAGCACATTCATCTTTTGAGGGGGTGTCTAACTCGGTGTTATGGTGTGTTTGACCCTGAATTAATTTTACGCCGGAATATCCCTTTAACTCTGTCTGGTGGCTCATGTGAACCTTTGCTTACATATCCTCAAGACTCAACGCCTGAATGGAGAAAATAGCAAACATGGCGGCGTTTAAGGGAGTCACCTGATCAATCGACCTCTTAAAACCAACTGTAATCTGAATGCTGTACCTCCTTTTCTACATCCTAAACCATTAAAGTATCCGCTTAGGCAGCAGAGAGGTGTATGAAATAACGACTTTCTCTCCTGGTCTTGGAGTTCGTCAGCTGTTTCGCTGAGGAATGTCAGTAACAATAAACGCAGATGCTGTTCCTCTGCCATGTAGCCATTTCAGCCTGAATAGGCAGCGTTGTCTGAGACGCAGGCAATTACTCGTTCTTCTGAGTAAGCGAGAAGTGTAATGTGTTTACATGAGCCAAGTGCAGAGAGGTGTCTTTACCTGCAGAGTAGGGCTCCTGCTTCTCCGCGCTCGTAAACTCCTTCCTCTCGTACTTGGCTCGGATCCACTGCTCCCTCAGGACCCTGAACAACAGTTGGTGTTAGACACACACAGCTCTGACTCGGTTTGATGTTTGCTTCATGCCTGATTGAGTTTGTTGAAATGCCTAATTAGCTTACGTGCGTGTCAAACCGTCAGTTCATATTTCACAGTTACAAAAAGGAAAGGCAATCTAATATTATTTGGTTCGTCTCCTCAAAATTATCGCCTGAGGTACTGAGATAATCCAATCCACGTTTGTTTATGCTGCATTTACAAAAACAGGGATAGGATGGAGCCCCATCTTGTAAGATTAGACCCACTCCCATCCCATCTTCTACCACATGAGTGAAACACTGTGAAGCATTTAGCAAACTACAGTAGAAATAGGGCTGTGCGATATGGCCTAAAATCAATATCACGATATATTAGGCAGTTCACCCCCTCCCACATTAACTTCACCTACTTCAGCCGCTACAACTTTTGAACCGTCCTCCATCTCCTCCACCTCATCTGTCTTTCCCTCTTGGATGGGGTGGAGACTGTAGCGAATCCAAAGACCAACCTTGTCGCTTGAGGGGGAAGTTTAGGGTCCAGTATTTGTCCGACGCGCTATCGCTTTCCCCATAGATGAGCAAGAGGCTTAGAAAGCACTTTACGGTGTTTTTAATGAAACATCTGCTAGTGGTCATAGGACTCCTTTTGATACACAACAGGAACAAACAGGGCAAACCAAAGTGATGCTATACTATATGATGCGATGCAAAGCGGTCAACAAAAATTACGCCTACCCCGCTCCCCTCTCTCCACCTGACTGCAGGTAAGCCTTATCTTTTCATAACTACACGGTATGTTACCACAGCAACCACACAACCTACAACGAGTCTGAGGTCAGCGTCTTAAAGGGACATGGGACCCTAGCCTACCTACATACTGAATATATCAATACGGGCAAAATGACATCGGTTATTGTCGTAAATTTCGGTATCTGTAAATTTTCGTTTTATCGCTCAGCCCCAAGTTGAAAGGAGAAACTTCCTTCAACAGGCAGAAACCTTGAGCAGAACCAGACTCAGAGGGGATGGACAGAGGTTAGATTAATGTCCATGTGAAGACCCAACGCTCTGATGCAGACATCATTAGGTAAATCTACTGCAGTGTTAAGCTGTGCACTCTGGTTCTGCAGCTGACTCTGTCTCAGCGAATAAAACAGCGATCTTACAGAGTTTAGGTTCAACTACTACACCACATGAGTACTATACTGTAAAGTCATATATAGCTTTAAGTTGATTTATCTTTTTTCAGTTTAAGTGACGCCATCGTTGACCTCCTTTTGATTATTATGTTATTTGATCACCAGTAAAAGATTGTGATTTATGTTTTGACAGTAGGGGAAACTAATGCAGGAAGTGCCCGACGATTATTATGCTGCCTCAAAAGTGTAGTCCTTAAAAGATAACACCACACTATTGAGGCCAAAGTACCTTTCTGTGTCCTTCCCTTTCTGAATAGAGAAAAAAATTTGGTTGCACAAGTCAGTTACTTGCAGAATAATCTTAAATTTACACATAAAAAAGTAAAAGAAGAAATCCTGATATGATAGAGATAAAAAAACTGGCGAGTGAAACTGTGAGTTTGTCACATTAATGCAGATGGACAGTACTCAATCCCAGAGCCCTGAGAAGATTTCTCCGTTTCCTCTTCTTTTATAGTTGTGAAAAAATCTCTCATAAACACCATCAAACTATGACAGCTCTGAGTTTGGTTGTTGCATTTTTTTTGTTATATATAAACGCAGAAGAGGTGAGAAAAAAAAAAGCCTTCTCACTGTCATTTCCTGTTCAAACTGCAGGAACTTGGTACACTTATCTGTCTGCTGTCAGCCCGGCTACTCTGAAACCACAAAATGCCCTTTGACTAAATCCATCTGTGAAATAATAGTAACACTATTAAGATGATATCAGTAACATTTTCACAATGTTCTTGTTATGAATCAGCTGATATGTTGGTGTAATGTCTGATAAAGGAAAACTATTGGAAGTGAACACTAGAGACCAGAGCGCGTCACGTGACTTACATGCAATCCTTGTGTGTGGGTCGGTAGTAGAAGGCAGGAACTATCTGTTCATATTTAGCCTTGGCAGCATTGTTACCCTCAGAGCCCACAAACTGCAGAGAGGACAGAGAGACACACAACTGAGTCAGGGTGTGTGTTTATACTGGAAACACACTCATTTAACAGTTTGAACATAAAAGAAATACCTAATTTATGTTCATTTTAAGCGCTGAGGCTGTGAAATCGATCTGTTTTTCAGCAAGTCTGAGAGTCTGATAGTCCCGAGAGCCACAAATACACACAAAGAGACCCACACAGACACACACAAAGAAAGTGGTTGTATTTGCCAGCTGCTGGCTCATGCCGTTTAGCCGATACTGAATGAAGAAGGATGACTTGTCTTATTCTTTCAGGCAGAGATTCAGAGGGGGAGCTGCAGGCGGACAGTGATCACAGAGGAGCAGGGTGAGGCCCCAGACTGCAGACATCAAATCAAGCCAAATTTCAGACTAGAATCTATAACCAATCTTCTACAAAACAAACACATTGACCCTTTTTTCTCCCTTTTAGGAAGCATGAGTCAATTAAACTTACACTTTGCATAACATGACAGGGTTCTGGTTTTTTTACCTCCACCTCAGAGGAACTCCAGGGATCCAGCAGGACAGATTTCACCTTGCTGATTTGAGCGATGTTTCTATGGAGTCCTGAGCAGCTGTGACACACAAAAACACCTAGCGTGTAAGACGCCCACTCCGGATCTGTAAACACATCAGAGAGACTCATGAGGAGACGCACACCAACGTTTGAAATAACTTTAGACTGCGATGTATTTCTGAACTTCCTTAAAACCGACACGAATGACTCCGCTGTCATTAAACCGGGTCGACTACAAACCTATTTTGTCCTCTTCGTGTCTGCAGAAAATCTAAATATAGTGTCGTTTTTAAAGCTAGCATCCCCTCACGTTATAGTGTCAGCCTTTAAACTTTACAGAACAGAAAATGTCACACTTATCGCTGATGGTCTTATTTGCATTTAATTTCAGTTCATTTCATGTATGTCAAAAAACTCCTCACAGGAGCTTTAAAGCATTTTTTCTTAACAGATTTCAGGACCAAACTCTAAAGCACTAATAAATCCCCTTAAATCCATTGTATTATGAGATTATTATTTATTACTATAAGATAAGATAATTTAGTAGGATTATCTTATTTTTATAAAATATTTCTTTTGTAAATATTTTGTATTTTATTGTCTTATTTTGCTCTTAAGATGCAGAATAATAAATAATAATAATAAGCTTGAGTCTTCAGTCCTGTATTGTTCCTATATTTTTAAGGCCCTTAAATTAAAATTAAGTATTTTATTTAAAGGTTTTAAATGAATTGAACACTTTCTGATGTTTAATCTTGGTTTCTTCTTTCATTAGAGGCAGAATATCAACGAGTAATCTTTAAAAAGAAATGTAAATATTGTTTTGAAATATCAGTCTTGTGTAGCCACAAGATTTTAATCAACACTGTACACCTACACGCACGTCGACTGTCCAACTCATACAGTTTCCAGTGAATGCAGCGTGTCATTCACACATTACAGCTTCACTATTTCCACTCAGTGTGACTCATTTCTATCATCAACACCTCTGCTATAACTACAGCCTGTGAAAAGAGAACAAATGACCTGGTTTTTAATCATGTCATCCTGTTGTTTCTGTGACATTTAGCTGCGTTCTCGATGAGTTCAGTGTCAGGTCAGTACCTCAGACTTTTCTTTGAAGACCTGAGTTGAAAAAGTTTGCAATGCAAGCATCTTTTCACGAGTCATTCGCGTCTAATTTTGCAGCCGAGGGCGAGATTTTTTTTTTGTCATAGGTGTAACTGGCCACAAATACAGACTCATACCTCCACCTACACCTCAACATTTTATTTTCGGAAACATCATTTTGATCAATTCAAGGCGAGCGAGCAGCTCGAGTGTGGGCCAGACAAGACGGTGTCTTAACAGCTGTTTAAGACGATGAAAGAATACAACTGCTGAAATTACACAAGGTCAAAAATACTCTGTTACTTCCTCGAGCTTCAACGTAGTGCTGCACACATGCAGAAGAAGAAAGAGGCTGGTGTGAAGTTAACCACTCCTCTATTGTCTGCAGCTTGTTGTGGTTGCGACTTATCTGTCTTACAGAGACGTTTCTCTCACAGAAGATGAGATGCACGAGTCTCTGAGACACAAAGCATGGAAAGGAAATGATGTGTGTCAACTAAAATCATTGTAGTTCACCTGTACAGTATTATGATGACTATAATTATAGTCATATCAGCCTCATAAAGCAATTAAAATAACATCATCCAAGATGTAATTCAAACAGATGTTAAAAGATGTAAAGTTTTTGGAAAGTTGTAAGACTCTTTCACTTAAAAATCTGATTAAAAAAACTCATTACCAGATGATTTAACGATGAAATATACAATTAGGAAAATAATAAGAATTTTAACACTTATTGTTATTGCTTTAATGAGGCTAATAATACATAATAATAAGGCAGAAACATACTTTTAAAACCCTTACTTTGCCCATATTGGGATATAGTCGATCACCCACACCTGTTGGCTCAAGTGTAAAGAAGTTGTGCACCTGTGGTATGCACATGAGCCGCAGATATTGAGTCGAGTGCCAAGTTACTAGGTGTTGTAATCAGGGTGTTGCCAAAGCATGTAAGCGTACAAAAAACAATTTATTTATAGCCTCTAAAACAACCTGAAACACTGCTGACAATGATGAGGAAACACTTCAGATTAAAGATTTTATTAAGACTATTTAAAACAGACTCAGCTCTGAGTCTATATCAATAAAAGTCCATATTAATACGGGTATGAAAACTGCTTTAAACTGTTTTAAAAGGTGACCTGTCATTTTAAAAGGAGTCTTATGAGATCTGAGTTTTGTTATCTAAGTCCCGAGAAGGTTTATTGTAGGGTTTTATGATATCAATATCCAAGTCTGGATCACAGCGTGACTGTCTGTTAAGAGGAACTTAACACAAGCAGATAAAAGACCGGCTGTGAAATGTTGATACACACTTATTTGTTTACAGCAGAGTAAAGAAGAGAAGGATACAGAGAGGAAAAGGTCAGCATCAGCCGGTGAGCCTCTCCTCCTCCTGCCTGCCTACCTGGAGCTCCACAGTCCGCACACTTCCCATTCCCGGGTTTCTCCAGAAGCTGTTTCAAACGCTGTCTGTTCCTCTCATCATCTGAAGCCATCGTGGACACTGCTGCTCCTGCTCCTGCTCGGAGTCTCTCACGCATCCACAGTGAGGTCGTCGTCGCCGCCGCCCGGGACGCGCCCAAACAAGCAGTGAGGCGGCGGTAAGTTTAGGTGGCCGACTGGAGGCGCATTGCCAGTCCAATACCGATGCCAGGACGCGTGAAGATACAGCAGTGAGAGCATTCAGGTCTTCTCTGCGTCTGTGTCAGGAGTGAGACCTCCAGCGGTCACAGAGGTGAGGAACAGGCTCATGACCCTGCCCAAAACTGTTACCGCTGCACTCCCTCGCCTCGCAATATGACCCAGGATTTTACTCTAAAATACGCCAATTTAATAAAATAAGCAAGCTACAGGAAAATTAAAGTGTAAAGTATTCTTGTTGTGCAACTAAAATCGCTTTTAATGCTGTTTTGATGCTGAAAAATCAGCACAACTCAGTACACAAAAAAGTCACCCAGGTGTTCTCAGTTGACGTTGATTGGGCGGGGCTTAAGCGTACAATGGGCGGGGCTACGTTTGAATTTCTGCAAGGTGGCCTCACTTCAGGTTAAATTTATGACACTGGCAGATATAACTATATTTACAAAATAAATGTTCTCAGTCTCACCTGGTGCATCAGTATGGCAAGCCATTGAGGAATATATATATTTATACTGAGTGAATCTAGGAATATGTATATATATATATGAAGCCACAAACCAAACTCAGACTGTTAGTTTCTTCATTTTTATTTTTCAAAATGTCTAAAAATTCAGTACATGGTAAAATAAAGTCACACTCAAACAAAAAATACCTGCAGATCTCAGAAAAAACAGGAATCATCTTGAACTTCAACTCTTACTTCAACTCTGAGCCAACTTGAAAAAATATACTTAAAAACAAATACAGAAAGAGACTTACATTTGCAGAGAGAGAAAAATAAAAAACACCTCTGCTTTCTACATGCAGGCGGGTGGTCATGTTGGCTACAACACAGATGATTTTATTTCTGGTAAGTCCATCAGGTCTGAGAAAGCAGAAATTCAATCACTGCGGAGACTGAAGATCAGAGAGATCAGACGGTGTGACACGCATCTATCTGGAGGAGTTGGAGCTGGAACGAGAGCGATGACGCCTGCGACCAGGGGATCTAGAGCGAGAGCGGCGGCGTGGTGGGGATCGTCTCCTGGGTGAGCGAGATCTATAAGGATGTCAAATATTGAAAACTGTGTCAGACACATAAAAACAAACCATATGAATAAAGGGTGTGTGTGTGAAGTTTGGCCTAAAATGCTGGTAACATGTTGTACCCAAGCTGAGATGCAGCCACCTGACGGAGCCAGAGCTACTGCCACAATGAAAGCTTAATGCTTCATTTGGACACATCTCATCTTTATGCATTTTGGTCTAGAAAAATAAAGTTTGAGGTACATGAAGGCTGTGTCTGATAGAAGCAGCATCAGTCTGCTATTGACCAGCTTTAAGGACCGAAGGCGAGTGGTGCTATAAATGCTAGTGTTAGCCACACTCTGCACACCAAACCTGCAGACTCTGTGATCCTGTGTTTATCTTTCAGGATTACAAATGACTTATAATACCTTCTCCTCATGCGTGGTGGTGTGCGACGCCACATAGGCGGAGGCGGGGGCATTCTGCGAGGGGGAGAGAGTCTCCGAGGTGGAGGACGGATTCGCTGGGGCAGCACGGCGGCCGCAGTGATTTCCTGTCCATCAATTTGGCCTGCAAATCACAAATCAACATCACAGAAAGCCAATTAGGAACGAAACTCACAACGATCCTGTAAGACAAGGGACGTAGGACATAGTCTGGCGTACCTCCATCCATGTGTTTCAGAGCTTTCTGGGCCTCATCAGAAGTTTCAAACTCCACGTAAGCAAAGCCCTTGGACAAGTGGTTGTGGGTCCTGTCTGCTGGCATATCGACCGTTTTGATCTTTCCATAAGTGGAAAAGATCTCCTGGATGTGTTCCTGTAGAAACAGATGCACCACATTTTAGGTACGATTGAGAGGAAACGTTTGCTTTAAGATTTGGGACTCTTATTCTACTAACGATGGATTTCTCATCATCTTATATCCTGTCAAATCATATCAAATCCCTTGTCTAACCTTGGTGACGTTCCTGGTCAAACGTTTTATGTGAATTCTAGTTGGCTTGGGGCTTGGACTTCTTTTCCTCCGCTCTTTTTCCTCTCCCCTCTTCTGTGTTTTAGACCTGCAGGAACACAAAATAAAACAGGAGTTATATTTTTCCACAAAACAAACTAGTAAAATGAATTACATCCCAGCTGCATGTGATGGGGTGACTTACGCTGAGCGTGAGCGCCGACGGTTGTCATGGCGTCTGCGGCTGGGGCTCGGGGAGCCTGAGGAACTGGAGGAAGAGGAGGAACGAGAACTCGAAGAGCCAGAGCGGCTGGAACCCGATGAGCTTGATCCACTTGAGGAACCAGAGCTGGAGCCAGAGCTGCTGCTGGAAGAGGAGCTGGATCTGGACCTGGTGGGAGTCAAAAACATGTTCAGTCGGAAATTACACACTATTTAGAGGCTGATTTTGTCACAAACATCAAACAGCTAAGAGATAACTGTGGAAGCAAACCTGCTGCTGCTGCTGCCAGTAGAGGCACTGCGTCGTTTCCTTGCTTTGTCCCGTCCTCTCTCCTTGTCTCCTTCCTTGGTGCCAGTCTTTTCTTTCCCTCTGTCTTTGGTTTTTTCCTCCTCCTTTCGTTTTGTAGGTGATGGTGCCCTAAAGTCAGGGGGTTAAAAAAGTGTTACTCTGAGACAGTGTGTGTCAAAACTGGTGCAGGACGACTTCCAACATTAACATTCATTCTAAATCAGTCAAAAATATTCTGGATTGTTTTATTGCAATTTAATGTGCTACATCTATTTTTAACGAGGATTTTGATGATATGACCTAATGAATTTTTAAGTTAGTGGTCAGATAACTTCAAATAAATTGGTGATGGAAAAATAAAATTCACTAAAAAAATGCTACAAACAGAGCAGCAGGTACAGAAGTGGTTTAAACATCATCACATTAAAAGGGATAGTTTGGCATAAAATTAATTTAGGGTCAAACACACAGTAACACCGAGTTAGACACCCCTTCGAGAGATGAATGTTGCAGACTGCTTGCTTCTCTAGTTATACCAACTTTAGTAACGACTGCAGGATAGCAATACACAGCAGTCTGAGGAGCCATAAACAAACTTCAACCAAAACACCACTCTATAGCCACAAATAATGCTCAGAACAGCACCTAACTTCATCAACAGTACATATAGGGTCCCAGCCATAGCACTAGCCACCAAACATCTTTTTAACTTTGCCTAATTTCTTTAGCATAGAGACCAAACACAACTCACCTACTCTCTTCCAGCAGCTACTTGTTTGTAGAGACTTTGACCAGTCCATTACGGACTGCTGCGGGGTGACGCAGCTCAAGGAAGAATATCTATGATCATTTCTTCAAGGAAATGCAATCAGGCTGAGACGCTAAAGCAGAAGAACTACCGCGTCTGCAGTGAAAAATTATTAATATGGTGATTATTACTTCCATGAAATAATAAAGAAATGATCACAAATGTTCTTCCTTGAGCTGCGTCACCCCCGCTGCAGTCCGTAATGGATTGGCCCAGGGTCTCGCTACAAACTCGTGCAATTTAACGTGCTACATCTATTTAAAATGGTAATTTTGTTAATATTAACTTGTAAATTTTTAGTCAGTAGTCAGCGAACTCCAAATAAATTAGTGATGAAATAATGAAATTCACTAAAAAATGCTGCAAACAAGACCAGCAAGAACAGGAGAGGTCTACCCAATATCACATTAATACCACAATAATGACCAATCTCAACACACTTTGATTTATAAGTTTATATGCGGGAGGTAGAAGTAGATTTTCAGATGAAAAACTAAACCAAGTGTGCTCAAAATAGGAGATAAACATTGCAGACAGTAAAGGCGTCGCGAAATCTGATATAATATGGTAGAGATGAGCAAAAAAACGTGATATTACAAGAAATACCGTCGGCATTTGAGACATTTCCGCAGTTCTTATTTTGTAAAGCTTGTATTTTGAAGTTTGATTGCCCTAACAATCAAACCAGACCCCGATCATTTCTAACGTTTACCCTCTCACTGAAACCCGCCGCCATTGATGCCCATTCAAAGACCCTCAAAACACGGACGTTACAAGACGTTTCACGTGGTTACCGCGCTAATTTGACGCCCAAACAGCCAACAACGCCTCATATTCTGAATAAATCACAAATAAACTGAGAATAAAATACAGTAATTGTATTTCAATGAAAGCACACTTACATATCTTTGAACGCGGTGATCTCGCTTCAACCACTCGCGACCCGGAAAATGTCGCACAGCAACGGCATCAGAGCGGAAGTGACGTTTTGAAGGAAGAGCCAGTGTAACTCATTCGTTGTTTATTTATGTTGAGGTGGCTAAAAATGTGAACGTCTAAATGAAAAAAACATCGATTAACAATCACAAATTATTCCACCACATTACCTGAAATGATTTGACGGAATAAGAGGGCGATAAAGGATCTTCCCTGCGGAGGTGGACGTGAGTGTTTGACTTTATAACGGGTTTGTGTTAGCTGTGCTGAGCTAACTATGCTAACGTTAGTGACACTACGATTAGGTAAACAAACTTTAAGATGTGAGATTTTTACGTTTTAAAGTGGATTTATGTCAAATAATAGCCAATTTAACTACTGGACATCAAATAAATGTAAACGATAGAAGAAATGAATTCATTCTTGCAGGGATTATTTGTGTTTTCCATGCTCTCTCTTTAATCAATATTGATAGTTTTACTTGAATACATGTGCGCTCTTATATTAAAGTTTGACACTTTATATTTACTTCAACTTTATTATGTCCCAAAATGGGCAAATCAGGTTACAGCAGACACAGGCATTGAAAACATACATACATACATACTTGTTTTTCCCATCATGTGAATCTTCCAGAGACTGATCATTTACAAAGTTCCTCTGGAGTGACTGACCATGGGTCGGCTGGATGAAGCTGCTAAACAAAAGGTGGTGGAGCTACGTAAGGCTGGTCTTAGTTTTCGTAAAATCAAAGCTGTGCTGGAGCTGGAGAACATCAAGGTGTCAGCCCAGGCCATCTACCTGTACCTGAGGGAGTTTCACGGAAGGGCACCAGGGAGGGTCAGACCTCTGGAGGCTGGAAGCAGCACATCACAGGTTCAGGTGCATCCACGAGTAGGGGCGATACAAGACAGCTGGAATAACATTCATCTCCACAACCTCCTGCGGGGAGCAGCTCAGCATGCTGGCTTTTCAGCGGCAGGAAACTTTGCCAAACAGACTCAGACAAATCAGGACACTGGTGCAAAGCCATCTGGGTCTGGGGAGAGCAGCCGGTTGGAGCAGCAACAAGAGGGAGAAAAGGAGGAAAATGACATCCAGATTATTAGTGTCACCTCCCTCGCCCAAAATAGCCAACAAAGAAGTCCGCAGTCTGCTGCAACAAGGACGAACACAGGCGCTGTGTCTTCCACACCAACAGCTTCTGCAGCAGCCATGAGGAGGAGAGTCACAGCATCTCCAGCCACCAATTCAATGCTGGCAGCTCGAAAGAGGCTTTTGGATAAAGCTTTGTCACAAAAGATGAAGGTATATAACTATGAATGAGCTCTTTTTAGTCTTCCAGTTATAATTGTTAGATTTGTAAAATGAACAATAACAAAAGCTATGAAATTGTTTTTAGAAATCACAAGAATGATTCTACAACGGAGTATTAAGACTTTGAGATTAATTTACAAGAATAAAGTCATTACTAATCAGAATAAAGTCGTAGTAAAGTAATCACTTACAAGAGTAAAGTCAGTATAAAGTCCTTGTATTCTAACCTGTTGTTTAAGATGACAGTTGTTGAAATGAGAGCCATGGAGTATTTTGTGAAAATGAATTTCAATATAGGTTTGTCATACAAGGATCTTTTGGCACATCAGCACCACATTATCATCAGTATCATAATGATTTTATTACGACTTAATTCTCATAAATTAATGACTTTAATCTCGAAATCTAATTTTTGTTTCTTAATGTGGCCCTAATACGCCGTCGTATGATTCAGCTTTGACCTGCATACATTGCTTTTCTACAGTCATTCCACCAGGTGGCATCGTTGCTAAGGAGAGAACACTTGAGTGTCCAAGGTCCAAGTGCAGTTACACAAACAACTGAAACATACGATTTAACCAACGAAAAGGTGAGAGACCTTAATATATCATCTCAGCTCTTTATACAAATACACATATATCTATTCTTTTTCTTGTCACCTGACCTCTTTATTTTTCATTTTTAATTGGTTCTGTGGTTTTTATGCTTCACAGACTGTTATTGATGGCCAGTCTGGAGGAGGTAATGCCGCCAGGCGCTTCCCCACACAAAGACCGGGTCCCTCTGTCCGTCCCCATCACCCTCTCCCTCGAGTTGGCATTCGTCTTCCGAACGGCTCACCGTCACCTTTAGCGTCTTCTGCTCCTGGGGTTGCCGCCATTCTTCTGCAGACCCCTGGAGGTCAGGGCGCCACTAGAAGCGACAGAAACCAAAGCCCCCAGCAGACAGTCCAAGACGCAGGAGCGAGAGGATGTCTGCAGGATCAGATCAAGACTCTGAGTACTGAGGTGCACAGTTTGGGCCTCGCAGTGAAGATGCTAGTGGAGCAGCAGTGCCGTCTGGAGAGGGAGCAGGCGCAGCAGACGCACATTCAGAAGCAGATTCTCAGCACTCTGCAGAGCTTCCCCTCCAAACTCGGACGTTGTAGCAGTTATCAAAAACAAAATAAAACTCCGTCACCCTCCGATTTGCCAGCTGCTGCCTCCTCCTCCTTCGGCGAAGACGTCTTCAGCTTCAGTCAAGGCTCCTACAGCCAGTGCAGTCAAACTCAACCAAGCTACAACTCTTTAGACAGTTTAGACAACGCAGAGGCCTTTAAACTGCCAGTTCTGAGCCCTTCCAGTATGAATGGGTTTCCACCATGTAGCAACGCGGAGAACCTCCCACTCACGCACACGCCCACTCAGACACAAACATATGCAGCTGCTTTCCCACAGCAGTCAAACAGCCAAGCGCTCATGCCGACATACACAGAGTCGTACGTCTCCTCATACAGCCAGTCACATTCTCAACCTTTCAGAGGATCAGAGAGTAAAACCTCTGATTTCCCAAGCAGCTGCTCAGCCAGGGCTCTCCAGGACTGCAGTGTGTCCGCTCCACCGGGGATAAACTCTGACCAGTCTTCAGGGGATCAGGATATAAATATAATCAAAGTGGAAGGACCGTAGTCGGCTTATAGGGGTGTAACGGTACAAAAAAACAATGTTTGGTATACTTCATGGTACATTTTTGGTACACTAAGAGGAATAGTAAGTGAAACAGTAAAAAGAGAAAAACACACACAACTCAAAAAGTTTCCAAAGTCATTCGGTGCTAAACAAAACCAGGGAGTAATTTTCAGATAATTTCACACATGTGCAGATCATAGACTGTATATAGAATGGACGCCGTCCGCCTCCTCGCTGGGAGAACAGCGCCCTCTGTTGACGGGCTGCAGTATAGGTCATAAATCCCACACAAACTAGAAATTTATTACACAGAGCATGTTTTTTTTCCCCCTGCTTGTGATGTTGACATGTAGTTACAGTAAGACTGATTTGTTCTCAATTCCTCTGCTTTAAGTCTTTCTATGATTGACACTTGATACAGCCTATGGCCGTACAAGGATTGCGTAGCTCACCCGGGGGATACGCTGTTTGAGCCAAGCGTCATCACAGCGACTCTCCCGCCGAATGCGTGCAACACTACTGCACAATGTTGGTTTCAGGAAGAAAAAACGCAGCATTACCGAGCGCTTTGTGGCTTCAGATCCGTGTACTGGCGGAAGGCGGAACCAAGTTGTCCATAGTATATACAGTCTATGGTGCAGATCTCCTCTCCTGCTCCTCTGCTGTCTTAACGTCAGAGGAGTTCAGACTGACACGCACAAACCCATGCACACAAAAGCACACACAGGGACGCCGCTGAATCCTACACTGGACAGAAGATAACCTTTTTCTTTTTAGGTGATTTGTTGAGAGAGTCACCGCATTGAAACACTAACTTGTGTGTGGCGCACCTCTGTTTCTGGTCATAAAATCTGAATTTCCTTTAACTGTGCACTGAAGTGTTTTAATACACTTTAGACTGAACCAGAGGAGTCAGATACAGGTACCTTTACACCCCTAACAGCTTCAGATGCTGCAGACAGTGTTTGGACCATAAGGGCTTGGAGATGCTTTTTTTTTAGAGTCACTTTAGAAAACGTATTTAAATAACCGTGTTTTTATAGTGATGTACACTGTAGCATTTCTTAAAGTAACTTATTTAAAACTCTTCAATACATTTCAAGACTAAACAGAGAGCAATAAAGTCGACGGTTTGATGTGATTAAAATCTTCATTTATTCGATGATTTGAAAAATACAAGTACAGTATTGTGCAGGCAGTTTGTCGTTATTTTTAACAGTTGTTGTACATTTTGTACTTCTTATTTTTGTACCATTAGGACTAGGACTGTTTCTTTTCATACCCTGTGCTAACTGAATAAAAAATATGATCCAGTGTGTACTTGACAGTGTGTAACTAACTAGGTCAAGGTAAAGGAAAACACACAGTGTGTTGCTGGGCTTCATCTCGTGACTTGAACCTGAGTATATACCTACAAGAGCTTTATGTTAACTTAGTTAACCTGTTTACACATGTCTAGGCAGCTATTGTTCAGCGTTAATGTTTGTCAGACCCTGCTGATAGCGCAGAGTTCATGAGGTTTCGGTGTGAGGGTGAAGCCCCCATTTTGAGACAGATCCAGGTCATCCTCTTTAAGCCCGGGTGGAGGAGTAAAATGGAAGTGTTGGAGGAGGGAGGTGAGGAATAGAAACAGCTCCATTCGAGCCAAACTCTCTCCCGTACAAACTCTTGACCCTGAAACAACAAAAATAAAAGAAAACTTGGTTTTTGTCCTCTGAAATGTTCTTCCACTGATTAAAAGAAAATACAAATACCTGCTGAAAACGGCAAAAAAGCGTCTCTCTTCCTGAAATTCCCCTCTTTATCGAGGAAATGCGCCGGGTTGAAAGTGTGAGGTGTTTCCCATTCATCCTCATCCTGAAGAGCAGACGCCAGCAGAACGAGCACGGGGGTACCCTTAAATATACGTAGGAGGTTGGTATCAATCAAAATATATTTTTTTAAAGTTGCAGTGCAGCTTTTTTTAAAAATTGGTTCGTGCTCAGAAAAAAGTTTTAGCAGACCCAAACACTTGTCTTGTTTTACCTTCCGGATGAAGTATCCCCGGAAGGTGACGTCTCTTGAAGTGCGACGTACAGTTGTCGGGACGGTGTTGGCCATTCTCTGTATCTCATGGATGACGGCATCAGTGTACGGCAGGTTCTTCCTGTCCTGTGCCTGAACCTGACGACTTCCTATAACCCTGTTCAACTCTTCCTGGACCTGGTCTGGATGATCCAGAATGAAGAAAAAGTTTATTAACTTTATCATTTATTAAAAAAAGAGATGGCCACCTTTATCCTTTCTACTACATGTAGAATGTAGAACATATAACATGTTTCATGTTATACAGAGAAAGAAGAAGGCCAAAAGTGTAAAATAAGAAGAGGTGAGAGAAACACTGATGAAAACACAAAATAATGACTGCCTTCAGAGGAACACGCAACCTGAGAATTTGTTATGCTTCCTGTGTGAGTGTGTGTTTCTTACCTTGTATTTTAGGGTTCTTGGCCATAAGCAGTAAGCCGTATCGTATCGTAGTTGAGGTGGTGTCTGTGCCGGCGGTGAACAGGTTGACAACAGTCACCAGCAGGTTGTCCTCACAGTAGTGAGAATTCAGATTGCCGGATGCCTAACGAGTAAAAAGTTTGAGATATTAATCGTTTTGCACTGCAGACACAGTAGTTCTTCTGCCTTAGCATCTCAGTCTGATTGCATTTCCATGAAGGGATTATCATAAATGTTCTTCCTTGAGCTGCGTCACCCTGCAGTAGTCCGTAATGGACTGGCCTGAGGTCTCGCTACAAACAAGCGGCTGCTGGAAGAGAGTAGGTGAGTTTTGTTTAGTCTCTTTGCTAAAGAAATCAGGCAACGTTAAAAAGATGTTTGGTGGCTAGTTCTATGGCTGGGACTCTATATGTGCTGTTGATGAAGTTAGGTGCTGTTCTGAGCATTATTTGTGGCTATAGAGTGGAGTTTTGGTTGAGGTTTGTTTATGGCGGCTCAGACCGCTGTGTTTTGCTATCGTGCGGTCATTACTAAAGTTGGTATAACTAGAGAAGCAAGTGGTCGGCAACATTCATCTCTCAAGTGGTGTCTAACTCAGTGTTACGGTGTGTTTGACTCTAAATTAATTCTATGCCTGAATAACCCTTTAAGTCGTATTTTTTGATGATCATATGATCACACATAGTTTTCTTCACGTACCTCCAGCTGGATCTTGCGGGCCAGAAAAGAATCCACCAAACCTCTGCACATGTGTGGATTGAGGGTGCTCTGTAAACTCTTGATCAGCTCTTTCATGCATTTCCTGTTAATGAAAGCACTCTCCATCAGTTGCTTTCTGGCACCAACCCAACTGAAGAGCTTTGGAAAGAAGTTGTATAGCTGTAAGAGGGGGAAAAAAAGGCAAAATGATAAATGACCTGCTTCATATTATTTCTGTTATCCAAGTCATTTGTTTACACTCCTGCGCTCTCCTTTGCCCTACATATTTTCCCTCGAGCATGCATTCACAGACAACACACTTAATGTCTAACCTGACCTCTATGTGTCCGTCACCTTTAAAGGTTAAAGGGGACCTGTCATCAAAATTTAATACCCATTTTTATCATGTTTTTCATAATCCTTGATGTCCTCTGATCATGTTTGCAACATAATTTTAGCTGAAAAGTTATTTGATGGTTTGTTTTTAGTATGCCTAAAAAACCTTAAAGGAAAACCAACTGAATAGGGGAGGACGCGCTTGTGAATAATAATGAGCAAGGTCAGTGTGACGTCAGAAGGACCTGCTTTTTCAATCGGCCTGGTTTACCCGTTCCTTTATTTTAAACCTTTACAGAATGCAAACGACGTAACGGTTTGTTTTCACATTTACAACATAAGACGAACATAAAATGGACCTTATCTGACACAAAAAACACACAAAATTACATTTTTGATGGCAAGTTCTCACAACTGAGAATCTACACGCTCTCTGCCCTGCTGATGTGATTCTACCGATACATGACCCTCCATCCAAACGTGTACCTGTACTGAGGCAGAGCCCATGAGTTTGGTATTTTTAGTCGCCCTCTGCACCATGGACACAAACACTGGGTCATCATACTCAAATCTGTTTCCATAGACAATAGAGCAGATGATGTTGCAGACAGCATGGTTTACAGGCTGGGCTGTATCAAAGGCTTTACCTAAAAGAGGGAGAGAAAAATCACATGATTGGTTTATATTCAACCATAGATGTTGCGGCAAAGCTTGTGTTTCTGTTTTCAGAGCAAACCACAAGTAAAAAAAAAAAATAGTCACCATTTTTTTCCTTTATCAAATTAATCAGCCATTGACTTTCCTGCAGAATCTTCTCCTCACATGCTTTTCTTCCCATCCCAAAATCTCTCATGTTGGTCAGTGCGAAATGCCTCATTTCTCTCCAGGTGTCTCCGTTTGCAAAAACAATTCCTGCAGATGCCAAAGTGGAAAACAAATTTAACAAATCATTAGCAGAAATATTTTCAAACGAGTCCAGCTATTTCATGAAAAGAATCCAAAAAGACAATGCTGAACACCTGATAGTGTTCGTTTCTCACCGTAGGTTAATTTCAGGTCGTGGATAATGGGGTTGGTATCTCTCTCTGAAAATGCATCACTGCTGACTAGAGCCTCTTTGATGGTTTTGTGTCCTGCCAGCACCACAGTTCTTTGAGGCCCAAGATTGAATGTGAACACAGGTCCATATTTTTTAGAGAGCTAAAACAGACCAAAATTTACTTTAAAATGCATCTATTGATTATATATTCTGAAATTGATGATTTAATATCAATGAAGTTTAACACAGAAACATTTCTCTTTTCTTTTGTCTGAAACGCAGAGAAGAAAAAGTCACCCAAAGACATAAATATACATATACTGTTTATATGTACAGACCTCACACAGGGCGACGTGGGGTGATGGTGCCAGCTGCAGCAAATTTCCAATCACAGGCAAAGGTCTGGGTCCTGGGGGCTCTTTTCTTTGAGGGTCAAAGCTGGAAAAAAACACAAAAAACACAAGCAAGACTCCAACGGTGCCCAGAAGAGTGGTCGTACAAGCGGGCTGCAGAAAAAGATCTTCCATTACTGCCACACTTTGTGATTCACATGTGAAAAAAAATCAAATCACAGATTTTGACTGAGATCCAGTTTTGGTGAATCAAAGAGAAATCAGCTGAGAGCTCTTCTTCAAGGAAAATAAAGGAGGGAAGAGAAAGGTCACTGTTCTACTAAACTCTGCAGTATCTTATCCACTTAAAAGGCAGTCCAGCCAAGTTGCCCCTCACTATCGATGACCCCAGTCTTGTTAATGTTTAGCTTAAGTCGAACTCAACCTTCAAGAAAGCAGAGTTTTTACAAATTAGGGAAAACTTTTACCTTCTTCATTTTGATGGTTAAATACAAAAATCTGAATATGTGTAAAAGCCCATAAAGAAAAAGATTGAAACTTACAGAGACTGTGAAATGGAACATAAACGATTGAAGTTTCTAATTGGGTGATGAAAGTTGACTCCAACAATGCAGTTAAACTTTAAAATGACTGACATACACCATCTATTTTCTAAGTGCAAACAAGCTCAGGCTTTGCTAAGGGTGGAGTTTACAACCACCCATTCAGAGGAATGACTGATCTGCTAGTTTGCTGGTGGAAGTAACTCATGGCAGTCTTTATCCTACAGCTCTTCAGGAAGCTCCTTTTCTATGATCCTTTGCACCTACAGTAGATTTGTGATTGCAAAAAAGTCAGCTGTGAAAGCCAACATTAGCGTCACTCCAGTTGCAAATTTATTGTAAAAGTAGTCTCATTTGACAACATTTAATGGCGGCTGATTGTGCCAGATATCAGTTTAGTAAAATCAGTTTAGCTAACTACTTCATTGGCTATAAGTTGGCATTCCTGATTGAAACCACAAGATGATGTTGCTGCTGCTGCTGTTTGGTTTCTTTACTCAAGATTAAAGGGACTCCAACAGAGGGGTTCATGTGCAGCTATAGAAACTCAAAGGTTTTGTTCGGCGTAAAATTTAATCACATAATAGTTTTAAAAAATCACAAAAAAAGGAGGAGGTTCTTGACTCAGTAACACAACTTTGTAAAACCTCAAGAGATGGGATGAGCGCCATGTAAAATGTTAAGATCAGACTGATGGTTTGTGAATCGTTTAAAGCCCAATTTAACTAAAAATAGTGGAAATACAAAAAATAAATATTGAAATTGCAAAATTTTTATTGTTGGTGAAAAATACTAAATGTTCATTTTACACTTAATGCAAGCCACATGATACAAGACAGGTGGGGTAAAGGTATGCCGACTAATGTGTTGCATCACCTCTTCTGAACCAGTTTCTGGGATTCAGAAAGTGAAATTTTGTCCCATTCTTGCACACAAATCTAAAAGATTTTACAATAAAATCAGCACATTGACCTTGTACGGCTAAAACATTAAATTGTGGGTCGAAGGTTCATCCTGTGACTCGCACTGAAGTTAATAAATGTACAAAAATTGCTTTTGTTTAACTGACAACAGTGACTACTAGAATGAGTTAAATCATATGAACTTGTTTACATTTCTGCAAAGAGTCACTGTTCAGCACTAATGTTTGTCAGATCCTGCTGATAGCGCAGAGTTTATGAGGTTTTGGTGTTAGAGTAAAGCCCAAAACTTGAGTCAGATCCAGGTCTTCCTTGTTGACACCAGGAGGAGGAGTGAAGCGAAACCGTTGGAGGAGGGAGGTGAAGAAGAGGAACAGCTCCATCCGAGCCAAACTCTCTCCTGTACAAACTCTTGCACCTGAAACAACATGATAATACTGTCACATCTTTGAGTCAGTTTACCCATAAAAAGAATAAATAAATAAATAATAAATAAAATTACCTGCAGAAAATGGAAGGAAACCCTCTTTGTTCTTAAAATTTCCCTCCTTATCCAGGAAATGTGCGGGGTTGAAAGTGTGAGGTGTTTCCCATTCATCCTCATCAAAAAGAGCAGTAGACAGCAGGAAAAGAGCTGGAGTTCCCTGGAGTCGGACATGATAACATTTCACATATGGACACGTTTCACAGAGTACATAATAAAATAACTTTGGAGCACATTAACAGTTTATTGTCATGGCTTCTATACAATCACTGACATTGGGCATGTCATTTATCTACTTTGTCTTTTATACTGTAGATTAACCAGATATCAAATACAACTTCTACTGTTGAATAACATAAATCTGAGTCACTACTATGATACAAAAACAAATACTGATCAAACACTCCAGAAAGACAGACATGGATGTATCCTCTGCTAAGAGCAATCAACAATTGCCTCGGTAGATGATTAATTTAACTTGTGCCAGTAAGGTCAGCAGACTGTGGACCAGGTACTTTTGGTACCAACCAGCCAGCCAAGTTGTTGGTATAAAGGATGATATGTGCCAAACAAGTCTGAGTGAGGACAGCCTATGATGATGTCTCAGACGGCTGCTTCACCTTCTTGATAAAGTATCCCTGAAAGAGGACATCTCGAGTTGTGCGGTGTACAGTTGTTGGGACTGCGCTGGTTATTCTCTGTATTTCATGGATGGTTGCGTTGGTGTATGGAAGTCTCTTTCTGTCCTCTACTCTGATTGGTCGACTCCCAACCACCCTGTTCATCTCGTCCTGGACCTGGTCTGAGAGATAAAAGACTCCATGAGGAGAATCTAACTAAGAAAGTTAAATCTAGTTGTAGCAGGGTACTAAAACAGTTAACAGTTAAAGATGATGATAAAGAAGATAATCTAAAGCAAATACAAGTCATATGTTATCAATAAATGCTCCTTACCTTGAATTTCAGGGTACTTGGCCATGAGCAATAAACCGTATCTGAGAGTCGCCGAAGTGGTGTCAGTGCCAGCAGCAAACAAGTTGGCAACAGTCATCAGTATGTTGTCTTCAGTGTAGTGAGATTTCATATCACCAGAGGCCTTAAAGGCGTGAACACAGTCGTGCAGTAAACTTAAATATTGGAGATCGATCTTTTGAAGCATCAGGATCAGAACAACAAGAAAACTTCTCAGGAGTTTCTACGTACCTCAAGCTGGAGCTTCCGGGCCAGAAAGGAATCCACTACACCTCTGCACATCTGTGGATTGAGGGTGTCCTGTAAACCCTTCACCAACTCCTTGATGTGTCTCCTGTTTATAAATGAACTCTCGATCAGCTGCTTTCGGACTCTAAGCCAGCCAAACAGTCTTGGGAAGAAGTTATACAACTGTTGAAAGAAAAAACAGACACACAAAACCAAAGCTTAGTTATATGACCGTTCTCTCTATTTTGAATATTTTCTGCACTTTGCCATCAGAAAGGTTTTTAATGTTTGCAGTATTTCTAGGGGGCAGCTTCACTTGCTCTTCCACCTGCTGCACACACTGTTGAGGTGTGTAATTTGTGATCATTTCGGCAACAATAGTGTAACCTACTGTGACATGTTACATTATGTCTGACAATTTTTTCTTATAAAACATACATAAGCATCGCATATTGTACCTGGATCAAGGGAGAGCCCATGAGCTGAGTGTTCTTTAAGGCTCTGTCCACCATGGAAACAAACACTGGGTCATCACATTCAAATCTGTGCCCATAGACGATAGAGCAGATGATATTCGAGACGGCATGGTTTATCGGCTGAGTTGTATCCAAGGCTTTACCTATAAGAGAAATAAAAACTTCATTATCATCAGATATGGGGCCATAAATCCTGACAGCTAACACAACATGGTCTGTATGTACGGATGGAAAAAAAACAATAGGGTTGTCAGGGACAGATAAACATACTTCTAATATTGGTTACCGTTTGTTTCCATAAATAGTTCGATCAGTCGTTGGCTCTCCTCTATGATTTTCTCTTCGATTGCTGTTTTTCCCATCCCAAAGTCTCTCATGTTAGTCAGTGCAAAATGTCTCAATTCTTTCCAACGGTCTCCGTTTGAAAATCCAATCGCTGCAGATTAAAAAGTTGAGATCTGTCTTCAAATTATTAGTATCATTTACATAAGCAGAGAGTAGAGAACAGAAAGACGATTCAAATAAATTCAGTAGGTCTTGTTCCTCCTCACCGTGTGTTAGTTTCATGTCGCTGATTATTGGGAAGACTTCTTTCTCTGAGAATGCATCACTATTGACCAAAGCCTGTTTGATTGTCTTGCTTCCTGCAAACACAACTGTTTTCTGGGGCCCAAAATGAAAAGTGAACACAGGTCCATGTTTCTTGTACAGCTAAAACACAAATAAAAACAAGTGATTATTAAAGAACAGAAAGAAACAGAAAACCAGGACTTACATGTCAAATCAGTTTATCTTTCCAACTGCCTCTTAAATAATTTTAACACTTATTAAAGTCTTCATACCTGATAAAAGTAAGGGTATGGCGATTTAGGATCCAGCTGCAGCAAGTTGCCAATCACAGGCAGACGCCATGGGCCAGGGGGTTCCTTTCTTTGGTTGAAGCTGAAGAAGAGTACGTACAAAACAAAAAGAAGGACAAAAGTGACCAAAAATGTTGTTGTACTGAGAGACTCCAGAAGAAAGTAGTCCATTTTGGCAAAACAGTCAAGATTTAAATAAAAAATGAACACCGGTGAATGAGAAAAGCTCTTATTTTAGAAGTCTTAATGTGAAACACCCTGCAAACTGTCCCAGTGTAATGTCAGCCATGAAAGCAGGGAATCAAATCAAAGCTATACCTTTATAGGTAACACTTTGGGTCCACATACTGATTTCTGGATTAATCTTTAACTAGTTTATCATGACAGATTGATCTTACCCTTGATCCGCTTGGATAGATGTGAAGTTTGCACATATGGCTCCCACTCATATCAACCAGTAAAAAAAATTATGAACTCTGTTATGTAATGTTGTATTGTGTGAAGTGATGATATGAAGTATAGGTCTCTCAATTATATAATTTACCATGGATGATGAAATCCACTAAATCTTTTGACCATTTGCTCGCCCAGTCTCTAACAGAGTGTCTCTAACAGACTCGGAGTCAAGGGCAAACTCCTCAAAACGTGTGTCAGCAGTTCTCACCATGTGTTCAAACCTACTCCTGTATTTTAAAGCAAGAAAAGAGAAATATAAAAGAGACTCAATCAAACATTTACATAAAACAGGGCAGACGTATTTGGTTACCGTATATGCACGTTTTTTTTATAACAGCGTTGAATTTGACACACAAATCTAAAAGATTTAACAATAAAATCAGCACATTGACTTTGTACGGCTAAAACATTAAATCTTGGGTCGAAGGTTAATCCTGTAACTGGCACTGAAGTAAATAAATGTACAAAAATGTTTTTGTTTTTCTAACCGACAACAGTAACTACTAGAATGAGTTAAATCATATGAACTTGTTTACATTTCTGCAAAGAGTCACTGTTCAGCATTAATGTTTGTCAGATCCTGCTGATAGCGCAGAGTTTATGAGGTTTTGGTGTTAGAGTTATGCCCAAAACTTGAGTCAGATCCAGGTCTTCCTTTTTGACACCAGGAGGAGGAGTGAAGCGAAAGTGTTGGAGGAGGGAGGTGAAGAAGAGGAACAGCTCCATCCGAGCCAAACTCTCTCCTGTACAAACTCTTGCACCTGAAACAACATGATAATACTGTCACATCTTTGAGTCAGTTTACCCATAAAAAGTCTTGGTTGCATTAAATAAAAATACCTGCAGAAAATGGAAGGAAACCCTCTTTGTTCTTAAAATTTCCCTCCTTATCCAGGAAATGTGCGGGGTTTAAAGTGTGAGGTGTTTCCCATTCATCCTCATCAAAAAGAGCAGTAGACAGCAGGAAAAGAGCCGGAGTTCCCTGGAGTCGGACATGATAACATCACACATGAACACGTTTCACAGAGTACATAATAAAATAGCTTTGGAGCACCTTAACAGTTTATTGTGATGGCTTCTATACAATCATTGACATTGGGCATGTCATCTACTTTGCCCCAGTTAATTCTTTTTCTCTCTTGATGCAAAAGCAAACACACGAGTTTCTTGGATTATCTCGGGTTATTAAAAAGAGTCTGTTTGATATCAAACTAGTGCAGCCTTCCACATGAGCAGTTGGCCCTCCTGAGGCTCTTTGGCACCTGCCTGTAAACTGTAAACTTGCACACAATGCTGCAACACCCCTGCAGCCAAGGAGAAAGTTACCTGGATGATCATGGCAGACCACAGATTCATCAGGTATCAAATACAACTTTTACTGTTGAATAACATAAATCTGAGTCACTACTATTAATCTAACTTGTGCCAGGTAGGTCAGCAAACTGTGGAACAGGTACTCTTGGTATAAAGGATAATATGTGCCAGACAAGTCTGAGTGAGGACAGCCTATGATGATGTCTCAGACGGCTGCTTCACCTTCTTGATAAAGTAGCCCTGAAAGAGGACATCTCGAGTTGTGCGGTGTACAGTTGTTGGGACTGCGCTGGTTATTCTCTGTATTTCATGGATGGTTGCGTTGGTGTATGGAAGTCTCTTCCTGTCCTCTACTCTGATTGGTCGACTCCCAACCACCCTGTTCATCTCATCCTGGACCTGGTCTGAGAGATAAAAGATTCCTCGATCAATAAGTGCAGAACTATTTAGAACAGTTGCTATACTGTAGGTCACTTTATGGTGGGAAGTCACCGTCAATAATAAAAATATATTAAGTTTGTAGAGAAGCATATGCCGCCAGACTATGCCAATTGAAGGGAGGACCTTTTCAACTTTAGCTGTTTCAACATAAACAGTTAAAGAGTAGTGATAAAGTGCATAACCTTAAGTACACTACAATCATGTGTTATCAATAAATGCTCCTTACCTTGAATTTCAGGGTACTTGGCCATGAGCAATAAACCGTATCTGAGAGTCGCCGAAGTGGTGTCAGTGCCAGCAGCAAACAAGTTGGCAACAGTCACCAGTAGGTTGTCTTCAGTGTAGTGAGATTTCATATCACCAGAGGCCTTAAAGGCGTGAAAACGACGACAAGCTGTCATTTAGATTATGCAGTAAACTACGACACTGGAGATCAAGCTTTAAAAAGCACTGTGCTAATTTTGTAATCCAACCAAAATACGGATTATAAACTGCTTTAACAGGACGTCCTTTTCATGACTTGGTAGTCCATGATCCTGTAGATGATTCAGTGACTTTTAAGTTAGTTATAAACTCAAGCGCAGAAGGTGACAGATCCTGTCATTCAGAGTGATAGATTTAAATTGTTTAACTTCATTTTGGTGCACATCGGTGTGTTTTTTTGAAAGTCAGTTGCAGTTTTCATTTTTTGTTGTGGTCTGACTTTTCTTTTATCTGTGCACTCATCAAAAAAGTAGAATTAGGAAGAAGGTGTGTACAACCTTAAACCCACAGTTGTGATCATCAGAATCAGCACAACAAGAAAACTTCTCAGGAGTTTCTACGTACCTCAAGCTGGAGCTTCCGGGCCAGAAAGGAATCCACTACACCTCTGCACATCTGTGGATTGAGGGTGTCCTGTAAACCCTTCACCAACTCCTTGATGTGTCTCCTGTTTATAAATGAACTCTCAACCAGCTGCTTTCGGACTCTAAGCCAGCTGAACAGTCTTGGGAAGAAGTTATACAACTGTTGAAAAAAAAAACAGACACACAAAAACAAAATTATGCCCTGTCCGTGTCACATTATTCATATTATCCACATCTCTTATACACTTTTTGTTCCCTCCTTCATCCCACTGAGCATTTTTTTAGTCTAAAAGAGGTCTAATAGACGTCCAAATGTAGCGTAGACAACTGGTCTAAAATCAGGCGACCACAGGTCTAAAAATTAACGTTTTTTTAGATGTCTAAATTTAGACCAAGTCTAAATCTATGCTATATTTATACTACACTGTATATTGCTCAACGGCTATCATAATTATTTTGTTTAAGTACTTTGAGATCAGTTATGCAACTCACAGATGCTTTTTGACATGAAATAATGACATCAAATAATTGGTTAGAGTGCAATGTCTAAATTCTGTCTAAAAATATTCAGAAACCAGACGGTAAAAATTTGGTCTAAAAAAAACTAGACGTCGAATAGCCATCTATTGCTCAGTGGATCCTCTCCAATATCATGTTTTCAAATCGTCTGACATTACCTTATAAAACCATGGCCATGCTTTTACTTTGACAGTTTCCCAGTCTTACAAATAAACGGTGTAATACAGGTCTTGCATTTAAGTTGATTGATTTGAATCAAAATCTACGCTTTTATTTTAAAGTTAACCTCTTCTCATAGATGGTCTGAATGAAAACAGTTCAAATACTGGTTAGAAAGTATAAATGACATATTGATGAGTAACCTGAAGAGGCGTGAGCGTTTAGAAATGCCTATTCATCTCTCAGAGGGCTGCTACAGCTAGATCGCTAAGTACTGATACTTTCCCAACCAGCATTAGCACTACCACCATAATCTCAGAGTGTGACTTAATGGTTATGGTAAAGAACACTGTTATGCCAAAAGGCTCTATATTACAACTGCCCTACATCTGACTTGTGAAATACAATAGGAAATGCAATGCTTTAGTGTGTTGTAGATACAAACTTTGTATTTCAACTTAATTCTCAAAAATGATGTACTTTGTCACTTTTTTTATGAAGCACACACTTTAAAAAAAGTGAGTTACTTTTTCATTCTTGGTCCTAATACTCATCCATACACATGCACTGTGTACTGTACCCGAATCAAAGGTGAGCCCATGAGCTGAGTGTTCTTTGAGGCTCTGTCCACCATGGATACAAACACTGGGTCATCACATTCAAATCTGTGCCCATAGACGATAGAGCAGATTATATTGGAGACGGCATGGTTTATCGGCTGAGTTGTATCCAAGGCTTTACCTGTACGAGAAAAAAACTTCATTATCATCAGATATGGGGCCATAAATCCTGACAGCTAACACAACATGGTCTGTATGTACGGATAGAAAAGCAATAAGGTTTTCAGGGAAACATAAACATACTTCTAATATTGGTTACCGTTTGTTTCCATAAATAGTTCGATCAGTCGTTGGCTCTCCTCTATGATTTTCTCTTCGATTGCTGTTTTTCCCATCCCAAAGTCTCTCATGTTAGTCAGCGCAAAATGCCTCATTTCTTTCCAACGGGCTCCGTTAGAAAAAACAATCCCTGCAGATTAAAAAGTTGAGATCTGTCTTTAAAAATCTGTTTTATTAGTATCATTTACATAAGCAGAGAGTAGAGAAGAGAAAGACGGTTCAAATAAATTCAGTGGGTCTTGTTCCTCCTCACCGTGTGTTAGTTTCATGTCGCTGATTATTGGGAAGACTTCTTTCTCTGAGAATGCATCACTATTGACCAAAGCCTGTTTGATTGTCTTGCTTCCTGCAAACACAACTGTTTTCTGGGGCCCAAAATGAAAAGTGAACACAGGTCCATGTTTCTTGTACAGCTAAAACACAAATAAAAACAAGTGATTATTAAAGAACAGAAAGAAACAGAAAACCAGGACTTACATGTCAAATCAGTTTATCTTTCCAACTGCCTATTAAATAATTTTAACACTTATCAAAGTCTTCATACCTGATAAAAGGATGTGTATGGCGATTTAGGATCCAGTTGCAGCAAGTTGCCAATCACAGGCAGACGCCATGGGCCAGGGGGTTCCTTTCTTTGGTTGAAGCTGAAGAAGAGTACGTACAAAACAAAAAGAAGGACAAAAGTGACCAAAAATGTTGTTGTACTGAGAGACTCCAGGAGAAAGTAGTCCATTTTGTCAACACAGTCAGGATTTAAATAAAAAATGAACACCGGTGAATGAGAAAAGCTCTTATTTTAGAAGTCTTAATGTGAAACACCCTGCAAACTGTCCCAGTGTAATGTCAGCCATGAAAGCAGGGAATCAAATCAAAGCTATACCTTTATAGGTAACACTTTGGGTCCATACTCTGAATTCTGGATTAATCTTTAACTAGTTTATCATGACAGATTGATCTTACCCTTGATCCGCTTGGATAGATGTGAAGTTTGCACATATGGCTCCCACTCATATCAAGCAGTGAAAAAAAATTTTATGAACTCTGTTATGTAATGTTGTATTGTGTGAAGTGATGATATGAAGTATAGGTCTCTCAATTATATAATTTACCACGGATGATGAAATCCACTAAATCTTTTGACCATTTGCTCGCCCAGTCTCTAACAGAGTGTCTCTAACAGACTCGGAGTCAAGGGCAAACTCCTCAAAACGTGTGTCAGCAGTTCTCACCATGTGTTCAAACCTACTCCTACATTTCAAAGTAAAAGGACCAAAACAGCAAGAGAAGAGAAATATAAAAGAGACTCAAACAATTACATATTTGGTTACCGTCTATGCACATTTTTTTATAACAGCGTTGAATTTTACACACAAATCTAAAAGATTAAACAATAAAATCAGCACATTGACCTTGTACGGCTAAAACATTAAATCTTGGGTCGAAGGTTAATCCTGTAACTGGCACTGAAGTAAATAAATGTACAAAAATGTTTTTGTTTTTCTTACCGACAACAGTAACTACTAGAATGAGTTAAATCGTATGAACTTGTTTACATTTGTGTCAAGAGTCACTGTTCAGCATTAATGTTTGTCAGATCCTGCTGATAGCGCAGAGTTTATGAGGTTTTGGTGTTAGAGTAATGCCCAAAACTTGAGTCAGATCCAGGTCTTCCTTTTTGACACCAGGAGGAGGAGTGAAGCAAAAGTGTTGGAGGAGGGAGGTGAAGAAGAGGAACAGCTCCATCCGAGCCAAACTCTCTCCTGTACAAACTCTTGCACCTGAAACAACATGATAATACTGTCACACATCTTTGAGTCAGTTTGCCCATAAAAAGGTTGAATTAAATAAAACTACCTGCAGAAAATGGAAGGAAACCCTCTTTGTTCCTGAAACTTCCCTCCTTATCCAGGAAATGTGCGGGGTTTAAAGTGTGAGGTGTTTCCCATTCATCCTCATCAAAAAGAGCAGTAGACAGCAGGAAAAGAGCTGGAGTTCCCTGGAGTCGGACATGATAACATTTCACATGTGAAAACGTTTCACAGAGTACATAATAAAATAACTTTGGAGCACATTAACAGTTTATTGTCATGGCTTCTATACAATCACTGATATTGGGCATGTCATTTATCTACTTTGTCTTTTATACCGCAGATTTACTAGATATCAAATACAACTTCTACTGTTGAACAACATAAATCTGAGTTACTATTTGATACAAAGACAAATAATCATCAAACACCCCAGAAAGACAGACATGGATGTATCCTCTAAGAGCAATCAACAATTGCCTCGGTAGATGATTAATCTAACTTGTGCCAGTAAGGTCAGCAGACTGTGGACCAGGTACGTTTGGTACCAACCAGCCAGCCAAAGTGTTGGGATAAAGGATAATATGTGCCAAACAAGTCTGAGTGAGGACAGCCTATGATGATGTCTCAGACGGCTGCTTCACCTTCTTGATAAAGTATCCCTGAAAGAGGACATCTCGAGTTGTGCGGTGTAGAGTCATTGGGACTGCGCTGGTTATTCTCTGTATGTCATGGATGGTTGCGTTGGTGTATGGAAGTCTCTTTCTGTCCTCTACTCTGATTGGTCGACTCCCAACCACCTTGTTAATCTCATCCTGGACCTGGTCTGAGAGATAAAAGACTCCTCGATCAATAAGTGCAGAACTATTTAGAACAGTTGCGAAAAGTCACTTTTCAACATAAACAGTTAAAGAGTAGTGATAAAGTGCATAACCTTAAGTACACTACAATCATGTGTTATCAATAAATACTCCTTACCTTGAATTTCAGGGTACTTGGCCATGAGCAATAAACCGTATCTGAGAGTCGCCGAAGTGGTGTCAGTGCCAGCAGCAAACAAGGTGGCAACAGTCATCAGTATGTTGTCTTCAGTGTAGTGAGATTTCATATCACCAGAGGCCTTAAAGGCGTGAACACAGTCGTGCAGTAAACTTAAATATTGGAGATCGATCTTTAGAAGCATCAGGATCAGAACAACATGAAAACTTCTCAGGAGTTTCTATGTACCTCAAGCTGGAGCTTCCGGGCCAGAAAGGAATCCACTACACCTCTGCACATCTGTGGATTGAGGGTGTCCTGTAAACCCTTCACCAACTCCTTGATGTGTCTCCTGTTTATAAATGAACTCTCGATCAGCTGCTTTCGGACTCTAAGCCAGCCAAACAGTCTTGGAAAGAAGTTATACAACTGTTGAGAGAAAACAGACACACAAAACCAAAGCTTAATTATATGACCGTTCTCTCTATTTTGAATATTTTCTGCACTTTGCCATCAGAAAGGTGTTTAATGTTTGCAGTATTTCTAGGGGCAGCTTCACTTGCTCTTCCACCTGCTGCACACACTGTTGAGGTGTGTAATTTGTGATCATTTCAGCAACAATAGTGTAACCTACTGTGACATGTTACATTATGTCTGACAATTTTTTCTTATAAAACATACATAAGCATCGCATATTGTACCTGGATCAAGGGAGAGCCCATGAGCTGAGTGTTCTTTGAGGCTCTGTCCACCATGGAAACAAACACTGGGTCATCACATTCAAATCTGTGCCCATAGACGATAGAGCAGATGATGTTACAGACGGCATGGTTTATCGGCTGAGTTGTATCCAAGGCTTTACCTATAAGAGAAATAAAAACTTCATTATCATCAGATATGGGGCCATAAATCCTGACAGCTAACACAAGGGACAGATAAAACATACATCTAATATTGGTTACCGTTTGTTTCCATAAATAGTTCGATCAGTCGTTGGCTCTCCTCTATGATTTTCTCTTCGATTGCTGTTTTTCCCATCCCAAAGTCTTTCATGTTAGTCAGCGCAAAATGTCTCAATTCTTTCCAGATGTCTCCGTTTGAAAATCCAATCGCTGCAGATTAAAAAGTTGAGATCTGTCTTTAAAAATCTGTTTTATTAGTATCATTTACATAAGCAGAGAGTAGAGAACAGAAAGACGATTCATTCAAATAAATTCAGTAGGTCTTGTTCCTCCTCACCGTGTGTTAGTTTCATGTCACTGATTATTGGGGAAACTTCTTTCTCTGAGAATGCATCACTATTGACCAAAGCCTGTTTGATTGTCTTGCTTCCTGCAAACACAACTGTTTTCTGGGGCCCAAAATGAAAAGTGAACACAGGTCCATGTTTCTTGTACAGCTAAAACACAAATAAAAACAAGTGATTATTAAAGAATAGAAAGAAACAGAAAACCAGGACTTACATGTCAAATCAGTTGATCTTTCCAACTGCCTCTTAAATAATTTTAACACTTATTAAAGTCTTCATACCTGATAAAAGGATGTGCATGGCAATTTAGGATCCAGTTGCAGCAAGTTGCCAATCACAGGCAGACGCCATGGGCCAGGGGGTTCCTTTCTTTGGTTGAAGCTGAAGAAGAGTACGTACAAAACAAAAAGAAGGACAAAAGTGACCAAAAATGTTGTTGTACTGAGAGACTCCAGGAGAAAGTAGTCCATTTTGGCAAAACAGTCAGGATTTAAACAAAAATTATTTTATTTTAGAAGACTTAACATGATACACAATGCAAGTTGTGCCAGTGTAAAGCCAAAAAAGCAGGGAATCAAACCAAAGTTGTACCTTTATAGCCAAAACTTTGGGACCACACACCGATTTCTGGGTTAATCCTCAACTATTTTATAAAGGAGGATTGATTTTAGCCTTGATCCAGTTGGACAGACATTAACCATCCGATTATCCTTGGAGTCAATTTGACCCAATTCAAAGTTTATCATTCATACAATAACAGTTTAATTTATTTTTACTTCATATTTCATGACTTTTCCTAATGTGATGGGGATAGCACAGGTATTGCATACAACACAGCTGAAGTGATAGCCCAACTTTTTTCTTTTCAAAACTCAAAACACATACAAAGAAACGTATGTGATTAAAAGTTATAAACCTTGTTATTAAGCACCACAATTCATTGTCTTGTAGTCTTGTATACTTAGTGTTGTATTGATTGAAGTCCTCAGCTTTACTGATAGTAGGTATAGACCACATGAGACCCCTTCTGGACGGATGAGCAAACTGCACTTCCCAGCACTGGATATAATGAAGCCGCAGCCTCAACACAGCCGCTACATTTGATGTTTCCTTTTTTTAACCCGCTCCACAACACAATTATCACATTGAGCTGGTGTGAAAAAATCATGATGTGTCCAGGGTTAGTGTTGAGTAAAATCCTGCCCAAAAGGGGGCAAAAATACAGGCTTTAAGGGGGGGCTGAAATTCAACTAAAATACAAGTGAGCCCAAAGAAGCAGAAATTGCAACTCAAACAGTTTCATTTAATACATACCTTTCACTAAGTAAAATGTACCTTGTATTTTTAGACAATTTAGTAAATGGAAACAAATTAATAACTTTGATATAATTTAAAACTTAATGATACAGCCAGTTGAACATGTGTTTATTGCAAAAATGGGACGTACATTTCTGACTTTTTTACTAAATGACATAATCATGGATATGAAGAAAGCAGTTATTAATGTTTGAGAAGGTGGATTAAGAGTTGCCACCATAGACTGTATGTAGTATTAAAGTATTATATACCATTTCGGATGAACGGCATTTGTCTATGATGGCAAAATATCACATAAAAAACAGGGTTTTATAACAGCAATAACTCATAAAAAATAAACTTTTCAGGAAATAACAAAGAGAACAATACCAACGTATCAGGAAAACAGCCAGATGTGACAACATTTGGGGTGAGATTAAATTATTATTTAAGTTTGCCTGCAGTTCCTTCTGTTTTACTTGAGGAGGCGGGTTTGATGATCTATACTGCAACCAGTCACAAGGGGGTGCTGTTGTCATATAGGCTTCACCCAGAGAGGAGTCAGATGACCTCAATTCTATAAACCTTCAAAGTTTGATGAATTTTGTTAAATCATGCTGTAATAAACAGTGCTGTTCTCAATACGTTTTAAAATCTAATTAGGTTAATGTTGACTTTATCGACAAGTGTTACAAAACAGTTGTCAACAAGTTGTTAATTGGCTTAGCCTGATGCAGACGCAGAAAGAAAAGAGTCTAGTGAGCTACAAAAACTGTAATGTGTAATAAAATCAGCTCAAACATTTCACTATGACAATATTACACTTCTAAGAATCACATTTTATGAAGATAGAAAGGTAAAATCGTATTGTAGCTCTTCTAAACACAGCACATCTGTTCCTTACAGAGGCGCAGCAGTTAAGTTACCATGACGACGGACGTCCAAAAAAAGAACCGTTAGCCTTGCATTAGCCTTCATATTTTTGGCGTCTTTTCTCAGTTGACTCGATACACAAAACTCCAAAAACACGTTTACATTAGTTACCAGAATTTTATGTATTAATACGTGTTTTTTTATATAAGTTGGTGACATGAGAACAGAAGCTTGACTCACCCAATTACAGTGTAAACTCAGCGGTGGTTAGCTTACAACGGTTCCAGGAAACAACACTTTTCGTGCCCGTCGTGTTAGTAAAGAGGCGCCAATGAGGGAGAGACGCTCTCAAGGAATATATATCTACAGCTATTTTATAATTTGTTTATTTTTATTTAGAGTTTTGTCATCTCCACAGGTGTAACTCCATATACTGCTGAACGTGGGACCTGTTGTACCGAGTCTTCCTCGGCACCCACCCCAAATGAATGTACCGTATAATGTCTGCAACCTGTTGAGGTTTGCATGCAGCGCCTCCTTGTGGTTGAAGTAGCTCAGTCAATAGGTCTACTAGTAGTAGACGGTAAAACTCCCATCATGTGGAGGCCTTGTTTGTAAAACTAACTCAGAGCTGATTAATTCTAGTGTTTGTCCTAGTTTAAAGCAGTTTGCTAATTTATAGTAACTGTTTATACAAAAAAACATGTTTCTTTTTGGGGCATAAGAAAGAAAAACTTTATCAGTGCTTTATTGTGGTCTTTTCTTTTTCCTTCTGGGTAGGGGAGAGTGGGGTAAGTTGAGTCAAAGGGTAAGTTGATCCACCCCCTGTTGATTGGAAAATGGTAAAAGAAATTGATCATGTGACCAAATATTTATGAGATGGGCATCAATTCATGGAGTCTGTGAAGGTTAGAAGCACATGGGTGAAGAAGACATTTATTTACAACAACAACAAAAAATCATTTTTCACTCTTGAAAGTGAATTTAGTCTGTCATAAGTTTTATTAGAATTGTGTTCAGACAAAAAAAGATCATTTTAAATTTGTTTTACACATTAATTGTGGTTTCTATGAGCTACAACATGAGGTCAAAAACCTAATATAAAAGTCCACCATTTTAGCTCGGAGGACTAATAAAGTCATCATCGTAGTTCTGGGATAGGTTGAGCTCAACTAAGAATGGAGTCTGATGAGAGGAGTTTCAGTGCAGATTGTTGAAATGTTTTACTTTTTCTTTTCAAGAATACAGCTGTAAATGTTCTGAATCACTTAAAGACATTCTCCTGTTTAAATGACTTTTTAGAAAACAGCTTTTTAGCAGTTATCTATAATAATAATAAAAAAGAATTATTGCACTGGTTGAAAAGTGTATAATAGATAAAAATACACATGAATGTGAAGAAGTGACTGTTATTTAAGGCGAGAGATGGTGTGGAGAGTGGGAGAGTGGGGGGGTAGTTGGGATACGGCTCAACTTACCCCGCTCCTATGGTCAACTTACCCCATTAACGGGGTAAGTTGACCATAGGAGACCACTTTTTTTGGCATGCTATATTATCATGACAGTTCTGTTTACACTCATTCTGCTGGTTTGCAGGGATGAACACTATTTAGAGACAAAACTATGATTGACTTGATGTAGTGATCAGAAATATGAAAAATGGCTCATCTTACCCCACTCTCCCCAATAATTCCAAAACCAGACACACCTTAACTCACAGAAATGAACTGAACATTTTAATCGATCACAATAATGATTAATTAGTGCAAAGATTTCGATGGTGAGATAGCAGTCTGTTCACTTTTGATGACTGTCAGATCCTGCTGATCGCACAGAGCTTATGAGGAACAGGAGAGAGGGTTACGCCGACTAGCTGAGTCAGATCCAGGTCGTCCTCTTTGACTCCAGGTGGAGGAGTGAAGCGTAAGCGTTGGAGAAGGGAGGTGAAGAAGAGGAACAGCTCCATTCGAGCCAGACTCTCTCCTGCACAAACTCTTGCACCTGAAACAAAATAATAATAACGTCACATCTTTGTGTAAATGTGCTCCTTAAACTTCTTGTAATATCAACAAAATTACCTGCAGAAAAAGGCAGAAAAGCGTCTCTCTTTGTGAAGTTTCCATCTTTATCCAGGAAATGTGCAGGGTTGAAAGTGTTGGGTGTCTCCCACTCATCTTCATCGAAAAGAGCAGATGAAAGCAGAACAAGCACTGGAGTCCCCTGAATCATGTTGGAGATCACAAAACAGTCAGTGACGTACAGAACTTTTGTTTCACCGGACTGACTCTCATCTATATTTTAATAACAAATACAATCCATGAATTTTTTTAAATGTTTCTACATCTGCAAATATCAAAAAGCACAGAAAACCTTGGTACTCCTCACTTGCAAAGTAAAGTAAGAGACTATGAATGAAAATGTTCACCTGAAGAGTTTACTGACTGTGAAGAAATAAGACTTAGAGCTCCCTCTACTGGCTGGCTGCAGTAGGGGTCATAAACCTTGTCTAATTAATGTAACCCCTGAGAGGTATATTTCCTGACCAGCGGTTGATTTTTACTAAAACACATGGAGACTTTTCTGTTGTGTGAACACATCCTGTCAAGTATTTAATCTTCTCACCTTCTTAATCAGGTAGTCCTGGAAGACGACGTCACGGGTGGTACGATGTCCAGCCATAGGAGCAATGCAGGACAGTCTCTGTATCTCATGAATAACAGCATCGGTATACGGGAGGTTTTTCCTGTCCTCTACCTGTGCCTGACGACCTCCTATAACCCTGTCCATCTCCTCCTGGACCCGGTCTGGGAGATGAAATATACAGTATGTATAATAAAGTCATTGGCTCTATTATGCTGTGGATAGCAGCACTTTAGATTAGATTAGATTAGATTAGATTCAACTTTATTGTCACTGAACACAGTACAAGTACAGGAACAACGAAATGCAGTTTAGCATCTAACCAAACGCACTTTTCTACCTTCCCCTTTGGTTAGATGCTAAGATGCATTTCGTTGTTCCTGTACTTGTACTGTGTTCAATGACAATAAAGATGAATCTAATCTAATCTTATCTAATCTGATCTAATCTAATCTGGTAACAAAAAATCTAATTATGTATATTATGTATATTATCTATATTATACTGATTAGTGCAGGTGTGAAAAAGAGAAAATGCTATCAAACAGTGGGTGTGTTGAAGAATATAAACAGTAAGATATTTAGGAGTATGATTTCATTAAACTGACCCAACAATAATCTCTTTTTGCTCACCTTGTATTTTTGGGCACTTGGCCATGAGCAGTAAACCGTATCTGAGGGTGGATGAGGTGGTGTCTGTGCCAGCAGAAAACAGGTTACTAACAGTCATCAGCAGGTTTTCGTCATGGTAGTGAGACTCCATGTTCCCTGATGCCTTCAAGCCAATATAAATGAATACAATCATCATCTGAACATCATAATGTGACAGGCTATCTCACAGAGGACGCTGGTATTTACTGAAGATATTTCGGTTGGTACAATCCCAAAAGGGCGGATCTTTCTAGTTTACCTCAAGCTTCATCTTGCGAACCAGAAAAGCATCCACCACACCTCTGCACATCTGTGGATTGAGGGTGTCCTTCAAACCTTTGATCAGCTCTTTTATGTGTGTCCTGTTACTGAAGATGTTCTCCATTAGTTGTTTATGGGCCCCAAGCCATCTGAACAGCCTTGGGAAGAAGTTATACAGCTGTAGAAAAAGTAAAGATACGTCAAGCCACAATTTTATAATCTGTACAATCTGACGAAGGTATTATCTGGATGGCAGCAAATGTTGCTCTTAAACCCAGATGTGAAAGCTTCTCATACTAAGGGGCACCTCCTCATACCAACTTTGATGATGCCGTATGAGATATACACTAATAGCAAGCCAGGTGCTTTCTTTCCTCTTCAAATTTGCATCTCTCAATCATGCTTATATATGGTTCAACCTGTTTTTAAACATGCAGCAACACCCTGTGTTCACTGACACTAGATTTTAGATTTGATTCTGAGTCGATGCAATGATTTCCGCTACAGCAGTGGTCCTCAAGTCCAGTCCTCAAGGCCAACTGTCCTGCATGTTTTGGGTGTTTCCCTGCTCCAACGCACCTGATTCAAATGATCAGCTCGTTATCCAGCCATTCCAGAGCTTGATAACGAGCTGATCATTTGAATCAGGTGTGTTGGAGCAGGGAACCATTCAAAACATGCAGGACAGTGGGCCTCGAGGACTGGACTTGAGAACCACTGCACTACAGAGTGACGTCTATCTTTGGAGCGGAGCTGCCTTGGGGTCTAAAAAATCACAGCCTTGTCTCATTGGTACAGATATTTCTCTATTTCTCAGAAGCTTAAATTAACAAAGGTTTAAAAGGTTTTTAAAAAATATTTCAGTTTTTTTAACCCCTTTTTTTGTTGAACTGAGGTTTATTTGGTTTTCATCTCTGACCTGCTTGTCCCTTTCTCTGCACTTTCCCTCTAAAATATACTGCCAGACCATAAAAGCTCTTTATATCCACACTAATTAACCTAACCATGTGTTTGAACTGCAGTAAACAAGTCCTGCTGCCAGCTTTAAGTGCTCTCTACTAAACTTTATAACTTGTCCAGATGCCCATGCATGGGCAGTCTCAATCCATCTGTTCTACGCTCTTTCACCTGTTTATGACTCCTATCCTCACATGATCTGTGATTCTGTACCTGTAATGCAGAAGAGCCCAGGAGTTTAGTGTTCGTTGTAGCTATGTCCACCATAGATATGAACACTGGGTCATCATATTCAAATCTAGATCCATAGACGATAGAGCAGATGATATTGGAAACGGCATGGTTTACCGGACAGGCTGGGTCAAAGGCTTCACCTTCAATAGATAAAAGGTGTCAAAGTAATCTCACTTGACATGGATAATAACAAATAATAATGGATAATAAGAAAAGATTACCTTTTTTGTCTGAAAGTAAGTCAATCAGACGTTGACTCTCTTCTATGATTTTCTCCTCACATGCTTTTTTCCCCATCCCAAAGTCTCTCATGTTGGTCAGTGAAAAATGTCTCATTTCTTTCCACGAGGGTCCATTTGCAAATAAAATTCCTGCAGGAGGCAAGATTTTAAAAAATTGACAGTCATTGTTTTAGGAAGCAATTTTTCAGAGCAGAAAAATACATGAAAATGTATTTAAAAAAGTCCATTACCATTTGTTAAATTCATATCACGAACAAGTTGAAGAACCTCCCTCTCTGAAAATGCATCATGGTGGACCAGAGCCTGCTTGATAATCTTATGACCTGCTAACACCACTGTTTTTCGGGGCCCAAAATGGAAAGTAAACACCCGCCCATATTTCTTGGAGAGCTAAAAGAAGAAGAAGAATGAATGCAAAGAAGTCAAACATGCACAAACTTGTGCTTTCCAGTAACATGCTCTCACCTCATTCAGGGTGCCGTGAGGTGATTTCTTATCCAGCAGCAGCGAGTTTCCAATCAGAGGCAGTGGTCGTGGTCCTGGAGGCTCCTTACTTTGACGTGGAAAAAATACATAGAAGACAAGTAGCATCCCAAGAGCTCCCAATAAGGTGGTTAAACCTGGGGACTGCAGAAACAGGTTCTCCATAACAGCTTCACTTTCAAGTATAACACCCAAAGGAATTTTGAAAATCACAGGAAATGTCTGCTTAAGATGTATCAGTGTTGGCGTGAAGCCCTTCTCTAATCTTCTTCAGCTGAGGGTGTGAAACTATAGATGTGAGAGAGGGAGCGTGTCTGAGACACACCCTGTAGTCTGCATTCATAAAGTCATAAAGCACAGCTTTACCATTGTGTGTGTATGTGTGTGTGTGTGTGTGTGCGTGTAAATGTAATCTGCAGTGTTCCTCGACAAAAAACACAGACATCAACAAGATAAACAGTGTTATTAGAAAGAGAGCTGATACCTTCACTTAACACAGTCTCACCTCATTATCACAAGAATACACTACATACGACGGTGTTGTTGTCTACTCTTGTTTCTCTTAATACTTGGTGAACAAGTCCTAATCTATAACCAGCCCTGTTAACATTTCACCTGCGTCTTGACTTCGAAATGAATCAGCAACAATTCGAAACCCCCTCCCTGCATCTAGTCAAATCTGCAGTTGTTACAGTCCTTGGAGAAAAAAATTGGGCGTGACCTATTCATTCAAAAAGATAGAGGTCTCTATAAGGGGTGCTTTTCATCTAGTCCTTTAGCAGATTGCCAAATGCCTTACATATTGATTTGAATAAACCAAACATTTTCACACATAGTTTTAGTCTTGTGCCAAAAGTCCCAGCTTGTTTTCTATTCCTCTTGATCCCCACCGGCCTGAGAAGGCTGTTTTCTCCTGTGGTGTACCTCAGGGGTCCATCCTGGGTCCCGCGTTAATTGTTTCCCCTTCCTCTGGTGATATGCTGATGATTTTCAGATGTATGTCCCAATCAAGGCTGATGAGATTAACACACTGACTGCCTTACATAATTGCTAAGAGCTACAACTGAACACTGTAACGCTCTGTTTGTCATTCAGCTAGGCTAATTTAAGCTAACTGTGCCTTCTGTGTGAGTTCTGAGGCTGATATATACCGGCTCATAATCTGAAGGTTAAAGTAATAAGTCCCGGTGTTGAATTCAGATGGAAGGTCAAGTATCTGTTAACTCCCAACTATGAAGATCTAGTAAGAGTATTTACATTTTCAGGTTCTGATGCCCGAGCCAAGCCGGTCAAGAAGACCATCTTGGTTCTGGGTTCTTTAGGGAAAATTGTTAATCTCTGAGGCTCCACACGGCTGGTTTTATGCTCTGTTGCTTATTAAAGATACAGTGATCCTCCGTCCTGATGTGAACTCCAGTGCTCATGATTCAAATAGATATAATATAAACATTTTACAGCTAATCTTAAACCACCTTGAAGAACTTTTTCTCCCCTGCTACCGCCCTTGTAACTCATCTACACAGTCTGATAAGCGTCATTGTTCCTACAGAGTTGACCACTTTAACCCCAGATAAATTCCCTGCCCATAAGCTAACTGTCTGTTTGAATATGTTTATGAACTTGAAAAGAGCTCCAGTGGAAAATTGATCATTTACAGATGTCCAGTCACCTCTACAGCGCTCTGTATAATGGATATTTTATTGGTTGAAAATGTACAAGTTAAGCTGCCCCCATTGTGGTTTTCCCAAACATTAATTATGTTTTTCTTTTTTATGCATCTGTTACAAACTTGTGTCAGTGCTGTTTGAGGTCCACAGCCATTATATCAAATGTGTCATCTCCCTCCTTCTCTCTCTTTCTAGGTGAAGGGTGAAACAGGTGAAATAGTGTCTATACATCTTGAGTAACACCTTTAACCTGCACCAACAAAATGTCTCTCGTTACGCTTACATAATATTTAATTCTCCACATGAGTTCATTGGTTAATGTGCAACATGTTTTTACACAATAAAGAAACACATGATGAAATAAGATTATAGAGTTAAGTGATAATGAAATGCTTGGTTTGCTTTAAGTTATTTCATAAGGGCTCATACAACGTACATAAAACAGCCAAGTTTCAGTCCTGTCGGTTTTGTTTGTCCCTTTTGCCTCCTTTGGCTTTATCCCCACTTCTTAAGGCCCCGGCTATATCCCAACTCATATCAGGTTTATCTGTGCCAATGGCCCATAACCGAGAGGCTGAGATTAGACGGTCTGTCCCTTTACAGGCTTTCTCAACATCAGAACAAATGAAATAAAATCTCTCTTATTCATGTCTTTAAGTGCACAGAGATGTTCGACAAACTGGTTGGACTGTTTTTGAAAATCTCCCTCACTGGTGGAAATTCTATCCCCTATAATTGAGTGTCCATGCAATTACTGACTAAACTCCATCCATTTAGTTGGACCTTATGTTTAATTTGTAATTTGTAGAGTTCATTTGTACAGAGGTATGACGTTGGTTTCACCAAAGGCATTATTTAACTTTAGCTTATTATGGTTTTATTGTTTTAGTCCTTGATCCAGGGTTTCATTATTTCTTTTAACTCAAGATAACGTTTCCTCAGTCATCTGTGGCAAGTTCAAGAGTCCTCACTCGGTCCTTTCTGTGGGTGTGTGTGTGTGTGTGTGTGTGAGTGTGTAAGTGCTGTATGTGTTGAATGGGGATGGGAGGGTGGGTGGGGTTTGGTATTTGTATTTGTATTTATTTTATTTCATTGTTTTTAATATCCTGCTTGAATAGACATTTAATATAAAATCTTTGAGATTTAATATAAAATCAGGAATGATATTGAAACATAAGGACTTAAAGCTTTAATAAGGAGTTTTTGATTTCGATATAATGTACTAAAATTCATATAATTGCTTTTTTTTATGGCGTGCGAAAGCAAACAAGACCATGAGTGCCAGGGCTGATCATTTTTATTTTGTATTTAAACATTCAACATGTTAATGAACATAAAACATTTAGATTTTACGTTAAACATTTTAATTAAACACTTTATATTAACTCAAAGTTTTAACATCAATGTTTAAATTTGACATTAAAACTTTGAATATAACATTTAACATCAAAATCTAATATTAGCAATTTATCATGTGCAGATCTTGTCCTCACTGACGACTTACAGCACAGAGCTCATGAGGTGAAGGGTTCAGTGTCAGACCCAGAACTGGTGTCAAGTCCAGATCCTCCTCTTTAACTCCAGGTGCAGGAGTGAGCTTGAATTGCTGGAGGACAGAGGTGAAGAAGAGGAAGAGCTCCATCTTGGCCAGACTTTCTCCAAGGCACATCCTACGACCTGAAAGAAAGATTTATAAAGATCAGAACGGGATTGTTTTAAGTTTTTTATCTGTAAAAAAGATTTGAAAAGTTTTCATACCTGCAGAAAACGGCATGAAGGCATCTCGCTTCATGAATTTACCATCCTTATCAAGGAAGTGTGAAGGGTTAAAGGTGAGAGGAGTCTCCCATTCGCTCTCATCATGCAGAACAGAACTGAGAAGAGGAAACACAATAGTCCCCTGAAGGAATAAACAAGAAAAATTAACGTTTCTGGAGGTAAAGAATAAGAATAAAGTGAAGGATTACTGAAACATTCATGAGGACCTAACCTTTTTGATAAAGTGTCCCTGGAAGGTGATGTCTCGGCTGGTTTGGTGAGGTAAATTCATGGGGACAATGTTCGCCAGTCTCTGTGTCTCATGGATGACAGCATCAGTGTACGGCAGGTTTTTGCGATCCTCTACTCTGACCTCTCGGTTCCCCACCACCCTGCTCAGCTCCTCATGGACTTTTTCTGAACATGCATAGAATAGATGGTGACTAAATAAACATTAATTTTCAGCAATTATTTTAAAAAGACTTGGAAATCAGGGGCAAAACTCATCACCCCAATCAAATCAAATCAAAATACTTTTAATCTTATATGCTTATAGGTTTTACATAATGGGTCAGACTGATTCAGAAGGGATATATTTGGACATAAATTATTATTTTAAAGAAAAAGTAATGAGTTTATAGAAAAAGTAAAGTGGTTCCAAGCGAAAATATTAGGGGACCCAGGACGGAACCCTGAGGGATCCCTGTCATAAGTATCCAAGATATAAACCCAGATTCTATTTCTGTAGCTTGTCTTATGAAATGGTCCCACAGCGTAAAGTGACTCTAAAGCAGGATACAAAGACAAAACAATAGGGGACCAAATACAGAACCCTGAGGGATCCCTGCAATGAGGATTCAAGGTTGAAACACAGATTTTATCCCTGTGTTATTCAGCACTGGTAAAACATATATATTCACAAGTCTTATCACTTTCTTTACCTTGCATGTGTGGGTATTTGGCCATAAACAGAAAACTCCATCTCAGTGTAGTAGATGTGGTGTCAGTTCCAGCTACAAACAGGTTCATGACTGTATATATCAGGTTTTTCTCATTGTAGAAGGAGTCCTTATCGGAGGACTTCTAAAAGAAAGAAACACAAACTTTCTCTATGATGTCCTTTTTCATGGCGAAAACAAATAAAGAGTTAAGATCTTGTTGTACCTCATCTTTCTGCTTTCGGAGAAGGAAACAGTCTACCACTCCCCTGCATAACTGAGGACTCAGTGTTTCTATGAGATTCTTGGTTAACTCCTTCACATTGCCGACAACCATCTTATTATTTCTCAAAGCCAGCCGACGGTTATTGATCCAGCGTAACAGCCTTGGAAACATGTTGTAAAGCTGTAAAACAACAATAAAAATCAGGTTACATAATATCAAACTGTACTGGACTATATTTTTACTGCTGATTACAGTTCTGCATGTCATTTTTTTTTTTTTCAGTTCACTGGGTTAAACAGTCAAGCTCACCTGGATTTGCGCAGACCCGGCAATACGTACATTCTCGTTGGCTAGTTGTACCATTCTTTCAAATCTGGGGTCATCGTACTCAAACCTGTTGCCATATACGATGTAGCATATAACATTTGATATCGCATGATTCATTGGTTGCAAGGTATCGAAGGGTTTTCCTGTTAAAGAGCAAAAGAGAATAATTTTATAGGACTAACAGGATCAATTTGATCTTGTTATATTTGTGTAACACACTCATAATTGCAATTATAGGATTAAACCGGCTTCATTTTACCAAGTTGAATATTTAAGCTGGAGTTCAGACTTTGTGAAATCAAAAATAACACCAAATGGTAATGGCTAAGTTCACGGTCAAGAAAGATGAATGGTAGGCCTATAAAGTGTCAGATTTTGAGTTATTAAGTCACCATTTGTTTGGTTTCCTAAGCGTTATTCTTAAAAATAAAATATGCTTTGACTTCATACCTTTATGCTCCTCAAACACTTGGATCAGATGTTGGCATTCCTCTAGGATTCTCTCCTCAGCTGTTTTTTTGCCCATCCCAAAGTCTCTCAGGGTCGTCAGGGCGAATCTTCTCAGCTCCTTCCATGAGTCTCCGTTACTAAATATAATCCCTGATTAACACGACACGAGGATAATTCAGGCTGCGTGGCGTGGTTTTGTGCTGGTACTGAAGTTTGTAAAGGTAGGACTTACCATGGCCTTGACTTATATCATAAAATACAGGGAAGATGTGCCGCTCTCCAAACTCTTCTGCATGACCCACAAGAGCCTCTTTGACTGTCTTGTACCCGGTAAGGACCACCACTTTATCTAGTCCGAGATGCACCGTAAACACAGAGCCGTACTTCTTCGAAAGCTGTTAAAAAGGTAAATAAAGCACATCTCAGCATGCTACAACAACCCCATTTTTCAGGGTAAATCTCTACACTTACCTCAATGAGGGTTTGGTAGGGTTTCTTGAGGTCTATCTGCAGCAAGTTGCCAATCAGAGGAAGTGGTGTTGGTCCTGGAGGTTCTTTGCGCCCATCTGCGTTTAGATTACTGGAAACAAGAAAACTGAGAAGGAGCAGGAGAGCAGCAGCCCCCAGTAAAGTGGTGGGACTGGAGAAGATGAGGGAAACCAGATCCTGCATTAGAGACATCTTCTCTGTTTGCTGGTTCTCCTCTGAGTGAGCCTTGAAGCTAGATCTCAGACATATTTATACCTAGGTAAATATTATCTATGTTGGCTTTTTACCAAGTGTGTTGTAAGTTATCGCAGTCGTCTCTCCTCCCACCTGGAGATAGACAAAGTGAAATAAAGTTGGTTGAAAATCTATAACAGATTCTGCCAGGGTTTAATCTTGGTGGGATCTGGACAAGTTTCTTTGGGTTGGGTGTTCCTTAATTTCCCTTTTGACAAATATTTCATAAAGTTTGTGTCAGGTCAGCTGTTTGGCCAATCTGGCTCAGTACCAACATGATCCGAAAGCCCATTTGAGGTAGTTTTGGTGCTGTAGGCAGGCACTAAATCTGTCCAGGAAAGTAAAATAGGTATCTCCATGAAGGTTGTTCTTAGATGGGAGTATCAAAATCTTGTTGTAGACTTTAGATTGCATCAACTCTGGACCCACTGGATCACCAGCACACCAAATCACCACAGGCTGTGGAAACTTCACACCAGACTTTAAAAATCACAGACTCTGTTTCTTTACTCCCTTTTTACTTAATCTTGGACCGTTGACTTTCTGTAATTCTCTGTGTCCGTCCCCCTCAGTTTCTCTTACTGGACTGGCAAATCAATAGGGAAAGGTTTTTAATGGGGAAATACCGCCATCTGTTGTTCTGTCGGGGCTAATGGAGGATAACCTAAAGTTCCTGTGTCTGTGTTTAAGGTTGACAACTCTTTCTGTATCAAATAAGAGACAGAAGTTTGTTGGGAGCTCTGCACCTCAACTTTAGAGGTCTGATGTGGAAATATTTGCATTTGCACAAAAGCTGCCTGGTGTACTTTCCAGGGTTACCCTGGAAAGAAGTACATTTTGGATGGATTTTTGATTGATTTAAGTCCTTGACAAAGATTTTAGAGGACTGAGATTTATAACAAAGGCAACATATAAACACACAAAATGTATATGAGACTCTGCTACCATCTGATTTCTAGTGAGCATCTCATCAGGTGATCTGTATCTACAGCTGCTCCTCGTGCAGCACATTCCTAGCATCAGAACAACTGAAATAAAATCTCTCTCGAAGTATTTGTTTTCTCAAAGGTACAAAATAAACTGGTCGAGCAGCTTTTGCATGTCTGAACTCTCTATAGGTAATTACATGCACTGGCAAGTACTTACTAAACTCCTTTATAGGTATACGGGAGTGATAGGATGTGATTTACTCTGTTTTTTCACTTAAACACCATAGGCTGTATAAAAAAAATACATAAAAAACAAAGAAGGAAATAGTATGTGCAAAAATTTTATTTAATCTTTCACTTGCCTCCATTTACACATGAAACCATCCACCTCATCAAACCATCGATCTTCTGTTAGGTGATAGAGGGGCACTGTCTGCTGATCACATCCTGTTTTTAAACCCTGGCGGGTATCATCATCTACAGATCTTGTCCTCATTGGCGACTCACAGCACAGAGCTCATGAGGTGAAGGGTTCAATGTCAGACCCAAAGCTGGTGTCAAGTCCAGGTCATCTTCTTTCACTCCAGGCGCAGGAGTGAGCTTGAATCTCTGGAGGACAGAGGTGAAGAAGAGGAAGAGCTCCATCTTGGCCAGACCTTCTCCAAGGCACATCCTACGACCTGAAGGAAAGATTTATTAGGATCAGAACTGGATCATTTTGAGTTATTTATCCCTGAAAAAGACATAAAAGTTTCCATACCTGCAGAAAACGGCATGAAGGCATCTGGCTTCATGAATTTACCATCTTTGTCTAAGAAGTGGGAGGGGTTAAAGTTGAGAGGAGTCTCCCATTCGCTCTCATCATGCAGAACAGAACTGAGAAGAGGAAACACAATAGTCCCCTGAAGGAATAAACAAGAAAAATTAATGTTTCTGGAGGTAAAGAATAAGAATAAAGTGGAGGATTACTGAAACATATATGAGGACCTTACCTTTTTGATAAAGTGTCCCTGGAAGGTGACGTCTTGGCTGGTTTGGTGAGGTAAATTCATGGGGACAATGTTCGCCAGTCTCTGTGTCTCATGGATGACGGCATCGGTGTACGGCAGGTTTTTGCGATCGTCTACCCTGATCTCTCGGTTCCCCACCACCCTACTCAGCTCCTCATGGACTTTTTCTGAACATGCAAATGATCACAAACACATAAGTACTTTGTCTTACTCTACTACAAAAAGACCCAAGAGTCAACAACGTTTACAGTACAACTGAAATTTGGACGCTAAAAACATGGAAAATGCTTCAAGAGTGACAGACCTAAAATTCAAACAGGTCGGTTGTTGTTAAGCTAAATCTAAATGATTTTTTCTTGCCATCAGCAAGATTCACAGAAAAGAGGTGCAATAACTTTAAAAAAGGAAAAGTGAGGGGACCCAGAGTAGAACCCTGAGGGATCCCAGCAGTGAGAAAACCAGGCTCAGGTTTTTTGGGATAAACTTTAACTGGTTCTGAACTCAGCTGCTCCAAAACTTCCTCATTTCATCGCATAATCCTTGTGCTTTATCTTGTTGGGGTTTTTTGTACTGTTTTTGCATGGAAAGTGACATTTGGGCGTGATAGAGGCGCTGATAAATAAAATGTATTATTATAAGAATAGTCTCTGTCTTTGCTGACAAGACACAAAACAGTTTTGACCGAACTTCCATCATAAACTGTAAAATAAACATTTATCAACATTTGACACCGAAAAAATGATTCCAAGAGAATCTTCATTAAAATCTTAGCACAAACAATCTAAATCTACTTTTTATTAAGTATCTTTACAGATTTGACACTTTACCTTGTATGTGTGGATATTTGGCCATAAACAGAAAACCCCATCTCAGTGTAGTCGCTGTGGTATCAGTACCAGCTGCAAACAGGTTGGTGATTGTAAATATCAAGTTTTTCTCATTGTAGAAGGAGTCTGTTTCATGAGAGTCCTGTCATGAAGAAATACAAATTACTCCTGTGAATCAACTTCTTTCATTATAAAACAGTAAAGATGTTGTCGTACCTCATCCTTCTGCTTTCGAATCAGAAAACAGTCCACAAGCCCTCTGCATATCTGAGGGCTCAGAGTTTCAGTCAGATCCTTGAGTAACCCTTTGACATTTTGAACCAGGGTCTCAGTGTTTCTCAATATCTGCTGCCGGTTTTTAATCCAACAAAACAGCCTGGGAAACATGTTGAAAAGCTGTAACAACAACAACAATCAGACATTATACAAAGATTTAACTGCAACCAAAATACAGTTTTTCATAGACTTTACACGAAAACAGAACTACTGAATAACATTCAGTGACATTAGCAATTTTCAAAGAAGACCAAAAACTTACCTGGATTTGTGCAGAACCAACAATGGATATGGTGTGGTTGGCCGTTTTCACCATGCATTTAAATCTGGGGTCGTCATATTCAAACCTGCTGCCATACACGATGGAGGAAATGACATTGGATGTGGCATGATTCATCGGGCGTGATGTATTGAAGGGTTTTCCTGTTGAACAGCAAAAAAAAGGATTATTAAATACAACATGATCAAGTGAATCATGTGTTAGGAGAAAAAAAACGGACCAAACTTTCTCAAAAATTGTAGAGAGATGAAACTTTAAAAATCTAAAATGATAAAGAATATTTTTTTTTAGTACAAACTTTGTATTTAATAAAACATGAACTCTATACCTTCATGTTGCTCAAATACCCGGATCAGATGGTGGCATTCCTCTAAAATTCTTTCCTCTGCTATTTTTTTGCCCATCCCAAAGTCCTTTAGGGTCGTCAGGGCGAATCGTCTCAGCTCCTTCCACGAGTCTCCGTTAGCGAACACAATCCCTGTTCAACATAATGGGAAGATTATTCAGGCTGAAGGCATGCTATGGCAACAGGCACCGAATCTTGCTTCTGTTGTGTAATGTTTGGTTCATACCATGGCCTTGATTTGTATCATAAAATATAGGGAAGATGTGCCGCTCTCCAAACTCGTCTGCATGACCCACCAGAGCCTCTTTGACTGTCTTGTACCCGGCAAGGACCACCACTTTATTTGGTCCAAAATACACGGTAAACACAGAGCCATATGTCTTCGAAAGCTGAAAAAAAGGCATTATAACTATTACAGATAACATGCTTGAACACTAGATTTTGTTTAAGGCGTATCTCTAAACTCAACTCAACTTTATAGCGCACTTAAAATACAACCAAAGCTGACTCAAAGTGCTGTACATAACATAAAAACATTAAACAATAAAAAGTTGTTTTAGAATATAATAAAAAGCATTTAAAGAAATGCCGTCTCATACTGGGTCAAAAGCCAAGGAGTTTTGGTTAAGACAGGTTTTAAAAGTGGACAGTGAGGGAGCTTATCTAATGTGGAGAGGTCAACTCACCTCATACAGCGTTTCAAAGGGTCGTTTGAGGTCTAGCTGCAGCAGGTTGCCAATCAGAGGCAGAGGTTTTGGTCCTGGAAGCTCTTTACGTGTCTCGTCTGTGTTGGTACTTCCAGAAACAAGAAAACAAAGTAGAAGCAGGAGAGCAGCTGCCCCCAGTAAAGTGGTAGGATTGGAGAAGAGGGAGTAAACAAGATCCTGCATTAAAGACATCTTCTCTGCTCTGAGAGTTCTCCTCTGACTGAGCCTTGACACTCAAAACAGAAGTGTTTACGCTTAAGCAAGCGCCACAACTTGCCCTGCAGCAGTGTCGGATTACCGTTTGTCTCCCCTCCCTTCCACATGTGCATTGTTAAAATGGGTGAGGTGCATAATAAAGCTGAAAACCTTCGAGGACAAGGACTGGTTCTGCAAGGGTCTGATCAGATAGGTTACAGACTTTTAAAGACAACAGTCCTGATAGGAAAAGCATTTGTTTGTAGATTAATAGGTAAGGAAAAGGTGATGTGGGTAAGAAATTCCTCATGATTTTTAAGGTCATTGTCCTGCTGTAGAATAAATTTTGGGCCAATCAAACGCCTCCCTGATGGTATTGCATGATGGATACATATCTGCCTGTACTTCTCAGCATTGAGGACCGGAGAAGAGGGAGTAAACAAAATCCTGCATTCGGGACATTCTCTCTGCTCTGAGAGTTCTCCTCTGAGTGAGTCATGACACTCAAAACAGATGTGTCTGCAGACAGTGCTTGAGTTGCCTTGCAGAAGTGTGGGATTACCAGACGTCCCTCCTTCCACATATTGTTTAAATGGGTGAGGTTAAAGAATAAGCGATCTGAGGACAAGGACTGGTTCTGCAAGGGCTAAATCCAATGAGGTTACAGACTTTTAAAGAAAACAGACAACACCTCTGATAGGAAGTTCTGGAACGCCCCCCCGAAGTCGGATTTCCCAATCGGAAAGTCGGACGATCTTCGCCAACCCCGACTTGACAACAACGTCATTATCCAAGATGGCAGCGCAGTGCATCGACAGTGAAAAGTAACTGTTAAAGTTCTCGTAATGTATTATGTATTAGCACTTCTGTTTCGTTTTTTGTTAAATTAAATAAGTGGTATATTTTGTACTACTTAACGTCTAACTGTGAACACGGTGCTATGGTGTTTGTAAGAGTAAGACACTGTGTTATGCGTTGTTTACAACCGGTATCGCTAACAACAACAAACAACCGCTGACAACGGCGAACAACAACTGACAACGGCTAACAGTTAGCGTCCATCTTGGTTTTCCGACTTGTTAACTGGAACGCCGTCAACTCGGGTGTAACGTCATTCCCAGCTCTGACTTCCGGTGTAACTCTGGAACGCAGCATTATTTTGCGTTCCAGTTACATCGGGAATCGGATGTTGGAGCTGGGAATGACGACACACCCGAGTTAACGGCTTTTCATTTAACAAGTCGGAAATCCAAGATGGACGCCTACTGTTGGCCGTTGTTGACAATTGTCTGCTGTCGTTGTCGCTGCCATTGTCAGCGGTTGTTATCGATACCAGTTGTATACAACGCTCAGCACAGTATTTTACTCTACAAACACCATAGCACCATGTTCACAGTTAGACGTTGGGCAGCACAGCATATAGGCCACCACTTATTTAATTTCACTAAAAACAAACTGAAGTGCTGATAAATAATAAATTATGCGAGCTTTAACTGTTACTCTTTTCGGTTGATGCACCGCACTGCCATCTTGAATTATGACGTTGTCGTCAAATCGGGGTTGGTGAGGATCGTCCGACTTTCCGAGTTTGAAATCTGACTTCAGGAGGATGTTTCAGATGAATTTCCGACTCACAGCTCGGAAATCCCGACTTCCTAGTACAACTTGAACGCAGTACTCAGGATGTTGAGCCCCTAGCAACAGCATCACGGAGAACGCCACACAAAACTTCAGCCGTTGCCTTAGGTGGAACGTATATAAGGACAACACATCCTCACCATGACAGTTAAGTGTGAAGAGTTACACCATCTCTGGTTGACAAATAGAGCCAGACCTTCACCTTTATTTTTGCCACTAGCTTTTAACATCTCTGTCTGACCTCGTGAAAGTGAAGTAAGGTAGATCCACACTGGAGTCCTAGTTGTTTTGATCCAATAGGTTTCAGTAAAAACACAGGAGACTGTACTCACGGTGTGCTTTCTCAGTCTTCGCAAATATCTCCAGCTTGTCGCTTTTGTCGGGCAGAGAGTTGGTGTTTCTCATGATGACCGATAGAAGAAAGGTTATAAATCTCCAGTTCCTAGCCTTCAACTTTGCCTCCACCTCCACACCAGCATGGCAACCACAAAAAAACACCTCCAGATGTCTGCTGTAATTGGATGGGAGAAACTTCTTCCAGCAGAAACCTCTATCAGTAGCTGAAAAAATGACAAAATTATGAAAAAATAAAGCAAAAATTGCAGAAAATTAAGACATTACTGCTTCTTGGTTAAGCGCAGGCCTTTGAGACAAAATTACCAAATTAAGATATTTTACATTGTTAATATAGTCTGATTAAAAAAAATAACGACAGCCCCACTTTTCACAGGTACACATTGTTTTGTCTTATCATGCAAATACATTTCACAGTTTGACAAATGACACCTCGCCCAGATTTTTTGCTACCACTTGCATAGAGCATTATTTAATTTAAAAAGAAGAGCGATACATATACATTTGACAGGGTCAGTTCCATGGTACAGTACAGTACACATTCACAATGATTTAAATTCCCTTTTTTTTTTTTTTTTTAAATATGATACACTGTATTTCAGCTTTAACTCAATCCTTCAATATCAGCAGCATGAATCTTTTCCATTTTTCCTCAAACCACGTATCTAACATTGCAGATGATTCAAGTCATACACACATGTAATGAGACAGAGATTGTGCAAAAACACAGGAGGAATGTAACAAAACTCAAAATTAAAGGTTTAGTCCTTTAAAAGTTCAAAAAGCAACATATCCGTGCCTTTCTGGAATGTCAGTCTCTTTGTTTTCACACACATCGTTAGGTGACGGTAAGAAACTTGAAATCATAAGAAGCTGTAAATAAAGAAACTTGGTCACTGCAGTAAATACATTCATGTCACTGCTGTGAAGTTGAGGGCGGATTGAGAGGAGAAATGTCATTTTCACACTCAGATCAATGATTATTCATCCAAGGTTATCAAATCTTTTACATGGATGGAATAAATTAAGTAGTTCAGGGATCTCATTGACTCCTACAGCGGAGCACTAAGATTCGTTTCAACTTCTATAAACAAAGAAAAAGTGCACAAAATGCAAAGGGAAGTTCCTAACTTGTAGTAGCTCTACTATTTCTGGGCATTTTATTGCATTTCCTACGAGCACCTTTAATCTCTTATGATGACTCGGCAGTAAAATCAAATCTACCCACAGCACAAAAAACAATCATGACGTTTTTAAATATTTATGCACCATTTTTGGTCTGCATGAATTTAGGAGTCATTTTGCTGCAACTCTCACAAACGTGTGACGTGCATAGCTGCTACAATAAAAACGTAGAAAAACGCCTCTTCATCAGTCTTTCTGTTCTAGATCCAAACCAAACACATTCAGTTTGGAGTCGAGCTATCTTATTCTTCAGCACCAAATCACTTTCATGTAAACTGTGATGGAAAAGTTAACAACTTCTGAAAAAGCCTTATGATAATCAAACTGGACTGGATGTGCTTGAGGATTATCCCCTCTTGTTTTTCCAGTAGCTCTCAGTATCATGCACTCTGCAAACCCCTTTTTTATGCATGCATTCATTAATGTTCCCGAACCAGTCTAAAAGGAGTTAATGTTCTGCTCTGGCCTGAATGAGTAAGTGTTTTTTTTAGTACCATGAACACATTATATTATTTACATCTGGCAACGACATTACGAGGCTCTGAAGGATAACCAGGCATTAAGAAAAAGAGAAACAAGAACCCTCATTGAGTTAAGATAAGGCGCAAAAGGTGTGCAACGATTTCATAAACGTATCAAATGGAGTGGTTCATTCTCTTGTGATGAGATTCATGATCACAAAAAAAAGCACAAATTCTTGGAAACAAAAATCAAGATATAAAATAAAATCATAAATAACAAAAACAACAAAAACAAAAAAGAGACGAGCAATCCACGCATAAGTGCACACACGCAAATAAACCCTGTCACACATTCAGAGTAGTGAGAGTTTTAAAGGCCTCACTACTAAGGTGCTGTGTCCAGCGGTCTCGACTTGGTATAATCAACATCTCTGAATTTCTTGACACACAACAATGACAATAACGACGGCATGAACGTCCCGACAAAGACACAGCAATGTGATACAGTAGTAGAAATGCCTCAGTTCGTTTTTTTTGGCGACTGGCCCGGTGTGTGTGGTTGTGTTTGTGTCTGTGAATGTGTGTGTTTGTGGTTAAGGTAAAAATGGAGCTGGAGATAAGCCGCATGTTCCTGCAGTCTGTCTGTCTGTCTGTGCGCACGCCTGCCTCAGTAGAAAATGGACGATGGATGGACGGATTCTCTCCCTCCGCTTACTTCCTCCCGCTCTCTGTACAGTGCTGGAACTGGGCAAAGCTGAGAAACACCTGCTCCAGTGAAATCTGGCTTACACAGTAGTCTTCGATGCGGTATTTCTCTTTGGCTGCCTCTAAAGTGCCAAACACCTGAGCAGGAGCAGAAAACAGGAGGAAGGATTAGGGCTGTGGCATTTACGCATACTTCCTGCATAAATCTATCTGTCCTTTGTTGATGTTCTGCATCATCCTGTCCTCTAGAGGGAGCTCTAACACAGCACCAGCACAGAAATTCACACGTTCTGCAGACTAAATCAACGTACCTGAGCCCAGGTTAGTGTTTTGTCAGTCAAATGATAGTGCACCATTCCCTGATGCTCATCCTTCAGTTGACTACCTGCAGAGTAGAAAAAAAACCACATTCACACTTAAAACACCTTCAGATGCCTGATACGGAGCACGGAGATGATCTGAAGTCCTCTAACCTGGAAAGGTGCTTTCAATGAAGTCTTTGAATAGCAGCAGGTCGCTGTCCTCCAGCTCAGCCTCCATGTGAACTTTAGCCAGCAGCGTGTAGCCGCTGCCGAACTTGCTCTTTAGGTGCTGGGGGCTCCCGAGGCACTTGAACTGGCCGTTGACCATCACTGCCAACCTGGTGCAGAGGGCCTCACACTCCTCCATACTGGATAACAGATCATAAAACTCACGTCTTGACACGTCTTATGGACTCATCATTATAATAATATCATTTTATATTGTTTTACTTTATTACCATTATTGGAGCATGAAATCAGATTCAAGTAAAACTTCCAATTTCTATCTAAAGGTGCATGCGCCTGACTCGTACAATAAAACTCACCTATGAGAAGTGATGATTATGGCCTTTCCTGACTCCCTTGTGCGCGTAACAGCGTCCCACAGCAGCCTCCGCGCCACAGGGTCCATCCCCGTCGAGGGCTCATCCAGGAAGATGACAGGAGGTCCACCAATCAGAGCCATGCCTGCACTCAGCTTCCGCTTGTTCCCCCCGCTGCATCACATGACAAAAACAAACTTTTACTCACTTATCGGCAACATAAAGTGTTTATGTGTGGACAAAATGACAGAGGAGTCTGCTCACCTGTAGCTGCGGACCAGTTTGTCAGCATGAGGCTCCAGCAGCAGCGACCTCAGCACATTTTCCACACAGCCGGACACGTACTTCTCCGGTATCCCTCTGAGTCTGGCGTACATGCTCAGAGTTTCTCTTCCTGTCATGTGATCCAGCACGGCGTCAAACTGAGGGCAGTAACCGATACGCTGCTGCACCTGCAGTCCAGAGATATGATTCAGTGAACTTCTACCCAAATGTTATCTATCTTTGAAAAGCAGGAGCGTCCTTTCTTTCATATGTCTCTGCTCTCACCTTTTTAGTGTCCCTTAAGATGCTGTATCCATCGATGTAGGCGTCCCCAGAGGTGACGCTCTCGTCCCCTGTCAGCATCTTAAAGGTCGTGGTCTTTCCTGCTCCATTGAAGCCCAGGAGGCCAAAACACTCTCCTTTCCCTACAGCGAGACACAACCTGTCGACAGCCAGGAGGTTCTGTCCGCTGCTGTACACCTGAGGAGGACAGATAACTCTAAGTCTCTAAGACACGCTGTCATACCTCATATCAAAGCTGACACACTCATGACGTGCTAAACACCCACCTTGCTGAGCTCCTGCATTATGAGGGGGCTACCAACCATGGACTCTACCATCGGCTGGCACTCCAAGACCCTCTTCCTCTCATCTGCGACATCCCTGTCCTCTGGGAGCATCGCTGCATCCTGTATTAAAGGTAACTGACACACAGACACGATAATTGATGAACGTAAGAGTTGAATTTATGAGCGTAGAGTTTGCAAGGACATATTTAACACGACTGGAAACAAACCTGTTTACGCCTCCGGCCCAGAGAGGCTAAGAATCGTCTCAGAGTGCGCACACACTGCAGCTCAATGGCGAACAGCAGAATTATGTAGACGGCACCTTGAACGGAGAAGGCCACGAGGAAACGTCCAACACCGGGCTCCGACATGGAGAAGTAGTTTGTCTGGTATGTGATGTCTGGAATTTAAATAAACAAAACTGCTGAGTTATGTCAGGAAAACAAGAAGAAAAAGCAGGATTCAAACAAAAGTTTTGATTCTTTATTTCCAACTATGAAGATAACTGGATTTTATGAACACTTGTTGCAACCTCTACCCACTCCTCTTATTTGCTCTCAATCAAAGACAGTATTCGTCAAACAGTCCTAACTGTCACTGAAAGACCTTGTTAACTTCAAACTATGAAGAGGGACACAGTATTTAAGAGCAAATCAGAGTTGAAAGCCTCAAATAAAGACACTAAAATCATGTCCATGTTTGTCAAAGCGGGTGACATCTCCTGTTGACAGCACTTCTCAGTAAAATTATGAAGTGACATTTAATTTCTTTTCTACATTCATTTTTGTGCTGTTTTGGGAGCCCAGGATTTCTTTCTTTTTTTAAATTTTTTTAGTTGCCGTTTTATTTTTGCTGCTTTCATTTGAAATTCAAATTCTGGTGTCATGACAACTCTAGTGCGATAAATTAACCCATCTGCACCCCTCCTGATCAATCCGGCTCTACTCGGAGCTGACAGCGATGATATTTATTTTTAGGACCAATCATAAATCATCACTATCACTATGGAAACAAACCAATCCACAGTCGCATATGTAATAGTGCTGTTCGCAGTGTGACTCATGATTCAAATGCATCTTAAATACCATCATGGCCCCCATCATGAGTGCATACATAACCCAAACTCTTCTGTAGATCTACTCACAAGAAGAAGAAATTATCTTCTCTCCATGAGGATCCATTAAACACTTACTAAATATTTTGCAGAAATCCTTTGTGGCGTCACTGGTGGTGCAAAAAGAGATTATTTGGTAGTTCTGGTAGAACTGGTTGAAGGACATTCCCAGGCAGTAGTTTGGGAAGATCAGGAACACCTTATCCAGCAGGCGCGACAGGTCCTGCAGGTTCAGATCTGGTGAGGGAATTAATGAGGAAGCCGTGAGAAAAGGGATAACATGACAGCCCTGTGATGGCACTGCTAAATTAGGACCGGGTCTCATTCTCACCTGGGATGGTCATGATGGAGACAGCCAGAAAGGTGGCTGTGCCGGAGATCACATTGAAGATGGTGAGGCGCGTGTAGGCAGTAGCAGCAGTGGAGAAGAAGAAGCTGAGCAGGTACATGAGAGGCACGACAGCCCAGCCGTACAGCAGCAGCATCAGCAACACATCTACCAGGTGGTTGTTGTCCACAAAAGCCTTCACTGCAAACGCCTTAAACACCACCTGAGAGCAAAGGACGAGCTTAGACGTGAGAAGAGTCTCAGTTTCTTATTCCAGCAGGAAATACGAGATGTTTTACTGACCAGCATGAGGAGACAAGGCAGCAGGAAGTTGACGAGGTCCCACAGCAGAGCAGAAAACCAGAAGTTGGACAGGTAGACTCCGCTGACCTGCTGCACGTGTTTGGACTTGAGGGCGGACTCCGTGACCAGGAGGAGGGCGAAGGTGCTCGACAGGGACGCCATGCCGTACATCAGGTTGATGGCGATGATGAAGCCCGTCTTCCCCCTGGAGATGGAGGGAAAGAGCGAGAGAAATTAAAAGGGGATGAAAAGACGGTGCGGAGGAGAGGCATAAGAAATGGCAAGGTGTGAAAGAAAACAGCACCGGCCCTTTGTTGACTGTTTTCTCCTGACTGTTCGCTTGTTTACAAGATATCTGAGGATTACTTAGGGCTGGGCGATAAACCGAAAATTTACCCATACCGAAATTTACGCCAACAACCGACATAATTTTGCCCGACATAAATTTGGTGTCAAATAAATAAATAAATAAATAAAAGTTGGTTTTGGATGTGTGTAGGTAGGCTATGGTCTCATGTCTCTTTAAGACGCTGTCCTACGTCTTCACACCTAACTGTCGAGGAGAAGATGTGATGTCGTAAACATTCCACCCAAAGCAGCAGCTGAAGTCCTGTTTGATGTTCTCTGTGATACTGTTGCTAGGATACAGGCTGGACATCCTGAGGTACTAACACACAAACTCCACTCACACACTCCATTCTTAAAAACACGAATCATCCGCTTCGTAACACTTGATGGACCAAAAAACAACAGTGCTGGACAGTAGGGCTGGGCGATAAACTGAAAATTTACCGATACCGAAATTAAGACAATCACCAATTTTGCCCATATCGGTATATCCGGTGTCAAAAATATCAATGAATAAAAGTTGGTTTTGGATGCGTGTAGGTAGGCTATGGTCTCATGTCCCTTTAAGACGCTGTCCTACATCAGAGATGTACAAAGAGGGAAAGACAAGTAGCGACTGGAGCATTAACGAATTGTCATTATCAAGGTGAACTGCTCAATATATTGTGATATTGATTTGAGACCATATTGCCCAGCCCTAGGATAACTGTTCAACCACTACACCACTGCCTCTTTATGTAAGCTGTACTTTACTCCCTATAGAAGCTCAAACTGTGTGTTATTTAACCTCTAAGATGCTCACAGGGACAGTAAAACTACCACTGTTATATATGAACAGTTAGTGACTGACATCCATGAAGGAACTCTGAGCTTTCCTGCATTTTTACGCTCTAAAAGTCATTTTTACTGAAAAGCTGTCAAAAATCTTCCTCTGTTTTTTTTTTTTGCGTCCACTCCCACTCCCACTTCCCACACACTTACTCTGTGAGCTGACTCTTTGCTGACTCTGTAAGGTTGCGTGGCATCGGGTAGTTTCCGGTCTCGATGGAAGCGTTCGGTCCTGCTATAAGTTTGAACAGAGCGTTGTCCACCATCATGAGGGCTGTAGCCGGAGTGTGGTAGCCCTGATTGTTGAAGTAAGCTGTTGCTTCTGGATACTGGTTCCTGCTTCCCCGGAAAGCAGCCCCCACCACGCAGCGCTCATTAAAGCTGCCGCCTTCTTTCTCCGCCTGAGTCAAGACGTAATCTGTAAAATCTGACAGAGACAGGAGAAGACAGGCGTATAATGAGCGAATACTCCACTTCTCAGCTCAGCCAAGCCCACGTCTGTGTCCTCGTACTTACCTGTGATGTTGACGAGCTGGCCCAGCTGTGCAGAGATCTGTGAGCTGTACGTGTTTGCCAGAGCGGCAGCGAGAGGACCCGGCTCAGGCTGCAGAGCCACAGGGACCTTTGTGGTACCGTATTTACTGAGGACCAGCCTCAGATGAGGGGCGTTCTCGTGGTCGGGGATGGTGTGCGCAACAACTAAGGCCACAATAGTGAAGACCAAAGGCACGAGGAACTGGGCTACCATCACCTTCCAGTTTCTCCAGCTGTACAGCGCCCTCTTCAGGAACATGGCGTAGAACTGCTGCAGGTGAAGTCTGACCTGATAGGAGAGGATAAGGGATTCAAATATTCTGTGGATGGATACATGCATCGGCTTGTTTGGTTTTTGCTCGTCTCACCCCGGTGTTCAGCTTGATGTTGGAGCAGTCCTCTGAGATGAGAGTGCCGCTGTCCGTGAAGTCGGTGATGTCGGTCATGCCGCTGATGCTGCTGGCATCGTCCGTGGTCCAGTCATGGGAGCGTCTCTCGTGTTGGTACTGCAGAGCGGGCAGCTGGATCGCCTGGATGTCCAAACTGGAATCCACCAACTTTCCCACCCTGAAAAAAAAACACACATATTCAAACCTTCTAGAGCGAATCCTCAAAGGTAATCCATTAAAACGCAGAACCACTCTTTTCTTAATCTTTGCAACATTATGAATTTAAATGATGGACTTCCCATACTTCATTTTTTTTCGTCTTTCTTCTCAGCAGCTCAGCAGGAAAAAGAGACATGCGGCTGATTGGAACAACAAGCTATTTTTGGGGCCTTACAATCCACAATCAGGGAGAGCGTACCATCTAATCAAGGCTGGTACAATGAAGGGCACATCCGAGCAGATCAGACTCCCTCATCTTCAGCAGACACAGAGGGCTTTTGATGAAAAATACATCCAGATTCACAATCAGTGTATCCTTTCAATGTGGAGGAATAAGGAGAAAATCTATCAACAAGTTATGAGCCTTCGGATGTTTTGGAAAAGTGCATATCTGAGAAATTTAAAACTCCAGCAGTATAGTTCATTTTTAATGCTGCTGATAACAGAGAACATCTTTACAGTGAATTAGGGAGTATTTGAGAGAGTCTTCATGGCTGCAGCGTCTCCATCCAACTCATAAGTCATTTACTTGGCTGCCAAATCCCAAATGCCAGAAGGGAGCCAAACGACCAAATGCTCAAACAGCAGTTCCTCTCGGTGTTACGTCTGATGTTTGGTGAACTGGTGGACTCCCAGTATGACTTGTAAATAATGAGGCCTGAGAGACAACCGTTCTTGGCAGCTCTTATGACAATATCATACACACATGCAGGCTGAAGCGGTGTGCACTGAAAGGGGTCATTAGAGGAAGTGCTTTGGTGCTTTTTTGCCAGAAATTCAAATATCAGGTCCACTGAGGTGCAGGATAAAGGTTCAAAAAGCACCAGGCTGCAGGGACGGAGAGAAAGTCAACCGTTTCAACTCAGAAGGTCAAAAACTCTTCTATGAAAGGGGCCACATAAAATCCACTTTATTATGTAACACTGTGTGCAATGCAGTCCCATACACCGCAAATTGTAATCCACTCAAGCTAGGTAAACTGGAGCCACTGACGGGTGTGTTCAACAGGTGCAGTACCTTGAGTGTCCACTTGAAGCAGACTGCAGAAAAAAAAAAACACTGGCGATGGGAATTACGGCTCTTTTCAGTGAGCCAGATCATTCAGCTCAGCTCACCAAGAAGAGCCGACTCTTTCGGCTCCCAAACAGCTCTTCATTTGACCACTTTTACACCATTTTCTAATTCAGCCAAATTTAGCGCTGTTTGGCTTATAATGTGTATGTATGTGTACACATACCTCTTAAATTATTCAATACATCCTTTGTACTGAAGTATTCACAGGTAAAAATTACATTTTCTAATATCAGTAAATTGCTGTAGCCAACTGTTTTCATTGCATTTACAGACCCTTGCAACTCTCTGAAACCACCCAATAAATGCACTGACTTGCTTGTAAACTTGCTTATCTGCTTTGCGACACAAAGCAGATAGAAATCCTGTCATTCTGTCTCGTAATTCTTTTCTATGATCTGTGGGGGGGGGAAAGAGAGAGAAAAAAAAAAAAACTGCCCACAGACGGGAACCGGCTCCCATCCTTCACAATAAAGAGTCGGCTCTTTAAACTGGTTCGTCCGTGACCCACACATCACTTTCCTTTCTTTTTAAAAAACAGTGAAGGATTATGGACCTCATTTTGAGTTTTTCAGAGTTTGGCATAAATAAACTCAATGAGGGTCTGAGTTGATGGAGTCGTGGTGCACTGCAGCTGTTTGACAGGAGTCTAAAAACCCGCCTCAGCTCCACCTCTTAGCTGATGTTTATATTTATTAAAAGTTAAGACTAATTTGGCTCCAAACAGGCTTTTAGACACCAACAGATGGCGTGACAGAGAATACATCCAAGTTTATGAGACCTGTCTGTCACGATCAACTTCAACTTTATCAGTATTTTATTGAGCTCCACTCAGGTCCACTTTCTGCTGGATTGTACGAGTCCCATCAATCAGCCTTGGTCGTCCATAATCCTTTCAAGACTTAAAACTCCTTTTATGATCATCGCCATTTCAGAAAAACGCTTCAAAAACTCCTCATGGGAGTTTTAAAAAACACAGTTGATGAATATGAACAAATATGAATCAAACTTCTGACCTCCTTTGTTTGATACCGACCACTGCAGACCAGTAATTCCCAATACGACCTCTATTGTCACCCTGTTGTCCAACTTCTAACACATTAACTTAAAGGACAGATTGTCCCTTCGCTGCTGAACACATCCCACCCACTGACAGGTGCCACTGTGACAAGATAATCAATGTTATTCACTTCTCCTGTCAGCGGTCATTATCAGCTGGGTGATACTGTAGATTCATTGTGCTGCTTTAATTGGCTTCAAATTAAATTAGAAACCTGCCTTGCATTAGGAGTCAAATTAAAGGCTGCTGAATCACCCGAGGAGTCATCATCTGCTTACCTGAGGAAAACCTCTTCCATGGTGGTTACCGACGCTCCGTAGCTGGCGATGCCAAGCTCGTCTCTGTTCATCTCCAGTTCAGCAAACAGCAGCTCAAACCTGAGCAAACACAAACACAGAGTGTACAAATTGATTTTTAGTGTGGTGTACATAAGTGTATGAGTGTAGTAAGTGCCTCCATGGAGTCAAAATCCAATTTGTAAAGAAATATAGTATTGATTTCCAGTATAGAAAAGGAGGTAAAAGGAGAGACGTCGACAAATATCTTTTAAAGATTTTAATGAATTCAAATACTGAGGGTTTGTGCGACTTATTCCTAGTTTTATAATCCATTTCTCCAGGCCGCTGACCCTTTTCACACTGATTATTCTGAGACCCAGCTGTCCAGCAGGAGTCCTTTCTAACCAGCAATCTTCCATCTCTGTGAGGCCACTTCACGCTCTCTCCGTGCCGCTGTGAGTGCATCATCAACAAAGAGCAGGCTGACTCACTTGCTGGTGCTTTCTTTAGGCAGGATGTAAGCCAGTTCGGCCCCGGCGCTGCTCTCCAGCGTGGCGTTGGGAACGTACATGTGAACGAGGCGGGTGATCTCTGACACGTTACAAAGAGCGTCTTTCACAATCACCATGTGGTAGCCGGCACCTGTGGAGCAGAGAAATGACTCTGTAATAATCAATGTACAGTATGTTCCTGCTTTACTTTGACCTAGCCTTTGAGAATTATTGATATAGCTGCACTGTGCACCACACTGAATATCTATAATAGATACTTCACCCACCGTATTTGTTCTTGAGGAAGAGTGGTGACCCGCAGCACTGCAGCTCTCCTCCTGCCATGATAGCGATGCGGTCACCGAGGAGGTCGGCCTCGTCCATGAAGTGTGTGGTGAGCAGGATGGTGCGACCGCGTTTCTCCCCCTGAAGGAGGTCCCAGGTGGCGCGACGAGCCGATGGATCCATACCTGAAGTGGGCTCATCGAGCATCACCACCTAGAGATCGAAACAGTCGGACACATAATTAATAACCAGCTGCAAGACGTCAGAGACACAAATCAGAGACCCTGTTTTCTGCGTGTATTAGGGCAGGGCGATATGACCTCAAATCAATACCATGACACTGACTGACATGGGCAAAATGACGTTGGTTATTGTCGTAAATTTTGGTATCAGCAAATTTTCAGTTTAACGCCCAGCCCTAGTGTGTATATATGAGTAAAAGTCACATTTTTAATCCGGATCCTAAAGATGCAAGTGACAAAAATAATGATGCTCACTTCTGCAAACACTACGTCCTCTTAATCACACTTTTTGTACTTATTCTGTTATTAATTTGCATTTTTTCCCTCCTCAGTTTGTCTCCCCCTGCCAACAAACACTTTTTTGTTTGATTTTAACTCAAACTTAAAAGGATACGGCGAGAGAGAATAAACAAAAAGATAAAATCCTCATCAAATTCGTTACCTTGGAGTCTCCAATGAGGGCAATGCCTATGGAGAGCTTCCTCTTCATGCCCCCGGAGAGGGTCTTAGAGCGGGCATTCCTCTTGTCCTCCAAGTTTAGGATCCGTATGATCCGGTCCACCTCATCTGGGATCTTCTCTTTGGAGTAGCCTTTCAACTAGAGACAAAAATAAAAACACAGATTTAGACAAAACTAGCCCCCGAAGTGTTCTAATTATACATCTGTGGCACAACATAGAGTAGATAAAGACTGACTGATGCTGAGTGTGTATTTTGTGTGCAATCTTGTAAGTACCTGTGCATAGAAGAGAAGGTGTTCTCTGACGGTAAGGTTATCAAACAGGACATCATGTTGAGGACAGAGTCCCAGACTGCGGCGGATCAGAGCCATGTCCTGACAGATGTCGTAGCCGTTAATATAAGCTCTGCCGCTGCTTGGAGGAAACAGTCCTGCAGGCAGAAACACAAAGACCGTCAAGCTGGAGGAGGAGGATTTGGGTGATGCTCACCTGTTTGATAGTGTGGTGGTGTAAATGTGTCGCTCACCTGTCAGCATGGACAGTGTCGTGGTCTTCCCTGCTCCATTGTGTCCGAGCAGCACCGCGATCTGGCCCTCAAACATGTTCAGAGTGAGATCCCGCACAGCCTGCCGGGTCTTGTTGCCCACTCTGAATTCCTGTCGAGCAGAAATAACTTAAGCGAAGCCATCACAGGGTCAAAGTAACCTTCTTATTTGTGTGCACTCTCTTTTTTAGACATCTTGACCCCCTCTGTTTGTCTGCTCACCTTTGCAAGATGTTTAATCTTGATCCCCGAGACCAGTCCAGCTGGCTCTTCCTCTATATACTCCCCTTTAAGAGCTTTTTCTGCATCTTCTTCTTCTTCTTTCTCGTTCACTAAAGCCATGCGAGGACTGCTGCACCAGTATGAAGGCTGCAGATGAAAGGATTCAGACTGTATGAGGGATGCATTAAGGTAGGAAGCGGAGTAGGGTGCACCTGAGGTCACCCAGAAATTCAGATATGTCATATCCTGCATGCACAATGTATTTCTCACACTTCGTTTTAATGCAGCGTTGTGACAGGATGCAGTAAGGGAAAAGGAGGAACACGATCGTTCATTACAACACAAGAAAGAGAAAGTGGGCTGGCTATCATTGTTCTTATGCATCCTACATTAGAGGGGATTGTTTCCTGACCAGGACTCCTTGAACTTCCTGAGTAGCAGAGTCAAACCTCACTATCTATGTTGCAGAGACCGCCTCACACACCCACACACACAGACACACAAAGGACAAATGTGCGTCAATATCCAAACCGCACCCTTCTGACGAACTTCAGGATTCTGGGACTGGGAAACAGGCAAGCATGAGTTTATTTTTACGTGTGTACGGAGGCACGCCACTCGGCGATCATGGTGGGTTGTTGTAAAGATAAACTGTATTTTTGTTGGCTTGACAGACTCAGACACTTCCTGTTATTCTGGCTGGCTGAACTCAAGGCCTTCCTCTGGCTGAAAAACTGTGACCTCGCGTTTGCGAACCTCTCCGCTGACACTGACTGCACTTACGTCTTCAAATGTAGAACAACTGGACTTTTACGAGAGGCCTGCACCTTGACCGTGAAATTTCAACAACGCTGTAAATGCTGAGCACCACCCAGGCTGTTTGTTGACATGATAATAAGTCATAAACTATAATGCAAAAGCTGTGCCAGACCCCGGTTCAATTCCTGGTAGAAGTCATCTAAACTTGTGAACGCCTTTAAATAAACACAACTGTTAGTGTTTGTGTTTGAATACTGGTGAGCTTTTATTTTCACTGGAATTACTCAGTATTAAATCTCTCATTTGGGTCTGTGAGCAAATATGGGTCATGCCTATGAACTGGGGCGCCGACAGCCTTGTGGTCTAATGGTGCATTCCAGTGGTACTTGGAAGTCGGGATTTCCGAGCTCCAAGTCATCTGGAACGCCCCCCTGAATTAGGCCTGGGCAATAAACCGAAAATTTTCCAATACCCAAATTTACGTCAATAACCTACATCATTTTGCCCATATCGGTATGTTTGTTGTCAAATAAATAAATAAATGAATAAAAGTTGGCTTTGGATGTGTGTAGGTAGGCTCTGGTCTCATGTCCCTTTAAGACGATGTCCTACGTCTTCACACCTAACTGTCAAGGAGAAGATGTGTTGTCCTTGTATACATTCCACTTAAAGCAACAGCTGAAGTTCTGTGTGATGTTCTCCATTATACTGTTGCTAGGATACAAACTCAACATCCCGAGGTACTCATGCTGCGTCCGAGAAGTCAGAGCTGAAAATGACGTCACATCCGAGTTCCCAGTGTTTCAGTTACCAAGTCAGAAAAAAGCTAAATCAGAGGCCTGAAACAAGATGGCTACATCTACGAAAGTTATTTTAGCGCTTGCCTTATATTCAAACAAGGCAATCGCTAAAATAAGTTGCGTATACTTTATTAATAATGATAATAATAATAATAACTTTATTTATAACGGCTTCTGTTCTGTTTTTGTAAAATTAAAAAAGTGGTATTTAATTTTACAACTGGTATAGCTAACAACAACTAACAACAGCTGACAGTGGCTAACAACAACTGACAACGGCTAAAAACAACTGACAACAGCTAACAACAACTGACAACTGCTAACAACAGCTGACAACGGCTGAAGGTAGGCAACACCATCAACTCGGTTGTAGCATCATTCTCAGCTCTGACATCCGATTTCTGAGGTAACTGGAATGCAGCATAAGCGTAAACACCGAAACAACAAATTGTACAAATTGGTGCCAAAGTTTCAAAACAAAAATTCAGCTGTAATGTATTTAGAATTGAGTTTATGGACTTAAAATGTACAAATCAATTTTTAAAAAATGCAATAATTGCTCCAAGTCATGGAAAAATATCCAACTTCATGATCATAGCAGGAACTTCAAGATGATCTTGTTAACCAAACTTTGTCAGAGCCCCTTTGAGGAGTTTTATGCAGACTGAAATTTACATAAAAACCTTTCATGAGCTATAAAAGCAAACTAGATCATCAGTAACAAGATTACTAGACGGTTATTTGAAAATGCATGAAGCTGCCTCAAAGGGGGGCGAGGTGTCAAGCCAGTATGTGTGTCTGGTAGGGATATCAATAAACTGATCATTAAGAGAGTAGACAAACACATTTTTCTATTTCGATTTCCTTTCAGATAAAGGTTAACTGTTGTGGACTCATTTAGCTGTCAGGTTGTCTCTGGCAAAAGTGTTGCTGTGCAAAAAGTCTCTGCAACTGTTTTTCTTTCCGGGGCTTAGAAACGAAGGTTGAGAACTTTTTATGGCACATTTACAGAAAGCCAATGCTGGAACTTGCCCAGAATGGCAAAGCTGGCACAGTACCGTATCTGCAGTGGAAATGTACTAAATGTACTGGGTCAAAATCATCAATATTCAGACAGTATATTTCAGGTGACTATGACTCATACCAGTGCAAAGAAGTAGGAAGGTAGAGGCACGCCGTACTCTCCAGGAAAAACCGCCTCCATGTACCAGGCCACCAACCCATAGAGCAGAGCATCAAACAGCAGCAAGCCTAAGACCTGAGCCATGGAGAAGTCATCATCCACTGTCACAGAGTCAAACAGGTTGGACCACTGGATCCCTGTCCCTGTGAGGACAAGGGGAGGAGGAGAGTTCATTTCAACTTCCTAAAACAGTCAGAAATAAAACTGCAAATTAAACTGCAAAAACTGTATAGTTTCTTTTTCTTTTTTGTATTATCTTCCTTTTGTATTTATTTTTTTTGTGTGTATTTTTTCTTTCTTATTTGTACCATTTTTCTTTTGTTTTTTTTTTCTCCAATTTGTTGTACATTTTTCTTTTGTTTTATTTTATTTTTTTTGTATTATTTTTCTTTTTTTATCATTTTTGTTTTACTTTATTTTTTAATATTATTTTCTTTTTAGTATTTTTTTCTTTTTCTGTATCATTTTTCTTTTTTGTATTATTTTTCCTTTTGTGTATTTTTTGTATTAATTATCTTTTTTGTATTATTCATCTTTTTTTGTATTATATTTGTCCTTTTTCTGCTATTATTTTATTTTGTATTATTTTTCTTTTTTGTATTATTTCTTTGTATAATTTTTCTTTTTTGTATTATTTTTCCTTTTGTGTATTTTTTTGTGTTAATTATCTCTTTGTATTATTTATCTTTTTCTGTATTATATTTGTCCTTTTTTGTGTTATTATTTTATTTTGTATTATATTTGTCCTTTTTTCTGTTATTTTATTTTATTATTTTTCTTCTTTTGTATTATTTTCCTTTTTTTATTGCAAATGTTTCTTTATTTTCATGTCATTTCATTTATTTGATGTTGTATTGTTTAAGATTCAGCATGTTTTAATTTACTTGTATCAATGAGCCCTTTAGGCTTCTTTCCTCTCCTGCACAGTTTCTCTGAACTTCTTTGTTTTAAATATGTGATTATTTCATGTCTACTTTAGTGCAAATAAAATAACAATAACAAATGTTGAAAATGTGGCTTCACAGTAACTCCTCCTCACCTTTGCCTTCAAACATTCCCATCAGCTGAGCTCCCATGGCCATGGCCACGTTGGAGATGAGGCAGGCTGACACCTTCTGGGCATGGCTCAGTAAATCGTAGCGAGGCCAGAGGAACAAGTATGGCAGGTAGCTCATGAAGTAGATGAACCCGCCTGCAGCTGCTGCCACGTTAGCTACAATTAAACAGAAAAGAAGGTTAAGACGAACGTGAGTAAAACTTTGCAGCCCTGGGTAATAAACTGATGGATAAAAATGAAGTGTGTAAAAGCTGCTGCACCACAAAAGAAGTCTAAGCAGCCGTGCATTGGAGGATCTATGCAGCAGCGAACAGTCATTTACTTTTTTTTTCCCAGAAAGACCCATTTCTGTGATTGACAGGGAAAGTGTGTGAGTGCCGTCCGCATGAAGCATGAAGGAGGACAATAGAGAGACAGGGGGGTTGGGGTGAGAGGAGGGGTGCTGTGCATGAGGCGAAAGAAAGACTTTCAGGGCTGTTATTTTTCCAATTTCGAGCAGCATGACAAGAACTCTCAGAAGAGCACTCATGGCAGACAATGTGACATTTTGAGCACGCATGAAACACGCATTGATTAAGTGCTATCACAAATATCCAGGGAGCCCGCTGGTGGAAAATTACTCTGCTAGAAAAACAGTCTGTCTTTCTCAAAAACTGATCAGGGAGTACGCAGAAGGATCCTCTGTTCATTCAGCGTGTTTACTTCACAGCCGACCTCCTCCTCCGTCTCCAAATAAGGTTCATTATTTAACAGTCCAATGTTATATTCATGTACGGAGTCGCTAAAACGGTCTCGTTTCAGCAGCCTGTGTTTTCAGCGAGAACTGACACAATTCCAGTCACAAGTTAGGCTGTAAAATATGACAGTTTGGACAATGATTAATGGACCCAGCTGATAAAGATACAGGTCAAAATGTGTGAAACTAAGTGGGACGACTATTTGTGCAGGTGAGGAAGTGAATGAAGTTACTGGTATGAATAAATAATGCAAAAGAGAGACTCAGTGAATGCATGAATCTCTCTGCCTCTATGGAAAAAAAGGCTTTTAAGCTTTAACCATTACCAGTCACAATCAATTAATGTTTCAGATGATTTTCAGCAGAACATAAACTACCGCATGCCGGGCAAACAAGATAAGTGTTTGTGCGCTTTCCTCTGCAAAAAGGCTGCACTACAGTGAGTCAGAGGGACACTGGAAATTGAAAGCAGAAAGCGTCTTCTCCTAATGAGAAAGCTCTGAATAAAAGAGGGGAACGTACTGCACAAAGAGAGATGAATTTCAATCGTCTCTGCGACGTTTACTCAGTTCCAGCCTAATAAGATACTTTTAATATCATGTGGCCTGAGGCAGAGAGCGCTCGGGGTAACTTCATTTACACGATGTACTACCTTTTTATGTGAATAAAACAGAGACAGTAGGGCTGGGCGATATGGCCTTAAATCAATACCTCGATATATTGAGAAGTTCACAGGATCGATCTTTACGTGCCGTGTTTAGCCGTTTTTAAGAGCTCCTACCGCTGAGATGTTTTAGTAAAAATGAAGTTTTTATTGCTGCTTTTAGGCTCAACTGAGAGTAAAATAAACAGCCCACAGAGAACACAACACAAAGCTACGGTTTTCCTGAGTGAAGAGTGAGCGCACCTCTTGAGAAGAAGGTGCTGATCATGAAGCTGAAGTTGATGGTGGCCACGACGAAGACCAGGAGAAAGACGAAGACCAGCGTGGGGTCACTGTAAGTCAGCACTGCTCCGTTGGGGCTCACCTAAAACAGCATGTCATTGTTAAGTCACCTCTGTTATTATAATGTTTATTAGTATTATTAGTCTTGCTTCTTGTTATATTCTTTTTCAGCCTCTGCTCTTCTTGTTTGGCAGCCATCATAAGTGTTGGAGTTATCTTCACATTTTTCTGTTAAACAAACTCATACTGCAGGGGTAGTGTTGTTGATACTGACATTGTATTACGCTTGAATCAGCTTAAAGCATTACGTGTTGGAATGCAGACTTATGTAACAGTGATTAAGACAAATAAACTAACCTGGATACAAAGAAGCAGAGTGACCAAGAAGACTGAAATGCAGAGGAAGAGGAAGAACATGAGGAACCATGCGCTCCAGTGGAGCCAGTTGCTGAGACCCATCATCCTCATGTACTCCTGAAACGCGCAAAACGAGGTTTTTATTAGTTTTTATTCCCAGCTGGAGGAAAAGCAGAGTCAATATAGAGACAATTTAACACACCTTGAGTTTCCTCTCCTTCTCCTGCACCACGGCTCGAACTATGTTGAGAGAAGTGTAGGTGAAACTGAGCACCAGGAGTAGAGGCAGCTGGTTCTGAATGGCCAGGATGAAGACGTCGTATATGAAAGCGGGGTAAGGGAAGCGGGACAGGACGACTCTGATCTGTCGCAGCAGGGGGGACGCAGCAGTTCTGTTGTAGGAGATCATGATGGCTCGGTCGACGGCGTGCTGGACGGCCAGGAATCCCTCTCGCCAGTAACCTTGAAAGATTGAAAAATATGTGAATTTAACTGAAGCTGAACAATAAATCGTGGAGAATATCATTTCAACTACCGAATCAAAGCTCGAGTAGAAGGAGCATGTCTGGTACAGATATATTTGTTGTTTTTGCATTATCATGTGCCAAAAATAATAAATAAATTACTCCCTATGAGTAAAAAAATCTATTAATGGACTGAGATGTAATTATTCTATTTCAAGAATTTGACTTTTTGATATTTTCTCATGTTTTTTACTCGTTATAAATATTCCAGTTCTTATTTCTAGCCTGTATTTTCTTAAATTAAAGAATTTTCTGGACTTCTGGACTGGAGTTTTTGCAGTGACAGCCTTCTTTTTGTTAGCTAATGTTATTCTTTATTATTTAAAAGATGTACTTTAAAATGACACATGCTAATTTCATAAACAGCTAGTAGTTAAACGCAGCAGAATGTGGGATTACTGGCGTCTTAACTAGTGAGCTCACAGATGAAGAAAATCCTAAATAAGCTCTTGAAAGATGGAGGATGTGATTCATTTTCTAAAAATATTTCAAACTCAGAAAAAAAAAAACTAAATCTAATAATTTAACTGCTCTCAGGATGGAGAATTTGTGTATTTTATATCATTATATTATGATCCCAATGTTATATTTTCTAAACAGATGGATTTTTGGGGGGCTGTGTAAGATTAAAAGCTGTTAAGTATATTATCTGATTTAGTTTTTGCACACGAAACATCGACAAAACTAATGCAAAACAAATGAAATCTTGACTTTAAATTTATAATCAGCATAATCAGCATTAGTATGAGTCTGAAAAACCACCAAAGGCGAAACCACAGTTCCAAAGACACGTGTCTGCGAGGCAAAGTCGCTCTGACTTCCCTCTGAAAGTTAACTTCCTTGAGGAGCTGCAGTCAGACCTAATTATGTTTCTGCAGGCTGGAAATCCATATCCACGTGACTGTTAAAGCTTCAATTACACTGTGAGGATGACTCCGTCTTCTGAAGCCTCTTTCTCCCGTTAAAGTTCAACTTCGGCTTTAGACCTCGTTCTAAAATGAAGCGGGTTCAGGCCCGACTGTGGACACCGGAACTGTGCGTTATCTCATAGCGAATTCTTCATTATAACACGATTTCAAGCTGACGACCAGACGGTCAAAAGTGAAGATAAAGTCAACAGTTTCTGATGCCTCCATTACAGAGCCTGACACCCCACAAAGACCCAACAAAGGATGCGAGGGCAGGAGGCATTATGCTGCTGCCAAAACTAGATTACACAGATCAAGCCCGAGATGTGTAGGGCAGTTGTTGCCATGGAAACAGTCTCCCGCTTGGTAGTCGTGTGAAAATAAGTGGTTTTTCATCAATCACGCTCTCTCTATGTGGCTTTTTCGTGGACTAACGCGGTCAGCCCCACCAGGATGTGTTTTGATTTGCGAGACCGTAAAAGTGAGACGGAGGAATTGGAAAGACAGATGAGAGGATTCAGGAGATAAGAGGGGTCGGATCAGCGGCAGATACGAGGGTCTTACCAGGCGTGCCCCCTTCCTTATCGTACTGCTCCCTCGGCCCTGGCAGCTGGAAGAGGGGGAAGAGGCTGAGCGTGTGCCAGTCCAGGTCATTGTTCGGGTTCAGCACCAACTTCTCTCTGGCCGGGGCGTTGCGTGGGGTGAAGGTGAAACGCAGGTGGTAGCTCACCTGTCGAAAGAGAGGGTATGAATTCATCAACTGAGCCTCAGATAAAAGCTATCAGTTTAATTTTAGATGGAACAAACAAAGTGATGAATACAGCGATTCCACGTGACACCATTAATATTGTTTACGGTTTCTTGGGAACTATACCGTGTATCTCTGTGGGATAAAAAGTGCTCAATAAACTCTTTTGGTGATCTATTGAGGGTTTTCAGGCATTTCTACACCTCCTACAAGGTTTACAATCAAGCTACAAAAATAAGTGTTTGATCGAAGACATTTGGTGGTAAATCTGCAGTGATATACCGGTTGACCAATACAGAGTTTATCTGTCAGGGTTTCCATGTGTGCTCGACTCAGGGTACTCAGTTGGAGGCGCCGAGGTCAAGTCCAGCCTGCAGGCAACCTCCTATTAAACCCAACCTACGTACATGAATCCATTAAATGAAACATAAAAATTACAGACCAGCGCATACAGTAGTTTAATTCCATCCTTTCTGTGTCTGACAAATGCTGGTCACTGTGAATAGAGTCTGATTGCTGGTTTAATGATCGTGTACGTCCAAGTCTTTTATTCGAATGTGAAACGATAATAAATGTTTCTCTACATCACGACATCCACTTGCATTTATTTCAAATTCGCCTCCAGCAACAGCAGAAAAAATCACTTTGAATATCCAGCTGTCTTAATTGTCCCAGTCTTCAAATCTGGTAATTGAACTGCGAAAACAACTTCTGTAAACAGGTGACAAAATTCATCTCAAATCAGACTTTATCTCTCTGATAAAACGTCAAAGATCCCTGAGATCTGTCTGCATTGGTAACATACACTCACCGGCCACTTTATTAGGTACACCATGCTAGTAACGGGTTGGACCCCCTTTTGCCTTCAGAACTGCCTCAATTCTTCGTGGCATAGATTCAACAAGGTGCTGGAAGCATTCCTCAGAGAGCTTGGTCCATATTGACATGATGGCATCACACAGTTGCCGCAGATTTGTCGGCTGCACATCCATGATGCGAATCTCCCGTTCCACCACATCCCAAAGATGCTCTATTGGATTGAGATCTGGTGACTGTGGAGGCCATTTGAGTACAGTGAACTCATTGTCATGTTCAAGAAACCAGTCTGAGATGATTCCAGCTTTATGACATGGCGCATTATCCTGCTGAAAGTAGCCATCAGAAGTTGGGTACATTGTGGTCATAAAGGGATGGACATGGTCAGCAACAATACTCAGGTAGGCTGTGGCGTTGCAACGATGCTCAATTGGTACCAAGGGGCCCAAAGAGTGCCAAGAAAATATTCCCCACACCATGACACCACCACCACCAGCCTGAACCGTTGATACAAGGCAGGATGGATCCATGCTTTCATGTTGTTGACGCCAAATTCTGACCCTACCATCCGAATGTCGCAGCAGAAATCGAGACTCATCAGACCAGGCAACGTTTTTCCAATCTTCTATTGTCCAATTTCGATGAGCTTGTGCAGATTGTAGCCTCAGTTTCCTGTTCTTAGCTGACAGGAGTGGCACCCGGTGTGGTCTTCTGCTGCTGTAGCCCATCTGCCTCAAAGTTCAATGTACTGTGCGTTCAGAGATGCTCTTCTGCCTACCTTGGTTGTAACGGGTGGTTATTTGAGTCACTGTTGCCTTTCTATCGGCTCGAACCAGTCTGGCCATTCTCCTCTGACCTCTGGCATCAACAAGGCATTTCCGCCCACAGAACTGCCGCTCACTGGATATTTTTTCTTTTTCGGACCATTCTCTGTAAACCCTAGAGATGGTTGTACGTGAAAATCCCAGTAGATCAGCAGTTTCTGAAATACTCAGACCAGCCCTTCTGGCACCAACAACCATGCCACGTTCAAAGTCACTCAAATCACCTCTCTTCCCCATACTGATGCTCGGTTTGAACTGCAGGAGATTGTCTTGACCATGTCTACATGCCTAAATGCACTAATTTTCAGCCATGTGATTGGCTGATTAGAAATTAAGTGTTAACGAGCAGTTGGACAGGTGTACCTAATAAAGTGGCCGGTGAGTGTAGTTTACATGTTGTTTTTTCTCTCCTTGGCTTTATTGCATCACACTATCTTGTCTGTGTCTGATGAACTGATTCCAAAGAGACCAGGACAGACAAGCAAACAGAGTACGACTGAGTAGAAATGAGGATATGTAAGCAAACATGTGGGACGATGTCTCTCACTCTCTCCATGGGAACTCCAAGACGTCTGAGCTTTCAGATCAATAGAGTCGGACGAACAACAGTTTCCTCTAAGGGGGTCAAACTGTGTATTTGTCCATCAGAAAATCAGAAAGCTTCATTACCTGAACTACTGAATCTCACAATAACATCGTACTCTTGTGCTTTGTTATTAAACCCATAAGCTTCTCTCTTTCTTCTATTTTTAAACCGCACAGTGGCAACAACAACAGCATAAAGACGAGTAAACAAGCAGTTTTCAGAGAGAACGATGTGCCTGAACCGGTCTTACTGGTACAACATACAAAGCATCAAAACTGTGTATTCATTCCTCTCTTTTCTAAGCTGAGTGTGTCTGCATGCAACCTCGAAGTAATCGTACTTCTTCTGTGAATGAAGAAGTTCGACTCAGGGTTCCTGATCGCACACCATCGATCAGCTGTATTGTGTTGTTTCAGCTCTCACCTTCGCAGGCAGAGGCTCATCATCATGGAGGATGGGGTGCTCGAACACCACAGCCGCTAGGATCTTTCCCGACAGAGGGTCATTTCTCACAAAGTCCTCAAAGTGCTCCTCTGTCTCGAAGCCGCGCACTGAGAAAGAAACACACACAGACACACAAAGAAATTGCATTAGTTGCGGAGCGGTATTCATCTCACGTACGTCTGTTTTTAAGGCCTGTCTCGCTGCTTGACCTTGGTGCTCTTTATCCTCACCGTCTGTCTGAGGGTTCAAGATGCCGGCAGCATACAGAATTAAATATGATATTATCAATGCAGCGAGTCAGACACTCCCAAACAGTTCATGTAAATGCACACATATGCGTGCTTTTTTAACACAGATGCATGAAATAAAAATAACATGAAAGAAAAACTGATCAGTTCTTCTTTACTCCAGATTAAAACGTCTTATTCCTGTAAAACTGGATTTCTCAATGGTAATGTTTGACTCCCTTATCAAGCGCACATGGAGGTATTTTGAGTTCGGCAAAGGACGCCGCTTTTTACACACTGGTGTAAAGGTGAAATCTGGGTCAGTCTCTTAAAGTAAACAGGAGCATGAAGAGACACACGCACACACACAGAGAGAGGTAGCTGCTCATACATGCAGCACTTTTCCTGCAGACTCCTGAAATATGAAGCAGATTCATATTTAGTTAACGTGAAAATCCTCAACCTGCAGATGGTGTCGAAAGAGGTTATTTAAGGATACAGGTCTGAAAGCATAAGAAATAAGGAATTAAAACATTTGACTTTTATTTAAGCTCAAAACAGCTCATCATTCTTCTCAAAAATAAAAACAAATTTGCTAAAAATGAAAGAAAATGGTTAAAAAAAACTTGACTTACTTAGACGGAGTAATAAATGATCGAAACCTTTAATTTGTATAAGTATTTTCACGATAAGATGTATCTCAGGGAATTAAATGACAAGGTCTGGGAGTGCCAGGATGAAGTCCTTGAAGCTTGCAGCCCTGGTTTTGAGTCCAGCCTGACGTCTTTTTCTGGATCTCATTCCCCCCTTTTCTTCTCCGTCTCCTTCTCTACCCACTTTCATATTTTATTTTTTATTTCAATTCGGTTTAAATTGTGCTTCTACGATATTGTCGATTTTCTCGATGTTTAGTCTGCATTTTTAACACCAGTGAAACAGTTGAATGATTATGATTGTCTGCCGACTATTCAAGGAACCATATCTCTACAAAAAATACACATCACATGTAAGTCAGTTTTTAAGATGTGTTCTTAAATTTGGAGAAAATAAACGATTTTTGGTCATAAATTTATTGCATTTATTGTATTTTTACTCTTGGCTTGAAAACGGACCTGGATACTAATCTCGTACCCCAGACTGTCAAAGGTGTGGGGTATGACAAATAAAGTTCCTTGAATCCTTGAATAAAAATGGATTTAAAAAATGTAAAACAAAAAAATCTCGATGCTTATATGAATCGATTTTTTCTCCCACCCCTACTTGATATCATTTGCACAATCGTCAACATGCTGGCTCTGCTGAAGGTTTTGGAAGAGTTGGAAACTGCAAACTAACTCAAAGCATTGTCTGTGAAGCACAGGTGATGCAAGGAGGAGCAACAGATTGTACAGCCCTAAAATGAAGAAGAGTAGGCGCTTCATTTTATAACAAAACCCTACACGACACTTTGGTGCAACAATCTGGTGGCAGTGACCAGAAAAGGCTTCCTTCTGAGCAGAACCAGACTCATGGTGAACAACCATCTGTTGTGACTGTGAAGGCTGAGAAAGAAACACACGATCGAGAGAGAAGTCCAAACAGCTCGACTGGTTCGCTACAATAACAACCGAAAAGCCGAAAGAATAACATTATCTATATCTGTGTGTATCTGTTTTAATTCGTAAAAAGTTGGATGAGCTCTCATTTGGTCGGCCCCTGACAGCTGCATGACAGTGTTCAGAAAACTGACTCTATAATGTGAAGCTCCAGTGAGTCGATTTTTCCATCGAGGTCAAACTTGGGCTGAACTGAGTGACCTTTTCAGACTTCCACCACCAAAAGTTTGAGAGTCAAAACCCGCAGCTTCGGACAGAAAAGGCTGGGATCTATTAACTTATATAATTATCTAGGTTTTATAACAGTTGCAGCTTCTCAGATGGGACTTAATTAACTAAACTTAGACTCTTTCTCTAGTGAAGAGTTATTGTTCTGATATTTTATCCTATTACAGAGAAAACTGAAGAAAAACCACAAGCGTTTTTTTGTGTTGCACTCCATTTCGTGCTTATTAGGCAACCCTCTCGTTTCACAGTTTACTATACCACCATATACATGAGTAGGCAGTTTCAACACCTAACACCCTCACACCAATCGAATGACTGGTCTTTTTTCTTATCTCTGGGTTGTTTAAATGTGTAAACAATGACGTTTAAAGTACGAAAAGTGCTTTAAACTCCAAACTCCGGAATCCGCTATTTTCATCCAAGCCCTGAGGGTCACTTTCTGTCGTCTTGATCATCCGTCTGAACGCTAACACCAACTGAATTATTCATGAGCAGCTGAGCCGGGACCTCGCAGGACAAGACAACCTGCAGTCACACATTTCAGTCGACCTGCTTCTCTTTCCTTTAGCCTCTCACTGCTGCGATTCATCCATCCTCCTGACAGATCATGAAAACAAATATGTAATTACACACTAAGAACAACAGGTCCTGCAGGTGTGTGTGTGTGTGTGTGTGTGTGTGAATGAAGCAGACTTCAGTGGAAGAGCCTTCTTCTTTTCCTCTCTAAACTCCCGGCTCATGTTGTCTGACACAAGAGTAGGGTGCGGCTTGTTCGCTTTCCCGAGAGATGTTTCTAGAAGAACCAGTATTCCCAGTGCTCTCCCATTTTGCAGCTGGCTTCAGTCAAGGTTGTATTTGTTTTAGTGGTTATAAAACTTCCAACATAATCATCGTATCAGCTTTGTTTGACACTCATTTCCATAACCTGTTGCATACCTGAGGAGAGGAACAGGCTGCCTCGCACGTACTCCGCCACCTGACGAACCACGCTGGAGTTACCGGGCACATAGGCCAGCTGCAAATGTTGGAAGGCAAGAGGAAGGGGCAGTCTGTCCACAGAGTAGCTCTCATAGTTGGTTGCATTCGGGTAGTCCTTAAAGGGGACCTTCTGACGCAGCACGATGAGGATGCCGGAGAAGAGCAGGGGAAGGAGAATCTCCACCAGAGTTACCAAAATTTGACGTTTCTATGGAGAAGAAAGAGAGATGATCTGTCATTTAGAGGGTTATGATATTTCTCAGAACTAATGGAGATTGACAGAAAGGCCATTTCAGAAGACTCAGCATCCTATGATTAGACTAACTACAATGATTGTCAACCCAGATGGGGTCTGGGCAGCAGTCTGTCATTATCACTTTACTCAGAATTGAAATAAGATGATTTCACAGGCAGCTGAAACAGCCTAATTTATCTGATGGTCTCCTCCTGATGAATGATGGGAGTATAAAATGACTCGGGCAGTTTCAGGACATTAAAATCAACTCCCCCTTTACTTCCCCCTTTGCTTCCAAATCACGAGGATTACACAAGATTAGATGCATTTCCTGTTAGTCCGTGTTTTTAAGTATGTTTTAATGAGCCAACAGATTTCATCATATGACCAAATCTGAACAACAGTGTTTTTGTCAAAGACTGCTTCTTACCCTGAATACCATCTGGGTATTAACCTAATTATATAACTCTGATCAGATATTATTACCCTGATTAAATAACAAGTGTTGTTGGGCTTATGGTGGATATTATTTCACATGTCTACACTTAAAAATGTGAGGACATAAAACACACGTCACTTCTGTGTCATTTAAAGGCGCTGTAAGGAGTTTTCATGTTGTGACGATACAGGTTAAAAGTAAGTGAGGTATTTCCAGGGTGAAAACTACATTTCCCATGAGTGCCATGACCCAGATTTGGCCATTGTCCGGGGAGCAAATTAACACACTTTCTTTTGAACACGACTTTTATTTGTTCCAGACTAGAGATGCACCAATCCATGTTTTTCCAGATCCAATCCAATACCGATACCTAGGCTGAGCGTATATGCTGATATCCAATACCGATCCAATACTACTGTTGAATGAATTAACTGTATACCTACACCTGTGAGTGAAGGCATCAGGCTTGACATTAGCCTTGTTAAAAAAAAGGTGACATATTAACACAGATATAAATTTACTTCATATCATTTACTAACAAAAAATAATTTGGACATTAGCGCACAGCAAAAAGAAGTAAGACTTCCATGTATTTCAAGAAAAAGATTGGATCGGAACACTAGATCGGTGTCATTCATCAGATATCTGATCCAGTTAATTTGTCAATATCGGAGCCGTCTATTTTCATACATAAAGGGCACCGGATTATAAAGCGCATTAATCCAAACAAAACAGTCTGATAAGTCAAACTTAATTTAACTCATTCAATAAGCGAGGCTACGGTAGCTGCAGCGCTCCGACAAGCCATCAGGCTGTGCTGCTTTGTAGCTTATCGAAGTCGTACTAAAACATTTCGACAGATTTCTGAGCGCTGTGTACCACATAAAATCAGTTCGAGGTCAGTAAGCACAAGCAGAATTCATACATATGGCTCAACTGATTATAAGGCACACTGAGGATTAAAAGGATTTTAAGGATAAGGTATACCTCGACTTAATGAACTGAATGTTATCAGTCACAGCCTCGGTGTCATGATGTGTGTTCTGGTTTCTCGATAAATGTTTGAATAACATTAAAATGCACACAGATAAACTCAGTGAAGCATTTCTTCAAACTTTAAATCCTGCTCATAACTTTTTGCTCTCTCACTCACTTTTCTATACCGTCCACTGCCCTGTCCTCTCCAAATAAAGGCAGTTACCTTTAAAAAAAACCCATCACAGACAGTTCTTTTAAGTCCACGGTATTAAGGTATCAATATTAGACCTCACACTGTTGCACAATGAGTTCGTCGGCCTTATGTTGTTGCCTGAGTTTGCAGGACAGTCAGGGTACCCAAGGTAACTCTGATTCCCGTGGGACAATGTCCACGTGGACTCATGTGACAAACAGGAAGAAGACCGTGCAGGCGACTTGATGTAACACTTAAATGGGGAACAAAATAAATAGTCTTAAAATGGTCCTAAACACAGAGGGAGAGGGAGTAAAAACATGTCAAATCTTGAGCTATAATCTTGGATTGAAGCAGCTTCTTTTCTAGTTATATTTGATTTATAATGATTCCCTATACACAATGATATCTTCTAAATGACGTTGTGTGAAAAGGACGTGCAAATGACAACATTCCCCAGCATGACTGCTCCACTTTTTTTATGAGAATGAGGAAATTTATGACAGTGTCCCTGAAATGAACGCCGTTTTTACAGCGGGCTTTTACAGGCCATATGATGTCAGCCTTCTGCTAGAGAGGGTAAAACGCAGCAATACATCACATTTGGAAATTTAGTCTAAGTGATAAACATGCAGACTGTGTTCGTGTTCTGCGGCCAAGTTGGCTCAGCAACACCAAGACAGTATTTTTCCCCGCCTGGTCTTAATGGAGTCTCTGTAGTCTCAGGACAACCACAACCAGAGCAGCAGTGAGTGCACAAAGAATGACTATCACACATCAGGCATGCTCTGAATCTGATTACATGGCACCAACCTGAATACCAGTGGGGTTGTGCAACCATCAACTGATACAGAAGTACAAAACTATGCAGGTGCACCACAATGGCATGATTTGTATTTTGGAAAAAAGCTGTTCTTATCTTTTGCAAACTGAAGTAAGACAATGAAATATTATTTTTCATGCAGAACATGTAGTGCAAGCCTTTAGGTGAACTGTTACTACACAATGCAATTTCAGTCGAGGAGGTTTGGAGTTCAACAAGCCGAACAAGTTTACCAAGTTATGAGAGAGTTGGAGAAAAATCAAGAATGTGATTATCGTTAAATCACAAAAGGAGAAACTCTACCGGCTTCATTTCTGTCGGATACATGAGCTGCTCGTAAACTTAATTTGCTTGCTTTAATAGGGATGCATATTAGTGGCAGACAGAAGCTTAAAAAGTTAATTATCCTTGATGGGAGATATGAAGGTTTCCTCCATTATCTACTGCGAGTTGGGTGGCGCATTCATTGTCTACATGATGATGACAGCCCACCCACAACAACAAGCGTTAACATGTCAGGCGTATGGAAGTATTTTGAAGTAGCTATTTGCAATACTTATAAAGCAGACACTCCATCAAATACTTCCAATTTAACGGCCCATCATCTTGAATGGCACAGAGAAAGCCGCAGTGCCAGAAATTTTCATCATCCTCTAGGATTGACGAAAACAGTAGGATAAAAAGTTGACTCGTTTTAGGTTTTTTCCTACAATAATTACACAAGAAAACCTGGTGTACAGCGTGTAGGTATGCAAAATAAGTTTAAAAATATCTCCAAAATCCTACATGGTGAATCCCTGACTCTTATATGTAGTATTTCTTTATCTGCCTTGGTATGTCTTTGGATTTTATACAATCACGAGAAAATTTAATGTGTATTTGAAGGCATACATACAAACAGTTCTTGCTGTATTTAAAAACACACTAATGTCACTAATATTTTAATTTTATATCATTAACTTTAAGTATTTTAGCATTTATCTCTTCTAGTTTTAATGACAGGATCGTCTTTTATTGATCTATTTTGGTGCTCTTATTTTCGTATCTTTTACTGTTGTTTTTATTTCATTTTATTTATTATTTCTTAAAAATCATTTTATGTTACTTTGTTTTTAGATTTTAAACCTCCAGTGTTTCCTTACCTTGAATTTTAAAACGGCGTGTCCTCGGCGCACACATTCCTGTTTATATGAATCGAGCTCTTTGTAAGTTTATGCATTTTAATACACATTTCTATTGTGCTTAGATTGCGGGGTTGGGCTGGAGTAGATTATGGTTGTCTTTGTTTCTTTTATTCCTCTGCTATGTAAAGCACTTTGCGCTACATCTTTTTTTTTGATTGATAATAAAAAGAAAAAAAAAACGAACACAATTTCATTCTCTTTCTAGTTACATGCCTGTTCAGGAATATGAATTTACAGTTTCACAATAAAAACCTGACTTTACAGGTTACTGTTACGTGATTTTAGAGGTTTAGGGTAAGGCAAAGAAAGATAGAGACGGTGATCTCCCCTTCAGACGGCCATAAAAGGCTAGGAAAGCATGTGACACTAACCAAAGTATTGACCTAACTGGAACCTGTGACACAACAACACAGCGGCTGAGCTGTATATTATTGACATCAATAAGTTTCAAAGCGGCTGGGTAACATCAGCAGCAGCTCAAAACAAAATGTTAGTCAGTTTTCTGTATTTATAACAACCTGTAAGACAATAACTTAACAAGTACTGTCATACAGACACCTGCACTATAAACACAACTCCTCATGGCGGTTCACAACTGCAGCACCTAATAAGGGATTATACAGACAGGGTGAGGATGATTCTCCCTCCAACTCACCTGCTGAAGATAGTTTTTCCACACCAGCAGTCTGAATTGTCTCACGATAGCCATTTTGATCCGTCCACAGGACACAGTCCAGTCAGCCCTTTCCAGTGGCTGGAGATAGAAGAAAAGATTTAAAAGTTAGTTTGGTAAGAGCTGCATGTAAAGTTTTCTTCTCGATACATTTATAGGTATCAGTCTGTCTGAATTTAGATGTGTTGCTTCAGTTGTGATTCCCTTTAAGGTTTCTGCTCTTGGTTTCTATTTAGCAAAAACCCAGTGAAGCAAAAATGGAGAAGTGAAATTGAGAAAACAGCTGTATCATAATTATCTACTTTAAAGATCAAAAAGAAGAAATTCTGGAAAACGAAAACGAAAACAGAGGAAAATCTCACCAATATTCACAAAGACAGGCTTGCAAATTACACCAGGTAGAAGAAAAAAATCAGGCAAATGAGCGTGAGATTATCAACGCTTCCACATGATAAACCAGCAGGCCAAGCTATTAGGCCTAACTTCTTTATTTATTATAGTTAACTTGTAAAAACAGACATCTTTAAAAGGTGATAAAACCTTTTAAAGTAAGTAAAATATAGTTTTAATACCTGAATGTCAACAGAATATGACATTTCTTATTGACCATGGCCTTTACAGATATAATCATACCTCAACTAACTGGAGCAACAACCATGACCAATCGATACCAATAAGTTTCTAGAGCAAGAGTAAACATGTTTGCCACATATCAGATGCATTTCACGGTAAACAGGGTCATGGATGTCATAAAATTGGTCATACTGGGACAGTCTGAGTTTCACACTAGTGCCATTCATGTCTGAATGATTTACATGATATAATCCAGGTGTATAGTCCGTGTCAAATCCACGTGTTATTAATCTAAAGCGATTATTCTCCTGCTGGTTTGTTAAAAACATAACACTCAACACAAACCAGCCATTCCGGACGTGAAGCTTTTCCTTATTACTAAAAATCCGCCTTACTCTCCTCTGATTGGTCCACCTCGGCATTCTGAGCCTTCTGATTGGACAGTCGAGCTGCCCGTCAATCCCTGAGGATTCTGGTGAATGCTAATGATGAAGCTGATGGAGAAAGCTAGGTTTCCCTTCAATTCGGTGTGCGTTTTCATTGACATTGTTCCAGTTTACATAGAATCAAACATAAATATAATGATAATGAAGATAAAATCTGGTCTAATTACCTCAGAAAAGAGCAGGTTTCGTCATATGAACTTCACGAGCTGCTGTCCCTCTTCCTGGGAGGTGAAAACAATTCCTCCTTTTAGGATCAAGCCGACAACAAAACCATCACTACAGCAGCGGGGGCTTCTTTCTTCTCCCTTCACCGACACTGTCAAGGCTCGGTTGGCATTTGTGAAGCGAAGGACGTCCTCAGCAGCCGGTCCGGTTCGGTTTTCCGCCTCCAGTTTGCTGCCTGACTCTAGCTGGGCGATGACATTGCAGCAGCGGCGGCGGCGGCGTTACACCGATAAGTCCGTGAATTCATCGTGAGAAACGCAGCAGCGACAACCGTCAACAAAACACCTCACGTGACCTCGGTGGAGCAGGGTGTCACGTGATCTCAACAGCTGGGCTTTCTAGTACAGGCGTGAAAAGATAACAACACACATTGAGCTAATATTGCTCTTTTTTATGATTGCTTTAGCCACAAGAATGATGAGGTCGTTAATTTTGAAGATTAAAAAATACATCTTATTTTAGTTTTTCCCCACTGAACCAAAATAAACACATAGGTTTGCTTTAAACTACAAACTCTGACCTTTTCTTTAAAAATGTTAAAGGGGTATTCGTAAAATTAATTTAGGTTCAAACATATGGAAGTAAATCTGTGCCATCTAGTTCTGAATTTGAATTTGTAAAGCTGAATTTTTTTGCATCAAAATCAGACTTTGAATTTCAAAACTTTGAGCACACACTTGTATTTCTGACACTTGTTTTTTTCACAATGATGAAATAAGCAAAATTTTAACTGTGTAAAAAAAAAAAACAACATAAAAAAAAATTTAATGTCAAAAATTCAACTCAACTCGACTTTATTTGTAAAACACTTTAAAACAACCACAGCTGAACAAAGTGCTGTACATATGTTAAGGTGACCAGACGTCCCCAATTTCCGGGGACAGTCCCCAAATTAGATGACCTGTCCCCGGGAAAAGCTGTCCCCGATTTAAGCGTTTCATGAATGAGAACAAAAATGTTGCGTGTAGGCTTGAACAACGGTTATTACAGTAGCCGAATGGGTAGGAAGCATAAGTAAGCAGTCCTGAACAACAGTTCTTACGGGGGTTATTAGAAGGGGCGTGCGCTGCTACTAAATATTACCGCGATGTTGTCTGTGATCACGCAGCCCATGCACCCCCCTAACCTATTTTGCACATCGCACTGACGTCCAGATGTGGTCTTTGACGGACTGACCCAAAACTTACTTGATCTGCACGTCTCTTCGACATCCGATGTTTGGTGGGGAGCATTATTTGTGGCTATAGAGTGGCGTTTTGGTTGAGGTTTGTTTATGGCTCCTCAGACCGCTGTGTATTGCTATCCTGTGGTCGTTACTAAAGTTGGTTTAACCAGAGAAACAAGCGGTCGGCAACATTAATCTCTCAACGGAGTGTCTAACTTGGTGTTACGGTGTGTTTGACCCTAAATTAATTTTACGCCAGAATATACCTGTAAGTCTAAAATCTCAAGAGAAAGGTGCAAGATGTTTTGTTGTCACTCCGCAAGTGCAATTTTATTTGCTTGTGGCTCTGTTAAGAAAGATATAAAATGGAGGAAACCATAAAATAACAATTACTTTATTCGAGAGCGTGTATAAAAATTTATAGCACAATAGGATTGCAGTTATGAGATTGCACTAGCGTGTTAATAAACTTTTATTTTATTCAACCTGCTCCTGTTCGTCTCTTTGGATCCCCATCCTCATCAGCATAGCAGATAGTATTTTTCCTGAGGACATTATGAGACCTCTATTATCAGCTATCAAATTGTCTGGATCTAATGGTTCCCAGAATGCAATTCACTTGGGTCTTTTAATTGTATTCTCACTGCTTTGCAAACAGCTTCATCTTACAAACGCCAAATGTTGAGTTTGTAGCAGAGCAAATCTAGCCAAGAATCTCTAATTAAAAAGTTTTTTGTAAAAACTGAGGTATATTATGATTTAAACTTTAGGTAGCTTGAATCTGCTTTGAGACACTGTGAGGAGTTTTTAGCTTATACAGAAAAGACTGACATTTGTACTAATGTCTTTAAACCTGCAAACAGATCCAAGACTAGGAGCATTGTGACTGAGGTCCAAATGATTTCAGACTTAAATAAAAAAATATGAGCTTCAGTCTGTATATCAAGCCGTGATCATCAAATATCAAACTGAAAAGCAACTACCATGATGGCTTGTTTTATTTGAACTAAGTACAAAATTACATATTCACACACGTTGATTTAGAGTTGATTCATTTATTTGTCTTAGAACATTTTTTTTTTTTAAAACATACATACTATAAAACACACTCTCCTCCTATGTGCTGCTGTCCTCCTCCTCTTGGTCCACCGAGCAGACTATTGCAAGACAAGAGGGAGAATGGTTACCATCAGTCATGCTTAGTGAAGTTTACAGAAACTGCAGACCCCAACTAACGCGAACATCAATTTACATTTGTCCATAATAAGGAGTCTGAATAATATGGAGGCCTTAATGCATGCACTGATTTATTATGCAGGACATCGCAACCGCTGAGTCATCTTTGGCAACATTATGTCCTACTGAAGAGTGACTCATGCATTACTCTCCTCTATATATGGATTACTTCATTACTTCATTTATATGCTTAAGGCTCTGCTAAGAATCAGACCGGACCCCCTCAACACTCACAATCACTTTCTCTCTCCACCTCGCTCTCCTCCTCCTGGTCCCCCTCGTAACCCGAGCAGGACATGTCGAGGCTCCACTCCATGATGTCCCACAGCAGCGTCTCCTCTTGGTTGGACAGCTCTGCCGTGGGCGTGGCCATGAAGCTGGCTCTGTGGGCCTCCATGGCGTCATCTCGTCTCCTGGGGAGAAAGAGGAGAATCAGTGAGTTACGGTGAGTCACCGCGGCGTCTCACAGATGGCAAAAAAACAAACGCCTCCTAAACGGGGTCTGTTCACAAGTCCTGGAGCGCAGGAGAGTCTGAACTGATAAGTGCTGCTAAATGAGCAAGAAGAGAGGCGGGAGCAGGAGCCACTGAAGCTGTCGTTTAGTGAGTCACTTTTGGGATAATTTGCATCTGTCATTTTAGTACTTCAGATGTCAACAATCTGATCTGCAGTTGGTGTAAAAGCTGGTGTGAAAAAAATGCCAATATAAAACTTGTACAAAACCTTTTTCCAATTTCAGCAAACCACTGATAGCAATAAAGACAGATATGTCGGCCAAATTATCCAGCGGTGATGACGACTTTCACACAAATGCTTGTGTGAATATTGCACCCCTGGGTTCAGTTCTCCATTAAAAAGAATTGGGCAGACTCAGATTATGCAAAATTAATGCTGATATTGAATAAACCATAACAGCAAGTTAAGAAGTAATACTACTCCAGTGCCTCGGGGAAGCAGCGTGAATTAGCTCTCATCAGGACTTTTTTTTAATCATAAAGTCATATCATATGTGATTTAAACATGTAAAACATGTCACTGGAGCTTATTAAGTTTTAAGTAGTACTTGCAGGCTAAGATGCATAATGCACCACATTTCAACAGTATCACATATCAACTAGAAAATGCAATTTTTGAAGACATTGCGAGTGGGATTGCGCCTGTTAAAATTAATCTCAGTATTAATCCATTAAGAAATTCCACTTATTAAAAAACAGGGAAAATTTCAATAATTAAAAATCATCAAGTATAAGAAGAATTTGAAGTATCAGAAATGATTGAATCAGTTTGAATGAGTTTTATGTGTTTGAAGAATAAAATAATGCATTTTCACTGAGTGATTGTAAAATGGGGAAAATTTAAATGAATAAAAATCCTAAATACACCCCATAATGTCCTCAATGAGCTGAATTTTTGGAGCCCTGATGGTTTCTGTAAGGTCAAAGTTTGTGGAAGGTGATAGGGGCTGAAGTTCGTCAAGTGCTCTCGTGAAGGGTTTTAAATGTAGCCTCCAGTACTCTGTGTACTGAGCCTGGCTTCATTTGTCTCATATGGCCGTTAGAGACACACAGCTGACTGGAAAGCTGCTTCTAAGTGCACTAATTGGTAACCATGGTGAAGGTAGAAACATCACTACAGCAGGAAAAGGAAGCTTGAAGCTGAGGAAACAGCTCTCCAACTCGACCCTGGTGCTCCTTCCCCTACAATGGCTGTATTCATGATAAGGAGCTTGTGAGAACATGCAAGACTCTACAGAACATATTGATATAATTAATTAAAAACATCCTAAATGTACGCCATAATGTCCTCAATGGGCTGAATTTCTGGAGCCCTGAACGGTTTCTGTAGCTCACAGTTGATGGGAGAAGACAGGTGGTGAGGCAGACGGTCAAAGTGTGTACATGTAGGTCTCATAGACAGAGAGATACTCGCGCATACACATTGTCAGTTTGAATGAGAAGCTGCCTAACTACAGGGAATTTAGAGCCCCGAACTTCTTCACGTAGGCCGATTTCCTTGAATCCCTGAATGAAAATAAGAACATCGTAGGAATCCTGGAATATTTCGCAATCCCACTCAATAAGTGTAACACTTTTATCAGTCAAATTGGGTTTTTAATATCACACACATCAAATTTGATGGATTGCATCTATTTCTATGGACTTGCTTACTTTTTGCTGGTGCTGGATGGAGATGCAAGGAAGGTTTGGATATCCGCTGGCTGACTAGTCGGACTGGGAAGCTCCATCTGAGGCTCCACCTCAGGAATCTCCAAGATCTGACATAACTCTGTGTAGTCCATCACCTTTTGAAGGACGTAAAAGGAATATAAGTGAGAACCAAGAGGAGAGATGGCGTCCCACTTCTTCATTTTCCACCGAGACTTGCAACAAAAACTCTGAATCAGTTACCCTCTCTTTGCTGATGCTCTGGAAGGCCTCGTCTTCGAATCGCTGTTTGACTCCAGTGAGAGGCACGTGCCTGTAATCTTTGGGAACATCTTGACTGAAACTGAGGGAGACATGGGGAGAAAAAGGATTGGGAGGGAGGGGAGAAGAGACAAGAAAATGACTGAGTTTGATCCACTTTGCTCGCTGCATGCTCGTATTTAACTCTCGTGGACAAATCCTGTTACTCGTCCATTTGAGAATTACTGTTTATCGATACAATGCTCACCTATCAAAGTGACTCACCCTGAGGCACATTTCCGTGACTCAGCTGGTGATTCACCGATCAGACACACAAACACACTCAAACTCCCCCAGATCTACAGCCTCCATGCCTCCTTCAGTCTTTTATGACTCTGCAGCCCTCTCAGGGCTTCATGTTTGCTTTATGGTCATCCATTATCCTGGTCACCAGACATTACAGATGGTCTTATATCTAATTAATGTGGCTATGAGCATGCTGAAAACAGCCAGACACATCGCTAATCAATTCTGATCATGTCTTTCATAAGGGAGAGCAGTGACTGGAAAAAGTCCTGTGTGAGCCAAGGTAAAGAAAATCATCCGAGAACAGGCTGGCAGATTTTCCCTTCATGATTTTAGGCTTTGAAATTTGATGTTTGGGTAATGATAATCTGTAATTTTAACAAGGGTGTGGCTATTGTTCCACATTCACAATGGACAAACAACAAGTTGCCACTCAGTCATCCTTCACATTTTAGAAACACTTGCATCTGCTTTACCAGAATGAGAGCGGTAACTGTCAGCGTTAGTCCCGTGTGCTCTGTATTTGAGTGCGGGGTATAACACCTGCTTAGTTTGCATTGAAAGTTTTCCCAGTGCACCATACACAGATGTCAACAAGCCTCATCATCTGCCAAATTGAAAGGCTCAGCCATTATCCCACTTTCTTACCTCTGGGATAATGACTTTTTTCTCTTGCAGAATAAAGCCGTGACATTTGCAGCTGATAAATTATGAATAACCAACAGCTTTGCTCTTCCCTGATTAACTTAAACCGTGTCGTGATCTTTCTAGTGCGACTGGTGTGCATGCGCCGGCTATGCATGCAGCCTGTTACAGTCGGTCTTAGTAAATACCTTTGTTTTTGATCTTTTTGTTAACGGTTGACATGCCTTATTTGTTCTTATTCATTCCTATTCTGCTTATATTAATATTTGTATTTCAAGAGCAAGAGTAATGCTGTGATGACTGTTACCAAAGCACATCAATGACGCCTCTTCAACTCTTTCACCATCAACAGAGAGACCAAATCTTGCCAGAATTTGAAATTCATGCTAGCAGTTTTCTACCGATGGAAAAATATTCACACGAATGCTTGGAGATTGAGTGTTAGACATCCAAAACACAAGACATCCTCTGAGATATTTGTGTCGTACTGTATCTAAATGTATCCTACACTGAAAAAACACTGATATGACTCTGTAACCTTTGGGCCTCCTACAGGCATGAGTGGTTGTTTACCAGCCCACTTGTTCTTACAGGCTACAACTAACACGGACAAGAAGCTTATTCCTTTACCACGACTATTTCTTATATGTTAACAATCTGGATAGAAAGCTCACCATAATTTGTGTAAGTGTAGATAATGTGTACATTAAAAGTGCAGCTACAGAGCAGAGCAGACTTAAAGGCTTCAAACATGACACTCTTGTTTTTGTAGTTAGGAGAAATTGGCTTTCGTACAACCTCTATGGGTAATGATAGGTCGGACTTAATCTACAGAAACAGTAGTAAATAATCTATAGAACATAATGAGCCAATTAGCGTCCTTTTCGTTTACTCACTCGGCAAATCAGCTGTAAAGCTACGAGTGTCGCACAGTTTGGATTGAATGTCAATTTTCTTTCTCTGGCAAAAGGAAGGAAACTATTCAAATACAAAAAGTACCGACAGGAGAAATTGGCTTTTGTACAGCCTTTATGGGTAATAATAGGCCAGACTTTTGATCTGCTGGGGTTTGAGATTAAACGCCTATTCAGTGTGAAATCTCCCCTCAGGTGTCCTGCGCCCTGAAACTGCCTATAAACGTATAATTTGCGTCAGAAATACTGAATAAATGTCAAAACTCCCGGTGGTGTGCAGAGGTAAGTTTGATATTACAATCATATGCCTGATTTCTTTGTTAGCCTTCAGAAACAAATCAAATGTTCAGCGTGGATAATGTGAAGGTTCACTGTTAGTAAACAATCTACAGAACATAATGAGCCAATCAGAGTCCACTTGGCGAATCAGCTGTAAAGCTACAAGACAGAGGGGTAGGGAAAGAAACCGCCCTCGCTCTAAAAAGATGAACAATCCAGAGCCTCTCGCTTTAAAAACCAATTTTTTTCTTAAGTGATTGCATTCGTCACAAGGAGGCACTTAGCCTGCAGAGGTCACCGCAGATGAAGTGTCTTTAAGGAGCAGACTGAAACATGCCCTCCCTAAAGGAAGGTCATGATAACCAGCACGACTCTGCACACTCCAACTGAATAGAAAAAGGTCTGAGTGTGCCGTTGTGTAGATGCAGAGACATCCTGTGACAGTGAGCATGGAGGGAGCTTACCATTTGACAAAGAGCAGCACGGAGAGGGAGACCAGGTCTTGCTTGGAGTAGCCCGTGTTGTCGACCAACTGGCTGGGCCAAAGTGGAGCTGCAGAGAGAGAACGCAGACATAAATCAAGGTGAACATAAACACAACACTCAACTCGAGCTGTAAATTCTTTAACTGTTTGAAAGGAGTATTTGAGGAATACATGTGTCTTTAAGTGTTATTACCACAGTGATGTAGGGCTCGGGTAAGCAGCAGTGCAGCACAGGCCAGTTTGGCGGGGGGCATAGAGGTGAGATCGGAGTAGAGCAGCGACAGCTCGCAGATGTAGCTGAAGAGGTGAGTGGTCCGTCTTTCCAGAGGGAGCAGAGACAGCAGCACCTCCCCGTAGTCCAGCAGTGTGGGGCTCTGAAGAGGAAGCCAATTCATTTACTGCTTTAAACCCAAATTCTTTAATTTCTTATATTCACATATGGAGATGTTTGCTACACTTACCCTGATTTTTCCCTTGAGAACAGAGACGACCTCTCCCATCATTCGAACCAGGTCTGCGTATTTGTAGGAGTTGTCTGTGAGCCATATTGCCTCACGTATCGTCAGGATTTCTGTACTGATACAGCTGGAAAATACCAAACAGATAGACAGAAGCATTTTTAATTTATCCCGGTTAAGTGCATTATCGAAACGGGTTCAAAAAAAAGTTAACTTCTCTCTTTTATGGACTTTTTCGGTTTTCAGCGACTTGTCTACATATGTATTTCTCTTAACGTACAGTTGTTCATTTCACTTATTTTCTTTTTACTTTCTATTTCACAACGTCTTATCTCAACATCTACAAAACCCGAAATCCAGCACTTATTTTTTTTTTTTGGTTTTAGCTTCAGAATTTGTTATTTAAGCACAGTAATAGGAATATCCAGCAGTGGACAGGGTCTTGAGGGAAAGGGGGTGTTCTTGTGCGCTTTCAAGAGCTGTACTGTAATGATCTGTACAAAAGTAATAAAAATATTATAGAGTTAAAAAAAAAAAAAAAAAAGGAGATTTCCTGCGTTTCCACTGAGAAGGAAGACACGTGAAATTGTCAGAGTTTGCAGGAATGCATGCTTACCGTGAGCAAACAACCATGCAGGCAATGCCTAATAACTGGAGACGGGCCTTTGGGAGAGAGCGCAGAGACAGGTACCGGTCCACACAGCCTACTGTCACATGCAGCGTCAGGCTGGAGAAGTCCTTCATGGTGGTCACTTCCACAAGCCAGTCCACCAGGATGTACCTGAAGAAGCAGGGGAAGAAATAAATATATACATCAGTTTTACACTAACTACTTTACTGACCCAAATATAAAATTAGCTTTTTTCCCTTCAAATACATCGTGAAAAAGTCGGACAGTAATTAAGCTCCAAGTCAGTGGATGCTGCCAGTCATATGTGAAACGAGCGTACTCTTGGACAGTGAGGTGTCACTCAGTGCTGCAGCACCAGAAGGATGGCAGATGGAGAGACATGGTGATCCGAGGACAAGCTCACTAACAGCGTTAAGAGTTTTGACTCTGACATGACGAGGTTTGTAAAAAAGTAACACAGCAGAGAGATTTCGAGACTGTCCAACAGTCGAGGCATACGGGGTAACCGCTTCATTTTTTAAATTTCATTTTACTCTGACAGTTTCATTACAAGACTTTAAAAACTTTTCTATTTACGAGGTCATAAACAGAGGCAGGTAGGACTGGGTCTATTAAAAGGTACTGATGCTGTAACAGTCAGGCTGGAAGATAAGGAGGTCCTGCTCGTGGATATGAATGGAGCTGGCCAGGAGAGGGGTGGTTCTGCACACTGTTAAGCCTCTCCAGGGTGTCGTGGTCCTAGCTTGAGGAAACACCAGTAAAGGGAGGTGCCCACTTGATGACCACAATGATGTGCTGGCTCTCACTGCCCACCAGTGTCATCTATCTCAGGCGGTGGGAGACATTAGGATCCATGTGGTAGGCTATGAAACTTGTCAGAAAAGGGTGTAATGGGACTGGTTTCCTCACGGAGAGCTCAAAAAAATCCAATTCAAGGTCTTTTCCTAAGAAGGGGGAGTCGTCTTGCAATCAAGGTCTTCTTATATTTGGGTCAGATTACATCGTCTGTATCAAATTGAAGTGGATGAATTTTGCTGGGTGGAAATATGATATGTACCCTCTTTCAAGGGAGATTACTCGCTTGATTCTGCAGGAAGTCTTAGACCAGCACGCTGATGTTCGTCTTCTATTTCAGCGGCTCTTTACTAATGTCATTAAAGAAAGCTGAGATGATCCAAACATACTGAGTCATCTTTATGACTAAACCTGGATCTTTTCATTGTCCATCATAGATATTATTCACCAGTGATGCCTGTTATATCATATCATGGCGGACATCTGTTCCAGTCTACCTCATGGTGTCCTTGATGCCTCGTCTGAGGATGTCCTGAGTGCAGTGACGTGACGCCGGGCTGCAGCTGAAGAGCTGAGCCACCAAGTCAGAGCGGGCTTTTGACTCCAAGCCCAGAGGATTCCCACTGCTGCACACTTTCGCCAGAGAGAGCTGAGAAAAAAAAAAAACATTACAGTCGATGAGAAGTTACAAATTGGCTTGTAAATTCAGTGAACTGACAGTTATCTTTCAGCCGGGCTACATTAAGAAAGAAAGAAATAGAGGGGGTTAACAGATTGCTGCCGTTTTAACTTAGAGTTCAGGAGAGTCACATTTTTGTGATTGAGTGCTGCACAACAGCAAAGCTTTCAGAAGCAAATCACAAGAACTGTAAGTCAACAGGTGCCAAGCCCCCTGAACACAGCTTAAAGTGTTTCAATAAAAAATACCCAGCTGTGGACAGATGGAGGAGTGGGAAATAAAAAAAAGAAGAGAGGCGGAACAGAAAAAAAAGGAAAGAAAGAAAACATGACAAATGAAAAGCTGTCACACACAACCTTTCATTTTCATTGAACCGCTGAGAGGGAATAAACCTGCAGGCTTAATATGAAGGTTATCACAAGACTGAGAACGCACTGGAACACATCAAAATTGGCTGCCAGGTTTATATAATGGCAATCGTGTGCTTTCAATCACACACACACACACCTGTGCCCTCCAGCATCCTTTGCCTGCGTAGTCCCTGAGTGTTCTCACATATTGGAGGTACCTGCCTGGGTCTGCAATCTGAAAGACAAAACAAGAAGTCCAACTGAGAAAAAACATAACTGCTTATTTGATCTAGTTATCATATTTCCCTGCAGATCTTCAATTTGTACAATTGAATTTTCTCTAGTTAAAGGTGTCCATGTCTTCTCTACACACATATATGCCTGTGTTTGAGCTTAATATGGAGAGAGTTGCAGGTACGGTCGATATGCAAGAAAAAATAGAAAACTGAATCAAAGGCTGAGACTCACTGCTGTTTTCCGGTTGTACTCCCACAGCAAGTAGGAGCTTGGCAGACAGCCGGCCTGTGCAGACTCTTTGAGCATAGATATGGCATCTTGGCGCTTTTCATCCGCCTAGATAAGGTGAAAAACAACAGACCAGCGTGTAAAAATCAGTCAAACACCGTTTAACCAAAACACAAACGCTGCTGCGAGGATGTGAGAGACAAATCAAGGTTCTTCAAGCTGTGTAAAGTAATGCTCAAAGGATGAAACTACAAATGTCCCATCTTGAGTAGCCCCTGTGACAGCAGCTCAGAGCTTTTCACCTTCTCATTGGGGCTCATAGAAACTTAGCAAACCACACCCAAACAGAGTCAGTCTCAGTTTCACACTCACTTCAAATAGCTGCAAAACTCTGGCCAAACAGTGCAACAATGGTCCTCTCTTCTCCTGCAGAAAAAAAAAATAGTTGTGCAAAATGAGTAATGCACTTGCAACAATATTCGCCGATAATACTTTTCACCATTTCAGATTTAAGAGCGACACCTACCACGCTACTCTCACATTCAGCCTTAAGATGGTGAAACACCACAGCCTTGCAGCAGCTGCCGGTGGATGACCATGGGGGACGGATGAACACCCAGATGAAGGGATCTATTGAGGGGGAACGAAGGCTCTCTGCAAGGCTGAAAAAGTGGGATGCTTTCCGACCACACACATCTGCTCGCCCCTCGTCACTTAGAAATGCTATTAGAGAGGAAAAAAGCAGAGCTGTGGACGAGGTTGCTGCACACTTATTAAAAGCAAAATTAGACCTTTAAGGCCTAACAGTGTCATTATACAATGTAAGTGTTTTATTATATCTTTTTAATAATTTGCAGGAACCCAAGTAGAGCATAAAAAACTGGTAGAAATCCTCAAAACTGAAACCATCTAATTCAAAAATGGTAGGTCAACTTACGTCCTTCATTGTACAAATAAGCGATCCCTAGCTTCACAGCAGCTTCAAAGTTCCCTTTTTCAGCAGCTCTAAAAAAAGCAGAACATTTTCAGATTAAAAGGAAAAAAAATAAACTCAAAGAAAAGACAAATAAATAAATGTTGAAGTAATGTTTTAAAAGTACAGAAGTGGCTGTACCTTTCAAAGAGCCATAAGGTTTTTGGGCAGGGCCAAGTGTCCCTAAAACTGACCCCGGCCCAAACACTGGAGTGGTTGTCAACAATGTCCCGCAGCTGGGAGTGAACCTGTGACAGCCGGCAAGTGAGTTAGTGCCTCAACAAACCAAACAAATCAAAATGGTTACAGGAGGCCTATGTGATTGGCAAGTGAATACTCACTGCTCTGACAGACAGCAGGTCCTCAGCAGAGAGGGACTGGAGCACATACAGGAGGATCTCCTCAGGTAGAGACAGCAAGGTGAGGGGTGGCATTCGCTTACGGACCCGCTTACGAACTGGAAGCGGGTAGCATTTTGAACAATGGCAGTGGATTGCTGAAAAAAAGAAGAAAAAAAAGAAATACATGTCAGTGTTAAGTCTGCCCCTCTGGAGTTTCTCTAACTTTGGTGCTCAAAACTATTTCACATCTGAGTGCTGGGCTTACAAACTCTTTATCACATTGATGTCAAACAAATACTGGCACTGCATTTAAAGCAGGGAAGTGGCCACCATGGTAATACACACTCAGGCAAAAGGTTATGGCTCCATATTTAAACTCCTAACGTAAGGCATCTCCGGGTGGTCCAACCAAACACTATATTAACGCGCAAAAACATTTGAATTCGTGAAAAGTCAAACGTTTAAAATCTACATGTTAAAGCAGATAAACTTAACAAATTAAGCTGATAAAGTTAGGTTTTCTATCGATGGAGAACTCAGTGCCTGACTGAGAAGTCAAACAGGGTGAGCGCCCAAATTTCCCTCCCCTCTCTGAGACCAAATACAGCTAACGTTTGGCTACAACAAGGTTTCCTGACGTTTAAACCATTATTTTAGTTCAGGAATCACCGCAGATGTGATTATTAACACAATGTTGTATATTTTAGATAGGTAAAGTCACCTTTAATCTATTTTAAAGCACAGTAATAACTCATCCATGGATGCCCTCATCAACGTCTGTGTTAGAGTTAGTCAGCTAGCGGTGCTAACTCCCATTCATTCCCGTTATTTAACACATTTAAAAAGCATTAAACTTTGACTATAAACAAGCCAATAAAACAAGTTTTAGATGACTTAAGTTGCTGAAGTTACTTACGGTTCGCTTTCATTGCAAGTGCAGAGTAATCTCCTCCGACAGCGGTGCTTGTTGTAGCTTCAGATCTGGGCAGCTGTTTAACTGTTAAAATCCAAGCTGGTATAAATGGTACAGATATTTACGTACTAATACAAGCAGAAAAGTGAGGTTTACAGTGTTAACATACCGCTTACGTCCTCTGTTTTGCTGCAGTGCATGACTAATATCTTTACAAGTTTGTCGCTCTTGCCTCGATTCAAATTCAAGCACGCGTCCTCACTTGAATGGCCCCGCCCCAAAGCCGCTTTAGGACCGCCCGCGTTAACCGTTTAAACTCTTTCCTATCGTCTGATTGGCCGTGGGAAGTTACGCCCACATACTACATAGTAGATCTATGATTGGTCGCAGCGGAGGAATGTTGAGACGATTGGTCTGATTTTGAAAACAGTCAAACCTCAGAAGGTGATTGGTCAACGTGACGCGATTTCGAAGTACGCGCTCGTCGGTGAGCGTGTTCGATTGGTTGACCTGATTATGAAGAAAGTTAGCAGACCCTCCTGTTTCCGGTGGATTGTGGGAAATGTAGGGGAAGTAGAGGGCTCCGTTTAAAGGCACCAATTTAAAGGGACAGGCGAACAGTCAGGGCAACGGAGACTGGATCCCATCAGAAAGGTTGTTTTTTGGTTGAAAACTGGTGAAATACAGAGAAGTAGATCGTCAAAACATATAATCCATGATCGAGGTTGTAAAAATAAATAATAAATACATTTTAACATTCAAAATTTAAATAATAAATGTGCAAATAAGCATAATTATGTAAATTCTGTACACGTAAATATTTTTTTTATTTTTCTCTTTCTGTATCTATAGTATCCTGCTGTAATTTTGGAATTTACCACTCTGTGGAACTAAAAAAGGAACATCTAATCTTATCTTATCTTTTTTTATCTTAAAAAATGATACATTTTTAATGTTAACTATGTTTTCAACAACTAGTCTTGTATTTGCTGATTTATTTCTTTGCCCAAAAACTAAAAGTAGATGTCAATTATGTCATTTTTTTATCTTTATCTTTGTTTAAAAAAAATTAATAGTATCAATAGTATTATTATTCATAATAATAATAATAATAATAATAATAATAATACTTATTATTATTATTATTTTTACTATTATTATCATTATTATTATTATTGCTGCTGTTGTTTTTGTTTTGTTTGTTTTTTCCTGCCTTTTAAGGTAATTTACTTCTTCATTCAAACTTTGTGCAATTTCAGTCATTTTTCTGGCCTCTTTCAGCATGAATAAATTTTCAGTTTATGGAGCATATTCATACTATTTGTCCTTCAACCGTTTTCACAATTATTTAACTTCTATTTCTTTTTCACCTCTTAAACAGTTTTTACATTTACACCTTCCTCCATTTTTCATTAGCAGAATTGCATTGCTTTTTCAGTTTTCAGCGCTCAGGAAATGCAGTATTTCTAGTTATCATTATTATTATTCTAACTCCTCTTAAGAAGCATCCCAAAATAAAAAATTAAAGTTAAAACAAAACAAATCAATAAAAAAATTACAGAAAACTAAGCCTTTCAGATAATAAAGCCAAACCAATGTGAAACAACAGCAACAAAAAAAAATATGAAACTGAGCTGACATTGAAACATTTTTTTTTTTTTTTTTAAATTTACAAATGACACACTTAAAGATTTATTGGATAATGATAATGGAAAGAAAGTCAAATGAGCCAGAACTCATTGCCATGGATTGTTTTTACATGAGGTCTGAAATGTGTTTATCTGGCAGTGCTCTTGCTATTCAAAGTAAACAACCGTTGTCAAGGTGTCGCGAGGGGTTTGGACCAACCAGAATCGAGTGTTCAACACAGCCGGGTGAGTGGTAGGAGAGTCGAGTAATAAGTGCTGCTAAATATAACATCATCAACATATGCTAAATTCACACATTGCATAAGCCTTCCACGTAAAATAAACGCCCCAGTGTCCATCTGCATGGCTCTGGCTCGGTAGAAGAGATCAAAAGCAGGGGTGGTGTTGAGCCAATGGTAAATAAGCATTTGCAGACTAAACCAGAGGATACAATGCCTGAAGTACAAACAATTTGCTGTATTGGATGGGTTAATCACTTCAGTCGAGAGAGGCCCAGTCTACTCACTTGTGATCAATGGTGAAGTACAAACAATGATGCCGTTTGAGCAAACAGGGTTGTTGATGCATTCTCATCATGAAGCACAATATGAAATCATGTCGGTCGCCTTGCTTTCTTGCAAACATGCAAACACACATCTGCGCAGTACTCATCAATGTTTGTGTGACCAAGCAGGGAAACAGTAAACAGGGAAGGCAGACCCAGCGCCTGTCACAGCTGCCTCTGAGAAAATCACAAAATGATTAAGACAATTGTCCAGAATCCCCATTGTGAGTAAATGGACTCCTGATCTGGCTGAATGGTTCCATCTTGATTACTGGTCCTTTGAAGACAATCATAAAGGAGCAGAGAGCACTACCGGCGCTGTTTGTTCCTTTCAGTCACTCTATTGATCTGCACATCACCCGCTCATCCAATCTCATCATCACCAACAATGTGGAGTACTCGTGTTCGGTAACCTTTTCCAGGGCTGCTTTGAAAAAGGAAAAAATGCATTTTACACTTTTCCTCTGCCAGTTCAGAAGTACTCACTATTTCATCCATCTTTTCTTGTCTCTTTTCTACTTTCCTAATGTTGGTCTGACGTAAATATATATCTGCCATTTTCTCCGTGTTCACTGTAGCTCCTACTCAGGCTGCACTTTATATAGCAGGTGTTGTATGATCTAATTATGTTGTAGCTGAGTGACCTCAGAGCTCGCAGGGGCCTAATCCAGCCTCAATTGGAAGCAGTCCTTGTTTCCATAGAAACTCAAACCCTTTACAACCATCTTCCCGGTTAAACACAAAGTGACCAGTAATGGCTAGGGAGAAGAAATCTGTTTGTGCATTTAACCCTAATTGAAAATAATAATACAAATAAAACCTCGCATGATGTGCCTGTGCCATCCGAGTCTATAATTCTTTTTCCATAAGCGTCCATTTTCTCTCTGTATAATGTCACTGTTGCTATGAGGATACTGCCTACCGCGGTGAGAGGAGTTTCATCTGAAAGAAAAATGGAAAAGAGTGACATTTGTTGAATGACACTAAAGGATGAAAATAAGAGAAAATAGAAGAAAACAATGAGAAATAAAGGGAAAATGTCTTTGCCTGTTTGTAATTAACAGTGTTTCCAATTCATGCTCCAGAAATCATGAAAAACAATATAATTTCCAGTTTGTATAATTGCAATACTGCCAATTCTTTGGTGTGTTTTATCCAAACGCTCCTCATCACATTTGTTTTAATCATAATACCTCGTGAGAATGCGTTTTAATCTTATCTGACTTAATTTAATTAGCCTGGCCTGGCATTTGCGATCAGTCTCAGACACAGATCTGACGAAGAATCTCAATAGAACTCCATGATTATTAGTTCTGAGCGCTAATGAGATTTTCTTGGATGAAATATTTCTCTTCTAATAACTGATCTCTGAGACGGTAAACTCTGTTTGTGAAGTTTTGCATTTGGCAACACCAAATCAGATCAGGCAGTTCATTAAACGATGGGTGAACGATGGCTAAAGCAGAGAAAGAATGAGGATCCTCCACCTGAGAACATGTGTGAGGTTTTTGGATTTCAAACAATCGCTCACAAACTTCCTCTTCTCAGCCAACAAAAATTTTCTTAACATTCAGTATGTTTACAAGGGTCATCAAACTGGAGTACTAAGCACGGGCAAGGATCGAATTATTGACAGAAGCATGTCACCACCCATTTTCAGCTCACTGCTATTGGGTTGTCTCCTGGTTGACCAGTTACCCATCAAAACAATCAATAAAATGTAAGCAAGTGGCTAATGGGATTTACATTTAGCGATAAAAAGATGGTAACTTTTGCAGCACTTTACTGTTTTTTGTACAATAAGAAAATTTAATTTCTTTCACGTCCAACAAGATTTTGTATCATATGTTAGTCCAATAAAGAGAAGTTTGATTTTCTGCGATTTCAGCCCAATTTCAGTCAAACTGATGCAATAGATTGATTTTTTTGGAAACTATGTCTAAGTTTGTTGTAATGTAGTTGGTTTGCTATTGCGTTTGTTGTTCCTTCTCGTCTGGGGCTGCAAATCCAGAAATCTGTGGCATGTGAAGCAATTACTCTCGTTACTTAAACTCAAGTAATAATTTGTCTGCACTTGTATTGGGTTTATATTTGACCAGGAGTATCCAAACTTTAACTGTGTCAGGAATCAGGTATGTGGCATCAGGTATGTCTGCTGCGCCTGTGCAACATTAAACTGACATCACTTTTGAGCGGCTGAATACTCAGGTTGGAGGCAAAGCTCTGGAGTTTGAGAGGCGGATGAGTTGCTCCCATCTGGTTTCCTGTAATCTGCCCTGACCCTTACAATCTTCCCAAACTTCCACGTCATCTGCACTTTACCCCCTTTGGCCTCCCCACCCTTTATCCAGACCTAAACACTGTCCACTCCCACAGTTTCCCACTGGCTGTAATTCTAAAATATGCTTACGCTCATGAAAAACAAATCAAACCCTTGTTGAACTAAGCAGTTCTATCACTCTCACCCACACAGACCTTTATATTATTAACACACAGAGTATTTTTGTCACCCTGAGGGTGGTTTGCCTGTTTTATCATTTACCAGCAGAGGGTGTTGTTTTTGCTGGCTAATAATATGCTGTAAGGTTGTCATATTGAAGAAATAATCCTCATATTTCTGGTAATATCTGTATATTTGTTGAACAAAAACATCTTTTGCACATTTAAGCTCAATGGGAGTTATGATGCAATGTGCACAGGGTTGAAAATAGATCCAAACAATAAATTTCCTGTTCTCCTTGATAATTACTCCCTATCCGTCCCCTGTATTTAGCACTTGGTCCACACACTCCTCCACATCTATCAGGGTACGTCTTATTAGCTGTTTTATAACTCTGACTGTTGGTGTTGGAAATACCAGGGGAGTTTGATGTTCAAGCTACAAACCAGATCATCTCAAGCCGGTGTGCTCACATACCATTTATTATACAACAATTAAAATTTACATTTCAGTAGAAATATACAGTTGAAATATAAAATCATCATATTTACAGCACCAAATATTAAAGGGCACACAATGCACATATATTGTGTCACTCACCTGAGCGACGTACAACATATAGCAGACAGCCTGGCTATCTACTGGGTGAGGGACACATTTCCCCTGCAGCACAGAGAGGTAGACTTTCCCTTATATATTTTCACAAGGCAGAAGGGAAATCCCTTTACATGACTAGCAAACACAATCTGGTCACCTGTTATCCATTCATAGTGTCAGCACAGTGGCACAATATAGCTTGAAAACTGGCAAAAACAACAATGCAACCACGATGTATAAGAACAAATGACTCTAGACGGGGTAAAAGTGCACAATCTGGATGCATTTTGTGTTATAATTGTCGTTTGTTCTTTTTAGTGTTGGCTAATGAAGGTTTAGAGGAAACTAACTTTAATCTGTTACCTGGGTATTTTCACTACCGCTGCCAATGATGTATGACGTCCCCTAAGAGCAACACAACTGTGTTCTGGATGGCTGATCCCAATCTATCCGCTGGAACAGTTCCCCAGCTGCACATAAAAGTAAAAGCAACAATTTTCAAGGTTGCTTTTCGTCTTCCACCATTACCTCCTCATTTCCCTCTCCTTCGATTTTAATTAACCTAACAGACTTTTGTTGGCAATAACAATGCGACAGAACGTGAAAATCTGAAGATTGGTTGCAAGTAATGTCTTCAAGAAAGGGCCCATCCGTTGCTTGGAGGCGGGATGCGATTGATGCAGACTTGAAATCAGCAGGCTGGCCTTTTGGGCATGTCTTTGGCACTGTGTGTTAGCTGCTACCTCTAGATGCATAGACACATTTCACTCAGCAACAAGGGTCACTAATCGGGTAACTAAAATCAATGAAACAGAGATCAATGATACTTCTCAAGGGTAAAGACTGCTACAACACTGCTGTCCACATGGAGACAAAAGCTCTGTCCTCCTTTACATATCTATACACTCTGTACAAGCGCCCTCTCCTCTGTTATCCTGCATCTTTGTGATATTTAAGACAAGAATTAAATGTTATTGTAAGTCTCCTCCTGTGAGACCACACCAACAAAAAGCACCTATTCACAGACGTAGAGTCGTGCGCAGCTACATTCATTCACTCTCTCAGAAAGCATAAGTGTGGGAAAGGGAAACCCCAGAGCCGCTTAAAGCACAAACCTTCGTCATTATTCACCAGAGAACAGCCTTGTACCCTATTTTTAGCCCGACAAAGATTTGCCACTCGGGCTGCGTCGATATTCTTTCCACTATGAGAGAGAAAATGATCTACGTTCTTTGGCACAGACGGATAACGACAAATGCTTGGACTAAGTGTTTGTGTGTCAGTAAGCCGTGCACACTCCCGGGGTTTAACAAAATGAGAGGAAAACGTGGAAACGAGTCAGTAAAACTAGAGGATGGAGGGAGGTGTTTGGGGTGGATGAGGAGAGAACAAGGGGGGAAATTCTTAGGGGTTCAGATAGAAATGGGGGAATGCAACAGAGCCTATTTCCATGAGTGCTTGCTCAAGGCACAAAGCGGGAGGGGCCCTAGGGGAGCAGGATCAGTCAAAGTGTCCCTGCAGTGGCATGTCCCCTCATGCAGTGTCCTTCAATAATCCTGGCCTGCCCCGTGGTGCCCCATGAAGACACTAGGCTTGGTGTAAATGCTCGCATAACAACAGGAGGGCAATTAGTCGGAAAGTCAGTGCCCTCCGTCTTTGTGTCGTGAAGATGAAGCTACAGAAGGCCTTTCGGAGCTTTACCAAAAGTCTCTCATGCTTGGCATTTATGGCCAAATGTGCAAATCTTTTGTTTCTTTGCCATGAAGTCCCGGGGTCCAGCAGTCTTTCAGTTCACCAGAGTCAACTTGTGCGCAGACAACACCATCCGCTTCCCCAGCAGGTCCTTTGGCCCCTCCACTTCATCATCCATACAGATGCCAGCAAGATCCTGTTGGACTCAAGTTCCACTCTCCCGTTGCGTAAAAAAAGCCCCCAACACATTGCTGCGGTGTCACAGGACGAGTGAATGACGCCGGCCGCTGACGTGGGTGAGCTGCTCTTTCGGATGGGTATCGGGTTGCCGTCTTTGGCCCACTTCTGCCCTCTTGGAGAGTCACCTGTCCTGGCAGAAGGAATGCTGTGACTGACGTGCCTAGTGACGCCAGCGTTGACTCCAGCAGCAGCTCCGCATAGCGTGTTAGATGTCTGCGCAGGCTTCCACCGGTTAATATGTGACTGTGGACTGCGAGGGCCATGTATCCGTGCGTGTGAATATGCACGCAGTGCGCCGTGCATATTTGTGCGTCTCCTTGGAGGTTGTTTTGACACTGGACACCTGCTGTCTGATGATAAAAGAGTGTGTGAGACATTGGTGATCCCTCCTTGCCAAACCAAATGGTCCAAAGCTTACAGACTAAACAGATCCTTGGAGTCCTGTCTATCTGTCCATCCACTCCACGATTTCTCAGCCCAAGTTCTCACCAGTATGAGCTGAGGCAAACTCTGTGATAAAAGATAGAGGGGATTTGGCAGTGGGAGGTGAAGTAGCAGCCGTTTTAGCTAACCTCTGAGCTCCCGGCCTTGGGTATGTCTCTGCTACCAAGTTCCTTTCATAGTTTTCTCTGTGCGCCCTCAGAGGGGACACTGTTCAGAGGTGAACGATCCCCCTTCTTTCTTTTTCCTCCTCTTCTTCTTGTGGACAGTCCAACAGGCGGTGGCCGTCAGCAAGAGCAACAGACCCATGACAAGCAGCACCACCGACACCACTTTAGTCTGAGGCAGGTCGTTATAGGTGTAGGTCACCCCCGTTCCTGCAACACCAATCACCAGGGAAATGATCCCAAAAGGAAAGATGCAGCGGTACCACGACTTCTCCATGCCACCAGTGGCTTGAGACAGGCGCTCAAGGGAGGAGAGCACCTCCGGGACTTTGCCACCAGCAGCCTCCAGAGACTGACCCTCCTGACCCAAGCTGGTCTGAGGCTGGGTTTGGCAAGAAAGGTGGCCCGTCGTACAGCCCATCCTTACGCCGTGGGCTGGAGGATCCTGAAACGAGTTCGCAGCGGCCGCCTCTTGGTTCCTGTTTGCCGTCAGCTTGAGCCTGGAAAAACAGAGAGAAATAGGGAAAGGCAGAAAAAGAGAGGAGGGAGAAGGAGGTCTTGATGAGACTGTAAAAAATACAGGAGCGGGAAAGGCTGTAGTGTGAAGATGATGGCTTCTAAATCAGCGCTGAAATCCACTCACACTTTCCCCTTCTCTGCCTCCCTCTCAGGCTCTGTCTCTGTACAGTGCTTGCTGGCTCTCTGGCAGCACATTGTACACTCTGCTGTGAGTAGTGGAGGGGGATATATAAGGGACCAGAGCAAGGGGAGGAGCAGAGGAAGAAAACGGGGGAGTCCGAGTCCTCTGATTGGTCTTCGTGCGTGACGTCAAACTTTGAAGCACAGAGAATAGGGGTTGAGGAAGCTCAGTAAGGGGGAGGGGAGGGGAGCTAACAGCCCCTGCTTTTCTTCATCTCCCCATCACTGCCTCTCAACCGCAGTCTTTTTTGTTTTCCTGCAGATCGCCAGCCCTTGGGAATACAGAAACCAATTGCTGCCTGGAAATCAGAGGAGAGAGGGGAATCCCTCATCACATTAGATCGGAAAGCTTTTTCCATTGTCATCACCCTCCGCTCCGACAGCACAGATGTGTCACCTCCATGTGCCAATGATACAGTAATGGTGTTTCCATTGCACTCCGCCGATTCTTGCTAAGGCATCGGCAGCCTGCAGAAATCCTCCAACCACCTACACACTCCTCCATTTATATGCATGCAGGCACCTGAGAGCACTGATTTGGAGGAGGAGATCAAACACTCAGTGGCTTTGATATAAAAGTGTAAATACTGTCATAAGCATGCCCACACGTGACGGAGAAACACTCCTGAATCCAAAGGCAGTCCCCACTCATTTTCCACCCCCACACACACACACACACACAAAGTCTGATGGTGCCTGTCCTGTCTGAATGGACCGCAACCTACTAGCAGTCAATCCCCCGGTATGCTGTTCTCTCTCATCCATGAAAAGAAAAATCAATGCGGACAGCTCTCCGCATTTAAACTTGCTAATCTCACTCCTTCGCTTCTGGAGAGTGACGTTAGGGAAGAGTAAATGTGCTGGCACCGCACTCAGCATCCGTGTTTTTCATCTTAAGGTGTTACCGGCTGAATTTAAGCAACATTATGTTCCCCTGCACGTCTGAGGAGATTTTTGATGTTTCTGAAATAGGGCACATTTACATTTTTCACTATTAATATTCACAGTAAACCACACAGTTGACTGTTAAAGAGGCCCCAAAATTGACACGAATAAAAAGCTCCTCACTGGTGCTTTAAATAGTATTCGTTTCGTACAGTAAGCCCTGATATCTTTGCATTTCTTCACCCCACCATATGGCCAGATGGGAATAGCTGCATGGGCTACGTAATGGCATGACATCACAGAGACGTGACACAGTGTTGCCTGCCAGTGAATTTAATAAGGGGGGGAAGAGCACGAGATAGTAATCAAAGGGCAGCAGTGGAGGACATCCAGCATTTCGTGTTCTTTCCTCTCGGTATGCAATTATCACAACAAGAGGACGAGCTCAGTTTGAAAGCTTATTTATGATTCGTCCATAATAACCGATGTTGCATTAGACCTGATGAACTTTAAGGGTCAGATAGGAACACATGGTACCCCCAGGCATAAAAAAGTAGGACTGAACAGATCAGATATTTTGGAACCTTTCCCAACTTTGCTGAACTGAAGTGAACCAGCTGCTTGGTGGGAACAGGCGAAACAGTTTTCTGGTGTATTTAAAGATACTTGTGTTTAATGAGTCAGCCTCCATATGGTACTTCAATGATAGGAACCTTTGCAGGCATAAAAACTCTAAGTCCATGACTCCATCTTGAACAGACTAGTGTGCCATAATGGGTTTACAAAGAAGCGTCCGTGCATTTGTGAAAACCTAGCATGAGTCCAGCTTAGCAACAGGTTTTCTCCTCATAATTAGATAAAAGGAATTCTGCTCTTTCATGCTCGCAAGGCGCACATTATCAGATTAGGAGACGCCTAATGTCCCCTTTTAAAAATCAAACATGCCTCCTTCTCGGCATGGCGACTGCTTTGTAGTTTAAGGCCGTGGTTCTTTGTCTTTACTGGAAAATAAAACCGGGGAGAGGAAGAATTTAACATCTCTGATGAAGCCCGACATGCTGGATAAACAGAGGAGAGAAGTAAAAGAGGGGGAAGTAGACTGTGTTTATATACAAGAGGCGGGGTCCAGGAGGAAAGGGGTTCAAAACCGACGGGGCATTCAAAGAAGAGAAGTGGATTCTTGGTAGCACTGTTTGGTTTCTGTGGATTTCCACTTGGGTTCTGAGTCTACTGTGGACCCAAAAGGTAAAAAGAGACAGAGTAAAAAGAGTGAACAAGCAGGAAGGCATTTGTACCACAAAGAAAGGACTATTCAACTCTGTGTGACACACAGTAACGCTGACACGGAAAAGAAAAAGCAGCCCCTCTGTGGAAAGACAAAAATTTCCTTGTATCTTCCATCATGTCACAAAAAAAAAGAGGCGTGAGAAACGTGGGACAAAGCCGTGAGACCTGGTTAACCTGGGCAGGGCTCGGGCCATGTTGATGGGAGTGGACAAATTCTGCAAGAGCCAGGCAGCAGCTGATGTATGCAGGTCACAGGAAGGCTGAGTTGCGTAGGCGCCGCTCCCACTGGGACCTGTGTGTAGTGTTGACGTGATCTCAAGGATGCTCCCCTGCCTCCTCCTCCCTTCACACACTCTAATCCAAGAGTGTTTGGGAAAATAAGGCTGCAGCACACTCCTATTATCCCACACAGACGACGTGCTCCTGCATACAAGAGCTCTTTCAAACATTTGAGTGTATTCATAATTCAACCAGAGCGTACTTTTTCTAGCTGTCGTGCTCCTGTTGTTTCAGACACAGGTGGCTAAAATAGTCCAGCCTCTTTCATAATCACTATCCTCAGGGGAACATACCATTTCCTTCTCCCCAAGAGCATCGTCTTTGTGACTCAGCCAGCTTTGGGTGTGCGTATCCCCACGTTTGTGTGTAGAGGAGGTTTGGTGCAGCAGGGCTCGAACACCCACGTCCTGCTGTGTGAACCCAGCGCCACCTGTCGCCCAGTCTGGCAGAGTGCGTGCCATCCACACGTCATCTGTGGGCAAGGTCCTTTTGGGCTCCTCCAAGCCCTCCCGCATCTCACATACGCTCTCACATCACATATGCGCCTTCATGATAAAAAATATTCCCTCTGATCACAGAGACGCGGTATCAGCCCCAGAGGTACGATCTACCCTTCAGTGGATTATAGATTTTCTCCCCCTCCCCTTTTTTTCTTGCTCATCTTATGGTTGAGCCCACACACAATACACTGAATAGCTGACAAGCGCAATCACTCACTGCGAGCTCTGCAGAGCCTCTGATTGCCAGACAGTAGGAGGACAATGGTTCACGCGGAGGACGAGCTGGAAGTCAGTGAAAGACAGATTAAAAATAGGACAAAACTCTGCCTTTGTTCCTTTAAATCATTTTAATTCACAAACACAAAGAACACTAATTAGTATTCATGACTTTTCTTATCTTCATATACGGCCAAAAATTTAATCCAATCACATATTTTTACATTTTCTTTGAGTTGATTCTCCTCAGTCACCTGCTTTTATTTTCTACTCACTAACTCTGTAAATTGAGCGCCCCCTGCTGGTTGAGTCAGGGTTTGAGTGCTCCATAACCTTAGGTTACATCTGCTATTTCACAGTATTATGGGTATTAGTAGTCATGGAGTATAATGATATTGCCAGCATTCAAAAAATAAGCTGCTGAAAATCAAGTTTTCAGGAGAAAATGGACTGTAATTATTTTTTTTTACTGTGTTAGCAGCTGAAATTGTGATTTTATGTCAGAAGTTGTGATTCATAAAACAATTTTCACAAGACGCTGTTAAAAAAAATTGCAAAAACAATCATGAAAACGAGCTTATTATGATAAAGTTTGAGTTCAAATCCTCAGTCCTTTTTTCAAATGAATATAATGAGACCACAAAGCCGTAGCAGATCCAACAGAGCGCCTCCAAGAAGAGATTGTAAAATTTAATTCTGCAAAACATCTCCCGCTCAGACAGTTTTCTCTGTAGACTCCCTTCGTGATCACTTGAAAATGATTGCAACCTTCACCACTTTCCAGAAACCTGCACTCACGGCTGATTTCTGCAGCTCGGTCACAGTTTAACGAGTGTTTAATTGTAATCCACCTTTTATCCCTTTGAGCTCACAGTTTTAATCCTTAAAGCTCTTCTAGGAGCCGATTCTGCAGAGTAGCATCTGCTACAGACACTATAATACTCAAATTGGGTGGCTGCTCTTAGTTTGTCTATATATATTCTTTCTGTTGTTAATTAAACTAAAATAAATTATTCATTTTCTTTGAATCAAACATGTTATTACAGGACTGCATTCTTAGACATTTATCACACATTAAACTGACCGCTCTATTGATGCTCAGGCTAATGTGCTTCAGTTTAACGGTCTCTTAAAACCTACCATACTCTAGTTTCCTTGAATGTTGCACTGAATTGCATTTATTCAGACTTTATTTGTCTGTTCTGTGCAAACAGAGGCCGACAGAGCACTCAATAAACCATTGAATCAGTGTCTTATGCTCTGTAGTTAATCCGGTTCAGTGTCCAGGACTACTGAAGGGAAACGCTCTCCTCCTTCCCCCAGCAGGGAGTACATGTCTCTCAGCATGCTGATGTTTGGACATCCAGGCCCAGGTATTGTGGACAGTAGCTGAGGGGATATAGTGTCCAACAGAGCCTGTTACATAGAGAAAGAGACGTGATTTTATTGTATCTATGACCACTTTTAAACACAGCAGTCACACATTTAGGGATCTGCATTTGTCATTTCACGTCCCGTACCTGCTCTAGGTGAATTTCTTGTTCCAGGAGGGCCACTCTGATCCTCAGCTTCTCCACTTCTCTGAGCTCTGACTCTGATGTGTAGGTTACTGTCAGAGGCAGGGGTGCAATTATCCCATCTCCCCACACACCACTCACTCCAGAGGGACAAAGGCAACCTCCCTCGGGCCTCCATCGATCCCAAGCTTCCCACTCTGATGGAAAATACGGTTATTTTTAGAGCGTGAGCGTGAGCTACCGTACCCTAAAACGTTTTCCTGCCTCAGCTTTAAATAGCCAGGCCCTTGCCTCGCCACGTCAGGATAGACAGCTCTAAAACCCCACCGTCACAGCGTAGGAGAGGAGGGGGGGGTTGATATGTCGAGGCCAAGGAAAGTACTGATCTGGCGCTGAGGTTTCGCTGCAGCTCTGTTTTCATTTTCCATGCGCTGAGATGGAGAGGCTGCATTAGCTCGTTAGCGCGCCACATTCGTCACAATCATTTCTGAAATGCTGTTAAAACGCAATAAGAATTAATCCCCATCTGGAAAGAGCTGCGGAGGTGTGACAGGATGTAACCATCACAAAATACCACACAGGCACCAGGTTAGAGAGGACTGTCATAACATACTTGTGCTGCACTGGAGCTAAAAGTGGTCAACACAAACAAAACTCTGTCCCTGAAGGTGATACGGTCACTTGAGTGGTTTGAATGGAAAATCTCAGGGTGTTCAGTTTCAATATAACTCTATCATTGGAGGTAATGGAAATTATACCCTCTACATACTGTAGGTACTAAGTGAGTGATACCTTGACACCCAGACGCCTTAATTCAAACACGGCTGAGTAATCAGAGGCAAAAATGGGGTCATGATTTCTCACACAGTATCGTCTGTAGAGGGCAAAGTCTTTGCTGCTGAATAAACCACTTATATACTGTTGTTATTGATACTTTTCTGCTTATTAAAGGGATATTACAGCGTAAATTTAAGTTCGGAACAAACACACAGTGACACCGAGTTAGACACCGCCTCAAGAGATGAATGTTGCCGATCGCTTGCTTCTCTAGTTATACCAACTTTAGCAATGACCGCACAATAGCAAAACACAGTGGTCCCCGGAGGCACGTGCTCAACCAAAACGCTACTCTATAGCCACAAATAATGCTCAGAACAGCACCTAACTTCATCATAAGATCCCAGCCATAGTACTAGACACCAAACATCTTTTTAACTTTGCCTAATTTCTTCAGCAAAGAAATGCTTGTTTGTAGCGAGACCTCAGACCAGTCCATTACAGACTTCTGCGGGGTTACGCAGCTCAAGGAAGAACATTTATGATCATTTCTTTATCATTTCCTTGAAGTAATAATCATCATATTAATCATTTTGCACCGCAGATGCTGTAGTTCTTCTGCCTTAGCGTCTCGGTCTGATTGCATTTCCATGAAGAAATGATAATAAATGTTCTTCCTTGAGCTGCGACACCCCGCAGTAGTATGTAATGGACTGGCCCGAGGTCTCACTACACAACAAGCGGCTGCTGGAAGAGAGTAGGTGAGTTGTGTTTAGTCTCTTTGCTATAAAAATGTTTGATGGCTAGTACTATGGCTGGGACCCTATATGTCCTGTTGATGAAGTTAGGTGCTGTTCTGAGCATTATTTGTGGCTATAGAGTGGCGTTTTGGTTGAGGTTTGCGCGTGGAGACATAGACCGCTGTATATTGCCCCTTTCAGAGGTGCGCAAAGTTCTTCTCCTCAAAGTTTTTCTTCACCTGGAATATGTCCTGCTCGGCCCCTGGTATCGTTTCAGGTAAAGTCTTTTTGTTGATGCTTCACCAGTGTTGTGTTTAGTTTTTCAAACTGCGGCTGCAGCATGAATCATTAATGTGGAGGTTGGTTTGCAATATTCATGAATGTTTTTTTTAGGTCATTAACAGGGATACATTTTCTGTAAGTATGAGGCTCCATGTCAGTATGAATTATTAAGAGGTGTTTGTCCTCTGAGGGTGCGGGTGCGTGATCAGTATAGTCAGGTTCATTTCCAGGTGAGAGCTCCTGAAGTTCATGCAGGACTTTGTTTGCAACTCTGACGCTTGTCACTATCAGAGTAAGACGATTAGCTTCTCTGTAAATCTTAATGATAGACTGTGAAATAGAGAATCAAAACACACTCCTACATCTCTGACAATGCAAATAATGAGAGGAGTGATGTGATATAATCATGTCCCGGTAGAGTCACTGAGCTTTCCAGCTGCTTCAACTACATGCATCAGCCTTATCTCTTTCTTCATCTCCCTCTATCCTCCTCTTTAAACCCAACTCAGTCTCAGCAGATGACTGTCTTACATGAGTCTGGTTCTGTTTGAGGTTTCTGCCTCACTCAGTAGCTCGCTCAGACTTTACTCTGAAATGATACTAGGGGGCTGGTGGGAAATATGCCTGGATGTTGCTGTTTACACATAAAGCTCACCTGGGTAATTTCAGGAACTTTTGTAATGTTATGGTGAAGTTTGGTTGCTTCTTACCTTTTTTTGTTTGCTCCGCACAGACCTGAAGCTCCGCTGCTCTCCTCTGCAACTTCTCAGGTGTCAGCCTGGAGTCATACTTGTCTTTCTCACCACCTGCTTATAAAACAAAACATCAAAGTATGAGGAATACATTAGCAGGAGGTATGCGTTAATTAGTCTCACCTCTGTAGAGTCTCTGCAGAGATGGTTTGGAATCTCAACTGTTTATTTCTGCTTTGTGAGGCTGGCTGGCATTGAAAAAAGAGACTCAACCCTCATAAAACTATCAAAATAGCTCTCAGAGAGTCCATTCCTGCCAACTCCCTGAGCTGTCTCCTTCCAAATCTCCATTTTCTCACCCACAAATTTGTGTCATCAATCTTTTTCTTTCCTCTAAATTCCCTCATCGCCAGTGTTGTTGTTTTTTTTTGGTGTGTGTTATCATGTCCAGTCTTTTTACCTAGCTCTGTTGCTGCTGCTGCTGGGACTTGCTGGGCCAGGCACTCGTTCATCTGGTATTGCTGGGCCAGGTCAAGGCCTTGGTGAGTCAGCCTGTCGACCTTAGCCCTGGTCTGATCTGGGCAGCTGCGAGGCCAGTCCTCAGGGAACTAGAGAGAGGTCAGAGAGAGCGGGTCAAGGACAACACGCTGGATACAAGACTGCAAGAAATGAAAGTGTGACAATTGAATTTTTTTCATGGTTGGGCAATGGAAATCAGTGGAGAGCTTTTTCCAAAATCAACATTACACAACAGGGAAACCATGTCTAGGGCTTCCCAATGGGCTTTACTAGGAAAAGGAAGGATACCATAGCTCTCATTCTCTCCATGTAGTGACTCCTCCCAGGCACAGGTTTCCTCTGTACGGCAACAACTCTGTCCCACAACCTAAAGAGAACATAGAAAGTGAGACACAGAAGCTGTAGAATCAGACTAAGACTTAACAGACTTATTTTAGTCACCTGTTTTGTTTGCGCCGTAGAGATTTCCACTTTACAGTTTGATCAGAAGCTATCCTACAAAAAGAAGAAGACAAAAACAGATTACAACAATTCAGAAACATGTCTGCTAAATGTGTTTCTCTTCACAGACATACCCACTCTGTGGAGGCGTCCCGGAAGCTACAGACTCCCCTGCATGTGAAACAGACACTGTGTTATTTGAAGACGGTGCGGATTTGGCAGCAGCTTTGCCAACCTTGCTGCCACTCAGCGTGTCGCTCTTGTTTTTGGAGCGGGGAGGTGAGGAGTGGAGCTGACCCTGAGAGCCGGACGCTGAGACACCTCGCTGCAATTGCCTCGATGCTTTGCTTGAGATAACAGGCTTTTTAAGCTCTTTTCTGTCAAGACTGGCAGATTTGGCGGACAATCTGCTGGTTGGATTTACTTTGGAGACTGCAGGTGTCTGCTTTCTGTCCTTGCATGTGACAACAGAAGTGGCTGGTTCCCTGAGATGTGTGGGTACTTGGATCCTGTCAGGGTCTTTTTTAGAAGGTAGTGTGCCAGTACGGACCCGAAGGGCTTTCTCCAAGGCTCGCTCAAGCAATTCTATGTCCTCTCTCTCCCCTGATGACGCATCTGTGTCTGAAGATAGAAAAAGAAAAACATGCAGTTACAATTGGAATATTCAGCGATATAACATTAAACCTTAAAGCTCCTGCAGAAACATAATATCTGGGCAATAATTGAGCTCATATTAGAAAGCAGAAAAGCTTAGAAAAGCACTCCAAATTCATTTAGAAGATTCAGAAATAGTCGAGTAAAAGATGACCTTAGAGGCATGAAATATTAAAAAAGGATTAATCATAACTTTGCAAAACCGTTTTATCTTTCTTCCCTTGGCTGCAATAACAAAAAAAAGGTAAAATTAATGCTGTTATGCAAAACTACATTTCATTAAATAAGTTGTTTGTTTTACCTGCGGCAGCATGCTCTGCACAGTCTGCATCCTTTGTCTTTGGTTGTGGTGTTCTAGGGACAAAGATTTCACATAAGTTAGGAGAACCAAAGTCCATTAAAATTACACAATAATAAACTGTAGTAAATTACGGTTACACAGCTCACGTGAGATGTTTATTTAGAAATCTTCAGGTTGCAATAATGTGCTAAACTGAGTTGTTGCATTTTGCTGCAATTAAAAGTCAAGCTTGAATCAAGATGCTACTAATGCCAAGTTACATGGCAGGGATAGTACCTGTAGCTACACTCTTACTAGTCAAAGAAGTCTGCAGTTTCCTCTGCTTATACACCTCACAAAACTACACCTGTCTGACCAGCACCTGGTATTATTGTTTCCTTTTGCTTCTGTAATTAATCAGCAGTTGGCAAACAGCTTTCAGATGGGTCGCAGCCACCGTGTGCCAGATATGCCACATTACAGCCAGACCATGTTGAAAATTATGTAAAAACATGTTGATGAGGAGAAAATGGTTGCATAAACCACACTACGACTCATCCTTAGTGCATGTGTCTTTTATATAGATTTGGCAAAACTAAGCTACAACTTCTGGAGACTCATAAGGTAACATTAGCTTGTATATGTCAGAAAACAGCAGATTTCAGAAGTTAATACTGTACAGTCAACATTTACTGCTTAAAAGATTTGTCTCAGTAAATGCAAATCATCTTGGTATTTCGACTGTATAGCGTGGAATAGTGCTGATGAATTTCAATTGAATATAGAAATCTTGTGAGCTTAAGCAATAAGGCACTGCTGGGATTCGAACCCAGGATCTCCTGTTTACTAGACAGGCGCTTTAACCAACTAAGCCACAGCGCCGGATGGATGCCCCGGGACGCCGACCTTTGACTTAAACATCAACTGTAATTGTTGGTATGAGACTTATAGTCACCAACAGGATTATATATATAGAGACGGATAAAGAAAGCTTCACTTGCAGCTCACTAAGTAAGTGGTTTATCACACTGACACTTAACATTACTTTACACTGAACATCTGCCTGTGAAGAATTTGGCATACTTACCTAACAATACATCCACACAACGTATAAAGCCTATATAACTTTCGCCATCATCTCACATGCAGTACTTACAGTGTCTGTAATAATCCTCTGTAGAGTTGAATTGTGTTATTTATCTTTGCTTGCTCAGCTTTGCAGGATTTGATGGCTTGCTTGACCGCAGACAGCAGTAACGTGCTGCTTTCCTCTGGTTGCCGCTCCGCCATGACAACTTTAAAGTTAAGACTTACATGTAGTCAAACTACTGTTTGGAAACAATAAGTGAACGCTAATATGCTTTTAAATAGAAGCAAACAAGTAACAAAAGTGAGAGTTGTCGAGTGAGTAGACATTTCCTTGTAGCCTGTAGTCCAGCCTTCTCGTGCTGAACCGCGAAATCAAAAGAAACGGATACGGAAGTCACATTTTTCTTTCTCCGCCAGAATAAAAATCGTTAAGAAGCAACAACATAATCATGACCCAACAATACATCCAACTTTTGACGGTAAAGAAAAGAAGAAAATTTGCTGAACAACTTTTCTAACCTCGTCCTCATGGCAGTTTCTCGCGAGAGTTGTCATGGCTACTTAGGACGCTACTTTTTCAGTTGGGACCAACAAACTTGTATTTAGGCCCCGTCTAATAAAAACACTGACTTTAATTGAATGAAAAGTACACATACCATGGCTGCATTACATTAAACTGTGTTGTGTGCTGCTGTTGTGTGCTGGCATATCAATCTAGAGCAAACCTGAGTAGGGGAGAGTGGGGTAAGTTGAGCCAAAGGGTAAGTTGAGCCACCCCCAGTTGCTTGAAAATGTTAAAAGAATTGATCATGTGACCAAACAGGGGTTAGACATTTATTTATAAAAACAACATTTTTCACTCTTGAAAGTGAATTTAGTCTGTCATAAGTTTTATTAGAATTGTGTTCAGACCAAAAAAGATCATTTTAAATTTGTAGTAGGTAGTAGGGATACGGCTCAACTTACCCCGCTCCTATGGTCAACTTACCCCATACACGGGGTAAGTTGACCATAGGAGACCACTTTTTTTTTGGCATGCTGTATTATCAGAACAGTTCTGTTTACACACATTCTGTTGGTTTGCAGGGATGCACAACATCTTGAAATATATGCAGATACACTAGTTAGAGGCGAAACTATGATTGCCTTGATGTAGTGATCTGAAATATGAAAAATGGCTCATCTTACCCCACGCTCCCCTATCCTGCAAGGGTGTGTGTACATTTTATAGACCAGGGGATCAAACATGCACCTCAAAGCTTAAGGTTCTTTTGTGAAATTTTCATTTCTTAAATGGAAAAATTTGCATCCAAGAAAATTACGCAAGCTTTGCCAGTCCCCACTCCATCTGAGTTTACCAAAGTCCTCCTCCTCGATTACTGAGTGCCACAGAAGCATTTCCTAAAGCATTTTAATTTAATGGCAACAGCTTGCTGGCACCATTGGAGACAAGTGAATCATCATGTTAGCTCACTCACTCCCCCCCCTTCAACCAGCCTCCTGTGGCTCTGTAGCAGAGCGAGGGGTATACTCAGCTGCCCCGCCAACCAAGCATCTGACACTGCGACCGGCTGCCAGACTACAATAACAGGCTCTGTCAGTCACACACATGCGGCTACTCTCTCCCATATGCATACACAGACGGGCAAACTCATCACACACATGGATCAAACAGGCAGGCTGATGAATACAACCTGCAAACAATCAAGTTACATGGATAAATCTGCTCAAATACAAACAACCATCTCATCATAGACGTCATAAACAACATGCATGAATCATTCATATCAATAAATGATTCAAATACAGAGAGTTATTCCAACACAAGACAATATGAACATTTAGGGCTCAACAGTGGAGAGATGAGAAAGATTCTGGTTGTGATTGTGTTAATATTTTTGTGTTTTTATTTGATTAAATTACACAGTTTACTCTGCAAAGATTATAGACCATCAGCCTAAATTCAACTCAAAGCCAAAGTCACCTCTGTTTATTTTCACTTTGTTAAATATCACAGAAAAATGGAAATATAGAAAATAAAAGCCTGCATGCACAAGCTTATTGCTGACAGATGTGTCTGCTGAGGTTTCCACAACAACAGAGTCATTTAGTTACAGTCCCAGATTTGATGATGTTAGGTAGCTCTGCAGAGAGGAGATTAATGAGGACAGAGTGACCCTGGGTCACTTTATACCGACACACTATGTCAAAAAAGTACCAGGCTGATTTAACAACACTGCAATAAAAACACGGTTATGTCAGAGATAGTGCACAATGTTATGAGCTTAAATGAGCTGCAGCTTTTAGCAGCTCCTGTGAGGCCTTGAGAGCAGCAGATGGTAATTTTATGGGATAACAAAGAGTGAGACGAATTATTACAGGGTAAATATCAGGACTATTTAATTTCTGAGACAGCCTTGGTGTTCAAAAGTGCGCACAGAAGAAATGTAGCCAAACATGGATTCACTTTGAAGAATTGTGGATCAGTTGTGGATCTTCATCGTTGGCGAACTCATGTATGTGCTTAATTTTGTTTTATACATACTGTATATATATATCTTTTCCTTCTGGACTGGTGTCCCAACATGTTTGGGGTGGAGGTTATTATATAATATAAATAGGAGCATTATGACCCTTCTGTATGTTTATCCATGTACAATATTGTTGATGCTCAATAAAAAGACATTCACTTCATTTCATTTTATTTATCTTATTATTGTGTCATGCACAGGAAGTGCCCAGCCTGAGTGGGCTAACAAGACATCAAAGAAAAGACATATAATAGCAACAAGATGATGGACAGATAACAGACATAACAAATTATACATATAAGCACTCCTGATGTTTTTTCCAGGCCTCAGAGGCAAAATAAGCTAATTTAAACACATTAAAGTTGAACAACCAATTCATTCTATCATAATTCACTCTCCACTTCACTGAGATCACATAATTCACACAGCCTACCATCTTCTGGAATATTTTTAAATCTGCCAATTTCAAGATTCAAGGGGAGGCTTCCTGTTCTCAGTTGTGCCAACAAAGACCTTTGGTTTCTTGTAAGGTTTGCTCTAACATACAGTTCAGGGCCATAACTGTGCTTGAGTTGGATGTAAGTTCTTAATTTAGGTTTCAATAAAATATCGTTTAACCACTTAGTCTCAAACAAAATAAATCACAATTTAAAAAAAAAAAAGAGTCTGGCTGGAGGTTAAGGCCTTGTTGTTATAGGGGTAGGCTACTTGATGTCCTGGTTGTGCCCCTCAGTACTGCACTAATCTATGTTTTTAGCACAAGACAAATAAATAAAAATAATAATAGATAAAGTATAAATACTATTAGAAGCAGTAGTATAGATAATAATAGCAGTGACAGTAGTTTTAAGTGACAGCCATCCCTAACCACTTAACCAACGTGCAGTCTCAGCACTTCCTGTGGAGGAGCGCCTGACTGCTCGTGCATTCAAGTGCAATCAGAAAAAAATGGAAAATATTGCATCGGATTGGGGGAAAAGCTCCTAACTTGGACAATTTTCTGAAATTCCGCAATCTCTTAAGAAGGCAGGCATTAAGAAGCTTAATGAGTTAACAGTACACATAACAGCTACTCATTATTAATATTAAGGTTGTTTTTCAACATTTCAACTAAATTACGTCGAACTCTCTGATTGAAACTGTCCGAGGGCCCATGAATGCAGCATATGAGCAGCCGGGTGGGGGCGGAGTTGTACGTGCAGTTCTGTCCTGGACCTATGATTGTTTGTAGTTATCAAGCACAGCAGCGGAGTGAAGGTTTGTCCGGTCAGTATAATACCAAAACCTTTACCGTAAACCGCGAGGATGCTGGCAGAATAAATGTATCGGTCCTGTAACTCACTGTACCGCTGCTGTTCAAGGCTGTAGTTTATTAGCTTGTGAAAAGGCGAGCTAGCTGTTAGCCAACTCTGCTAGTTAGCGTCATCCAGCTCAAAGTTAGCTGCTGTGGTCAGAGTGATGCTCCCAGCAAGTTTAACAGAGCTTGATTAAGATGTAGCAGGAATTTAAGTTGTTTTTTTCGATCAATCTGAAAGGTTTTCCGTCGATCTGAGAGCGGTGCCTAACTGAATTGTTTCCTCTTTTAAACCAGTAGCTTCCTTTACCTCCCAGTTATTGTCAGATTTCTGGTAAACGCCAGAAGGCCTGTGATTTTGGGGTTTTTTTGTTTGCTTGTGTCCGGGTATTGCTCACAGAAGGCACGCTGGATCTTGTCTGATTGTGTCAGCTTTCGTTCTCACGTCATTTTATCTGATTTTTTTTTGGGACTAAACCAGGTCGCAGACTTGAATCAGTTGAACTACCTGAAGTTGAAGACATCTCAGGAACAACAACAACAACATTGTGGTGATATCAGTTCCCCCCTTTTCCAGACCTCTGCTGTCTCTGAGGTAAGGCTGAAATAAAACTGTTTATTGACTTGTCTTCTAACCTGAAGATGAATAATAAGAGTGTTGTTTTTTAGTTTCTTTTACTCCTCATTTGTATGTGTTGTAATATGACTGTAAACAATCTTACATGTGATAGTTATGGGTGGCCAACAGGGAAGAGCTTTTTCATGTTTTACACACAAATAGTCAGCTCAAAAGTTTCAAGCTGTGAGTTAAACCTGTGTTAGAGTAATCCCAGGCTGCACTGAGCGGCTTGCTCAATATGTCACATGAGAATTAAGGAAGATGGACACAGGATCATGACACCGCTGACTGGTCCATCCTCTTAAAAGAGCATAACAAACAAAGTGTAAAATTAACTTAGGGTCAAACACACTCTAACACTAACTTAGAAACCCCATCAAGAGATGAATGTTGCCGACCGCTTGCTTCTCTAGTTTTACCAACTTTAGTAACGACCACAAGATAGCAATACACAGCAGTCTGAGGAGCCATCAACAAACCTCAATCAAAACACCACTCTATAGCCACAAATAATGCTCAGAACAGCACCTAACGTCAGCAACAGTACATATAGGGTCCTAGCCATAGTACTAGCCACCAAACATCTTTTTAACTTTGACTAATTCCTTTAACAAAGAGACTAAACACAAGTCACCTACCCTCTTCCAGCAGCCGATTGTTTGTAGTGAGACCTCGGGCCAGTCCATTACGGACTATAACGGGGTGACACAGCTCAAGGAAGAACATTTATGATCATTACTTCATGGAAATGCAATCAGACAGAGACGCTAAGGCAGAAGAACTACCGCGTCTGCAGAGCAAAATGATTAATATGGTGATTATTACTTCAAGGAAATGATAAAGAAATGATCATAAATGTTCTGAAGTGCAAAATGATTAATTAATTTAACATAGTCCATAATTACTTATATCCTAATCCTGTAAACTGACTTCGTTTTGTTTCATCAATGCATGAGCTGTTGTTGTTGTTGCTGTTGTTTTAATGTTGCCGCTGTCACCTGTCTCTCTCTCTCTCACCCTCGTTCTCTACTCTCTCTCCTTCCCTCTATCTTGTTCTCTTTCTCTCCCCCTGCCCTCCCTCCTCCTCTCTCTCTCTCTCTCTCTCTTTCCCCCTATCTTTCTGTATTCTTTCCCAACCCAGCAGCGGCCTGGTGGCTGTCTAGCATGAGTCTGGTCCTACCTAATCTACTGTGATGTCTTTCACTGATTCTAGGCTGACCGAACAGACCAACGGGAACAAAAATGTCAGCTGAGAAGATGGAGACAACAGCGAGCGTGTCCAATGGAGCAGGGCCAGTGTATGAGGAAAAAGAGGAAAAACTCAGGTACATTCGCTGCTGCTTTTCTAACACTTTTGTTTTGATGTAAGTCTTGCTTGTGATGGGTCTTGTTGACACACATATTTTGACCCCAGCCCTGAGGATCTGTCTGAGATGCTGGCAGCGGGGACGAAGGAGGTTCACGAAAAGGCGGAGAACACCCAGTTTGTGAAAGATTTCCTCAGGGGACGCATTCGAAAAGAGCTCTTCAAGGTCAGCCTGAAGTGAAGGAATGTATTTGTAATAATTTACTGAATGAGTGAGGAAATGATAAAAGTAAATGTGCCTAGGTGAAAGGGCAAAACTTGTCATTTTCAACTCTGCTTTCTTGTTCCCCCAGCTTGGTGCTGTTGCACTCTATTACACTTACTCAGCCATGGAAGAGGAGATTGAAAAGAACAAAGACCACCCCCACTTTGCCCCTCTATATTTCCCCACAGAGCTGCACCGTCATGAGGCCCTGGGCCGTGACCTTGAGTACTTTTATGGCCCTGATTGGCAAAACCAGATCAAATGCTCCCATGCCACCCAGCAGTACGTGGACCGAATTCATGAAGTCGGGCAGGAGGACCCGGTGCTGCTGGTGGCCCATGCCTACACTCGCTACATGGGGGACCTTTCTGGGGGGCAGGTGTTGAAAAAAGTGGCCCAGAGAGCCTTGAAGCTGCCGCCCACAGGCGAGGGCCTGGAATTCTATCAGTTTGATGCCATCCATAGTGCCAAAGCATTCAAGCAGCTGTACCGCAGCCGGATGAATGAACTTGAGCTGGACGTGGAAACAAAGAAGAAGCTGGTGGACGAAGCTGTCAAAGCTTTTCACTTCAACATGGAGGTGAGAGTCCAGAGAGAAGGAGGGAAGATGGAGATAGAGAGAGGAAGAAATGCAGGATAAGTTTGGAGACTTCACTGGGTGATCTGCTGCCTGGTGGTGAAGATATGTGGTTGTTTGTTTTAAACATTTACCTTACATGCTGTATATCTTTAGGTGTTTGATGAGCTGGAGGAGATGGGCAAAACCATCAAGGAGGACGTTTTGGATGCTGGCATGCCAGTCCATGGAGAGATGGGTGGCGACATCAGCAAATGTCCCTACTACACTGCCAAAATGGGTATGCTTTTGTTATTCTTACACTGAGGTCTTGTCCACCCTGAGGGGGACTCTCTTTGGCACAACAACAAACTGACTAAACATCCTCTTGTTTATTACCCAGCTGCAAACTGAACAATCAAACAAGGTAACAGCAGGTATCAGTCTAAAGACGGTTTTAAAATGGTTTATTTGTGCAGTTGACTTTGACGGCTAGCCTAGCACGCTTTTCATGGCATTGAGTCACTTACGATGAGGCCAAACATTTTCAGTCTTATAAGATTTTTTGAAACAGATGCAGGAACTATCAGCAGTTTCATATAAGGTCCTCTTTTCTGTTGGCTTTCCTGTTTGTTTAAATTGCGGTGTTGTGCTTTGTGGTTTCTTTGTGTCTGTTTTCTTCAATTTGGTTGATGTCTCTTTGACTCAGCTTCAGCGTTTTAACATTCCTCGTTAATTCCTCCTCTTTTATTCCACTTCTTGTCTTCTTTTCTCTGCTGTCAACTGGTCAGCCATCAACAACAAATTTAAAGTTTTGTGCTCCCCCTGCAGATTATCAAAATTTTCCATCTTATTGTCCACCGATGCCGTAAAAAAGTCACATTAAAACCATGATAAACAGTGCACTTGATGTGCTATAACTCCTTTTAGCTTCTTTATTTCACATGTGTGAGGTGTGATCAGATTGTTCCTGGTGTTGCTTTCGCTATTTAGAATTAAAAACCATTGTCAAGGGGCTTTGACCAATCAGAATCCAGTGTTTAATACGGCCAGGTGACTATAATACAATTGATATAAACTTAATTATAAAGCTATCGTGATCTTCTTCTTCACAGCTGCATCAGGTGGATCAGCGTACGCCTGTCAGCTCGCCATGGCTGTTCTCCGACACCCTACAGGACAGGTCCTGTTTGCTACATGGTTTGCTGCTCTGGCCGGATTGGCAGCTTGGTATCTGATGTGATCCAGCCGTCACTGCGTCACTCTGCTGCTGTAAGAGAAAGAGAGAGAGGGGGAAAGACATAGGAGAAAGGACAAAGAGACAGAAACGTCCCTCAAACTGTGCACATAGTCTCATAGTTTCATACAAACATTCTGAAGAACGGGTCCAAAGTTTATTTTTGACACAGGTTTTACGATTAAGGGTAACTGACAGGAAGAGAACAACAGAATTCCAATGAAACGATCCATAGGACCACATGGATATCAGCTCCATCCATCCATTCTTACATTCATCCATCCATCCACCATTCATCCATCCATACCAGCCATCCAGCTTGCCATTATTCCACCGGTGCGTTCAGTCATCCTCCAAAGTCAGACGTTGGAGCTGGAAGCGTTCCAGTTAGAAGTCGAAAACAGAGCTTGAAAGTAGCCCCTGTCATTTTTAGCATTGTTAGCTAAACCAAGCAATAAAAACACACTCTGTGATAGTTTATACATGAAAGCAACATGACAACATGTCCGCAGGTAATACCCGCACATTACTACCAATCATCGGTTAAATTACGCAAGACAAGACAAAGTTGAGTGCAGCTGTTTAACGGTTAATGCAGGGCTGCCGTTTTGAGCAGGAATTCCGACTAAAAGGAGGTGTACCTTTGAGCGTCGGGATTCCCGACCTCTGAGATAAAATTGAACACACCACAAACCCCTCCCCCTTGGTTGTTTGAGTTCTCTACCTCCTACCTCTTTATTTTTTTTTTCTCATTGTCACCCAAAACACAAGCAATGCATTCCTATGACAGTTACTGAGTTGATCTTGTCACTTACCTGCAACGAGTGCGCTGCAGGTACAGATTCTCACTGCTTCCATGCAATGTTGTCATTTTCACAGATTTTCCTAATGCATGTCAGTAACAAAGTCGCAACCAGCTGCAGGAAGGATGTCCATTTTAACATTCAAAGTTTGTGAAAAGGTTCCCTGAGATATGATAAATTTTTTAGTGATTAAGCAAAAAAGGGCAAAAAAAAAATACTTACATGCAATCAAACCAAAAGGTGTTTTTGCTTAAAGACTAAATCTTAAATAACTCCCCTAAATTAACACAGCTCCTCCATTTTCCGCGGATCAACTATAAATTTGCTCAACCCATCTAGATTGAAAATCGGAGCATTTAGAGGCGAGACCATCTATGTTCAAATTGTTAAGACATACTATGCGCATGTTATGCATGAATACTACAGCACAGCGTGGTTTTGCAGGGCAGACAGCTGTGTTCATTTTCAATGAGGCCTTGGTGTTTTGACACAAAATCTCTTAATTTTAACAGCGACAAGACATAATGTATGAGGTGATATTAATGCAAAGTGGTTTCATGTGATTTTGAACTCGCCATGTAACTGTAACATGATGTGAAATACAGCGCAGTGTAGGCCTCAAATGATTCCAAAATCTTTGTCTATGTAAAACAGGAGTCGGATGCTTTCTTGTTTTCCTAAAATATAGCACACCTACACTTGAGCAAGTGTACGATTTATTAAACATCTTTTAGATAGTTGTGAATATTCCAGATGTGTAAATCTTGACCGATGCATGTTCAGTGACTTAGAAATATGCGTAAAGGCATCTTATACTCCTGAAAAAACTGCCTGTCGTTAACCGAAACGTGCAGCTTGACTTTCCCATGATCAACGCAGGAGCCTATATTAGGACAAAAGTGAGAACTGAGGTAATGCAGCTGTTTTAAAAGGAAAACGTGTTTTTATAATATTGATCATTCGTCCACATGGAGGCGGAACAAGTCTTGATATTGTGGTTTATCATGAGCTACTTCAGGTAAGGTAGTGTCTGTTTAGTTTGATGCTTTATCCATTTGTTATGATATCAGTGCGCATCATAACTGCATCATTTATCATACTGCTCTGTACTCAAAACTGTTTCTGCAAGTGTGCAACAACCATGACATGGAGGAGAACTTTGTGCTGTGTGTACTGTATGCAGTGTAATTGCACTAATTGAAGTTGAATATTTATCCTAACATGATTATGAAAAATAATTAACTTAACTTTACCTTTCCATGCATTTTTTCCCCCTTTTTCTTGGGTTTGTTGGACACAAGGTACTGAAGGAAACCTGCAGAGAGCATCATGTTATCCAGGCCCCTTTTGCTTTTTGTATTTACATGACACACTCACACAGAAATTAAAGTGCAGTATTCCTTTAATAGACTGTTTCCTGTAGGATTTACAGCTGCAGTGCGGCTGTTTGACCACAGATGTGACAGCTGGAGAGATGATGTGTTTTGGTTTTAAGAGCCTCAGGGTCGTGTTGCAATGCATTGAATATTAAAGACGAAAGCAGGAGGTGTCCTAATATACTCCTGTCCATGCATTGTTCTATGTTCTTAGTGCCAGTGTGACGTGTGTTTAACCTCTGCAGTGTTTTTGGACATATGAAGGGACCCTTACTTGAATCTTCAAAAGTTCAGACATCTTTAAACATCGATTAAAACTTAAACTCAAGTGAGCGAACGCTTGACTCATCCACGGTGGTTTCTAATTGTTTTGCATTTTCATTAACTTTGCTCCTAATCCTTTTGTTTGTGAACGCTGGGAACAGACATGCTTGCAGTTCCTTTTTTAAATCGTGTTACCTCTGGATCACAGGTAAACAATTTCATTTCCCAGGATTAGAGAGGGTTGTTTTGTTGTGTTAAATGAAGAAAACAAAAGCCTGTTGTCTCGGAGTAATGAGACATTTCATCAGCTGAGGATGACTTGTTGGTTTTTGGAATCACTGGATAAACAAGGAGGATATTAAAATGAGTGTCTGGTTCGTGTAATCACATCACAAGCCTTTAAGAAAAGAGTTATGATCATAAGAGCGGAGGAGTCATAATTTAACGGTTATATATTCTTAAGTGTGATGGTGCGCTCTCAAATCCATCATTTTTATCTGGTTGCTGCAGTTTTGTGCTTGCTGGCATGGCATCAGATCTCTGAGAAACCCAAGTATCAGGAGTAACTACATTTTGATGAACATTTCAAATCTCTGGGGTCACCTTGTGATCTTGAGATTATAGTGTCAAAATAACTGCAAGCATGGCTATTCTCTGCACCTTTATGCTTTCTTTATCCTACCGGGCGAAGCTTTATTAGTGACCCTCTAGTCTGCCTTCATAGTGAAGTGAAAATGCAGAAATATGCTGTGCTGTCTATTGAAATTAATGATTTTTTTTTTCCTGCTTGTGCTGAAATAAAGATAATTAATTTGGACTTTTGTCTCTGATTAATTACAAATTAGGCACAAACTACAAAATCAACGAGCTAAAACAAAATGAGCAATTTCTATTCTGTGCAAGGGGGACAGTGTCAGCCAGAAAAAAGTCCTGACATTTTCAGGGTTTTGTATAATGTTCATGTGTTTTATGTTAGTTGGTAAATTATATCACTGTGAACACCACGATCTGATTCAGCGTTAGCTAGCTAGCAGCAGTTTCTGGCCTTCTGATTGGCTAAATTGGAAGCAAGGCTCTGATTGGCCGGATCAGACTGTACTGCACTACATACAGTCTCCGAACAGAAAAGCCAGGCCGTCATACTTATCGTGATTGACACGGCAGTTCTTTTAGATTTACTGAATCATTAGAATCAGTTCACTAAAAAGATTCGTTCACCAAGTCACCGGATCACGTAGCACTTGGGGAGAGAAGCCTGTGACTCCGACCTCCTGAACTGATTCACAGCTAAACGTTTCAAGATTCAGGTTTGTGAAATGAATCCGAACGATCTTCTTTCCCCATAAAAAAAATGGCTGCAGCCATATTTGTGCAGTATCTCCAATGAAGGTGAAAACAGTTTTTAGATACAACCAGCTAGAACTTAATGGAGGCAAAGCATTTTAGCAAAGTTTCCCAGACCATAGCTTTATTATAGATGTACAGTAAATCTTCTCTATGTGACACATTGATAAAGTCATATCATCAACAGCTGTCTAAGTACAAATGTACAGAAGGTGCTTAATGCAAAGGGCTAAAAGAGAGACAGAGTCTGATCATCTGTCTGCAGCTTCACACTTTCCAACACCTGACCTGAAAGGTAAATTTATATTAGATGAAGTTGAAGCTTTAGGGGGCATCATTGTGAGGGAAAAACTAGTTACAGAAAAAGAAAAGCAAAAGGGGGTTGATAACGGGTTCATTTAATTACAAATAAAACGTTCGACTATATCTGTAGACTTAGTACAATAATTTATGACTGTGCGACTGGATTATTCTGTTTTCAGAAAACCAGCATGCACCACCTGCTGCGCTAAATGACAAGTCTTTGTTGCTTTGTGAAAGTCTGACGGAGAGGTGATTGGCACACTGGAGCATCCTCATGTATGTGGCTTCACTGAGCGGTTTATGTTCTCCAAGTCTGGGTGGGTGGGTGGAAAGGTTCTAACAGATCCACCAGAACCTTTGTGGGCCTTCTCCAACACGGTAATCCAAAACCACCTGTCTGTCCAAATGGCAGCTCTTGTTTCCCTCTGTCCTTCCTTCTGGTTTGTGATCTACTGATGAAGCTCCTCAGTTCCAGGACCTTTTGCCTGAGAAGAGAAAGGAAAAGGATTTAAAAGCAGCTCTCTGTAAGCCAAATGAACAGAGTGATGCACTTTTTTTTGCTCTGTAAACTTCTTACTGGAGTCTATTTAACAATTTACCAACCGGTGAGTGTTGGTAAATACTCATACTGACAGGGTTCAAGCATCAGGGGTTGTGAATGACAGCCACAAACCAGAAAATTAAACACATTTCATAGGTGAGGAGCAGGACACAAACAGCGGGACTTGTGGTGTAATTCAGTAACAATCCTACCTGGTTTGTGGCTGTCATGACGAACTAAACAAGCTCTTTAATTTGGAGAAGAAGCCCCCCTCGTCTTTCAACTCTCCTTCCTTCTTGTCATGCCCGCTTTTCCCTGTCTCAAACTGCTTACCACGGCTGCCCCCACCTGGACGGAGACGAACACTGCATGAGCCAGGCTCGCTATTGAGCACAATTACCTTTTCCTAACACTGTCTTGATAATCCTCGATAATAAGCACTACATGGAGAGACAGGTGATACAAATGTTGGTGAATCTTCCTCTTACCTGTGGTGGTGGCAGTGACTCCGTTCACCGTCCCCTCCACGTCTGTCTCCTCCTCGGCGTAGCTCATGAGCAGACTTCTTTGTCTGTCTGAGAGTGACCTGCACAAGGAAACAATATACTGTGATTTTTGGGTTCGGTTGACACTTTCAAACTCATAAACGGTGTGTGATTACAGCGTCTTACTTGGGTATTTTTATTTTGACATGCACATAATGGTCTCCAAAGCCGTAGCCACTAACACGAGCGATTCCCTTCCCTGCTAAACGTATCCTCTGGTCTGTCTGGATGCCTGCAGGGATCTGAAGAAAGGAAATCCAGGTCATTCTCAACATGCGGTTTCATTAGCTCTTGTTAGAGGTGAAGCCTGTGGATGCACATGCTGACTTACAGAGAGGTTAATTGTTTCATAAAGGCCCTGGGCTCTGGCCGTGCCGCCAAGGATCGCTTGTGCAACGGAGACTAAAAGGTCAGAGTGGATGTCTGCACCCTCCCTCCTGAATATGGGACTCTTCTGGACCTGGAAACGGAAACCATGACAATTAGTTCCACATTATGAAAACCTCAGGAAGCAGAACTCCAAGAATGAGCTGATCCAAGTTTCCCTTCTTGTTCCATCTCTGGTAAACACTAATGCAACAAGTTGATTCAGAAACTTACCTTAAATGTGATGAAGACCTCCTTTTTACCCACTGGCATTCTGACTGTCTGACCATCCTCCACGCCTTAAAGCAAAAACATAAAACACAGTTAGACAATCATCATCTACAGTCGGAGTCATTTTTTTCCCCAACAGTATCTACCTACACCATCCTGATTTTTTTTTTTTCTAGTCCAGTGACACTGACCTGCTGGAACAGGAACCATCACGGTCTTCCTCTGCTTGGCCTGTCCCGTGCCGCGGCAGGAGTGACAGGGAGAGGAGATGACCGTGCCTTTGCCACCGCAGCGACGGCATGTGGAGCGCATCACGAACGGGCCTGTGTTCACGGTTTCCTACAGAGGGGACGGGGTGCAGAAAAAAACACATGATCATGATAGAGACAGTAATTGAAACATCTGTCATATGCTGTGTGGAGATTAGTTATATGATATGTAAGAGGTTTGTTGTAGTTTTCTTGGTTTTAAATTGTCTTTCCAAAGCCAGCAGGAGGAGATTTTCATCAGTACACTACTTGAGCAAAGACCACTCTGTTCACAGAGGGTGTTAAAATTGACAAAAAGTTCCCTAGGGGAGCTTTAATTATAACCACAGCTAATGTTCTCACCATGCCGGAGCCGTTGCAGTAGTGGCAGTGCTGCACCTTAGTTCCAGGCTCGTGACCTTTACCATCACAGCGCTGGCAGGCTGCATCTATGCTGACCGACATCTCTTTATTGACCCCCTTCGCTGCTTGAGTGAACGTCAGCTCCATGATGTACTGTGTCACAGAAGAGAGGATGAAGAGAGTCTGACAGAAATGCACCGAATGAGAACCAGCAGACCGGACCGCTTACCTCCTGCGGCTGATCAAATATGGCGTTGAAGTCTCCGAAGCCTCTCCCTCCGGAGAATTCCCCAAAGATCTTGCGGAAGAGCTCCTCTGGATCTACGTGCTGGGCCTGTCCGGACCAGTACTGCTGCCTCCCGCCTGCCTGACCAGCATCAAAGCCTGCAGAGCCGTAAGTATCATACTGCTTCCTCTTTCCTTCATCACTAAGGACCTGACACAAACAAAAAGTTCGTTAGTTATACTCCAGCGACTGTAACATTCTGTATAACCCTCAGGAAGTTTAAATCATGACTGACAACAAACCTCATAAGCTTCAGCCAGCTGAGCAAATTTTTCCTTGGCTTGAGGGTCATCCTTGTTGGTGTCGGGGTGATACTTTTTGGCCATCTAAGGAACAACAAACAGAAACAACGATTGGTTAGCTGAGAGCCAATCCCAGCTGTGGATACACATCAGGCAGGAGCAGACCTGGTAGTAGGCTTTCTTGATCTCTTTCTGGCTTGCTGTGCGAGGCACACCGAGGATCTGGTAGAAGTCCTGCTTGCTGTTGGCGGGGGCACTTGTGTGAAAGGACAGTGTGCTGATGGCATTTGGCGGTTTGATACCTGCAGAGTGTAAAAACGGTACAAGGGTGAGTAAACAGGAGGAGCAGGAGAGTCTTATTGGTGGTTTCTAGTTTGTTTGTTAAGGGAAACAAAATCCTGATTGAAAAGCGTTTAAACTAGTTTTGTTGGATCTGGAACAGGTTGTTAAAGAGACTCTACAAACTTCTTAGAACAAAACTTCAGATTTGGGAAACTTTTATTCTTTAAGTGGCATTGCAAATATTGTCAATTTCACTTTTTTTCTTGTACTAAGCCTCTCAGATCTGGACTAGATTAAAAAACTTTCTCTGTGGAAATGTAAGAGTGTTAAGTTTTGCTGGTATATTTTAACCTCAGGTCCTGACCTCTCAGATCAGGACAAAATGATCCCAAAGATTCATCAAACGTCACTAAACTTCTCAGAGAGGCTCTTGAATACACGCTGTTAAAGATCTATGAAAGCTTATCTTTATTTGTGAATGTGCAAAAATTGCGATTTCACATCTGATCCATGGTTTCCAAAGTGAATACTAGGACAGTAAAATCATTTTCACAGTAGAATAAAGGGTTTTAAATGAGGTTTCAGAGAGGTTATAATCTTTCTAGAACAATCTAGTCCGGGTTTAAGTATCCTTAAGTAGTGTGGGTCGTGGATCTCTAAAAGTACAGCTGAAATTACAACAAAAACAAGCAGCTAGCCTAGCCTAGGCCATATGGATGAGCCTCCACCGCCTCACCTGACAGCCCTCTCAATGTCAACCCTCTCCCGGCTCCGCCACACATCACGTTCCCGCCCCGCCATAGTTTCTCCGCTCCCACTGAAGAGACATTTCGGACCCCTCCATGTCCGCCACCGACGACCGCACCGGCGCCTCGTCGTTGTCCCGAGGACACGATGACTGTAATCCAGCGTGAGGAGCGGCGAGCAGCAGAAGACGCCATCATTCCTTCCCTGGACGTTTCTCGAACCCCACTGCGCATGTCCGTGACAGAGTGGGCGTCACCCATAGGACGTCAACGCAGATGATCGAAGATGTTATATTTGAGTCAAGATGATGCTCTCCTAATTAAAAAGGGTTCAAAAGTTTTAACCTACATTTTATTGTCAATCTTTTTACGCAACACAGATTGCACGATATTATAATTGACTTACTAACAGGCTTTAACTTTAGCGCTTTTGTTGTAATCTGAATTCGAGTTTCTTGGCATTTTGCCTGTTTTATGTTTTTAGAATCAAGCACCTTGAAACGTCTGCTCTTGATATGTGCTATGTAAATAAACCATAGACTGTATATACTCTACACTCTATACTCTGTATATATTCTATATACAGTCTATGAAATAAACGAAAATGACCGTTTACACTGTTCAAATGTATGGTGGCCGAGAACAGCCACTGCTGCAAATAAAAAAGAATGAAAAAAAAGGAGCCATAATGGCAGTTTACAATGCAAAATAAAAGAAACTGAAGCCTGCTGCGAATTAAAACTTTTTTTTCGCCATCGTCTTCTGTGCCTAGATCGTAAAACACTGGTGCATCATCATTATTGGTCCCCGGCAACTCACTACCATTGTTGCTTTTTTTATTTGCATCCTTTTATTTTTGCAGGAAGTAACTTTTTGTTTGCATAGTCAAATTTTTTTTGCATCGTTAACGGTGGCTGAGGATGTCACTGCAGCAAATAAAAAAGAATGCAAAAAAAGAAAAAAAAGAAACCACAATGGAAGTTACAGATGCAAAAAAAGAAACTGAAGCCTGCTGCAAATAAAAAAGAAACGGTGCAGATAAAAAAAAACCACAACAACAGTTAACGGCGCAATTAAACAAATAAATAAATAAAAAGTGGTGATGCAAAAAATAAGTTATGTACTGTGAAAACAAAAGGATGCTTAAAAATGTAGTTAACTTCTGTTGTGGCTTTTTTTGTTATCTGCACTGTTTCTTTTCTATCTGTAGCGGGATTTGGTTTCTTTTTTTCATCAGTGACTTCCATTATGGCTCCTTTTTTTTTTTTTTTTGCATTGTTTTTATTTGCAGTAGTGGCAGTTCTCGGCCACCGTAGCACAAACGAGTACCAAAAGAGTCGAGTCAAACACAGGATGCGCATGTTTTGAAACCCGAGGCAGCGCGCGGTAAGGCTGTGCGTTCCTCTAGTATCGTCTCCGCCCGGCTGGACTACTCGGTGCTGCAAAGCGAGCAGCAAGCACTCAGCCAAACTGAACTGTCAGCTGTTGCAAGAGTCCTCTCTCTCTCTGCAGAGTACCAACCAGCTCGACAGAGACACCCGGAAGGCACGAAAGTCAATCTGAGAAGGCAGCATGAATCGCTTTAAGACCTCCAAATTCAAGAACACCACTCCGAAAATCGCCAAGAAAGATGTGAGTATCTCCCGAGCGTCTGCCAGCGTTCCTAGCTCGAATTAGCTTTGGTTATTAGCTGTGCTACTTTTGAGCGGTGTTTGGGGAACGCCTGCCTGCAAAGGGATGTTGAACTTCCTGCATCTGGAAACCTGCATAGCAATGAGAGAAGTACAGGAGAAGAATCTGGGTCTGTTCACACTGACTCCAGTGTTGTAGTAAAAACTGAGCCATGTGGGTGAGGAGAGCTGCTAACCCACATTGGATGTTGTAGTGACGCCCATCATCATGGGTTGAGTTTTCCTGTTTCCTCAATAATCAGGTGGTCTAATGCACAGTTTTCAATATGCAAAGATCTGCTATATCCAGAAACGTGTGAGTGATAGTGATAGTTGTCTTGCAGGCTGCAGGAGGCGGCATGTCTGGACGGCGCTGCGGCGTCTTGCATACAAATCTGTCATTTTTCTCCCCTCCTGGACCCTTCTGTTTGGAGTTGCAGCGCCTGCAGCCCTTCTTGCCGAGGTGGATTATGCAACCTCCCCCTAACTACGGTGTTTTTACAGGGGCAGGAAAATGCATGGCATGTGTGCAGAGATAGTGGATGTTATTGGTGTGTCTCCAATCTCTGCACAAAATCTGAGACAGCAGGTGGTGCTTGGCTGCTGTGAATGTTAACAGAGCAGTGAATGTGTGAGTGAGTGAGTGAGAGTGAGAGTGGCTGGAGTCATGTGATGGAGGGAGCTGTCATGTTAAACATTGTTCAGTGTAGGGCTGGGCGATATGGGGAAAAGTTTATTATAGTATATTTTTTTCATATCAGTCAATATTGATATGTATCATTAGGGCCCGACCGATATGGATTTTTTGGGGCTGATGCCGATTATCAGGGGGAAAAAAATCAGATTACTGATTAATCGGCTGATTTTTTAAATTTTTTTATGAAGTTATATATATATATATATATACTGTAGATACTTACAGTATACCATACAGTGAAGATTTACTGTAGGCTACTGCTCTTCATGCCGACAGGAAGACCTACTGATCAAACTCGGACCAGAAAATTGGTTGCCGCGGATATGGGCCTCCGCGTCTTAACTCGCGTTGCTCATTTTTGGTCCGGTCTCATCTGGAGACATGCAGCTGCCTCAGTAAGAGAAGTAGCTCGGTCACATAATGTGTACAGTTGTTTATTATAAAGAATGGACAGTCTGCCTGTCCGAGAACAGCACCCTCTGTTGATGGGCTGCAGTATAGGTCATAAATCCCACCTCCGCCAGCAAAGCTTATGGAGCTGTGGACAAACTTCAGAAATGTATAACACAGAACATAAATTTTTCTCCCCCCCGCTCGCGATGTTGACATGTAGTTACTGTCAGACTGGTTTGTGCTCAAGTTAACGGATTAGTCTCAAACTGGCCAAAATTTGCCAATTTAATCGGCTCACCGATGAATCAGTCGGACCATATATATCATGAGTAAAAAAAGAAAATTTAACAGCGCTTGTTGGTAGCATGTCTTTTGCAATACAATAAGCTACTGCATCTGTGAGGTCTTTGTGTCTCCGGAGCAACTCCCCTTTTCATTTGCTATTCATATAGTCTCCCAAAACATGGCAGACTATTGAGAAGGATATTGACCATGTTTAATATTGATATTGAGGGAAATTAATGTTTGATATGTGTAGTTATCATTTTTATCGCCCAGCCCTAGTTGAGCAGCGGGGCATAGAGACAAAAAGCCAAGATACAGAAGATGTTTTCCTCTCAAAAACTTTACTCCGTTAAAGTGAGTAATCTCTCAGTAGTGTTACTTTGGTTCACTCTCTTTGGCCTCTGGATACAGTTTTTTTTTTTGCACCAAAGCTCCTTCTGATCATGGATTTGTTTGTGGATTAACAGCAGAAAGTGATCAGACTGACTTTGTAAACCTGGAGGAAATGCTTGAACCCTTGCCTGACGTAAGATTTAAGCTGCTCAACAGTTCAGGGTCTCCTTTGTTGTATTTTCTATTTCATGATGCTCCAAATGTTTTCAAAGGTTGACAAGTCAGGACTGCAAGCAGGGCTAGTTTTGCACCGGGACTCTTCTACTACAGAGCCATGCTGATGGAATACATGCAAAATGTGGTCTAGTATCTTCTTGCTGTGTGATGCAAAGTCTTTGCTGAAAAAGCATTGTCTGGATGGAAGCTGATGTTGCTCCAAAACCTGTTTATATTGTTCAGCTTTGACGGTGCATCCACACATACCATCATAAATGCAGTGGCTCTCAACTGGTCTCACTGTGGGACCCACATTTTCCCAAGTTCCTTAAGTCGTGACTCACTTTTATAGAGTTTAAACCAAGCAAATTTATTTTTTATTTAAAAAAAAAAAAAACTTTAAAGACTCAAATCTTTAACACAAATACACCTGTTTTATTGAGTAAAGTGCATTTCAGAGCGCATGAACTGAGGACAACAACTACTGAAGTTGCACAAAATAAGCTTTTTTTCAAAATAAAAGACATGTCAAACATCAGATGCGCATTAAGTATTTTCTTTTTTGACCAGCTGTTTGAGACCCATCCAGAACGTGTCCGCGACCCACTTTTGGGTCGGGACCCACCAGTTGAGAACCACTGGATTAAAGGACATTTCAGGCCCAGGGATGTTGCTGGTGTTTGTGGATCGGGTTTGTGTGGTACAGTTTTGCAGCTAGTATAACAGCTTCGTTCTCAGACTGTGTTTTTTTGGGGTGATTTCGAACCCATGCAGTGATTTCCACTTCAGAGACATGTCTGTTTTTAATGTGCTGCTGCCTGAGGGCCCCAAAGATCACAGCCGTGATGCCAATGTGTGCAGATATGAAGACTCAGCCTCCCTGGATTGCCCTTTTTATGCTCCAAACCTGGGTCCCAGTAGCTTAAAACCATCAAAATCTGTTTTTAATCAACATTTCACAAAGCAGCCCAACTCTCATGGCATCGTGATTATATAACCTGGTCCCTAAAACTGAAGAAATCAAGTGTTAGTGATGGGTGTTAGCTTCTGTCACGCTAAGGACATATTTGCATACAGATGCACATGCAGAAACTCTTCTCCTCTGAAAACAGCTGCATGCTTTGTAGGATTCTTTGAAGTGCATGGATGCATACAAAAGCCAGCATTACTGTTAAGTGCCCTGTGGAGCTCCGTGGTCAGTCTGTCTCAGTCTGTGTCTCGCAGTTGTTTATGGAGTAGCGCAGCAGCATGTTGGACACTCTGTCCTCTTGCTGCTTTTTCCTTGTTAATGTTATGAAAGAGGCTTTAAGAGTCTGCTGTGCAGCGCGGGGTGCCTTTCCACTTCCTCAACAGTTTGCTCATTCAAAAGCACTTAATGTGTGCGAGCTCTCAGCAGAAGTCTTCCTGTATGTGACTGTGCTAATTTATGCATCTACTTAATCACACTCAAGACAAGTTAAATGTGGTGCTTCTTATTCACTCTGTTTTCTTTTTGGTTTTCAGGGATGGATCAATAACGTCCGAGCTGGTTCCTACTCGTGTCAGGGAAACCACATCAAAGCGAGCTCCAAGCTGGTCGTCTTCAACACCGAGCAGGCTGGTAAGTCTGTGCAGAGTGGTAAACAGTAACATTTAAAGAAATCAACTGT